GCCTCCCTCATCAAATTATAGGTGTACGTTATTCACAATAGTAATAACTTTTTTGTTTTCTATTGAAATTTTGAAACTTGTGTTTTAAATTTTGAAGCGCTATTTGCGCTTTTCGAATTTTTAAGAATTTTAAAAATTTGTCTTATAATCATTAAAGCGCAAGGAATTCAAATATCGCTCACCAAAGTTCGCTCACCAAAGATCGCTCACCTATTTACTCGATAGCCCACCAGGCCCTAATTAAAACAATGACTATGAATTTAATTCATAGGCCTTTACTCGTTTACTATAAAGAATTAATTAATAAAAAAAACTATAGAGTTAGAGATAAGATTACTAAAGAATTTATTAGTCGATAATATTAAAGTCTCTCTAACTCTAGATTATTAATTATTTTATAATTATTAATTATTTATAATAATTCTAATCTTTTTTATTAATGCTAACTAGTAATAATATAAGATTTTTATAGATTTTAAATATATCGAAGATAAATATATTAGCTAGAAATTTATAAGTATTATTAATTTAATTCTCGTAGAATATAAGATTTAATCTTATATACTTAGACTTATAACTAATAACGCTAATAATAATAGTATACTCTTCGATAATTTAATTACTTATCTTTTTATTTTTATAATAAATAACTTACTTAATATTAAAGAATTTAAATTCTCGAATTATTTATAATATATTCTCTATATAGCGTATATTATTTAATTAATTTTAAAAGAACTTCTAGATAATATTAGAATTATTTTAATAAATAAGAAATTTTAAAGAAGCTAAGATAATAAAGAAGATAAGAATTAAGTTTAAATAAATATAATCGATCTATTAATAATTCTAATAAAGATATAATATTTCTTATTATTATTCTAATTATTATATTATTAATTATATTAAGATTTAAAAAATTATTATATATATTAATACTAGCGGTTAGTATAAAGAGATCTTTTTTATATTATAAATTAAACGACTTTAAAATAAAAACGTTTTAATATTAGATAAATATTAATCTTCTAAAAAAAAGTAATATTATTAAAAATACTTTTTTAAACTTTTTTAGAATATTAAGACTCGTTAAAATTTAATTTATTAGATATTAATCCGCGCTCTACTTCTTTATATTAATATTATATACTTTTTAAAGAATAAATTAACTATCTATTTAAGATTAAGTAATAAAAAATAATTATAGATAGAAATTATAGTCTAAGCGTTTAAATAATTTTTAATTAATTTCTAATAGATTTAATATTTAATTTAACTTACTAAATCTTTTTATAAGTTTATAAAATTAATAAGTAGAGAAAAGAAGGCTATAATTTACTACGTCTTTAATATTTATAATTATCTATTTAATTATATAAATAAAAAGCTCGAAAAATTAAGAAGAAAGAGAGTTTCTTAGAAAAAAGAATTTCTTAAAGTTTTTAAGACGGCTCATGAGAAATTAGCTATCTACTATAGTTAAATTTAATTAAATTTAAATTATCTATATAAATAAGCTATACTTCTATATTTAAGTTATAATAATATAAAATTAAAGAGATTAAATTAAAAGGTTAATATTAGAGAGAAATTATAAGCGAAGATCTATTAGAAAGCGCTTAAAGATATATTTAAAAATTATTAAAATATTAATATAAGTAGTTAATTATAAAGAGCTAAGCGAATAAATTAATTAAATAAAAATACGCTTAATTAAGTAATAAAATTCGAGATTAAGAATTTAGATAATAAGAATAAATATAATTAGCTTTAGTAATATAGACGAAATAATAAGTCTTCTAATTATTATTCTAATTATAATCTTATCTCTAATCTTTATAAAGCTTCTTTTAATAATCTAGCGAATCTTTTAATTCTAAAATAATAAAAGAAATTAAAGCTTAAATACGCTATAATTACTCGAATAGCTTATAATATTCTTTATTCTCTCGCGAGAGCTATTACGTATAAGCGATATTTCTTAATAATTAAAAGATATTATAATACTTAAAAGTATTATTTATTAGCGATATTTTATACTTTAATAATAATTCTTTATATAAAATATCGAGAAAATAAATTTAAATAAGCTAAATTTAATTTTAAAGAAGATCTTAATATATTAGATTAGATTAAAAGAGCTAATAATACTTTACGTGAAAATTTAGTTAACGTTTATAATAATTATATTAATAAAGATAATAAGCTTATAAAAAATACTTCGATAAATTTAATATTTATAAATTTATTAAAATATATTACTAATATTTTATAATATATAAAGAAGTAATTAATAGATTTATAATTAAAAAGAATTAGTAATAATAAATCTAATCTTAAAGAAGAGATCTAAGATAACTCGAGAAGCGAATTTATTTATAAATAGTTAATAAGTTTAATTAGATAAAGATAAATTTAAGATATTTAAAAGAATCGCGATAGAGTAGAATAGAAGAGTAGCGAAGGATTTAAGAGAAGAATAAATATAAAGTCTATTAAGTTTATTTAACGCGTTAAAGCGAATATATAAATAAAGATAATTATAGAATTTTATTCTTATAATATTTAAAGATTTAAAATTTAGAATATTCTTTTATATTATAATTTTAAAAAGAAGAATAGAGACGCTTATAGTTCTAATTATTATTCTAATTATTACTATTAATAAAAAGATAAATAGCTATATTAGATTACTCTTTATATTCTCTCTCTCTTAATAAAGAAGAATAAATATATTCTATATATCTTAATCGAATTATTCTATAAATATAGAAATTTTAATTAAGATATTCTATATATATATTATTTTATAGTATAATATTACAAATATATTATACCGTAAGATATTTCGTTAAGATTCCGAACTTATATTAGAAAAATGAAATGATATTCGACTCTACTTATATTATACTCGGGTACGATATAATATTACTTAGTATGGAATATCCTATAGAATATACTATATCTTTTCGATTAGTAGTTATTCTCTAGCTTCTTTTTAGCGATTTATAATATCTTTATACTTCTTTATATTTCGATATAAATCTTAATCTAGATCGTAGCGATAATTTAATAATTAAAATAAACTCTCTATAGCCGCTTAAATAGAGTTAATAATAATCGCTACTTGATAATCGATATCGTTATTAATAAGATTTTTATTATTCTCTAAAGAATTAATTAGATATTCTTTCGATATTATAGCTCTAGCGAGTATCTCTCTTAAGACCTCGATATTTAGTTTATTAAAGTTTTAATATATTATTAATATTAACTCTATTATAGCTAACTTAAGCTTTATAAGAATTAAAAGATAATTAGATTCGCTTTTAAAATCGTTTTCGATATTATAATTAATAATATTTATTATTAATACTAAAGTAGCGAATAATAAGTCTATTATTATTTAATAGTTTTCTTTATATATTATCGTTTTTATTAATAATACTTATTCTATAGCGAATTCTTCCGCTATAAATATTAGTTCTTCTACTCTCTTATCGATATAAGTATTTAATTTCTTCTATATCGTATAGTAAAGATTAAAATCGTCTAGTATAATCTATTCATTTTTTTTAGACTTTATAAGCGTCTTATATAGTTCGTTAAGTTCGTTTATTTATTAATTATCGAGGTTATAGATATTATATATACGTATAATTCTATTATTTTCAAACTTAATATTAAGAGTATAGAGATTTAATAAATAATATAATAAATATTATTATTTTAGTAATATTCTCTTATTAATATAGAAGTATACTTATATATTATTATAATAGAAATAAATTAAGTTAAATCTATTCTTTAGAGAATAATATAATATATTTATATTAGTATTTCTCTAAAGCTTCTAAATTACTACTATATCGATATTATAAATCTTTTTATTATCGAAGAGTTCTATTATAATTATTTTAAATTTTTTTATATTATATTATAGTATTAATAGCTAACTAGAGTATATTACTATTTCTTAATATTATTATTAATATTACTTACTCGCTCCGCTTAGTTTATAAAATTTATATTCTCTTTCTAAGTATTCTTCTTTTTTTTAGTTATTAATAAATTAAATATATCTCTTTTTATTTCTATTAATAGAGATCGTAATTCTCTTATTATCACTCTTTTAACTTAGAGACTATCTATTATCCTCGAGATTATTAATTTCTTTTATCGCTATATTATTTTTATATTATTTAACTTTATCTACTACTTTAAAGAGTAATTTATTTCTAGATAAAGTCTTTATTAGTAATATAAAAGTATATCTTCTTCTACTTAACTAAAGATTTAATATAATAATTCTTTTAAGATTTAGCGCTCTAATTTCTTCTCTATTAACTATTTTATCTCTATCTATTAACTTATCGCGCGTAAATATTAATCTTAAAAAAAATTCCTTATTTCGTCTATAATTAGATATATTTTAAAAGTAATTATTTAATTAATCGCTTATTTAATAGCTAGTCAATATCTTCTTTATTATTATAAATTATAAAAAAGTCTATTATCTCGCTATTCTTATTCTCGCTATCTCTTTCTTCTTTACTATATATATCTTATTTTAAGCCTTATATAATCTCTCGTAAATTAGACATTTACGAGTATTAATCATATATTCTTTATAATAATACTTTTCTAAGCATTTCCCGTATACTAAGTAATTTTTTTTAGAGTATATAGTACGATAGATAACTATATTTCTAATATACGAAGTATTACTTTAATTTATACTACTTATTATAGATATAATAGCTATATAGTTTTAAATCGATAACTAAATCTTCTTTTAATACTTTGCTTGATCGATGATGATGTAATGATGTTATTGATTTTCAGGAACGCGGGCGACATTTGGATAGTAAAGTAAGTACTTTAAAGGAAGGTATGGCTTCCAATCATTCAGCTTTAGCGCATCGCGCAAACACCTCAACTTCTAGGTACTTCAACCTCAAGTTCAACCTCAACTCCATCCTTCGTACCGGCCCTTCAGCATGGTGCCAGCTAAGCCAAGGGTCCTCTACTGGTTCCGGACCGATCTTCGATTACATGATTCCCCAGCTCTGAAAGCTGCCCTTGACCTGAAGCCTGAATGTTTGTATCCTATATGGTGCTGGGATCCGCATTATGTATACCGTGCGAGGGTAGGGCCGAATAGATGGCAGTATCTGTAGGTACCCTTTCTTCAATTCCAATGGCTGTTTTTTTTCATTGATCCTAGGTGCACTCTTCTTTAGACTCGACTGCCAATCCGACCTCTCTGCCTCCATCACCAAGCTCAATCCCAAGTCGAAGCTTTTCGTCCTCCGGGAAGCACCGCAGACGGTGCTAGCGAAGCTGTTCAAGGCGTGGAAGATCTCGCATCTGGTCTTCGAGAAAGATACCGATGCATATGCCCGACAAAGAGACGAAGATGTTATCAAGCAAGCGGAAGAGGCAGGAGTGGAGGTCATTGTCAAGATGGGCAGGACGCTATATGATCCGGACGAGCTGGTGAAGGCGAATGGAGGAAAGCCGACTATGAGTATCACTCAGGTGCAGCATGTACGGGGAGCGTCCTTGAATCTGCGCGAGAAGTATCGTGCTGATACCTTTCAGGCAGCAGAGAAGCTGGACGAAGTCGCAAAACCAGTCCCAACCCCAGAGTCTCTTCCCGACCCCGGCAACGCATCCCTTGATTTCGAGCATACCCCGCCCTCCCCGAAGCCCGACTTCAACGACATCCAGCGCATTGACATGGAAAGTTCCTACACCCATCTTGCCGGACCTGAAGGCGACTTCGGGGTCCCTACCCTTTCCGAACTTGGTCTCAAACCTGCAACAACCCAGCATCGGGGTGGTGAGACCCTTGCCTTACGCGCCCTAGACGAGATAATCTCCAACAAAACCTACACAGCAACGTTTGCCAAACCCGCAACAGCACCCACAGCGTTCGACCCCCAGTCAACAACCCTGCTATCTCCACATCACCACTTTGGCTCCCTCAGCGTACGGCTCTTCTACTGGCGCGTAATGGATGTACTCAAGGAGTATAAAGGCAAGCAAAGCACCATCCCTACGAACTTAATCGGGCAACTGCTCTTCAGAGACATGTATTTCGGGTACGTACATTTGGGAGCTGGTTCTTTCCAATCTGTAGTAAGATTGAGTCACAAGACTTGTCTCGGGTGCAAAAGGATCTTTCTATTTTCGATACCTGTCTTGCAACTCCAATTTCTACCTCGAATAGGCTTTGCTGACTACGAAATCTGCGTAGAGCTCAAACGGCTCTCGGCTATTCCTTTGCTCAAACACACGGCAACAGCCATTGCAGATTCATACCCTGGCATCTCCCTTCCAAAGTCGATCCGTCCAATGGCCTCGTAACCGGTGACCACCATATCGACAGTCCCGAAGCCGAGACGTGGTTCGATCGCTGGAAGTGGGGCAAGACAGGCTTTCCCTGGATCGACGCTCTGATGCGCCAACTCAGGCAAGAAGGTTGGATACACCATCTCGGCCGTCATGCCGTAGCTTGCTTCCTGACCCGTGGTGGCTGCTACATTGACTGGGAGCGTGGCGCCGAAGTCTTTGAAGAATGGCTCATCGATCACGAAGTCTCCTGCAACAGCGGTAATTGGCAATGGCTCTCGTGCACAGCTTTTTATTCGCAATTCTATCGCTGCTATTCGCCAATCGCGTTTCCTAAGAAGACGGATGCGAAGGGCGACTTCGTACGGCACTTTTGCCCTGAGCTCAAGGATTATCCGGAGAAATTCATCTATGAGCCATGGAAAGCGCCTGTAGCGGATCAGAAAAAAGCGGGTTGTTTGATCAAGGGTGACGGCCAGGAGACGGAAGACGGAGGGATGAAAGTCTATCCGAAACCTATGTTTGATTTTAACGCTCGCCGTTCTATCTGCTTAGATGCAATGAAAAGCGCATACCACATTAACCTCTACGGTGATAACCTCAAAGTCAAAGATGGGACATGGCGCGAGCTCTTTCCTGACTCGGCCGAGGGCCCAACGGAGGGGAAGAGCGCAAAGGATGCGATCAATGGTGAGGAGACGGGGAAAAAGACAAGGCCGAAGAGGGGCGAGGAGGCGAGTGGCGACATGGGCGTTGATCAGGATGAGGGCGAGGCAGCGGAGGTTGGTGGGGAGACGAAAGGCGGTGATCAAGAGGGAAAGAGTCCTGGAAAGAGAAAGAGAAAGGGGCAGGGGACGTTGGATGCTCATTTTGGGGGAAAGAGGACGAAGAAGTGAAGGACCTATTGCATCAGAACTGTCGCGGCGTCGGGGGAGAAAATGTTCCGGAGCAGCAGCTTTTGGACAAGCAGGCCAGATTGGTCAGCATATGTATGCATCGCAGGTTCAGCTAGTGTAGTGGACTGTACGATCACACGCGTGCCGCTAGCTCTCAAATCTTCCCAATTACTACATCCCATCAGCGGAGCATCGAGCACGCGACATTTGCCAGTCCATCCCCATTCGACCTCTGTCACGCAGACGACACACCTCCCCACTCCCCTCCCGTCCTTCCCTCCAGGAGACCACCATCCCGGCCCCCTGAACCCCCCCCGCCCGTCGTGATGGAAACAAACGGCGCAGCCGTGCTCCCACCGCCCCGACCCCCGGAAATGCTACGGTGCTACGGGTGCTACGGAAGGCGGCGTCGAGAGGGCAGGGCAGGGAGGGAAAGTCTGCGTCGGTCGCATCGTGGGCTGCTGGGCATGGAGTGAGTAAGTGAGTGAGTGAGTGAGTGAGTGAGTAAGTGAGTGAGTGAGTGAGTGAGTGAGTGAGTGAGTAAGTGAGTAAGGAGGAAAAGAAAAAGGAAGGAAGGAAGAAAAAAAAAAAAAAAAAAAAAAAAAAAAAAAAAAAAGAAAAAAAAAAAAAAAAAAAAAAAAAAGAAAAAAAGGGGAGGGTAGGAAGAGAAAAAAAGAGGGAAGGGGTTGGGGGGAAGACGCTCTAGAAAAAAAAAAAAATGTTTTGAATTCCCGGAAAAAATTTTCTTAAAAAAAATTTTGGGGGGGGTTTTTTGAAGATTTTTTTTTTTTTTTTTTTTTTTTTTTTTTTTTTTTTTTTTTTTTTTTTTTTTTTTTTTTTTTTTTTTTTTTAGGCGGGATATGTATGGGGGGGGTTTGGCGCGGCGGAGGATCTAGCTGGGCGGATGGATTGAGTTGAATTGAATTGAATTGAATTGAATTGAATTGAATGGATGAATGAATGAATGCCGCTCTGACTCTGTCCGGTCTGGTCCGGAGGCTGGGATTTTCGTTCGTTGGGGCTGCGTAGTATTAGCAGTAGGAGGATGTTTCACGAGTGTTGTTGGAACCAAGGGTTGTTGGAACCAAGGCTCCGGAACGTGCGCGACAGGGCCGCAAGTTTGAATCTTGTTTCGTTGATAGGGATGCAACGAGGCGGTGTTCTGTCGACGCCTTGGGAAGGAATTGATTGTGCTGCGTTCTTTGACGAGAATGAAGCTTTTCTCTTTGTGAAAGGATGCTGGAGGCTTTTTGATAGACTGGGCGGTTGGGGTGGAAAGGAGTAGTGGAGAAGACATGGCTGCGGTCAATAAATTCTGGACAGACTCGCAGAGTCAATCTGTGAGAGTCGTCGCGAGGAGCACGAGCGGTTGCGAAGCAGTTAATGGATCATTGGGCATTTTCAAAGGCTATCATACACGTAAGTAATCATCAAGCATGCAGTTCAGACAGTCCTTTCGCTTCATAGGCTAGCTCCTGAGGGCTTCTTCCCCCAGCTGTTGCCTACGGTCCTAATCCTTGAGCGATTAAGAATTCTTGGGTAGCCTTGTAAGCAGCCGTGGCGTTGTAGTGCAGGTTGATAGCATGCCCAGTGTTTGGTTGAATGTAGACTTCGAAAGCCTTCGCTGCAGGGAAAGCCTTGGTCACTCCACCCGGGATTGATCCCCCTGCCAACGCCGGGTCACCAGTCGCCATGCAGTCGCCACCACAGAAGATGAAGTCCTGATCTGTGACAAGTTAGTAGGGTATCGCCCAAAATGGTCCGAGACTCACTGCCAACAAGAACCTGGACGGGTCCCTTGAACCCTGGTACCGTAGAAGGTGAACCACCAAGGGTGAGGACCTCGCCCGTAGTCAAAGGTTCCTTGGTTGACTCGGAGAATTGAAGGATTGCCGGGTCGAAGAAACCTGGATAAAGGAAGGTTTTTTCGTTGCAGCTCGCGTTCGCCCAAGTAAGGTACCCGGTGGGAAGATCTCCGAATCTTTGGGGCTGATCATTACGAGCCAACTTGCTGCCCCAGGCGTCGAAAGTTGCGTCTATGTAAGCGAAATCCTGGGAGAAGGCTGTGAGGATCAGGCCATCACTGGCGGTAGGGTCCCTGATGCTTGGTCAGTCTGCATAGGTTCTGACCTTGAGAGGGAAAAGCAAGTGAGACTCTACATAGCTGCAAGGTTGTAGCTGAGGATGGAACCAAGGGAATGGCCAACGTGGACGATCTTCGAGAAAGCCCGAGGGACTCCTGGTAGACTGCCGCGACGGAGCATCATTGTCAACTCGTAGATGGCTGACACCTCTGCCGGTGCTTGTATGATGCTGAGAGGGTCCGCGATCGAAGAATTCCCAATGCCGAGACGATCGATGGAGAGTGTCGAAAACCCGTACTGATCAACAGCGACATCTATATAGCTGTAACTGTAGGAGTTGTAAGGAAGGTCCCAGTAACTATAGTCTACATGTTAGCTCTGCCCCACCTCGCATGCAAATCTGCAAGTGCGCTGGCACAGGCAACAGCAAGCTGAATGTTGCGAAACAGGAGCTGGCTTACGTCTTGTCAAAACCGATGCCATGGGTGAGGAATTGCACGGTTGGATCTTGTCCGAAGCCAGTGTCTGGCTGACAGAACTTGACACTGATGTCGTATGTTCTGTCAATCGTTCGATACCCAAGTAAGACCTCATTGGAGAAATTGCCTCCAGGGTTTGTGAAGTTCGCAAAGAAGGTCGTGGCATCGTGGTTGTCCTGTAAGGTAGGAAGATTGAAAGCCCCATTGCGAGCACATAGGGTGACTGGGACTGAGAAGTTCTGGCAGTGCTTCGCTACTACCGAGCTAGCAAGAAGGGCGGAGGCCACCAATGATGGAAGATACATTGTAAGTCGTAGGAGCAATGAGCCTTTGAGAAGACGCGGCGGAGGGAAGAGAAGGTCTGACAATGCACAAGACTGGGAGGAACGAATGGCAGAAGTTGTGTGCGAAGAGTGCGGAGGAGGGATTCAAAAGGAGAGTAAATGTGGGGAAGCAGTATTTGAAGGGAAAGAAGCCGTTGTGATGTTTACCTATCGAGTTAGCGGTTTAGCTACCATCTTGAACACATTCGCGTCATTCACTACGGTCCTCTTGCAGCAGATCTCCCCGTCACCTTATCAATGACCGTCGTGATTCACGGGATAGTCCCTCTCCCGACTATGGTGCAGCCATAAGGATTGGACGGAAACATCGACACAGACAAGCGAACCCTTGAGTCGCTTCGTCCATCACCTGTGGGAGGTGATAGGCTCGCCCCGCGACTCAAATATGGGAAGTGGTATGGTCAAGCCTGAGCTGGGTTACATCTTCCAACGTGCGTGATTTGTGGGGCTGCCGGCATATGCTGCCTGCTCCTTAGGCAAAGCATCAGCATTTTCCGCCATAGCTGAGGTCACGCTTCGCCGCAGCAACGTTGTTTCGTATGTATGCGCACCCTCGGAGAGCGAGTGGAGAAGCCTTTGTTCCGTAGATTTTCGTCTGCCGTCGAGAAATTCGACCCGAGCGAAGGCTTGAACATGTTGCTCGCTGGGTGCGCTGAAGAATGGAAAGGGAATCTGCACCGGGTCGGAGGATGGCAAATGGTCAAGGCCCCTGCGGACCTGCGGGCCATTCCCTCTACTGCAAGCATGAAGATAGAATTAGGAATGGCGCGAATTTGATAGCTGCAATATGCGAGTCATAAAGCGATATCGCATGCAGCAGTAATGTAGGTACATTACATACCTAAATAACATGCAGATTCACTCGTTAGTATTTGCCTATTTTTATTTATTATTGATGATGACGATGATGATGATGATCATGTCCTTTATCAAGAAACAACCTTGAGAAGAAGATGCCAGAGATTAAACTTTCAAGCTAACTCTGAGCAATCTGACACCTGCCTTGAGCCGCGAGTACTAAGCGTTTGACAGATATCCTATCGAGCCACATGCCTGTAATCATTAACCCACTGAGCAATGTCCATCTCGACAGACATACAACTACCTGTCGGCAGTAGGCAGCTGGCCATCAAGCATACTATCTCAAGCTTGGACTTTGGGGACAGGAAGTCATACGCTTAGTGCTTAGTTACTAGCTGGCCAACAAGAGCAGGCCAAACGTTACCAAAGGCACACCTCGCCTTGTTGGGAGAAGAATCCCGGCCTCGCTGGAGGGTTCCAGTATCATTACCGTCGTCAGTTGCTTGTTCCAGCTGTCGCTTAACTGATCAACGTCGGCCTGTCTTTAATGTCCGAGCCCCACCATCCCAATCGTATCCTACCTTCCTCTCCAATCTGAGCTTAGTCTGGATCAGCAAAACAGATTCGAGCCTCCAGGGAGTCACTTTTCTGTGGTCCCGGGCTGCAAGTCATTCTAAGTCGACTGTCACCCATCCCATGCACGACGGTAAATGAAAATTCGACGGAACGAGGTTCCAGAATGTTAGAGAGTCTGTGCCAAAACGGATACCCCCACTGGCCATTGCCTCGGGAAAAGGCGTCATGCAGCAAGCGATGAAGCGACTGTTCCTGAGAAGAAGCCATATGTAGACCCTCAACTTCAAAGATAACGGTGATATATAGCTATGGCCGAGGATGTTGCATCTTCGCTCTGTGGTAGCTCTTTGCGAACGGCGAAGCACGTCGTTCCACCGGGAGCACGTCTCACGTCTCCATGGAATCAAGCTGTCTGGCTCTCCCTGAATACCCTGCTGGCTCAGAAGCGAGAATCAGGAGAACAGGCGAGCATATGCATGCACGTACGCACGCATGCACACGCATCGGTCCTGGTCTCTTGGCGTGGAGGAGCAGTATCTTGATGCAAATGCTTGTACCTATCTGCTTCTGCTCGTAGCCGGACGAAGCATTGATTACTTTCCGGAAGACGTCTTGCTCGCCACGAGGAGCCCTCGGAGTTAATGCTGACGGCCCCTTTTATCGATCCCGGAGCTAAGTGTGCGGGGCACGATTAATTCTCCTAGTACTAGTACCTCCACATAGGTCATAGACTTTCCACACTCGTAGAGATGTAGAGACGTAGAGATGTGTGGGCAAGCGATCATACGCTTGCAAGCCTACAACTTGTATCAGACATAAATTACTGTTTAGTGACGGAGTACAAAGTCATCATCTTTTGGTCTAATGGTAACGATTACAAAACCCGTCCCTTTTCTCATAGAGTCATAGGTGCCGTAATATATGGATGTTCATCCCTGTGTTCAACGTGGTCCGTGCCACCACACCATCCAGATGGACGCCCATTTTCTCTTTTCGCGCCGTTCAGCCTGAAATGCTAAGAACTTCGAGCTGAATCTTCCTACTCCATCGTCCATCATGCCAACAACGGGGGCTTGCCATCCTCAAATCTACCAACATCCTCCCTGAATACCATGCCAACGTCTCATGCCACCAATATACGAACCACAGCTTCTGCACCTCCCATCTCAAACGTTGCCATTCTCGGACGCAGTCGCCATTCAGCACGCAGAATCTTATAAATCCATCTGTCAAGCCTGCGGAGGATCAAGATCCCTACGGAGGGTACTTGATCCCCCAGCCATCATCCTTTGTGTCTTCAATGCCCTCCGAGACTGTCTGCGTTATCATTTGCTAGCATCTGGATTGAACTTGACGCCGCCCGGGAGGCTTTGAAGCCATGTGTGAGCGTGCCACTTCCATGCCACTTCTCACCTAAAGACCACGTCTAATGGTCTTCTCCCCACAGGCTTCATACGCATCAACCCCTCTACCGCCCCTCTCAACCCGTACGTACATGTCGGAGAAGACCTTCCTCTTTGCTACTGAAAATTGAGTCGCAAGACATGTTCAGGAGCAAATTGCCCTGTTCTGCTCCCGAGACCTGTCTTACAACTTAATCATCTACCTTGAAGAAGCAACGCTGATCCCGAAATGTGCGTAGACCAGGCGCAGCCCCAACCCTAACGACCATCTACGACGAAGCCGCCGCCACCATTCAAACCTCCTCCGCGACCACATCCCCGTCAAATTCCCTCTCCAAGGAACCACCCACACCCAAGCAGAACTCCAAGCGCCGAAAGAAATCAAATCCGTTCCGTATAAAGGCCGCGAAAGAGGGTGTGGTAGGCACGGGGAAGGAGAAGAGGAGGACACAGACCATAGCGGATAGTTTGGATCTCGGCGGCGATCTGCAGATGGATGCGGAGAATGGTGGGAGCAGGGTGGGGGGTGAGGGCGGTGAGACATTAGTTAGGAGGAAAACCGTCGCGACGGAGATAGGGTTGGGATCGGTCCCCTGAACAGCCGTTTGAGCCATGGAAAAGCCAGAAAAGTTGTCTTACACTTTTGGTATCGGGTGGGTGCGAGGTACGTACATCTCGGCGCCGACCCTTCCCATTCGGTAGCAAAATGCAGGCCACAGGCCATCGTTCAATGCCAGAATCCTCCCATGCTCTCCAGAACTCTCCGTCTTTTTTATCTTCTTTTCCCCCTCATTTTTCACTCACAACCGACCCCCCCACATCCCAACAGCGAACCCATCTTCCCACCCCTCTCTCTCTCTCTCTCCTCTGTCCAATCTCATCTCAGTCTTCCATCCCATCCCAACACCTTCTCCCCCCATCCCCTATCATCTACCTACCTACCTACCTACCTACCTACCTACCTACCTACCTACCTACCTACCTACCTACCTACCTACCCAGCCAGCTCATCCGTCCGTGCGCCAATTCCCCTCATCCATCCATGCCAGCCCGCCCCTTCTTCCCACGTGAACGAGACAGACCACCGTGGAAGGGGGGTTGGCATGGCATGGTTGCCGTTTATGGGTATTGTTGAGGCCTGCTGTGAGATCGCGTGGCTAAATTTTGAGGAGGATGGGGGTGGGCTGGTATGGCTGATGGAGGGGGGGGGCGGGGAGGCGGGGAGGTCGGTATTGAAGCTGGCGGGCTGGATGAGGTGGGTGGGAAGAGGGGGATGGAGGGGGATTTGTCTTTTGGGGAGTTTTCAACCACTACGGGAGCGAGAGCATGGTTGGGTACCTTACTTTCGTTTCCAATGCTGAGGTCGGCTGAATTTTCGTCAATCCGACAACAGGTTGACGTTCACATACATGAAGATCACGAGGTCTGCGGCTTTGGGAACACTTGTCATCTTTGCATTAACATTTGTGAAAAGATTTACTGAGAGAAGTATATAGTCGAATGAAAAGAGCTTTTTGAAAATTGGCACAGGAACTTGGCCAACAACAGATGATGAGTGCTCAGCCTCGAATCGCAAGTCGTGTCAGTGTATGGTCGCGTCTCGGTTAGCAAAGAGACCCATGCTAAAATGCAGCGCAATGTCAGACGGCAGCACCAAAGCCCTAGATACCGCCTCCTCCGAACCCTTCGAGGCGCCTTCCAAACTCATTACCCTCCCCCCCAATCTCCGGAGGGTTCAGATTGAATGGCATAAACCACGCACTCGTCTGCAAATCACCCATATACCCACCCGAACCCAGCATCTGCTGTTGCGTCTGCGGTGACAGATCCAGTGGATTATCCCACATCGAAGTGGCCGGATCGCTCAAGCCTTGCTGGTTGCTTTGGGGATCTTGAAGGCCACTGGTCATTGCGCTGAGGGCAGAGGCAGAAGAAGAGCCAGTGGGATCGTTGCCTGCATAAGCGCCGTAGACGAGGTGGCGGTCGAGCTGGGGAAGGAGGGCCGTGTTGGCGGGAGTGGAGAGAGGGAGCATGTCGTAGGCTTGAGGGAAGGAGTTGGAGCAGGGTTGGGGGTAGAGCTGAGGTGGGTGGCCGACAAAAGCGGAGGGATCCATATGTGGCTGCGACATGGGGAGGGGAAGCATGCCTTGTTGGGTAGCATTGGTATGGAAATCTGGTTGTTGGAGCCGCTGCTGGGGTAGACGATCCTCTGGTTGCGAAGCGATCTTGGCGCTTTTCTTGCCGGACTTTCGAGGCTGGGTTGAGCGAGAGGGTGGCGACTGGGTGTGGAAGAAGTCTTCCACGCTTTGGAGGTCTTTTCCGTGACTTAACGTGACATCGCTGTTGGGTTCCTTCTTGATCTGGACCGCGGGATCCTGGTAATCTGTCTCTGAGACGCCGTGAGGATACTTCTGAAACCAGTCTCCATACTGAAAGATAGTATCATCTTGACTTGCCATCTCACTCGATCCTTTCTGGGACGCATCCGCATGCTGACGGTATATGTCCATAAGGTTTTCGGTCATAAAGTGGAACATTCCCCAATGCTTCTTCATCTTGCCCAAATATTTGAAGTTGCTGGCAAGATGTTGCTTGCACGACGCCTCGATGGATTGTTTTTTGGAGAAGATACCCCATACATGTATGGTGCTCGACATGAAAGCACAATAACCAAGGAACGGCGCAACCGCATGATGTTCTGTAGCGTCGTTGATCAAAACCGATATCTGGCTAGCCGCGTCAAGAGCTGCCGGCGCTGCTTCGGCAAGAAAGGATATTGGCATCTCCTTTGGATTTCTTCCTCCCGGGGCAGTGGGTATGGCAAAGCGGTGTAGAAACAATACCACCTGATGTGAAGCTATATGCATAAAGAGGAACTGATTCCCTAGTTTCTCAGCGGCGTGGTTCTTCAGGTTTTCACGAGTATTTTGAAGTTCCGCAGGCAATGATGTCTTGAAGTCGCTGGCTTGTCGTCTGAGCTCAGCATATTGGGATTTGGTGTCCCAGATAGGGTATTCATCCCTCTCTTTCCCTCCCATGTTCAAGTATTTGATGATGCGACCCCATAGGACTATTACGCGGATCATATACGCGGCTACTCCCATGTTGCCTTGAGGGTCAGACAGTTGACCAGTGTCACTCTTCACAGGATTTGGCACTCGACCGTCCAGACTTTGGGTGGGACCGGGAATCTCCATTTGAAAGTTGGATTCTTTGACAGGCAGCTGCACCTTTATGATATCTTCATCGGCAAACATGGGTCGCTCAGTCCCTGAGGATGTGAACCGATCCATGAGAAAGCAGGCCCACATAGTCCTCCTCCTTATTTCCCTATCAGTGAAACTAAGCTCAGACTTGTTCTCAGTCTTCCGTCCCAGCGGATCGTGATCCAGTTCTCGGTGGAGTTGAAGAGCATAAGCCATTCTTGTGGCCATGCCGCCAAGCATCCAGCTTCTTCCACCTTGGCATGTTCCGAATTCGTGAAGACCAAGTAGCAGCAGTACAGTAAGAGTGGTAATATTCGGCTCATCGTAACGACGCAAGGCGATGTCGCGTGCTGGACCAGCCCAACTCTCGCCTCGCAAGAAGGCAGGTTCGGTGTTCAATTGAGGATGCGAAGAAAAGCGTGCAGATACCGCGCACACAGCAAGGATGAGGACAGGAGGCAACGTGCCAGCACTATCGAACTGTTAGCGAAGTAGATGCAAAACGATAGGAGAGGGGCATCGCGCACCGTAACCTGCGCATATAACTTGGCTTGTGTAAAAGATGATATGATTGCCCGTACAGATTGTCAAAGAAAACTTGTGATAGATGGTCCTGGAGTTCTGGTGTAGGCAAGTGCTCTGCACCTTCCGTGTTGACTTTGCTTTCATGATTACCTTGGCCCTTAGGTGGCTGTGCAGTCGGCTTTGAATCTGTCCACTCGTCCAGCTGTGGTCCAAAAGCCTCTTCGACACTCCTCTTCTTTCCACTGTTTGCTTGAGCAGCAGCAGAAGGTTTGATTATTGCCCTTGGTACTGCCTCAGATTCTTCCTTTGGAATTATCTTAATGACCCTTTCCTCCATTCTCTTGAGGCGCTTGTCCAACATTGCCATGTAGTCTGTTCTCGGTGCCGCTTTCCTTGTAGTAACTTTGTAGACACACGGTATCCGTGACCGCAGACAGTGCTTACAAGCTGGCTTTTCACCAGAACATCGTATCTTCTTCCGCCGACAGGCAATGCAGGCCAATGGCAGTCTTTTGCGCTCTTTGCCCGCTTTGGTTTTGAGTTCGCTCCAGGGAGGTTTCTTGTCCGTCTCTTCTTTGGCTTCGCGCTGCCCCACATTCTCGTTGCTCGAGCGGTGTGTCCAGGATGCACGCCCATCCGACTGACGTTTTGTGTACTCTCGTGTGCTGACAGGGCTTGTGGGCTCGGATCCGTCTAGGCTACTGTTTCTGTGACTGTGCCCATTTCTTCCTGCAGCGTGGGAATTTGCTCGGTGACCTTTTTCAGACGTGTTCGAATCTCGCCCTTGAGACAATTCTGAAAACGAATCCGTTCGTTGTTGATCGAATTGGGCCTGAAGTTCGTGTGAGGAGGGTATCTTTCCCTCAAAAGATCCATTGAAATTATGGTTCTGCTCTTGCGCACTGGCAGAGTGAAAAGGAGGCACGAAAGGAGGTGGATACGATTGACCGGATCCTGGAGCCATCATTTGTGCCTGTGCATGTGTAGCGTCGAGGGCGTAGTTTTGAACCTCGGGCATGGCGAATCCACTGAGCGTCTGGGAGTTGCTTCGGGCGGAACGGGAGTGTTGCAACATGCTCTCTGCAGCAGCATACTCTTGAGCCTCTATCGATGGCCAACCTGGAGCGCTGGTGGACGCCATAGCGTCACAGACCTGATATTTGTGTGGTAGTGCTTCGCTCGGCGATACAGACGTTAGATTTGTAGATGATCGCCGATTCTTATGACGTGGGCGCCCAACATCAGGGACGGGCAAACTGAAAAGGAAGGCAACTGATGAATGGTCGGTCAGATATTATGTTTACATTTTGAAATTCGCATAAAAGAAAAGAGAAAAAGAATGAACGTCAAAGTAAAGACATCAATGCCCAGCGAAAAAAGGGCAATGTAAAGGGCTGAAGCGTGGTGTAATCTTGGTGGCGCAACTCTGACAAGCCGAGGCCGCCAAGGCCAGAGTTTCTGGAGTCTGGAAGCCTGAGGGAAAGCGTCTCTTTTCTACTGTACCATAATCACACACAGCATCACATTCATGAGCGAAAAGGGGCCGGCAAAGTCTTCGTGAAGCCGGCCTCGCCAATACTTCTACAAACGCTGTAGCTACTCTACCAATAATCATAGAATGGCGTTCCAAATGCAACTCCAAACGCGACGCTGTACCATACAGAGCTGCAGTCTAGCTTTGCAAAACGGACATGGGTATCAATATTGCTTGAAAAACAGCCACGGAAACCACTAGCTGGTGCAAACATCCACGGCATCTTACCGTCCAACATGCCCTTTCTGTAGGATCTCTTTGATCCACCCTTCAACCAGTCCAGAGTTGCCCTTGACGAGCTCTGCACACTTATTCCTGACCATTTGCATCTTTTTAATCCGATGCTTTGCGGCGTCCTTCAGCACCCTTCCTATAACATCAAACTCAGTCTCATCCTTATCTTGTAGGTATACCGCGTCCTCCGGCAGATAGCTATACGCCGCCACGATCTCCTTGGTCGCAACCAAGGGTGTGCCCCCAATCAGCCCAGCAGGTACGGTGCTGGAAGCCTTGCGATCGAGGTATTGGTCATTGGCGAAGGCGGGTAGGAGCGCGAAGGTGCGGGAGAGAATGGAGTAGTACTCGTCATAATCGAGCGACTCGTCGAAGCTGACGTGCGAGATCAGACCGCTTGGGACTTCAGGGTGAATCCCCTGGCCTAGCAGATGAAGGGTGACGTTCGAGTTCATGGTTCCATCTCTTTCCGATGATCTCGAGTCTATGAATTTTTGGAGGTGAGCAAAGATCGTTTCGTAATTCCGTCTTGTGGATTCATATAGGCCTTGGAGTCCAAACCCAAGCTCCCCTTTGTCTGCGTCGACGGCTGTGGGTAGTTTGGGGAGGTTGACTGGGAAGACTGGAGCAAAGGGTCTGATCGGAGGTTTGGTCTTCCACGTCCTCATGCCGGTCTCCTGGAGGAATGTCGCTGTGTGCTGGGAAAGCGTGATGAAATCCACCAGTCCCTTATCAATCCAAGGGGCCATGAAACTTTGGTGGTCCTCATTCGCCCAATGGTCGGCGTGATGGACGACGCAGAGTAGTTGTGTCTTGCCTTCCTTGAGTAAAGTCTCGAGTTGAGATGCGATCTTGATGCGATCATACTCGCATGTTGTGAGGACCAAGATGTCTAATTTGGTGGCGTCGTCGGCGAGCAGCATGTCAGGCGGTTGGGCTGCTGGGACCGGTTTGGGAAGTTTGAAGTCCTTCATGATCTTCTCAATGCCATAGCGTTGGTTTTGTTGAAAGAGGCTCAGATTCGATCTTTTCTGGGAGCCAAAGGAGTGTACGAACGCTGCAACGACTTCATCGTGATATCCTGTGGTCTCCACGATGGCAATACTTAGAGGCTTCTGGGAGACATCGCTGAGAGGAGACTTGACAGCACCGCCGTCATTGGTAGCGAAGGAGGTGTCCGAAGAATTGGTATCGTCACTGACAATAGTTTCTGAGAACAGCAAAGACTTGTAGGAGAATTGCCTGTTCATGTTACTGCCGAAGAGGAAGAAGCCCACCAGGAAGAGTGCTGCCGCAGAAATGGCCAAGAAGCCGGAGAAACGTCGAGATATGGCCATATCTTGGGGTCTATTACTTTCGTTTTTACAATTGCTGGATGGTTGGATCGTTGAGTGTTCGAAGCCTTACTCTTAGGCTGCGCGTCGCTCATAAAGGTGTGCAGGACATCTGTTCCCACACGTCCCGCTGCCGTACACGAAGCAGATATCCAACACGGGGGATACACTGTCGCTTACAGAAATCGGAGCACTAGAGGGACGCGAGGGCATACGAGCGAAGAAAATGGATAAAACTCTGCTGCTGTATGTGGCAGGTGCTAGGTATTTGAGTGAGCTGACGTTGCAAGAATTCTCGCGCTGGGAGTACTTGGGCGACAATGGCCAGGTGCATTGTCTTATTTTGGGGAAATGCCATGACAGATGAAATACGTACCTTAGTTCTCAAAGGCTGTCGTGGCGCTTGCCCTCTCTTGGCAGGTGGATTCTAACGAAACTAAAGAGCGACTTTCAGGGGCACATTCTCGTACTTTACTCAGGTATGTTCGCGACAAGAATGTAACTTACTTTTAGCCATTCGTTCTTTTTTCCCGATTGAGAATTCCATAAGATTGCAACAAAGAGAAACATTGTTGTTGTATTTTCATGAAGTAACAGCGCGTAAGATGGTACTTTAATGATGATAAAGTAAAGTAACGTTTGCTGATGTCAACGTATCGGTCACCTTGCATTCACAATTTCACATTGCATGAGCTGGCTGCACATTTCACCCGGGGACCCCACTCCGACACCGCTAGCTAATCGTATCGTGCGCTAGTGAAGGTAATTTTAGCTACTTTCTACCTTGATTTCGTGAATTCTCCCCGAAACGAAACAAGCGGAAGTGCGGCTGGAAGTTTTGAAACCCCTCATCATTGGCGATTGCCCCTAGCCGAGCCTGCCAAGCGTAAAGTACGACTCCTCTTCAAATCTAAGGTAACCATGTCCTCAACTTTTCCTGCTCTCTTTGGCCATCGCAAATAGCTCAAACCACCACCTTGACCTCCGCTGACGACGCTGGGGGCCTACATTTATGCTTATTTTTCCGCACCGAACTTTTCCCACACCTCCTCCCCAAGCTTACTGGCCCGCTCTCCCTTCTCCATCGCCCATTTCTTAGCCGTCCCCCAAGCCGTCCGATCCTCCTCCGAGCCCGGTCTCGGAACCTGGGCGTTGTCGGTATAGCCCAAAGATGGCAGAGTGCCGGACCGGTTCTCGTCTCGTTGCTCCGCCGCAAAGCGCTGATCCGGCGTCATGTCGGACGCAAAAGGGTTCTGCACGTAGCCGGGCGGATGCTCGAGGCTTGCTCGGATGGGCATGTCCGGGGGGGAGGAAACGCTACTCGGTGGCGCTGCAGGGTCAAAGGAAGGTCTCATGCCCGTAGAGGTTGTAGATGCGGGCGGGAGACCCTGGAAGGGCGGATCCACCGTCGGCTGCGACATTTGCGGAGGATACGGTTGGGGCTGAGCGGGCGTAGAACGGACTGGCGCGTAGTGCTCCGATGATAATGCTTTCTCGCCAGCTTTGGGCGGGGGTGGCAGGCTGGCCGGCGCGGTGATTGTAGGCGGGGGTGGCACGGGTGCTGCTCCTGGTTGTGGAGCTGGTGGACCATAGCTGGAGTTGTGCGGTATACTGCGCGTAGGGGTCGGTGCTGCTGCTCCAGGCTGAGCCGGTGGGTATGCGTAAGGGGAAGGTGCAGTAGTTTTGGCCGGCTGCGAGGGGGTTATTGCATTTGAGTTGTAGGCTGTCTGTGGTGTGACGCCGCTGGCTTCCGCTGGGCTTATGGGATCTTCGGTGTGGATCGGTATCCCTGACATTGTGGATGTGGCATTTGATGGTCAAGAGGAACTTTGACTTCAGGAAAAAGGGTCAAGGCGCAGTTATTTGCGGACTTCACGTGAAGCAAGGGAGGCCTACTTCTGCCTACGAACATACGTCATCCGGCCTGTGGGCGTTTCAGAGTGGGACAGCAGGTTCAGGGTGAGGATATCTGGCCAGTCGAAGTGTGCAAGCTTATGATTAGAACCAATGAGTCTACCTCTCGTTATGCAATCTATTCCCATGAGACGGACCAGACCGATAAAGGGAAGAAGAACCAAGCGGAGTTGTGACAGTGCAAGATACAGAAGTACATGTGTATGAAAGTCGCCAGCTTGAATAGTACAGCATCAGGAGCATCAGCTGCACCAGCTGAATGATCACCCCCTCACATCTCAACCGTCGCGAAATTTTCACCACGTACCGCAAACCTCAGCCTAGACGGAGCACAGCACCTTACAGTCCACGTCATCCATCTGTGCCGGAATGCAAGAAGCTTTGTAGTGTATCTAACCAGATCCACCCTTGAATGCCTTGCCGAACATGAGCAATTGGACTTGGTCGTAGATCGAAAGCACACCAGCACCAGCGACACCACGGAGGATATTGGCACCAGCACCCTTGAACAAAGATCTAACACCCTCAGCGGCAATAATTTGGCGACCGGCATCAATGGAAGACTTGTACTTGACGGCCTAATGAACGTTTTAGTAAGTTGATCTTGGGTTAGGAGATTTGCAACGGTAACTCACTTCACCAGAAGTCATCATCATACGCCTACGGATAGTATCGAGAGGGTACGAGCAGATACCAGCACCAGTGGTGACAGTCCAGCCGAGCAAGAAGGAGGCCAAGAAGTTACCCTCGAGAGAACCAACCAGGAGAACAGGCTTGAGGGAGTCGTACATTCCGAAGTACAATCCGCGGTAGACGATGATACCAGCGACAGAGGGACCGAAACCACGGTAGAGACCAAGGATACCGTCAGAGGCAAGAGTCTTCTTGTAGACATCCACCAGACCGTTGAATTGACGGTCTCCGCCAGTCTTTGAATTCTTGGCGTCGTTTGCTAGACGAGTACGGGCGTAGTCCAGGGAGTACACGAAAAGGAGGGACGTAGCACCAGCGGCCTATGATCATTAGTTTGAAATATTTATCTATATCAGCCCACTGGTTACTTACACCACCCGAGGCCAAGTTGCCCATCATCCACTTTGCGTAGCCATCACGCTCCTTCTTGAATGCGAACATGGACTTGTAGGTATCACGGAAAGCGAAGTTGAGGGCCTGGGTTGGGAAGTATCGGATAACGTTGGCTGTATTACCACGCCAGAGCGAAACCACCCCCTCATTGGCGACTGTGCGGCTAAAGCACTCCCCGATGCCAGCATACTTGCGGTCAAGGCGTCCAGTCTTCAACATCTCATCCTGTTGGCAAGCAAAGTTCAGTAGAGATTCAAGTCCGGATCTTGGAGTTACAGCCTGTGTGCTACGCAGCTGGTGGTTGACAGGAAAAGGCCAGAAAGACCACCTCAGCCTAAAAACCATGCTAGAAGCTGCTATTGCAAGATGTACAATTCCAAGCCCCAGTGTTATAAATATTCATAGCATTACTCCGGGACGAATGAAGAGATATAGCTTACCTGATTTTGAATGAGGAGCTTAACACGCTCGATAGGAGCAGCAGCGGTTTTTGAGACGGCAGCAGATACACCACCCACTATAACACGCTGTCAGTCAGCCGAAACATTTCTCACTACTCTAATTCGCGCAGTATGTTTGCGTTGGCTGCCACCATCCAGCTCTTGTTCTGATTCGGTGAATCCTATGTAGGCCTAGATGAATTGAGATACGTACTCAAGAAATCCACAACGAAGCCCTGTTATCATAGCTTATATTAGCCTCCTATTCTTGGTGTAATGGGGTGTTATTCTATCTTGCGCCATCACCAGTGCCTAGCCTGACAAGCAATCATCGTGATGAGGACATTGGAATTTCACCCAATCGATGTCGCTTGAGATGGCATTGACATGGCGCGATATCGCGCAAGATTTGATGGGAGCTGGAAACCTACAGGCATGCTATTAAACTGTCAGCTTTCGTTCATCAAACAGTGGCTCAGGTCAGAAGGCAAGCTCAGAGGGCCTGGAAAAGACTCCAAGGACTTGTTGCCGATGCAATCCGTCTTGCATCATTGCAGCACAGATAGTAAGGGATTACGGTGAGACCTACCCCATAAAGGACTTCTTGGCCTGGACCACCTCTCCTTCAGGCATCTCGGCGGTATTTCAAGGAAATAAAGGGTATGAGAAAGATAAATTGAAAGACTGAGTGGAGTGGAGTGGAGTAATTGAGACCTAGGTCGTCGTTGGTGTTCACGAGTGTTGTGATGAGTTGACAGAAGGAAATTTTTGGTAACGGATACCAAGCCACTAGTGCTCTAGTCTACAATGGGAATATAGCTCAAGACGATACTTAATGTCTTCCTCTTCCGGAACCTCCCGATCTCAAAACTTCCATCAAAGACAGACACTATTTGTGTGAACGACTTCTTTGGAGACACCTCCAACTGCAAAGGACTGCCTACAGAATCCGGGTCGAATATTATCTATGTACAATGTTGGCAAGCCAATGATATCAGATCTTAGCCATCGTCAAGTGCTGGATGGCTTGCTCTTCCTTGAGCGTGTCTTTTTCTTCCCTTCCTTGATATCAGTCCTATTGGGGGCTTTAAGCTTCGATTTGTGATCTGCCAAATCCTGACCAGCGAGCACCTCAGCAAGCGTCTTTTGTGGTCCCTGCTCGTTGCCAAAGGTCTCCTTTCTCCACTGCCGTAGCCTTGCCTTTTTTCCTAGCCGCTTCTTATCCTTCTTTTTCTTGTCCGAGTCTCTGAACGCAGCCATCTTTTTGAGTCCTGCGTATTGATTAAGCTGACTGTCCGAGGCCATCAATATATCGTGTGGCGTAAGACCATATGCTATTGGTGAAGTTTCTCTGTAGCGGAAATGACCTGCATGCTTCTTGCTGAAATTGGATAGGGTTTCGTCCACCTTTATGGATTCGTCAACAAGCTGTTCAATCTTGCGGCGTTCGAGCCGGGCCTCCTTTTTGTGCTCGTCCCTTTCGCGTCTCTTGCTGGGCTTTGACTTCGGTTCTGGTTTCGAGACTGACTCCGAGTCGCTGCTCCCATCATTTGCGATCGTGGCTCCACCAGCAGAGGACTCATCATCTGTCATGGAGAATTGGGGCTTTTCGTGTTCTGCTGCATCAAAGTCAAGTACGAGATCATCAATTTCTATGTCGTCCTCCCATTTGGGCTTCGTGATCTTTCGTTGACTCTTCCCTTTCACCTCACTGCTGTCATCTGTATCATGATCGGCATAGTAGTCGTCACCGAAACGTTTTCGCATCTCTTGCTCCCATCGTTCGTCATCCCAGCCGTCATCAAGGAAAGCGGGCCAATCCTGCTCCTGGATTGACTTGCCCCGCAAGCCTGCAGCATCTTTAATTTTTCGAATCTTTTCTTCGACTTCAGAAACCTTCAGCTTTCGGTAACGGGCTTTTTCTTCATCACGAGCCTGCCTTGCTGCCTCTTTCTTCATTTGTTCAGCTTCACGTGCCTTCTTTCTAGGATTTGTGGGTTCTTTCCGCACGGAATATTTTGCTGCGGCGTCTCTCGCATGAGAGAGGAGCTTTTCATGGGAGGCTTGCGGATCTTCGAAGCGCAAATTATACGCCTCCTCGAAGAGCTCCGCTCGACGATCCTCTTCCTCATCATCAGACTCGAATGGCTGAAACTTGGTCCCGGCCGCGGGGACCCATGCTCTCGCGGACATGTAATTGGATAAGAAAGTTTCCGGGTCCTTGTCGGCGGCCTCGAGGTCCACCTCCGGATTCTTAATCTTCAATCGAATGGTTTGACTCTCTTTCTGTGATGCAGAAGGCTTCCGGACCAAAAAGTCGTCGTCACCACCCTTATCCTCCCCAGAGTCAATTTCACTATTAGCCGCGGCATGCATTTCCTTCACTATGACATTTTTGAGATCGTCTTGCTGCTGTGCATAACTCATGGGTCCATCGTCCTGAATTTTGGGGGACGCAGCAACTTCAAGTATGTTTCTTCGGTGATAGTCGTTAAGATACATAGGCTTTTCATGTTTCGTTTTGAGGCCTTTGCTGTCTTGAGCCTCGTCATCTAGGTCCGTAAAGAATTTCGCTTTCTCATCGTAGACGCGAGGATCCTTCCTCCGGATCGCCTCAAGAGTTTCTTGTATTTGCTTATCAAGAGCCTCGGATGCCAGAAACCCCTCGTCATCCTCCTCCTCTGAGTCTGTAGAAGATCCTATGCCGTCATCGTCGTCCTCATTTGGCCCCGCCCTATGCCTAGTTACCGTAGATACGTCGTTGCCGTATTTTTCTTGGACTGTTATGGTCAGTACGTAATCTTAGTAAGATTGGGCAAAGCTTTACTCACGCTTGTGAAGCTCCTCTCTTTTCTTATTGTGCTCAAAGCGTCTGGCAAACTCATGGTTTACTTTGAAGCCGTGACCACCTGTTTCTGATTCGTCATTCCGCACAGACAATCCTCTATCCATTTTGGACACACTGTCTTCCTCGTCGGAGATATCATCTTCCTCTAAGAGTCCCTTCAATCGCTTTGTAGGCCTCTCACTCTCGACTTGCTCATGACGTTTTATTTCGACATCTTTGAGAGCTTGTGAGCCTTTATTGAAGCCCATCTTCGCCATGATATTCAATTCTGTGGCATGTCGGAATCTATGAAGGCAGATGGATGGCTTTTGTGTTCTCAGCCTTTGTAAGGGACATCTGCGATTTGAATATTAGTTTGCCAAAGTGTCGAGAGGGTACACTAGTAACGATGAGGACTGGGGTTACGAACTGGACAACTTGACCGTAAACATTATCCGTCCGTTCAAAGCATTGCCGGAGTCGTGCATTATGATTCGTTGCGTATTATCGAGACACTGCAATTCATAATTTGACGACTCTCGGAGGAACCTCGGTGCGCTAACTAACTCTAGTAGAGCGACTCGAACGCGACGATTGAAACAGCAGTACCATCCTCAGAATTCACACCTACTCATATTGCGATCTCTTAGCCTTCTAGGAGTGCCATTGACTGTGAATGACCAGAATGTACATACGTCTTGCGAAATGTTTGCTGAGTCGATGAAGTCCTCAACGCCTTCCAGCTAAACAGCTTCTTCGAGACCTTACTACTTGGATTTGTGCTCAGTATGGCCGATATCCCTGCCCACTTGGACGAGGGCAGGCCAATAACCCTTCTGTATGAAGCTAATGTATCATTCTTTTCCAACGATCCGCCGGCTAATTCGTGCTAGTCCTGTGGGTTTGAAGGAAGCGGCCCTCGATTCTCCAACATTTAGATCGGGGTTCACTCACTTCTCCGAGCAATTCGACCTCGTGGAGAAATGGCTAGAAGGCTACGTAAAGTGTACTTCAAGGTTATCACACGAAGTTGCAAATTTCGAATCTTTGGTCAACGGATTCCTTACACAGACGACACCGCCTACCTACCTTTCCGAGGCCGTCATTGATCATGACTACACGTTGCTGGCAATGAAGAGATATAGCGAGGGTGCGAAGGAGTTTTGGACGGCAACCATGTCTGGACTTAGGAAAATTCAGGTGAACATAGTAGAACCTATCCGGACTTTTCTCTTGAACGACCTTCGATCGTTCAAGGAAACTAGGCGAAATCTTCATGTCACGCAGAAGGAGCTTGATAACCTGCACTCACGCTACTCCGGTCAAGCCAAGACCAAGGAAGCTTCATCTTTGCGAGAAGACGCCTTCCAACTCCATGAAGCGCGAAAAGCCTATTTGAAAGCATCGATGGACTTCAGTGTCACAGCGCCACAGCTACGAATGGCACTAGACAAGATGCTTGTGAAAGTATTCGCAGATCAATGGCGCGACATGCGGACCCCTCGGCAGAACATAAGCGGCTCTATCGGAAAGTGGGGCAGTGACATTGAGAGAGTCAGAGGTTGGAGTCGTGAGATGGAGAATGGGGAAAAATCCTTCCGACGAGAGCTCCAGACTGCCAGGAAACAGATTGAAGAGAGCGCGGAAGCGGCGTCTCGCCCCTCACGCGAACTAGAGGATTATGCTGTTGGGTCAGCCTCGGCATCCGCGGTCAGAGCGCCTTCTACTACCAACCTGCAAACGCCGGGTGGTAGACCACGATCTGCCAGGTCTGAGAAACAAGGCTGGCTTAACTTGCGGACTGTCTCGGGAAAGCCCTCAAGGACTACATGGCTCCGGAAATGGTTTTTTGTGAAAAACGGCATTTTTGGGTGGCTCGTACAAGGCACTCGATCTGGTGGCGTTGAAGAAAGTGAGCGCATCGGACTTCTACTTTGTAATGTGAAGCCTGGTAATGCGGACGACCGAAGATACGTATTCGAAGTGAAGACCAAAGACACCACTATAGTCGTCCAGGCTGAGACCGCTCCTGAACTAGTGGAATGGCTTGCAACGTTTGAGATTGCCAAACAGAAAGCTCTTGAAGACCCAGCAAGCACGGAGTCTCCCGGTCTCGGTCCTCGGGCTCAAGATCCTGCCTTTGCGATCTCTCCCCCAAGCGCACCAGAATTTGCTGCAAGTGCTGCTGATTCTGGGATGCCACAACACACGGACGACAACTCCGGTACATCCGGACTGGACCGAAGCTCAACTCTCCCTGTGCCTGGAGGAGACCCTTCTGCTAATAGGAGCAGCTTCGATGTCACCAGTCATCGACGCTCGTTCACCGAGAGAGAAGTAGATGTTAGCAGAGATCCTGCGTCGAGAATTATACAGAGGCTAGATCTTCATCGGAAGCCATTGGGAAGTGATAAATCGGCTGGCTCGCTTGCTAGCCCTGGACTTTCTGGAGGCGGTATTGCTAGTCTTATAGCAGCCAGTCACACGTCCATGCCCGTTGGACCTGGAGCGCTACCAACACCTCCGCCGTCCGAGACACCAGTATCAAGGAAATCGTCTGCACCGATTCTTAGCATGCGAGATCTACCTATGAGCACATTAGCCCCCAACACCCTAGCAAACCCACCTGCACCCACGAATCTTAGTGCAGCAGCTGTGATCGTTAATGGCGAGAAAGGTATTGGCGTAGGTCGTATAGATGCGTCAGGTGGTATGCCCAGCGGTCTCATGGCCAACATATGGGGGAGTGCAAATTGGGGTCATCTCAATAGGCTGGAACGTGGTGAGGTAAAATCTCCGCAGGAGAAGCCTATGAAGTTATCAGACCCACCAAGCCCTATGGCTCGCCCCTCGAATGCTTCTTCTGCAAGCGGATCTCCTCTTCACAACGCCGCAGTCTTGGGAGCTAGCGATTCGGCCTCAGGCTCTATTGGACTAGACAAGACTACCGGCATGCCATCAGCACCATTCCCTTCACATCGTAAAACTATCAGCCTTGGTGGGGACGAGAAAAACGAGAGCTCTCAGCTAGACTATCCCAATTACTATCCGCTGCAGCTCAAGATGCAAGACGCGCAGTTCCGACTGTTGTTTCCCAATGTGCGTCGAGATGAAAGACTTGTATTAGTATTTAAGGCCACGTGGAGTCCGAACGAGCAACAAGAGTTTCCAGGAAGGATCTTTGTCACTGCTAAAGAGATTTATTTTTACAGCAATCATTGTGGTTTAACTTTAATCACAGGTGTCGGCCTTGACTCAATCTCAGAGATCACAGCGGCGACGGGAAAAGAATGTGACTTCGTCTTCTGTCATATGAAGAACAATAACAACCAAACAACCGGTTACAATCGCATCACGATCAAGACCTTTATAGAACCGCTTAGTCTGCTTCAGCGGCGACTCAACTTCTTGGTGCGGAACCGCACATCACAAGGGATTGGCATTGAAGAGATCATGAAGACTCTCATTAAGATGGAGCAAGATGATCCGGAAAGCAGCCCGAGCATAGACAGCTGGGAAAACGTATCCATCAATACGCCCACTGATGGCGATTCAACCCCCAGGCGCAATGCATCCCACAGGGATCAGCGAGACCTCAGAGCGAGTAAGGCACCTTTCGTTGTTATCTCTTCCTATTCGAGACTGCTTTTGAGTCGCGAGACATCTTGGAGGAACAAGCTGCCCATTCTGCTCCCCTTTCTACTCCCCAGTTATGTCGTATTACTCAAATCTTATCAATGAGTGGTAATACTTACTCCGAAATGTGCTAGGCGTGTTAATTGACCGAGGGCTGTATGGGAGTAGCGCTCTCCAGCTAGACAGCGCAGGAGACAGTAGCAAAGCCTTCAAACTTCCGAAGCAGCCTATCACATATGCTCCATCCGGAATGGACAAGTTGGTTTTGGAGAGAAATTGGGACATCAGCCCGAAGGCTCTGTTTCATATTATGTTTGGAGATAAGAGTGTGGTATGGTACGTGCAGTTCGGAGCAACTGATCCTTCCTGATTTTCACGAGCTCCGGGTTTCAAAGACCATCTTTTGAGACCAGAGCGCTCTTCTGATTCCCCGATCCTAGGTCACAATTCGGCCTCTTGCCCTGAAAAAGCCATGCTGACTCTTAAATCTGCATAGGCAACTTCTGTATCACGAACGGCGGGCTCGACGTGAGTGGTTTTTGAGACTTTTGGGGCTTTCATTACCACGTAGACCACGCTGACAGCTTCAAAGACATCAAGCAAAAACCGTGGAGTAACCAACTGGAACACGGGTACTTGCGTCGTGATTTCGAATATCAGATCGAGTATCTGGATATTTTGAGTAAGCAGCTCTTATAAGACAATCGCCATTCTCAGCCCCAGCTAACTGGCCTTCACCCAGGACGAGTACGGATTGCCACAGTTGAAGACCACCAGATGGTAGAGGTGGCTAATGAACACCTCTTATATGTTATCTCGGACCGCAAGCGCCCTTGGCATCTCCCACATCGCGATAGTTTCCTCCTGCTCACTAAAGTGGTCATCACTCATCTGGCCAAATCAAAGTGCAAATTGGCCGTCTATACCAAGGTCGAGTGGACTAGACCTCCACCTCTTATGAAGGGTACGTTGCCCATCCGTGGTTCCGCATTCTGGAAACATGCTGACAATGATAAGGTATTGTTGCCGAAGCAGCACTGAAGGGACTTGAGCTTGACGCCTTGGACTTAGCAGACGTGATTGCGGAGCAAGTGAGGAATTTTGCAAGTGCCCATGGTCGAACGAAGAAGGCGATCCAGATCTTTGGCTCGGTTGGGCTCCAGACGCAAGTTTCTTTGTTTGCTGGGAACGATGCGCCATTGACATCGCAGTTGCGGCGTAAAATGAGGCGCCGAACTTTGACAGCGCTCGCTTTCGAGTCTCTTGGTTCGCTTTTGGAAAGTGTCGCCACCTCGGCAGTGCAGATAGTGTTTGACCTTGTACGATGGACCTGGAAAACGATCGACGCAAATAGCGTTCTGCTCGCCATTCTGGCAACGAGTGTCTTCGTCAACGTCATCTTCTCTTCAACGGGCACGTCCGAGTGGTGGAGGGAACGGAAAGCTGGCAATTTTATGACTAGGTTGGGAGTCGGGCCAGACCTCACAATGAGCAAAGCCGTCTACCTGCATGAGATTCATGAATTTAACGCTCTGGAACTTGACCTTCGAGAAGCTTCTAGCAGTCAATGGTAAGTTTAATTCCGAGTCCCTTGTTGGTAGCCGGCAGCAACGATCTTACTGGTCTTGGTGTAGTCGAGATACCTTTAGTAGCGTCATGAATCTTGGAAATGATTATGCACATCAGCAATCACAACAGCTCCCCTCTATGAGACCTTCGCAGACTCCAGCAGCTCGTCGTCTACAGAGGAGCCGAGAACACTTGGGCTTCCAAAGACATGACTTGCTCGTGGCAATGCGAGTGATCAATAACATCGAGCGTGAGATGCTGCAAGCCGAGTGGGAGAACTGGCTCTTAGAAGAGAACGTCAAATGCAAGCATTTAGGGGCTATGCTGAGTCACAACACTACAGGGAAAAAGAACAGTGGGCAACATGTTTTGGATGGCGAATCCAGACACCTCGAGGAGGTCCGGGCGTGGCAGAAGCAATACTGCGACAGCTGTAACAAAGAGCTGGAAACCGTGGTGATTTGAGTGTGAAGCAGGGTCCGGAGAGTAGCAGGAGGACTGAGCTCTAGCCAGAAACCTTGCAGCTCAACTCCGATTCCCCATAAGGAAACTTCGGCCGTTCTCGCTCTAGCGATCCTCCAGATGTTTGATGGCTCGGTGAGACCGAGACATTGGGACAGCGAGTGGGTGTGCGACTGGTGCACAGACCTGCCCACTCATTCTTCGACCTCGACGGAAATCTGCACCAGCAGTGGCTAATCTAGGCGTTCAGTCTGGCAAACATCTAGCAAAGGCCCAGGGAATACTTGTCGTGGCCTTGAGGCCTCAAGCGATGCTTCACCAGAAAACCGATCTTCTGGAAGCTGAGGGCACTTCTGGAGGATGATTCGTCGTTTAGGTCAGGAATGGGAAAATATGATGCAATGCAAGAGGTGTGCAAAGCCCCTGCAGAATAGGACATGTTCAGGCTGTCAAGGTCTGCGGACCGATACATCACCGTTTGTGTGAGCCTAAGGTTTGCGTCAAGAACGCTGTATGAGGCCATGCAAGTATCAACGGCAGGGTCCTCAAACATTCCTAATCTAAGCCTATTGGGTTGAGTTGTGGCTTTCATCCCTTGCCTCCGTGCGCTCCCTGAGACATCTTTCTAGTCACTGATAAGCGCTTGCACATGGCTACTTGCCTAGGATACATCGGTACCAGATTGATACATCACACTGGGTTGTATTCTGATGACAATTTCCGGAAAAGCCTCCGTCTATAAATCTCCAATGTTCCTCCCGAAACAGTGTGTGCCCATACCCATTAGTCTTGCGTTGCTTAGTCATTTCAACCTTTCTTCAGTCATTCTATGGCAGAGCACCCAGAAAGACCTCTTCATGTTCGAGCCGAGACTTATGGTGGCTGGCACACCCAACTTCCGGACGACTCGATATTCGAGTCCACATTTGGACAGATATCATGTTCACAGGGTCACGACCAATCCGCTGAAGACTGTAATATTCGACAGCAAGATGCAGTTGGCTGTTCAATGTCGAATAACCTCAAATTACCGATGCCGACCCATTTTCGCCACCCAATGCGAAAGCTACAGAGCCCTTGGAGCGACGGCTATGACTTTTCTTCAATTGAGTCCGCGCATGTCGGCTTCGGCTCTGATCTAGAGCCAACGGAGCTTGAAGCTAGTCACAGTGCGGTCAACAACAGCCACAGCGAGGCTTTCAAACATCAGCTAGCGCTGGATCAGGTAGAGCCTTCGGGCTTTTATTTGCGCTCTCCAATCTCAGGTCTTTGGCCCTTATACTTGCTACCTCATTGTGTTGAAGGATTCAGCTGATTGTTCCTAGATCTTTCAGCCGCAACCAAAACATCGTTCCCCGGTTTCAATACGGCCAACTTCGAGTCGTATTTTGGCTTCGATGCTTCAACAGCCTCGGCGTATGGTAACTTCCCTGCGGCATCGAGCCCTAGTGTTGCCGATTCTTCACCGCGAGCTCACTTTCGCATATCACCACACGCTGGATCATCTCGTGGTAGAAGCCGTTCTGATGGCTTGCTAGCGGTATCTAGAGCCGAGTACCAATCGCATCTGATCAACAGCACCGTCAACATGCTAGCCCCTGCCTCCCATAGCTCACAGCCATCAGATTCGCCGGAGCTGACACCAGGCATGGCGGAAAACGCCGTCGACTCGTTTTCTCAATCACCATCAACAACCTTCTCAGACTTGGACTTCGACTCTAGGTCTTTTGACCATGCAATGGCTCTCGCAGAAGCCAGCTACTCAGCACAAATCTCAGAGGACACTCCGAGTCACGCTTTGCAAGCAAAGTTCCATCCTGCTAAGCAACCCAAGAGTTCACCCTGCAGGCATCGCGAATCTTCCCCACCTGACCTCTTCGCACCCCTGAATATTACTCCCGTCACCCCTCCCCGTTCAGAAAAAGTCCGCCACCAGTCCCTCCGATTTCCGAACGATCTCTACACTCCTCTATACGTCCGTAACCACGGCATCAAGCGTGAGGGGTGGTGTGGCATCTGCCGCCCGGGCCGCTGGTTAGTACTCAAAAACAGTGCGTTCTGGTACGACAAGAGCTTCATACACGGCATCAGTGCTGCGAGTGGCAGGCGGTTTGAAGAGCCGGTGGAGGTGAGAAGGACGACTGGAAAGGTCAATGGGCAAGGAGAGGGGAAAGGGGTTGGGCAAGGGGATGGATGGGAAGGATTGTGTGGGACTTGTGGAGTTTGGACGACACTGGGAGGAGGGAGGAGAGGAGGTGTGCCGTGGTTTCGCCATGCTTATAAGGTAAGTCTTGAAATTTTGAGGAATTGGGGGGGGGGGAGTTGTGATGCTGATGACTGCAGTGTCATACGCACCCCAAGGTGCAAGATATGCCGAAAAGGAGACGGGAGAGCAAGGGCGAGAGGGTTTCGACGACGATGACGTCTAGACCTGTTGGTAGTGGAGGAGGAGATGATGGCGCTGATGGGGACGCCAAGGAAATCCTGTGATGTGCCCAAGGATTCTTGGACCACCGTGTGTCTGCACCTTCTTTGACATTCCGCTTTCGGGAACTGCTGTCTGGCTGGGTAATAGTCTTGCTGCGTAATTTGTCTCTTGGGCGGTAGTAGTCTTGTTTCATACTATCCTTACATACACACATCAGGGCTTGGTTTTTCTTTACATGCAGAGTGAGAATCTGACGGTAGTAGACGACTTATGGAATGTCTGAATGGTCGGGCTTCTTACCGTGATATGGCCCTCAAAGGGTGGTTTTACCCCAAAATCTTTATATTCTCTGCTCGCCAGTCCCCTTCGCGGCCGCCTTCACAGCGGACGATTGCCTCTTACCATCGATGTGCTTGCCTCCCAATCACTAGACTACTGTCCAGAGTTGTACTTAACGATCGTCTTATGTAACTTCCTCGGAGGCGGCCTAAGGTTCGAGGACCAAGACAAGGATGCAAAACTCACATATTTGTCTGCCCTGTATTTCTCTAGCCGGAGCCATTTACCGACAGTGTTCAAACAGCTGCTCCTCGTAGAGACGTTATCAGGTTGATGAGCAGCAGGATTAATTCAAATTTTGAATACTCAACCCTCTTTACACTGACAGGATCTTACGCTTTATTGCCTTAGTCTTGCCTTGGCGTAGGTCGATTGGGCCTAGCGCCATTCAGCTCAGCTTACTTTATATCGTGCACTTTCACTGTGCAACATAATTAAAGTATCAACCATACGAAGATTCTACATCAACTCAATGATCTCGAGTCCCTGACACAAAGATGCAAGTCATGTGCGGGTCCCTGATTCGCCATGTCAAAAACAGTCAGAAGATGCCGAAGCAGCCCGAGACACAAAACCGCTGGTTCACGCTACCTCGTGAGATACGTGATATGGTCTACCGTGAGGTTCTATGTAAAAAATACTTGGTCCAATGGTCAGCGAGGTGGAAAAGGGGAAAGGCTGTGTTTAACGACGATAGACCTTTATTCTGGTTTAGGGGCAGACACTGGTCCTGGAGAGGACTCTTCTGGATGATTAAGAGACCACTGTTCTGGGCCGACATTGCTCTACTCTTGACGTCACAAGCCATCAGTCAGGAAGCAATCGACATCATGTATGAAGGAAGCTCGTTCTGCGTTTATTTGGGGCAGCAATCGATACGATGGTACCGCATGACCCCGTTACCCCCTCAGCAACTGTTGGCTCGTATGCAAAATTTCGAGATCGGAATGTGCGTGTGTGACACCCTGGACCGCACAGCAAGCGAGACCTGGTTCAAGAATTTCGACGGCAGTCACACCATGCGCAACACCTGCCGCATTTCGTTTCCCTGCTACTACTGCCTACTCGAGTTATACGACGATCATGCACTCTTTTCACGAGCCTGTCGGTCTCTCGTTGGCTTCAAGGCAGTGACCATCACGCTTCAGCTCCCCTGTGCACATGCAGACTTAGAGGAAGAATTGTCAGAACTCTGTAATTCGATGAGGGAAGGTTTCAAGACGGCGTTGGAACCTGACCTTGGGCCTGGCCGTTGCTACGATGTTGAGCACGCTTTCTTTCTGGAGTTCCATCCTCGCAAGTATCTCGAAGATGTTCAGGCAGTTCTGCCAACGTCGGCAGGGTGAGCGCTTGTCCTCGGGGAAGATACTGAGTCTGAGGCTGCGACATGATGAAAGTGCTCCTTTTCGGAGGAACTCGCCAAGGTCAAGCAATGATTGTGGTTCAGAGCTGGAGAACTCGTCATGAGCTTTCCAATAGTACATGAAAATCCTCCGGGGTATCCATCCACACTGAATCCTTTCTCGGCAACGAACACTCGAATGTAGGGTTGTGCTTGTGAAATTTGCAAGACTCTCCTCCCTCCTAATCTGTCACATCAACGCAACTTTCCCACCAAGAAGCATATAACAAAGCGATTGTTGCCAAAGAAATCCGCTTGGCATTATCCATGACCAACAGAGGCTCTACTTGGGCTCTTCGCACCATATCTTCCGCTATCTCGTACTCTGGCAGAGTTCTTGTTTCAGGGGGTAAGACTTATAGGGACCCTTTAGGCGTCGATCACCAGATTCCGGAGGTCAGGTCCCAAAACCTTAGGCGTTCTTAGGGCACAAGTCCCGAGAGCTGGGCGTCAAACTTTCCCACCACCCCGGTTGCCTCTCATCATAAGTCAAGAACGACTGAAGCTACAAGAGGTATCTCCAAAGCACATTTACAATCCATCAAACTATCTGAAGATTCACAGTCAAGGACTTAATTGTATCCTTCATTTTTGGGAAGCTATCGCATTGCCACATCTCCTTTGAACTTCTGTGCCTTGACCGTGCCAGGAATGGGATACTTTTCGCTTTGGTCATGTCAAGTCCGGGAGGCCAAGCAACACAAAAAGGATGGACTGAAGGAGCAGAAAGGTCTGGAGAGGCAGGATATCGGCGCTGAAGTGGGTAGGGTGTCAAGGCGTGAAGGATTTTCAGGACGTTATCGTAGATTAACAGTTGGCCAATCATGCCAGGATAATGTAGATTGAGTACTTTACGATTCTAGGTATTCATAGCAAGATGATGTAAGGGTTCCCCCCTAAACGAGGATCGCCCGGGTAGAGTACCGTACCGAGAAAATCTACCTTAATTAATACGAGAAAATGCCCACCTGAAATCTGGCCTGCTACACGCATACGCCGCTCTTTGCTCTAAATTTGTCCGGACAAACATAAACTCGGTTCGCTTACTCTCAGTAGATTCAAGCCCTCAAACTTACGGAGGTTGCCACCGAAAGTCCTGAACATGCGCTAAAACCCTTGGCATTCTTGGCATTTCTAGCATTTTGGCAAATTTCTTGAATAGCTTCATAATCTACATACGATGTTTCATATAATTACGTATGTACTGATTTGCTCGGTTAGCTGGATCATAGGGCCGCTTATCCCCTCCTTCACGGCCCTCCCGATACTCGTTACCGCCTCGTAAACGAATAACTTCGGCAATATGTCTAGGCATACGCTGCTATCGCTACTGTGCACACAGTAATATCGCAACTGTATACCCCGTATGCATGCAGTAATATCGCTACTATGTACTTCATATGCATGCACTCCATATATATAGCATTGATGTCGCTACTATGCAAAGCATTGATATTTAAGATATTCAAGATATTTGCCAAGAAGAAACCTAAACTCGTTTCACTAACTCTCCGTAGGTTCAGGATTCGGTCAAAACTAGCTAGACGAGAATCCCAACTTTCGTTTTTGGAGGAGAGATCTGGATTGTTCCTGGTTCGGGCGACCCGTCAGGGCGGGGCCCCGTCAACCGGAGTGCTTGGGCGCTTTTGATAGGGCTGAAACATCAAAGCGCTTGTACTGGTACTAATCTTAGTACTCGGAATATATTTAAGGCCCGAGGCGGCCAGACTCAAAATGCAATGAATACGATGCAACGGCCCAATGCAACGCTCTACTCTTTTGGTAGAAGACCATGGTAGACAAGTGGTGGACAGTCTACAGAAGGTGCTGGAAAGAGTCGATCCCGTCCAGAAGATCCTCACCTCTATTGCTTCCATTCCTTGGGCTTTATCACTTTTTTCAAGGCTCCATCCACTCCGATCTCTGTTATCGGGAAAGGTAAAACCCCCGACTTTATAGTCAGACAACGCTCCTTGTCAGCTTACTTGTTCGCTGTCTTCAATTCGAGACTCGTGACAGAGAGCAATGTTAGGGTCGTGATATGTCTGCGTTGTGTCGAGTATAAGTCTGCTAGTCTCCTCCGAAAGGAGCGATTGGTTGCGACCCTTGAGTCTTTCCAACGCAAAACTTTGCTCACAACATATTGCTTCCGCAAATGTACCCGTCAATGACACTCTATTTCGGTCGTATGTCTTATTACCTGGAAATGTGCATCTCATCGAGAGGGAGAAAATGCTATTCGTCAAACGTGGACATGCTCTCCCAATCCTCCATATGCAGTCGCCCGTGTTTTTGCAGATCATTACAATATCCATCGTTCATGTCCATAGGTATCGAGAGTTCCGACTCGGACATGCCCGGCCTCACTGACAGCATGACATGATGGCTTCGCGACCTCCTTAAATGCGTGAGTCTTTACCCCAATGCAGGTAACTCCTATTCTAAGCTTTCGGTACCTCCCTGTCAAAGTCTCATGACACTGCCGAGATAGAGGCGAGCACCGATGATGGCGTGCTTAGGAGAGCGATCCTGGCGCGTATACATCCTCTCCACTGCCCCCAACACAAGAGCCTATCCAATGTCTCTCAAATGCATGATCTTTCAGCCTGGGAAGTTGCAGGTCAATGCTGCAAAAACCATCCATGACGGAGTCTTCATTGCCTGTTGCGACGATCCGCCGCTGCCTCTACAGGGATCTTGACCGGGTCATTCCCATCTACAATCACTACGTCTCCAATACCATCGTGTCCTTGGACCTAGACACCAAACCTATCCTATACATGCAAAAGTTGTACAACTCCGTCCTCGATCAGGATCTGCCCTTCCTCATCGTAACCATCAGCAATGATCATACTCCCGCTCGCAAAGAAGAAGACATCATAGGTTATGCATACGCAAACTTTTACCGCCGCTTGCCTGCCTTCGGCGGTACCGTCGAAATTCTCATCTACCTTGACCCAAATGCCACGGGCCAAGGGATTGGGAAGAGACTGCTGGACGTTCTGATGGTGACGTTGAAGGAGGTCACTCCGGCTACCGACCGGGACCATGGTATCAGGGAGGTGTTGGCGATTGTACCTGTGGATGAAGGGCGTGATGCTAGTGGATTTTTTCGGAAAGGGGGGTTCGAGGACAGGGGATTGTTGAAAGGAGTTGGGTGGTACGTATATTTCGGAGTATATCCTTCCTGTTCGATAGCAGATAGCTTCACTCCTCCGCAGTGTCCTTTTGTTGGGGCTGCATGCTATCTTTTCGGGACCAGAAAGCTTCTTCACTCTCCAGCACTGTCTTTTTGTTTGGGTGAAAGGCCAGGGTTTGGCAGCAAAAGGATTTTTCAGCTCTCTCAACTGGTCTCATTTCTCGGGATTACCTGAAAACAGCGACACTGACTCTGAAATCTACGCAGGAAGATGGGGAGGTGGATTGACACCAGAACTTTTCAACGGTCCCTTGCTGAGGAGCCAAAGGATGGAGAGAAGGCCGTGCAGAAGAAGAGACAGCCAAAGCGACACTGGTGGAGCTCTGTGTTTCGCCGAAGATGACGGCTGGCAAGGCCGATGGTACGGGACTAATGAGAACGGTCCATTGGATACTACACTCCAGAGGAATAGACGGAGAGCAAGGGTCAAGACTTGCAGGGATTCGATGTACAGGGCTAATATGCCGGGCTTCACCGCAGCGGGGAGGTATTCGATTTAGATTCTCACACATAGAAGATCATATGATGTGTCCCCATGTACAATACCCCGACCCAGATCCCATTGCCAAACCCTATCCAGACGCCTTACTCATCCTTGGTCGGTGTTGCTGCCCTAGCAGGCTTGCTGCTTCGGTCGCCACTTGCGATGGAGAGACCGTGCAATATGTCACGGGCGAACTCATAGACCATGTAGCTGGGGAAGACGAGCCATAATCCGCTACCGACGGTGTCAGCGTCGCTCCTTGAATGCAAAATGGGGGACGTAGGACGGAAAACCCACTTTGGGATGATCCACAGGAAGAGCAACGACAGCGCATCATTGTGCCCGATATTGTCGAAGCCGGAGAAAAACTCATTGCACCCTTCCCGACCTCATCAGCCCCGCCTTCCCCACACCCCCCCAACCGGGGAAAAAAAAAAACAGAAAAAGAAAAAAACCCCAACTCACAATAAAGCACCGTCTTACTCACCGTCATCACGCTCACCGCGAACCCCACCAAACACGCCACCCCGCCCCACCCACCCCCCACCACCCCACCCTCCCCACACCGCCACACCACCCACAGGTACGCCGCGTAGCCGACGCTCTCCACGACGTTCAGCCCCGCCTGCGCGCCCGTGAAGCCGTTGCGCGCCTCCCACGCCTCGGCCCCGTACATGTGGTCGACGCGGCCGTAGAGGGCGTAGGGCAGGAAGAGGGGCGCGTGCAGAGCGCCCCGGGGGGCCATCGAGTGGGGGCGCAGCAGCACGTAGGCCGTGTCCCAGCATACGAGGGGCAGGGAGACGAGGAGCCAGAGGAGGGTCAGGGGGGGGGGGTGTGGGTCCAGGGGGGGGGGGGGGGGGGGGGGGTGGTGGGGTGGGGGGGGGGAAGGTGGTTGGGTGGGAGCGGGTTGAGACCATGGTTTTGGTGTGGTTGGTTTGGTTCGGGAAGAGGGGGTTGTTGTTGGGGGGGGTGGAAGGGAGTGGAACGGAGTGGAGTGGAGTGGGTGATGATGCTTTGTCGGTCTTGGAATGGGGCTAGTACTGATCGGGCGACGTGCATTGATCCCTTTTTACGGCGGATGTCTCGTCCTCGGGGATGCGCGGACACGGTGCGGTGTGACAAGCGCAATGTTGCCTGCGGGTTGCAGAGGGCACGATCTTCGTTGGTGCTATGTATACACCACCCAGTCAGGAATTCCAAGGAAGTGCTTCCGTCACTCGACAGGCCATTGGCGAGAGTGACTTGTTGCATTGAGTCGGGTACCTTTTCAGGCTCGGGAGGCATGAAATCTGGCAGCTGTGTTGGATTCCAAGCTCTGTTATCTGTTTCTCAATGCTCGAGATCCGCGGGGTTTTTCAGAAGGGTTCATGATTGGGTCCGTGGTTGACGGCATTCCTGGCTCAAAAGAGCTAGGTTTCTCGATTTTCCTGGTTGTCAGGCTCGTGTTTGATGGCATTTTTGGACAGCAATGAGTGGTCCTGGCTTGTTGATACAATATGGACTCCCAAATCGAGCGCCTCAAACCTTCTCACTGGGGCAGCATTTGGATGTGGTCCGCGATAGCATACATAATTCTCCGAACGCTTGCTGCCTTTAATATTGCTAATTCTTTTCAGGTCAGAAAGAAGCGGAAGATCCACTAATAGTACTATCTACCGTCAAGAGCAGCCTCAACTCTTCAAATCGTTCCATCCCCTGCCAAAATTCGGTATGTCGGTTCCATTATCTCACCTTTCGATGCCTGCTTCACTGGCCTTGTCCTCATCCTTCGAAGTACTCACAATCATGACGCCATCATCAACGCACTCCAGCAAGTCATCCAAGCAAGAAGTGCCATCAACGTCCGAAAACGGAAATCCTACTAGAGCTCCTAGAGATGAATGCAAAGGATACATTTTTATTTTGATAACGATGCTCCTGTTGCTGGTGGCATTCATAGAGAATATGCAGATTCAAGACAACTGGCTGTCCAGCGCCAGACACCAACAGCAGGTGGCTAAAGTGCAACGCTGGCAGCAAGAGGTACCTGAAATGCAGCAAACACAGCAGGACTGGCGGTCTCACATGGAGAACAATTACGACGAGTTGCAAGAATGCAAATCTAAGCTTGAAGAAGCAGATAGCAGATTGGAGAAGACGACGCTCTCCAGCTCCAGCGTGACCAGTTTGACTGGGGCTACCAACATGATACCCTTGGAAACGTTGAGATTGGCTTTCCAAGAGACTGTGAAATGGAGGTCATGCGCCTCGGGAGAGGTTGAGTCGGTTGAGGTTCAAGGCAGTGACGGCAGCCGTATGATATGGTCATGCAACAGAAGCAAGCATTAGAGGTTCTGGGCAGATCTTCGCGGAGTCTCGTGGTGCGGAAACGGGGATAGACGCAAGATTTTTTTGTGAGAATGGTTGCAATACAAGAAATTCCGTGACTGAATGGTCATGAGTCCTGAACACTCGGACCGATAGACAGAAATTGCTACAGTCCATTCTGAAGGTGCATAAGCAACGGTTGTATCGTTGTCGTCGCCGGCTCTCCAACATGCTAGGGTCCAGGCAAAACATTGCAGCAAAATACAGCAGCTAGTATTGGTCGATCACCAGACGACCCAACTACTTCTAGTATAGATGGAGAATTTACCTAGTATGCGGAGAGCACACCGTGTGATCTACGCAATCAATCAATAGCTAGGTAACTTATAGAAGCCAACTTCTCGGCGAACATTGGATGCCTGGCAGACCTGCAGGGTCTTCTCACTCGAACCACGAGCTCACAGGTCGGACAGGAAGCCACTCCTAATCCGGACTCGCTTCCATCGTGATCTCTGAGACCTCGGTCCATGCAAAGAAAGACGTGAAGAGAGAACAATGACGACTTTCGTGCGTACGCAGGGGACGGGACCATATGACGGGCACCTAGCCTTCTACAAGTGTTGAAATCTCTCGTAACAGTGCAAATCTTGCCATACTTTCAGACGCCACCGTTGCCAGAGCCGTGGAAAGTCGGGTACGACCATGGCTCCTGCAGGATCTCCGAAGCTGTTCGGCTACAGGCAGGACTTGCCTTCTCCGCGACCGATCTCATACTCCTGGGTCATTGCCGGCAAAAATTGACATAAGCGAGCGGTGATCTCGAGCTAGCAGCGGGTATCCTGAGGGTATTGTGTCATTTGTGTGTTTCTGCGAGCGGTGGTGAGGATCTCGTCTGAAAAAGGCCCTTCGGCACTCTTTCCAAGAGCGGGGTAGCAATCTAGATTCCACGTCGTCAAGGTACTTATCACATGTGGCTTTGACCATGATTCAGTGGCATCATATAAGCTGACTGCATGCACATTTCCTTTCATTTCATACACCGAAATTCGCACCCCCTGCACACACATATGTTCCCAAGCCTAGTTTCCGAAGATAGTCGCGTGAAGTACGTGGGGTACTACTAATAATACTTCTGGTAGAGCTAGTAATCTCGCCTAACTTCTAGTATGAGACTTTGACTTTTACCCCTTGTCTAAGGTATCTGATTCGTCAAATAAAGGAAAAGATGTTTAGTCAGCGTTTCGCAGCGCATACTAAAATCTATTAAAGATCTTACTTCAACGTACAGCCGAGGGTACGGAAAGCAAGCAAGGCGAAGACAAGGGGAAATATTTGCAAATTCGTCTAATTGCACGGACGTCTTCTTCTTTCAAAGAGCCGCACTAACATGGACGTCATGCAGAGGCGGGGTGCATATTTAGTCGGCCTCTCGGTCATGAAGGTGGGCAATTTTGTCCAATCGAATGTGCAGATTTCTTTCGAACTTTCCATGGCTTTTCCAGACCTCTTGGCAAGTTGGCCGTTAAAAAGGCCTTTTTACCCGTGCTAGATCCCGTAGGCTTGATGTCCGTCATTGATCACATAGTCCGAACTCAGAGATCTTCACTTCAACCTGTCACTCCAGGGAAAATCCTGCAACCCTGCAACTCTGTAAGCCTGCAATCCTGCATCCCGTCTCGAATTACGTCCCGAGGGTGTCTCGACCACGACGCCTTTTGTTTGACGCGAGTCTCAAGACCCCGCTTCTCTTGGCGGTCATCCGACTTTGCTGGCCGCTGGCAGGGGCGTCAAGAAGGATAGAGGATGGGGGAAGAGGATGATGGAACCCATGACGCTACAGTGACGGCGGGTGTAGTAAATGATTAAAGATTAAATGAATTAATTTGGCCTTATGCTATGAACCCGGGGGGTCGGGGCAAGGGTCAGGAGATGGTGGCAGATGTTAAAAAGCTTAGAAGACGGATCATGCGGGTGTAAGCAATGCGCGAACATGGATATGGTCTGGGGCGGGGTACTCTAGTCACTAGTCTTCCCTACCTTTAATTTTGCACAAAAGCGTTGGTCGTTGTCTGGACCAACATGTCCAAGTACCGGCCGAACTGAGCGACGTTGAGACTCACTTCAAAGGCTCCGGGGTGTTTACAAAGTTTTATAATATTTTAATATTCATGCAGGAGCCAGCGAGCTTGATAAATGCGCCGTCTCATCATTCTCGCATAAGTACGTAGGTACATCAAATATCAAAAGATTGCTATAAAGAGCTCGACCGATGCCCATTCATCTGTTGCATCCCCATCACATTGCCCTTCCTCACTTCCATTTACACGTTGACGATTATTAGCTGCACGTAGATACCGCCCCCCATCATGTGGCTTGCGCCTTTCTTCCTGCTAGCGACGAGCTTCGTCCAACCTTCAATACAACAAGATGGGAACACTTCAACCACATACCCCGGTACAACATACCCCGACGCCGTCTCTCCCAATCCCGCAGCTTCGGCTGATGCCACATTCTCACCACCACACTACCCTTCGCCATGGGGATCAGGCGCTGGAGATTGGGCGAGTGCCTATAACAAGGCTACCGATTTCGTCAGCCAACTCACCTTGATGGAGAAGATCAACCTGACTACTGGTGTTGGGTAAGTACAATACGCCGAGCAAAGGATCATGCCCGAATCCTAACGAGAAGATAGCTGGCAAAGTGAGCGTTGTGTCGGTCAAACCGGAGCTATACCTCGACTTGGATTTCGAAGCTTGTGCCTGCAAGACTCTCCGGTTGGGGTCAGATACGGTACGTATCTTGCATGCTAGGCATACATCGTGGCCCTGCTGACGGTGAGAAAAGCGGATTTCAGCTCTGTCTTCCCCGCCGGTGTCAACGTGGCCGCAACCTTCGATCGAGGTATCGCATATGCTCGAGGGCAGGCAATGGGCGCTGAACACCAGATGAAAGGCTCAGACGTCCAGCTTGGACCTGTCGCTGGTCCCCTCGGCCGTTCACCGGAAGCGGGGCGGAATTGGGAAGGTTTCAGGTGGGATGGTACATTGTAATGCTGCAGGGCTTGGCTGAAATTCCAATCCAGTCCCGATCCTGCCTTGACCGGCGTCCTGTTCGCCCAGACTATCCAGGGTATCCAGAGCTCTGGTGTCATTGCCTGTGCCAAACACCTTATCGGCAACGAGCAGGAGCATTTTCGTCAAAGCCCCGAATCTGCTGGCTTTGGCTTCGACATCAGTGATAGCATTAGCGCAAACATCGACGACGCCACCTTGCATGAGCTCTATCTATGGTAAAGCTCTCGTGGACACCCGGGACATACCCTCATGCTAATTCTCTCCAGGCCATTTGCGGACGCGGTCAGAGCCGGTGTTGGTTCCGTCATGTGCTCTTACCAACAAGTCAACAACAGCTATGCCTGCCAGAATAGTTACATCCTCAACTACCTCCTGAAAGGCGAGCTGGGCTTCCAAGGATTTATCGTGAGCGATTGGGCGGCGCAGCACTCCGGTGTCAGTTCTGCAATTGCAGGCCTTGATATGTCAATGCCTGGCGACACTGTCTTCAATAGCGACCATTCATACTGGGGAGCGAACTTGACCGTTGCCATCCTCAATGGCACAGTACCGCAATGGCGTCTCGATGATATGGTCACCCGGATCATGGCTGCTTGGTACTACGTAGGTCGTGATACCACGTCGATTCCCATCAATTTCGACTCCTGGACTACCGACACCTATGGCAACGAATTCTTTTACGCCAAAATGGGCTACGGTTTGATCAATGAGCATGTTGATGTGCGTCAAGAGCACGGGAATCTCATCCGCGAGATTGGCTCCGCCAGCACTGTCCTTCTTAAGAACACCGGAAACACGTTGCCCTTGACAGGAGAAGAGAAGTTCACTGCGGTCTTTGGAGACGACGCTGGTGATAATCCTTTGGGTCCCAACGGGTGCCCCGATCGAGGCTGTGACAACGGTACTCTCGCCATGGCTTGGGGTTCCGGAACTGCTAACTTTCCATATCTTGTAACGCCCGAGACTGCCATTCAGAATGAGGTTGTAGGTAATAACGGCGTGTTCCAATCGATTACCAACAACTTTGCTGCGGGGCAGATTCAAGCGCTTGCAGGTCAAGCCAGCGTTGCCATCGTGTTCGCCAACGCCGACAGCGGTGAGGGATACCTCGACATTGATGGCAACATTGGCGATCGCAACAATCTCACTCTGTGGGACAATGGGGACGACCTCGTGACCAGCGTCTCCGCTCTTTGCAACAACACAATTCTAGTCATTCACTCAACGGGCCCAGTACTCATCGGCAACTATTCGACGAACCCAAATATTACCGCCATCCTCTGGGCTGGAATTCCCGGCGAACAGTCTGGGAACTCTATTGCAGATGTTCTCTACGGACGTGTCAACCCAGCCGCCAAGCTTCCTTTCACGATGGCTAAGGCTCGCGAAGACTACGGGACCGATATCCTCTATATTCCAAACGAGGGTACAGGCGCTCCTCAAACGAACTTCACTGAAGGTGTCTTCATCGACTATCGTTCTTTAGATCGAACCAATACCACTCCAGTCTACGAATTTGGATTTGGCCTGAGCTACACCAAGTTCTCTTACTCGAATCTGCAGGTCAAGAATATGCGTAGCATCAGCGTGTACACCCCTTCGACAGGCTTGACCACTGCGGCACCAACGCTTGGCAGCATCTCCAACGATTCAGCCGACTACCTATTTCCTTCCAACATGACTCGGATTCCATACTACATCTACCCTTACTTAAACTACACTGATCTTGCAACTGCGGCAAACACAACCGGCTACGGCGACAATAGCTTCGTGAACGCTGGCTCACAGGATGGTTCCCCACAGCCACTGATTGCAGCAGGGGGTGCACCAGGCGGCAATCCAGGGTTATACGACGTGCTCTACGAGGTTACGGCTACTATCGCCAATACCGGCAGCCTGGGAGGCGCCGAAGTGCCACAGCTGTACGTCTCACTCGGCGGACCCTACGATCCTAAGGTTGTACTGCGGGGATTTGAGAAGCTGTCAATTCAGCCAAATATGAGCACAACGTTCACCGCGGATATCACTCGTCGCGATATCTCCAATTGGGACACCGTGTCCCAGGACTGGTTCATCTCGAATTACACTAAGACGGTGTATGTGGGAAGCTCGTCGAGGACTCTGCTACTGTCGGCGACTCTGTCGTGATCGAGAACCAGTTCCTGCGAAGTCAAAACAGAAGCTTGAAAGTAATTGTGGTAATGATGATGAAAGTTGGGGATGAAGCAAGCGTATCCAAAACACATACATCCATGGTGTTCGAAAGCTCTTGAGCACTTCTTAACCACGGAGCCGGACTGAACCGCCAGGAAAGTTAGATGCGTCAAGAGGCAATGACTTTAACATTCTGTCGGACCTTGCTCGCTGTAAATAGGAACAAATAAACCTCAGGGCCGAAAACCCCGTATCTCTATATATTGTTGTACCCTTTGTCAAACCCTGAGTTGTGCTACACCCCCCCCCTGATTTTTAGGATTCAATTTTACCAATCCCGAGTTGTGCTACAACCCCCTGATGTTTAGGATTCAATCCTGCCAATCCTAAGTTGCGCTACAGCTCCCCCAAGCTTCGAGCACCGAAGCCCGTCCCCCCTTTCCCATCTCCACCATCCCTTCCTTTCCCCCCTTTCCCGACCGACCGACCCTCAGCCGATCCGCCCGCCTACAATCCAGCCCATCTCGATGAGTCAGTCCAACCCGGAAAACCATCGACTCCTCCTCCTCTCCGCTCGGTCCAAGAACACCCATCGCTAACCAATCCCCAACGCATGAAAAAAAAAAAGCTCCCTTCCACACAAACTGAGCAAGAAAGTTCCAACCCGTCACCGCGATTTCGGCGGACGGTCCCTTTTTCTCACCTTCCCACTCACTCCGGGATCCCCTGGGGTGGGGGGGGGGGGCTTTATTCATTTGTTTGGGAGGTTGCGATTTCGCCCCCGTGGTGGATGGATGGATGGATGGATGGATGGCGTGACCCCTTTTTTGGATCCGGTCGTCGTTGGAAGGGGTGGGTTTGGGGGGGTTGGGGGGGGGGGGGGGGGGGGAGTTGGGCGGTGGATTGTACTTTTGTTTGTGTTTGTGTTTGTGTTTGGACGCCGTGGGGACGGACCCGTCGAAGGTTCATAGGATCGGGTTGACCCTCTTTTTGTTTGAGATCGTCGAGCGCTGCTGCGTCTGACGCCACGCTACGCAATGCGTTTTTTTTGCTTCTTCTGCGGTCTGCGGTCTGCGATCTGAGGGGTTGGCCGGTGGAGAGGGGGTGGGAGTGGGAGTGGGAGTGGGAGTGGGAGTGGGGCGGTAAAGGCGGTCGGCGGTTTGAGTTGGTAGATCTACTTTTCGCCGCTGTTTCTCTTTCGGGGAGGCTTTTGACAATCGACGTGCTGAGACCTTTCGTTTTTGGGGGGGGTGGTTTTGGGTGTTGCGGTGGGAAAGTTTCTGGGGTTTTACTTGCTCGGGTTCCCCTTTGTCGACACGACGACGGCGGTCCGGCGAGCTGTGATGGAAATTGGCACTTAGTCTGGGGGGTTGGAGTACCATATTCGCTCAAACTTTGGGCTTCACACCCGGACCGGATGTCATTCATGCTTCAGCTTGAGCCTCAAACAACCCAAAAGCATCCCCCACTCCTCGTCGATGTGGAGCTCGTCGACATTCAAGGCATCCGTACCGCTTCGACACCGCCCACCTTTCTCCGGACGGCCTCGCCCGCACCGTGCCCCGGATCCGCTCCGACCCGCGAACCCATCCCCATCACCGACATTTCCCGCACCCGCCCTGCCGAAGACCACGACGACGCGGCAGGAGACGGATCGACCCCCCTTTCCTCCCCTCCCGACAACTCGCCGGCCATCCGTCCCGAGAACCATCCACGGGATCACAGCATCAGCATCGTCCTTCTCAACCCTCGCCCTCGGATCCCGATTCGCGACGGCCGTCGCTCGCCACGCCGGTCCCGGGTCCATTCCATCTGCCGTGGTCGACCAAGGAAGGGGTTGAACGGGGTCGTCGCGCCGGGTCGGTCCGGAACGACGAGTCGGGCCCTTGTCGTAACGCTTTTCGGTGGTCGTTCTCATCCTCCTCCTCATAAACAGGCAACCTTCTCCCTCCTCTCCTCAGCGTACAATCTTCGGCCGCCGGCGTTCCGACAAGCCGGCCGCTCCCCTCGCGATCAACCTACTCGTCGCCATCGTGGTTGCGTTCTTCGCGAATCACTTTATGGCGTGGGCGGTCTGTCAGGTCTCCTGGACGGACAGGGTGGGCGGTGTTCCTACCCCCGAGGTGGTGACTTCGCCGTGCGTCGGCGCGGAGCGTGGCCGGTGAAGGTGTTTGCGCGTGTGGCGGTGGGGGCGAGCGTTGTTTTCGGGTGAGTCGTTGCCTCCTCTGAAACCGGCCGAGTGGAACGCTTGGTATCCGGATTGGGGAAAGAAGCCGGTGCTGAATGTCTTTTTTTTTTGTTTTTTTTGGTTGGCACAGTGTTATCCGTCTTGTGCTGTTCGGTGCGAGATGACGCGTCGCTTACGGCTCGGGGGCGGGGACGCTGCTCCCCGTGGCGGTTACTTTGAGGTTTCGATCCAGTTCCTCCGGGAGCCGGGGGGTGAAGCGAGGGAGGGGAATGGCTGAGTGCTGCTGGCGTACGGGTGGAGATGGGCTTCGAGCTGGGGGGGAATTGAGGGCTAGGGAGTTGTCAGTGCTGACTGCCGTTGTGGTGACTGGGGGTCGATGTCGAGCGCGTTTTTGGAATTTGAGGAGACTTGGACGCGAGTAGAGTAGTAGCAGCAAATGAAATGGTAGCAAATTTGTAATGAGTGGCAACAATGTATGGCATATTGGCCGGGTGTCGAGGGAGAAGGCTGTTGACCTCTTTTTCAGTGACATTGCAATGTTCTAGGAGTGGAGACGCTGGAATTTTGTAAGAGCACATGCAATAAGAAGAGCCTGTGGACTTTTTCCGTGCCCGCGTTGCTGGATTATACACCCGGGATGCCTATGATGTCCCTCATGGCCGGCAACGCTCGGGGGAGGAAATACACGACGAACACGCCTAGAAAAGCTGTCAGGAGTCCTGTGAACTAGCAGGTGTCAGTACGACATTGTCAACGCGTAAGATAAAGGACCAACATACCTTCTCAAACCAGGTATGAAAATAAGCCGCGGTCATGAGCAACATCCACCAACTCAACCCGGCCACGACCAACGGCGCCCCGATACCAGTCTTCCACTCCCCCTCCCCTCCCTCACCCTCCCCTTCCCCCAAAGCCTGCCTCTCCGCCCTCACCACGGCCCCATCCCTCCCCCTCAACATCCTCTCCTCCCGCAACCCCTTCGCCCCCACCAACGCCGGCAGCACCTCCAACCCCAAAAACAAACTCCCCAACACCAGTATAAACACATGCCCGCTGATATCGTGCCCCCCCCTCCACTGGCCCCCCACCGCCTTGCAAGCCTGGCCCGTCACAAACTCCCCCGCGCCCCCCGTCCCCTCCATCGCCCCCGCCCACTGGCACGCCCCGCCCGTGACCCGGAACCCGCGGTCCACCAGCCCGGGCCCGAAGAACCACTGCGTCACCGCGCCCCACCACAGCGTCACGAGCCCCCAGCGCAGCGCGCCCCGCAGCCGCCGCGGCGTCAGCGCCCACGGCCCCGGCCCCGGCCCCGTCGAGGGGTGCAGCGCGAGGAAGGGCACGAAGGCGAGCGTGACCCAGAACCAGGCCACCTTGACGAAGAGGACGTTGAAGAGGTTGCCCTTGCGCGCGAAGTAGCTGGGCGCGGCGCCGGCCGGGTGCGACTGCGTGACGGGGTCGTAGGGGGCGTGGCGCGCGCTGGGGTCGAGGAGGGAGAAGAGGGAGCCGAGGAGGAGGGTCGAGGGGTAGAGGCATAGGAGGAGCGTCTCGAGCGGGGTGGGGAGGAGGGACGCGAGGTAGCTGGATGGGTGGTGGTGGTGTTGTGGTTGTGGTTGTCGTCGCTTTGGACTCGTTGATGGGGGCTGCTTGCGCGTGCTGCCGTTGCGCCTGATGGGCGTGGACGGAGAGGAGGCCATCGGGACTTTTCGATGTTGTGTTCTTAGTGGTCTGGGTGAAGATGCGCAAGAAGTGTAGGTGCCATAGCGAAATTTGTCATTGATGAGTGTCAAAAGAATTTTGCCGCGTGCAGGCAACTCGGTTGACCTCTTTTGGCGCTAGGCTTCGTCCGTCGTTCGCTACGTATTTTCTTGATATTGGCACTGAATGCGTCTTTCCGCCTTCAAGCATACTCAGGACTCACTCGTCATGTAGGATATGTTCCACTCCTAAATCGCGGAGAATAATTTGGCAAAAGATGATTTCGCCAAAATGTAAGCCGTGGCCCTCCCAAGAAGTTGACCCATACCAGACCTGAACATCTGGCTCATGCAGAAACCCGGGCATAAAGCCTCTTCTTCGCATAGTAAAAATTACCTCACGGTATCGTGCCCATAGCCAGCCCAATGTCTCAAGTCCCTTTCAACCTCCCCCATTCAGGTCGAGTCTCCACACCATCGTCCCCGACAACCTTGCCCCTGTCCCATTCTCTTCCTTCGCCCCGTCCCTTCCACTTGACATCCTCCTCCCTCTTCTCTCCGCCCGTCTCCCACTTCTTCACCTCCGCTTCCGTAAAGCCCGCGGACTTCAGCCGCTCAGCCCCTAGCTTTTGCCAACGCTGGCGATCCCGGATCGCTTCCAATGCCTCGTCCCAATCATCGTCCATTTCCGGGTCAGGGTGAACGTCGACCGATGGATCATAATTTGAAGAGAAGTGTGAGTCCATTGCGGAGGAAGACGAGAAGTTGCCACGGCCGCGTGCCTGAACTTTGGGAGCCGGAGGTGGGGGTGGCGGGCCTATGATGGCATCTAGGGGATCAGAGTCTGAGCCTAGAGACGTGGCTCGCTTTTCCCCGTTCGCGTCGCCATTGGCTAAACAGCTGCGTCGTGCTTGATCCCCGATCACTCTCCATGCAGAGCTATCGCGCCCATTGCTGTCTGTGGTAGCGGATGAGGAGTCTCTGGCTGAGCGGGGTGAGCGATGGTGACGCTGACGATTATTTCCGTCTGATCGGGGTGAAGGTCGTTGCCGTGACCTGCTTCGCCTCCGATTCTTCGTGCTGCGTCGGTCGTGCTCATACAGCTCATTGTCATCGGGTCGAGGGTGGGTTCGATGGTGATGCCGATGCCGGCGTTTGTGATGTCGTTCCTCCTCGTCATCCTTGCTACCATAGCGGTCATCGAGGTGCTTGTGGCTGGATGCGTTGCTTCGATAAACTTCACCTTTATCTCGCCCCGAATGTCTGCGTTCAAGGTGTCGCCGTAGATCACGCTCCCCTTCATCTTCACCATTAGTCCGCCGTCGCTTTGAACGGTGATGACCTTCGCTGTTCAGTCGAATACTGGAGTCTCTGGGGCTTGATATCCGTGTGTCGCTATCACGGAAATCTCGAAGACGTGCCCGCGATTCTTCGACTTCCTTGGTCCGTAAAGCAGCATTGTGATTGTTGGTTTCTCTGATGATGTTCTTCAGGAACCTTGTGTTGGGCTTGGGTGCATTGAAAGTTGATCTGTATAAATTAGCCATCTCACACAACATTTTATTTGGACAGAAGCTCGCCTCCGGGGTAAATGCTCTCGTAGACCGTAAGCTGAGTACTTCGCATTGCTGGCCTTTGCATCTTTGGCGAGGAGCTGGGCGACATAGTCATCCGACAAGGGCTCTGAGCCTGACATGGTAGACTTGAAGAATGGAAAGAAGAATTGAAGGAGAGGATGCCTCCATAAGTATTAATCAAGACATGCTATCGACAATGCGATGAAGTGAAGCCAAGGACAAATGGTTGGCTAATCACAGAATCTGCATGTCTTTCGCATGCATGTGAAACGGAGTGCATGTGACGCTACCGATACGCCAAGACATTACTGATAAGATAAGATTAGATTAGATTAGATCTAGCCTCATCTGGACGCCAGACGAACGGTAAACAAAGGTCGAAAAGTCTCCTTCCCGTGGTAACTTGCATCTCGTCCAGGGCATACACAAGATGGCAGATCCTCAACGTGTCGAGAATGTTTTACAAGGGATTCGCTCTTTGCAGGATATCTCCCTCTCTATTATTCGCCTTAGCGAACCCATCTCCGCTACTGCTACTTCCCACCGCACATCTGATGTCTCCACCTCCGCTTTCGATAACCCGTCACCGGAATCTCTAGAAGCTGACCTGAGGCACTACAAGGTACATACTCTCCATTTCCCTGACTACGCAAAATTTTGAATCGAACGCGCGCACAGGAACTCTTCTCAAAACTCCGTTTCTCCTACCTCGAACAAGTAACCAAAGAGAAATTCCTCCGCGCCATCGTTGGCGACCCTCCCCAAATAGTCGAGCATACTGAGAACATCGAACTCGAAAGCCAGCTGGGGGAGATCAAAGGCGTGCTGAAAGCGCAGAAGGAACATGTAGGCGACATGGTCAAGGAGTTAGACGCGCGAGGAAGGGATTTGAGCAGGCGCTATGAGACCATCTCATTGCAGACGACACTGCTCTCGTCGCTGCCGCCACAAATTAAGGCTTTAACTCAGACGTTGGCGAGACTGAGGAAGCAGAATCGATCGGCAGATACGGACGAGACGAATCCAGCGCTTGCTATGCCGTTGCCGGCGACGCTGGAGTTGCTGGACGAGAGGCAGGCTAGTCTGGATGAAGTGAATGTACAGCTCAAGGCTCTACAGCAGGCGCTACCTAGACAGACGAGAACGTTGGAGAATGAGGAAAGGGAACTGCAAAAGCTGGAGCTGGAGAGAGACCGGGCTGTGGGACTTGCAAGGGAGGCGGTCGAGAGGAAGCAGGAAGGTGGTGGTGCTGACGAGTTGGAGAGGAAGGGAAGGTGGTTGAGAGGGGTGGAGACTGGTTTGAGAGAAATGCTAGAGATTGGCGCTTAGGATAGTGTGTTAAATGGGTATTGGTGTTCTAAGGCCTCGTGGACGTTGTGCTGCTCTCTGGTTGAGATTGATTCCCCAAATCGTAAACTCGATTGAGCTGCCTAAAGACGCTTTGTAGATTCAATGCCATTCGCTTCGTGCCTCGAGATGGCCAAGATCCTCGTTGCTGTCCTGTCGGACACCAAGAGATCATCTCTGCCACGCCACGTTCTTTCAGGTGCAGTCGAAGTACATAAACCCCTGCTCCTTCAATTTCATATCAACAAAGCATATCAACGACCGGCTAGCACTCCCTATCCGCCAGCCGGCTTGCATCTCACTTCAACATCCAAACCCTGCTCGCCCTAATCACCGCATCGACCATCATCTCAAACACATCCTTATTCCTCTAAGGCACCGCGATTGGCCGAGAGACTCCGTCAACGGCGACAGTGACAGCCGCCATTTTTTGAATGCTGTCCGCCCCTACCCAAAGCTCCCCACGCCGCAATAGCCTCGTCGAAGAACGAGGTCACTGTGTTACGTTGGTTGAGGGGTTTGGAGATGGCGCCGTTCCTCTCGTCAGCTACGAGGAAACGGAATACGACGTCGCCATTTGGCTCTGAAAGAGAACAATTCGAATGGAAAGCCCACTACTGGTGCAGTGGCCATACAAATAGTACTCGCCATGGCCACCTGTCTCCCCACTATCGCATATCGCATAATGATGGAACGGTTGATCAAACAACCACCAACGCTATGGCCTCATAATGGACCCACTAACCCACAGTCCCACTGTTGCGGCCATTGGGAAAGGGCTCGGACCAGGATAAGGGAGTCGCGGTAGCGGCTGTCGCTGAGGGGATTAGCAGTTTTGAAGTCGCCATTCCCGGCTCGTGGTGTTACATTTCGAAGGCCTTTGAGCAGGACACGGCCTCAAATCGCTCTCAGGGCTTTCGTGTTTGGCATTCGGATGTAGTAAATTGAATCCTTCGTTTTGCGTGAAAACAATGGATGTTGAGAACAGGGTATCTCATGGCAATTGCAATCCAGATATTAAAGCCACAGCGATGTGACATTCCCTGCAACTCCTCCTCTATCCATGACCAAGTCCACCAGACTGCTTCATCATCAGTCAATTACTTCAGCATCGACCCTTGTCCCCGTCTCAGGATCGTATTCAATGCCGCCATCCCTCAATCTCTTGATCTGCAGCTGGCTCAGGGGAATGCGCTCGAAGTTCTGTGGCAGGACTCTACCTGCCCTGATTGCCTAGTCAGCTTAACGAAAAGATAATTCAATTTGTATACGTACTTGAGATAATCCATCTTCATATTTCGAGCCTTGTCCTTGAGCGCGACCTGATCTCGCGCTTCTAGGACGTAGCCTTGCTCCGAATCTTGTTCCTTAAGGAGCTTCCAACTGGTCCCATGCTCAGTAATTAAGTAGTAGAGCATTTCCGTCTCAGCGCCCGTCCACGCGCTACGTCTTTGGGGCAGCTTTGTCACCACTGCCATCTTCTGTTTTGCTGATTTATTCACTCTCACGTATTCATCATAGGCTTGAGAAAGCGGCACTTCGGTCTCTTGCTCGTCACGTGCGAAATCTGCGCTGCCATCTAAAAGGTGTGGATCAATGGCCTCTTGGACGCGGACCTTCTTCGGTGATTGGCGTTGAAGCCTGGCGGGCTCAGACGCAGGTCGTTTGGTTGCAGGTTTCAAACGACGCTGCATCGCAGCATTGGAAGACTCTGCCTGGACCTGAAAGCCTTCATCCGCGCTGATCTCACTCTGTTCGTCATTGGGATCCGAGTCTGGCCAGTCAATGGGAGAAACCTTATCAGCAAGCGGGTCCCGATCGTAGATACTACGCTTCTTAGCAGTCTTAGTGTGTTGCGATCCTGGTATCTCGGCAACGTTCTCCTTGTTGCTTTCAGCTTCCCGTTGCGTTCGATACGCATCCGACGCTTGGGCGTTTCTTCTAATGGCGATGTCTTCCTCTTCGTTGTCTTCAGAGCGCCAGTTGTCGTCTTGACCTGCCGACGGCGCTTGCCCGTATGGAACATTGGCTGGGGCGGGAGAAGGAATGACTTGCTCGTTATAATTTCGTTGGGGAGTTAATGCTCGCATGAACGGTCCTGCTGTGGACGCCACCTGAATATCTGAAGCTGTACCCTGGTTTTGCGTCAACGAAATCTGTTCTGTAGCCTTTGTGACTTTCCGGTCTGCTTGTCTTTGTTTTAGATAAGCGGCGGCGCTCTTAACTTTGTTTGAGTCGGCGCTACGATAGATTGTCAGCATAAAGAGGCTTCCTAAATTCCAGGATTGGAATGTATCTACTAACCTGAATTGCGCCAAATTTAGTTCGTCAGCTTTCGCATGTCTGGTTGAAGTATCCTGCAGCTCCGAGGTGGCACGCGATTCGGAAGGCGTATCATATTCCAACCGTACTTCCGAGCCGTCGCTCTCGTTATCAGCACCGTCACTTTCTAGTGACTGCCCAAGTCTGCCGCTCTGAACTACATCGATGAGCCCTTGGCATATAGCCTGAGTACCACCATAAGTAGTCGTCTGGATCTCAATTTCGGTGAGGCGTTGAACAGCCCATGCGACCAGTTGTCGGGCGAAGGTAGTCCAGGGAAACTTCGTTCGGAGAGACTCAATACCGGACGACTGGTCGTCGGAAGACGTTGAGACGCTGGCTCTAAAAGCTTCCCGCAGTTGTTCTACGCGTCCTAGGATTGTGTCCTTGAACTCCCTTCTCAGCTCTTCAGTCCTTAATCCGGCTACGGCCCATCCCTTTAAGTTGTTCGCATCGTAGAACAACTGAAGCAGTGCGGTGTCCGAGTCGAAATTGATTTTCTCGACATGACGGGCAAGTAGCATGATGGCTTCTTGAGTGCGAACCTGCAGTGCCACTCGAAACGTTCCATCAGTTAAGGCGCTGCACTCAGGTGTCAAACTTTCAGGACGCCCAAGCCCCTGTGCGAAAGGTTGGGGAAAGGTGCCAGCAATGTCTTCAAGGAATTGATCATTCTGATCTCGTCCCACAATTGTCAACATTCGCGACACCAGGAGTGCAAGATTTGCCTTTTGCAATAATGCGTCCGGACGCCATGAGGCAGTCTGTTCGTCTATGGGACCAGCCTTTCTTCCCAATAGTCTCCTCAACGTCTTTCCCACATTGATGTACGAGTCGCCTCCATACTCTTTTCGTTGCCTTTCGAATATGTCACTCAACCGCTGGAGCTTCTTGTTTTCACGAGTATCCTTCTTCTGTAATTGTGCCATGGTCCTAGAAACTGAGGTTTCGGATATTTCGGTGGGAATCACAAAGCTTAACAATTTATCTGAAGCATCCGAAAGATCTGGAAGTGTATCTAACATGTCTTCCGGGCTTATTTCTGTGAGCTCCTGTGCAGGAAGAGAGATCCTTGCGGTAGTTCCAGAGAAAGCAGATAGACTCCCAGGGGACTTAAAACTTTGTTGAGCTGGTTGCTGGTCCGCTCCAGCATCCTCTACATTCTCACCTGCGCCACCATCTTCCGCAGTCTCGAGGTCTGGATAGACAACACTCGGGTCTTCTGCTACCATGGAAAGATCTAAGAGAGGTCAGTTTGTAATCGGTGCAAAATTGTCCCAGAATTGTGAGGACAGAGATCTTAATCTGTAGTATGGACTTCCCTACCTTGCTGAGCTCGAGCATGTTTTGCAATCCTTCCCTTGCGACCCTTTGAGCCACTTTGCCCAACAGCGCCGTTTGTGCCATCTGGAGTTGCTTGCTTTGCGCCCCTCCGTGCCTTCGAGTCAGACCTCCCATTTTCGCTGTCACTGATATCACGGCTCTGGCTTCTCGTTGTCCGTGTGGTTCGCTTGGGAGGACTTTGGGTTCCCACACGGGCAGTATGAGGTGCAGGTTGGGGTGTGGTGCGCCGGCTGCCAGCTCTGCGTGAGGTGCGCTCTGCCATTGTTGAGGCTGAGAGTCCTTCGCCCGTATATATTTCCCACTGAAGCCAAAATCCACCATCCAACGAAAAGCAGCCCAGATGCTAGTAGAGACCTAATTCAATTGAGGATGACAAAGTCGCGAAGAAGGGCGTGAGTGAGAGTAAACACCTCTTGTTGTGACCGGGATCTGATTAGGCACTTAGGGTTGAGCCTATTAGTACCTTAGGGCTGAACCGAGTCAATCCGATGCCGCTAACTTGTTCGAATTTAGCCAGGGGTGCTGGTACTGGCATGCCGCAACAGCCAGCGACCTGTTCTTTCACATCGAAATTTCTCCTGCCAGCTGCATTCTCTTCGCTATCTTTCACATCGTCTTATTCCATACTTATTGTCTGGGCTTTTCGGAACCTTTCAATGCCCACATTACTCTACAGTCTCATTTGCTAACGTCCTGCCATTGTGGCGAAGGCGAAGGAGAGCTCCTGCACCCTCTCCACGGCATTATCTGGCCCTGAATATATCATTGAGAGCTATGAGGTTACGACAGCTGCCATCATTACTACTGCTTGTATTGATACCTTGTACTTCGGTCGTTACGGCCTTCGTGTCTTCAGAAGAAGCTGTTGCCTTAGCAGATGGAAAGGAATTAGGGCCGCCTCCTGATCTATCAGCAAGCCCAGCCTCCAAGCCGGGCGTGGATGGCATTGGGACAATAGATGCTCCGGTCGACGGCAAAGATGGAAGACCGCACCTTGGACCTTTCGTCGAGACTGGCGCGGAAAGAGATCGGAAGAAGGCCAAGGAAAACAGTGGAGATGCAGATATCAAGAAGCCCATACCGGAAGGGGTGCCTACCGGCGATGGCCCCAAGATACCAGAGACGAATAATGGTGTGATGGATGATCCGCACAGGACTGGGCCAAAGGAGGGTACGAGAGGCACTGAAGGTGGCATATCGGAGAAGAATAAAGATAGAAAAGCAACTCAGTTGGACGGTGCCAAGCCAGAGAAGAAGCCAGATCCACCGAAAGAGGTTCCGCCTTTGCCTCACAGCGAGCAAGAAGGCCTTGACCCAAAGGCTGCGAAGGATGAGGGCAAGAAAAGCAAGGAGACTGGGACTGAAGACAAAGATAAGCAGAAAGAGCTAGGAGGCCTGGAGGTAATGTGATATTTTCGAACCACTGAAATAATGCAAATTGCTAACGTTTCATTATTCTAGAAACCTGCCGATCTCCCTGATAAACCTCATGACCTTCCACACCCTGTTCCGGCCACAGGCTCAAAGAGCGACCCTCTAGCAATTCTCGCGCCCTTCACACCTTCCATCCCCATGCTCACCGGCAATTCCGCCTCTCTCATTCAACCGCTGCACTCTTTCGTCCTCTCCCTCACGATGATCATATTTTCCGAGATTGGCGACAAAACGTTCTTGATCGCTGCCCTGATGGCGATGAAGCACCCTCGACTTGTTGTCTTCTCTGCCGCCTTTACCGCCCTCATTGCAATGACAATCCTCTCTGCCGTTTTGGGCCACGCTGTCCCTACCCTCGTTCCAAAGAAATATACGAATCTACTGGCGGCCCTGCTATTCCTTGTCTTTGGGGCAAAAATGCTAAAGGAAGGCTACGCAATTCCACCGGACCAAGGAGTCAACGAAGAGATGAAAGAGGTAGAATTGGAGCTTGAGGAGAAAGAAGAACTTGCTCGTAAGATGGGTCGTCGACGGTCTTCGATTTCGCCATACATACTTGAATCGGGGAGAATGAATGCACGCAAGACTCGGTCCAGCACCCGTCTTCCTGCCCCTCCGGACTCTCCTCCGTCTTCCCCTGATGGGTCACGAAGTCCTTCACCCAGCAGAGGCTCGACCATTATGAGCTTATTTGCAGGAGTCAATAATCTGTTTTCCTTACTACTTAGTCCAGCGTGGGTACAAACCTTTGTTATGACCTTCTTGGGTGAATGGGGCGACCGGAGTCAAATTGCTACGATCGCCATGGCGGCTGGCCAAGACTACTGGTGGGTGACTGGGGGTGCAGTGAGCGGGCATGCAATTTGTACTGCAATCGCCGTCATTGGGGGTAGAGCTATCGCAGGTAGGGTCAGCTTGAGGATCGGTAAGTCAAGCTTACTCCATTTTCAAAGACCATCTGCTGACCTACTTCTGCAGTAACACTGGGAGGCGGGTTTGCATTCTTGGTGTTTGGCATCATTTACCTGATCGAGGCAATGTATGTCGAATAATGGAGGGATTCGGGAACCGTGAAGCATTGGGAAGGAGTTTTCAGCCTTCATATACGGCCTGGCGCATGAAAGACTTAGTTATTGCACAATTAAACTATTCTTTGTCCGTTACTCTTGAGGTTGTCCTTTTCCACGTGCACTAAGGTATGCACATAGACACAAGTTGTCATACCATAGTATTGTACCTCTTGTGGGAGAGTGAGATAATCTTCAAACTTGACGAAACCACGAATCACCAACATGCAGAACATAGTACCTACAAGTAACCGCAGCCAAGACGCTAGGCCTACTTCTGACCCACGAGTTCATGACAATCACATGTGAATCACATGACATGAAGCTTTTTACCTTACAGTTCTAGTTGATCATTGAAGAAGAAATAAAGACCATACGAGCAGTGCATTCATCAAAATGAGGAGTGTGTTGACCCACTATCTACAGAAATCTAGGAAGCTAATCTGATCGAGATGATTAGTGCTCGCAAACAGTGAGGCCATACAGAAATGACGCATGCACAAGTAGATATGTAGATATATGATTGGGCATATCCAACACTGGGGCAGCTAAGACCTTTCTGGACATGCAAATAGCCCAGAAAAGGCCCCCCAGCGCTAGAAAAACTCCCATGTCTGAGCGACATGCCCTGGAGTGAAAATGAAGCTATATATAGGTGTGGGTGGGAGGGAGAACAATGATATGGCTCTGAAAGAGAACAATTCGAATGAAGAGCCAACTACTGGTGCAGTGGTCATACAAGTACCTAGTACTCGCCATGGCCACCTGTCTCCCTACTATCGCATATCGCATAATGATGGAACGGTTGATCAAACAACCACCAACGCTATGGCCTCATAATGGACCCACTAACCCACAGTCCCACTGTTGCGAGCAGACCAGCTTTCTTGTCCGGATATGTCTACAGCCAATCGACCTCATTCCGGTAGTTTCTGATTCCCTAGGTGTTCCTTCTCACTGATATCTAGGTCCCATCTCATTGGCACCGGATTGTGCCAACTGAAAAGCCCCTTCGGATCCCACTGTCTCTTCAAGGCCGACAGCTTCTGCAGCTTGCGTGCGGAATACCATGCCGTGGGACCCTCGTCTCCGTGCGCAAAGTTTACATAGGTGGCAAGGGTGTCGAAACCGCTCGTCTCTGCAAACCGGGCACGGGCCGGCGTGACAAACTCATTTATGGCGTCATCGTTGCCGGGGTCGGTATAGAAACTTTCGATGTTCCTGAAGGACCGGGATGTGTCAATGACCATCCATGCAAAAGGAGAGTGGGGAGGGGAACCTACATGTGTGCAATCGCATCACGCCATGGGTACGCTGTCTCAGCATCCGGTACCGCTGCCACGGCATCGTTGGAGAAGCGCTGCCTATTAGAAGGCGGCCTTGGTAGCTCAGGATACTCACGCCAAAAGTCCGTAAGACGGGCATAGAATGAGTCGAAGGTAGGCGGATCGAACTGTTTGAGGGCGAGGGTGTAGAGGTTTATACGTTGATTAGGCACGCAGGTTCCATGGTCAGAAGGAAACATGGTATTCTGGGGAATCATGGTGATGTTGCTCACAAGGGGGCCAAGGTCCTTGAAAGGCTCCAAATAAGCTTCGCCATCTTCCTGCGGACCAAAATAGACCGCATGGAGCACGATCAGCGGCTGCAGGGTGGTTAGCGATTCTCATGATACCGGTAAAAGACGCTCACCAGATCGATGGTCCGGTTGTAGACCGCTACTGCAGTCAGGGCCAATCGAGACGGCATTGCGTGCTCGAAGGACTGCAAGGTCCTCCAAAAGGTATGATTGGCGGTGGCCGGATAGACCAGGTCGGCGACCATGACTTGCCCCTTGTTGGTGATATCGTAAACCTTGAAAGTCGCGGAGGTGACGACACCAAAGTTGGCGCCTACTCCGCGAACGGCCCAAAAAAGGTCAGGATTTTGCCTCGCTGTTGCTGTGACTAGCCTTCCATCTGCCGTTACCATCCGCACCGACTCGAGAGCATCCAACAACAGCCCGCGATGACCCTTGAGAGGTCCAAAACCCGCGCCCATCGTTGCCCCAAGGACACCGACGCATGGGCAAGATGCCAGTGCTACAAAAGCCGACATGAGCGGATTAGTTGAACGTCCCCCCTTGACCAACTGAACAAACGGCAAACCATACTTAGTCCCTGTCCTGCATCGTACAACAGGTCGTGTAGTTGTGAATACTCAGTCGCTCCACCGATTGTGAGGCGGTTCGTAGATGCGTCCAGCTCCACTGATTTGAAGTTGCCCAGATCGATTGCGATGCCCTTGAAAGGGCTATAGTCTGAAATCCCGTGACCACCACCGGTGGTGAGGAAAGGGATTTTGTTGGCATCTGCGATTCTCACCTGCAGTGACTTGTCTCAGTACCTCCACCATCAACTCGACAGCAATGAGATGCCTACAATAGGTTGAACGTCGGTCTCGGTTACGGGCTTAATGGCGCCCAGATCCTTGGGCGCTCGGTAATTGGTCCATCGCAATTGTACCTGCGTGCTCCAGTCGGTGTCTGTAGGGAAGATAATTTGGGCTTCAGGCGACAGACTTGGTCCGAATAATTCTGAGAGGTTTGCTGGCTTGGCTACCGAAAAGGACAGAATTGCCTGGACAAGGGATGCACCGGATACCATGGTTGTCAACGAGCCTCAGGGTTTGGCAGACTCTGGAGAGGTCAAATCGTCAGGACGCGTTGGAGTGTGCTCCCGCGGCGGACGAGACTTTGTATTTGGTGTAGGATCCATTTACACACATGACTATTCTGCTGCTAGTAGTCTTCTGACTGGATACGCGGAAATCATTGTTTTGCATAGCATTAACATTGCTATGGTCAATGAATGACCAGCACGGAGTATGTCACAGGTGGAGAATGCCACTCTTTGTGCTTGTTCAATTCAATTACTCCGGCAATTACCCCGACCCTAGTAGTCAGGGACGGCTCACATAGGTAGATTCAGGCAAAGATACTTAGTGCTGAGTTACAAAGTACTACCGCATCAAATCCCTAGGGATGTACGTCTTATAAGAAGGCATTGTTTTTTTTGCCAGAGGTTGCCCACCAGTGGAACTTGCCGAGGTGTCTGTAGTTGGGTGAGTCTCAAAGCAAAATCATCTTATGGTCATGAAGGAGAAGAGTTTCGTTGAGTAGGTACATGCTTATGGGCCGAGGGCTGGGCTTCTCCGATTAAGTCAACCGCATGCTTACTGGGAGCTCGATTAGCGGCGACTGCACATAAAATACGTCTAGTTATCTGGTAAGACACTACCGCTTATACAATACTGTTGCAAACCGTGTCCAGTACTTCACATTCGTATATGAGTATTGTGTGTCACTTGACAATTCATACGGTATCTGACCAGAAATTTCAAGGCTGGTGATACTACGAGTATCCCTGATTGGTGGAGGAAACCGATCAACCAATATATTCAACATACTTATTCCACTCTGGGTCAGCATTCAGTGCTTCCAAGTCCGCGTCAGACAAGCAGGCTGAGGCATCGCAATATGCGCCCGAGTCCCCAGAGAAGAACACAACCAGGCTCGGAAAGGGGACGGTTGGCGGCCGCCTGATAAAGTCCGGCTTGCCCAGCGTGCCAAACCCCGGATACAAGTCGGTACGACCGCGAACAGACGAGCATCCGACATCCGTATCGGGATTCAACGGCCCGCCGTACGTGATGGTCGACTTGTCGGCTTCTCTGGCGATGAACGTGGCAAAACTGCGGACGTGGTACGCCGAGCTGGTTCCGTTCAGGCGCTCACGCAGGTGCGAAGCGATGGTGGGAAGGGGTGACTCGGTGAGCTCCTGGAACGACAGCCAGGTCGAGGCGTTGTGTATCACGTCGCCCATGTAATCGGGTGCAACTCCAACAAGCCTCCGGCCATCGATGGCGCGAGAGAATCGGGACTTGGTCTCGGGCGGAAAACGGTGCGAACGGACCGTGGTGTACCGCTGCCAGAAAAAGGCGCTCAGGGCATCGTCCGTCGAGATGAATGGCACGTCCGGGTCGAGGCCCTCGGGTGAGCTCGCAAGCTCTTTGAGTTTGCCCGTCTTCGCGGCTGTGAAGCGAAGGATATGATACCTTGCAGGTTCGGGTCGAACGAGGGGAGCGTCGGCTGCAACGGGAGGGCGTTTGTGGTGGCTGTGATCCAACATAGGCTCGTCCGGGCTAAGCAGAGGGAAAAGGTTCCTTCGATCTCGATTCGCTTGTTCGAGGAGGGAGTCCGGAAACTCCTCCCCGCGCATTGCCATGGCCACGAGCTTTACAAATCCAAAGTGACCGCCGGCATCACCCATGTTGTGCTGAAGTGCAAAATCCAAAATCAAGCCTCCTTCGATAAAGCTAGCCTGGAGCCGGACAACGTGCGCTGGGTCCTCGTCCGAGTCCTCAAACATTTGCGGAAAAGCAGAGACTGGAGTCAGCAGTTCAGAGTCTATCACGGATATTGGCGCTTTTCGTTCCTTGATTATGGCGTATGGCGGTAGTGCGTTCGATACCTCTTCGACGTCTATGGGGTTTTCTGGGCGAGGACATGCAAGCACTCGGTAAAGGCAAGAATTGCCTGGCTTCTTGCCTACATTAATGACCCGGGACCCCATCCAAGGCACTTTGTCCCTAACTTTTGTGACCGCTTCCTCCAGATCGCAGATGACTTCTTCCCTGGTGGCACCCTCGGGCATGGGGAACATGTAAAGGATATGGGAGTAGCATTGTAGCATTGGTAGCTGGCCGAGGATGTCCTGATAGCGATCTAGATCTTCGTACTTCTCCATCTTGATGTTTTTAAGGTCTTTTTCCGGCAACTGTAATGACAATGAGATATGAGCGATCAGCCAGGTAGCGACTAACCACTTGGTTTTCGATGAGCTTGCAAATATCCCGAAGTGCCAAGAGGTGGCTAATACGTCGGTCAATGTGATGTCAGATGGAAACACGACTCCCTAACACTATACCCCTGTTTTGGTGCGAGACGTTGTTGAGATGAACGGTGAAAATGGAAGAACTTCACGCTAGCAATTAGGATGACTCACATTTCGCCCTGGGTGGAAATACCGAGTCATAGAGCTAGAATCGACGACAAAGGGCACCTCGTAAGGTTCGAACGGCGAAGAGCAACCCTGTCAGTTTTGACTATAAGCTGAACAGTCGGAACAACAGTTTTCATCGAATGATTCGCAAAGAGTAGCGGAGTTTTTTGGTCGGAAGCCGGAGTTTCCTCGTCAGCAGAGCTATCGGAGGTTTCCGGAGAGATGTTGCTACGTCTCCTATTGTGTCAGCAGGGCAGGGAACAACTTGAGTATAGAGGAGTTCTTGGTAAGGAGGCGATTCAGCAGGCCTCGGAATGACAAATCGAGATCACTGAACACTAGAAGTGGGGACTCTTGGTTTCACGCACGTGTACGTTCGTATAGAAGGATGGGTGTATGCAAGAGGGACTTTATAGGTTGGAGTCATTCTCTAGCTTGTCGACCGTCCCATCGCAATCCTCTAGGAGTGTTTGCATCGATACTGAAGCTGTTGTCCTGCAGTGTGGTTAGCCTGGTGCAATCTAATTTTCGGGCGTGGATATCTTGAATTGAAGCTGTAAATACTGTGTGAAGACGAACTCGAGCTCCTCTCAATCAACAAATCTCGCAGTCGATTAGAAATCACTAGCATCTTTTTTCTGTTATGGTCTCTTAATCAACATGGTTGGCCAAGTCACTCGTCCCTGCGAGGGCAACAGATTATTAGTATTCGAACCGCAAACTCTGTCTCTCGATGCAGCTGCCTTCCATACTCTTCAGACCACGGTAATGCAAATGGGAAGCAATGCATGGGTTCTTGACACCATCGCGGAGCTACCACATTGTTGGGAAGCATTCGCGCAGAGTTTCCAAAATACAAGATTATTCAAGGTGCTCAATTGCTCACAAAACTTGGCGAATGGTTCAAGACAGGGAAGCTGGACCACGAGTCTTCGCATCTTCCAAACATCATCCTCAGTCCTCTAGTGATTATAACTCATATCAGCGAATACATGAAATACCTCGATGTCGCCTCGCCAGAGTCTAGGCAGCAATGGGATCATCCCGAGAAATCATCGACAGAGATCTTAGGGTTCTGTATGGGATTCTTGAGCGCACTAGCTGTGTCTATCAGTAAGGATCGCCGACAAATTGAGACATATGGCGCCACGGCAATACGACTGGCAATGCTCATTGGAGGAGTTGTGGATGCACAAGATGAATTGGACAACCAGGGACCATCCAAATCGTTTACAACTGCGTGGACTTCATCTGAGGCAGCTAAACAAATGGGTCAGATATTGAAGCGCTTTCCTGAGGTAAACCACTCGTCCCTTCATATGTCTGCATGTGAGACTTACGTGGACAGGCATATCTATCCGTCTCATGTGACGAACATCGGGCAACTGTGACCACTGCCGAGAGAACGGCTTCCACTTTACAGCAAGAGCTACGCCGTGTGGGTATCATTGCAAATGAGATCAGCCTTTACGGCCGCTTCCATAACGAATGGTATGCAGATGATATCGACCCGCTGATCCAATTCTGCGAGTCTCAGCCTACCCTGCACCTTCCAGATGCATCGGATCTGATATATCCAACCCGTTCAAACTCGGGGAGCGGCTTGATTACAAGTGGCGGGCTCAATGGTCATGCGCTGCGTACCATCCTTGTTCAGCATTCGAACTGGTATCAGACATTCAAGACCCTTTATGATTCCAAGTTGAAGGGTCAAAAAAGGATAGTTGTAGCGTTCGGACCGGACCGATGTATTTCCCCATCGATATTGCGTGAACTCGAGTCAATTCGACCGCTTACGAATGCATCTAAGACCCAGCCAAAGATAAGAAAACCCGATGATATTGCGATCGTGGGCATGCCGATCACGGTCGCTGGTGCGGATGATGTTGCTGAATTCTGGGACTTGCTCTGCGAAGCGAAATCTCAGCACAAGGAAGTGCCTCCGGAGCGCATCAAATTCGAGAACGCCTGGCGGGAACTCGATTCAAATAGGAAGTTGTTTGGAAATTTCATCAACGACCATGATGCTTTTGATCAGAAACTCTTCAAAAAGAACGCCCGGGAGGCTGCTTCCACAGATCCGCAACAACGGCTGATGCTGCAAGTGGCATACCAGGCATTAGAACAGGCTGGATACTTCAACTCCCCTGACTCAGATAAGAAAATCGGATACTACGTTGGTGTGTGCGCTGCTGACTATGAGAACAACGTTGCTTGTCATCAACCCAATGCATACACGGCAGTGGGCAACCTCAAGAGTTTCATTGCTGGCAAGATTAGCCATTATTTTGGTTGGACTGGTCAGGGTCTCTGCATTGACACGGCCTGCTCCTCGTCGTTGGTTGCAGTGCATCTGGCATGCAAATCAATCCTTAGCGGTGAATGCAGTGCCGCGCTCGCTGGGGGAGTGAACGTGATGACCAACCCTTTATGGTTCCAAAATTTGGCCGCGGCGTCCTTCTTGAGTCCAACGGGCCAGTGTAAGCCATTTGACGCCTCAGCAGACGGTTACTGTCGAGGGGAGGCCATTACTGCCGTGTTCTTGAAAAAGATGTCAGCAGCGATTGCCAATGGCGATCAGATTCTTGGGACTATCTCCGGCACTGCCGTGTACCAGAACCAAAATTGCACCCCAATCTTTGTACCCAATGCCCCATCTCTCTCCGACTTGTTCCGCGATGTTCTCGCTCAGTCAAAACTCGAACCCTCTCAAATTACGGTCGTTGAAGCGCACGGCACAGGGACACAGGTTGGGGATCCGGCGGAATATGACGGTATTTGTCAGGTCTTAGGAGGCCGAGTCCGTTCTAAGCCCATTGCTTTTGGGTCCGTCAAGGGACTTGTTGGACATACTGAGTGTGCTTCCGGTGCCGTGTCTCTGATCAAAACTTTGCTCATGATCCAACAGAAGGCTATACCCCCACAGCCTAGCTACAACACTCTGAACCCACATATAAACGCCTCTGCTGGGGATAACATCGAGATTGCTACAAAGTTGAGAAGTTGGAATGACAACTTCCGAGCGGCGCTGATCAACAATTACGGTGCGTCAGGCTCGAATGCTTCCATGGTGGTGACTCAGGCACCCTCCCTGCCAATCACGAATGCCGTGAACATGTCTATCATGATCGAGTTTCCTTTCAGATTTTACGGGAAGGACGACCGAGCCCTCCGAGAATATAGTGCAAAATTCCGTCCATTCCTCCAGTTAAAGGGTAGTAAGGATTTGTCCGTGGCAAACCTGGCGTTCAATGTCTCCCGGCAGTCCAACCCGACGCTCGACCGAGCCTTGCTTCTCAGCTGCCGGTCCACGGATCAGCTAGCACAGAAATTGGCCGCATTTGAAAAGGGAGATATAGACACCGTGTCAGTCGGGCACCCATCTTCTAGACCAGTTATACTCTGCTTCGGGGGCCAAATTTCTACATACGTCGGGTTGAGCCGGGAAGTCTACAAGAACGTTATGATCCTTCGCACTCATCTTGACCAGTGTGACGCTGTTTGTCGGTCAACTGGGTGTGAAAGTATCTTTCCTGGCATCTTTGAGAGGATTCCGATCGATGATCCGGTCAAGGTTCAAACAATGCTTTTTGCCATGCAATATTCTTGCGCAAAGAGTTGGATTGACTGCGGAGTGCAGCCCGTTGCTGTTGTTGGGCACAGCTTTGGCGAATTAACAGCGCTATGCATTTCCAATGCTCTTTCTCTCCATGATGCTATTAAGATGATTGCTGGCCGTGCAAACCTCATTAAAAACGCTTGGGGTCCTGAAAAAGGTTCAATGGTTGCTACCGACGCTGAGCTGCATGAGATCGAAAAGCTCTTGGCTGAAACGGGTATACCTTGCGAAGAAGCAGGGGAGCGCCCAACCACCATTGCTTGCTTCAACAGTCCCAGGAGTTTCACCATTGCCTCTTCGTCTAAAAGCATTGACATTGTAATTAAGACGATTACAAAGAGTTCTACGTACTCGACGATCAGGTTCAAGAGGCTTAACGTCACCAATGCTTTTCACTCCGCCTTGGTCGAACCCTTGATGTCCAACCTGGAGAAATTTGGACAAGGGTTGACGTTCACTGAGCCCACTGTTCACTGGGAGAGAGCCACTCAATTTCAGTCGAATGATCAGCCGACTTCGAAATATGTGGCGAGCCACATGCGAGATCCTGTTTACTTCAGCCACGCCATTCAGAGACTCTCGAAGAAGTATCCGTCCTGTATCTGGTTAGAAGCTGGATCAAATTCTACCATCACAAACATGGCCAGCCGAGCCCTGCAATCGCCGGAGACGTTCTGCTTCGAACCGATGAATATTGCTAATGATAATGGGTTACAACAGCTGATCAACGCGTCTGTCGGTCTTTGGAAAGAAGGCTTGAATTTCACTTTCTGGGCCCATCACCGGTTGCAGACTTACGAATACACGCCTTTGCTTCTGCCATCTTATCAGTTCGAAAAGACTCGGCATTGGATGGAACCCAAGGCTCCACCCAAGTCTGAGGAACCCGTCAGTGAACAGACACCGGAAGAACCAAAGGGTCTCTGGAGCTTCGTTGGATACCAAGATGATGGAAAGCAATTCGCTCGGTTCCGCATAAACATGGTGACTCCTAGGTACCAGGAGTTCGTGTCGGGCCATGTCATTGCACAGACCGCGCCGATCTGCCCGGCCACACTTGAAGTTGACATCGCGGTTGAGGCACTCACCAGTCTGTGTTCCAGACTTTACAACCTCAAGGTTGCAGCCAAAGATTTATAATGTGGACAATCAGGCTCCTATCTGCATCGATCCGTCGCGATCCGTTTGGCTTGATGCTCAAGCAAATGATGCCAGCCATTGCAATTGGGAATGGAAAATTGTCAGTGACAGCTCGCAGAATGCATCGTTGACTGTGCACGTCACGGGCAGAATTGTTTTTGTCTCCGTCGATGATGCGGAATGGCGACTCGAATTCTCCAGATATGAACGCCTGATCGGGTATCACCGCTGTTCGAATCTTCTTCACAGCGACGATGCGGACGATATCATTCAGGGTCGTAATATTTACAGGGCGTTTGGCGAAGTTGTTGACTACGCAGAGCCGTATCGCGGTCTGCAGAAGCTTGTGGGCAAGGGTAACGAGTCCGCTGGGCGTATTACTAAGAAGTACAGCGGCGAGACTTGGCTAGACACACACCTTTCCGACTGCTTCGGTCAGGTTGGCGGAATCTGGGTCAACTGCATGACCGACAAAGCTCAGGGTGACATGTATATTGCGACTGGGTTCGAGAAATGGATGCGCTCCCCAGACGTCGGTGCCGATTACAGTCGCCCGGATGTATGGGATGTGCTTGGTAATCATCATCGTGCCTCTGATCAGTTGTTTCTGACTGATATATTTATCTTCGACTCGACAAACAGCAAGTTAATGGAGGTCATTCTAGGCATCAACTACCACAAAGTGCCGAAAGCATCCATGCGCAAGATTCTCTCCAGACTCACTGTCTCCGAGCATTCAGAAAAGACGGCGTCCGTCAAAGCTGAGCCAGTACTGCCTATGGCAAATGATGTTGTAACTCCACAGAAACCAAAGTTAGATGAGACGCCCAAGCCAAAGAAGAAGGCCTCCGGTGGCCCCGACGTTGTCATGAAAATCAGGGCTCTCCTCGCAGAGATCTCTGGGCTCGAACCGGATGCTATCCAACCTGATGCTCAGCTTGCCGACATTGGCATTGATTCCCTCATGGGAATGGAATTGGCGCGCGAGCTTAACGGAATGTTCAAATGTTCTCTACCAAGTGAGGAGTCGGTCAACGTGGCTGACTTCAGCGGGCTGGTCCGACTTATTCAAGACACCCTGGGTCTGGCTGGTGCTGACCTAACTGAAGGGGGAAATCCATCCGAGAGCAGTCAAAGCGATGCCAGTTCCATATTCACTCCTTCTCACACCGTCTTGACGTCGGTTTCGGACGCAGAAGACAATACGATGAGTGACGAAAATTACAATACTACCAAGGGACATCTGAACGGCTCAATCTCTCCTGGACCCGGTGACAGCCTTGAACTACCTTCTTCTATGATTATCGAAGCATTCGAAGAATCCAAGAGGCTTACGGATCAGTTCATTGCCGACTACCGATGTGCAGGGTACATAGACACGGTCTTACCGAAGCAGACGCAACTTTGTGTTGCGCTGACTGTCGAAGCATTTGAGCAGCTGGGTTGTCCCCTCCGCACGTCTAAAGCAGGGCAGAGATTGGAACGGATTGAATATGTTCCCCAGCACCAGCGGCTGGCGGAGTATCTTCACAAGATGTTGGAACAGGAAGCACGAAGCACGACTGATCGATATGGAAGGTTCGCAAATCACACGCACTGCCATCACAGCTCCTTCTAAGACCAGCGAGGTGGTTCTGGCCAACCTCCTGCATGACTATCCCGACCATGAGTGAGCAAATCGACTCGTCCACTTTGCTGCTGGCAGGTTGGCGGATGTATTGACCGGGAAATGTGACGGGATCAAAATGCTTTGAGGTACCGATGAAGGAAGGGAGTTGGTTACCGGGCTGTACGGTGATTCGCTTCTGAATAAGTTGGCCAACGCGCAGATGCAGGACATTATTACCCGACTTGCGTCTAGGATCCCGAAAGATAAGGGCCCCTTGAAGCTCCTAGAGTTGGGGGCTGGCACTGGGGAAACGACCAAAGGGATGGCTGCATTGCTTGCCCAGCTGAATATCCCGGTTGAGTATACATTCAGCGACCTCTCCGGATCCTTTGTGGCGGCTGCCCGGAGAAACTTCAATGCCTATCCGTTCATGAAGTTCCGCGTTCATGATATTGAGAAGCCCCCAGCCAACGACCTCCTCGGCACTCACAAATCATCATCGCCAGCAATGCCATCCACGCTACGCATAGCTTGACGGAGTCCACCAGAAACATCCGCAAGGCTCTGCGTCCGGATGGATTCCTTATGATGCTGGAGATGACCGAGCCGGTGTACTGGGTGGACCTCATTTTCGGTCTATTTGAGGGTTGGTGGCTCTTTGAAGATGGACGGCAACATGCAATTGCACATCAGTCAGTCTGGGAGCGGGACATGCAGTCCGTGGGGTACGGTCATGTCGACTGGACCGATGGTCATAGCCCTGAGATCAAAATACAACGGATCATTGTGGCCTTGGCTTCTGGACCTCAATATAGCCGTCAGCCCCCTGTCCCGTTACCGGCAAAGAGTGAACCTGTTCCCACTGCAGCCCGCAAAGCGGCCGTTGACGATGATGTCCGGAAGTACACCCATGGCTTTGCTGCCCCTGTTCCTTCCAGCTCGACTAGCCCTCCGAGTGTCTATGAACAATCCGTGCTAATAACCGGAGCATCGGGAAGCTTGGGGACTCACCTCGTTGCTCACACTGCTACTCTTCCTCATGTCAAATCGGTGATTTGCCTCAACCGACGAAGCACAACGAAACCAGATGTTCGTCAACATCGGGCTATGGAGGAGAAAGGTATACTCTTCGACGCGGCATGCCAGTCGAAGCTGCAGGTGTTGCAAACTGACACCAGCAGACCGATGCTAGGACTCGCTAGGAGCGAGTATGACAGTCTCCTCAATACCGTCACTCACATCATACACAATGCATGGCCAATGACTGGGAAACGTCCTCTGTCGGGAATGGAGTCACAATTTCAAGTCATGCGTAACCTCATCGATTTTTCACGAGATATCTCGTCCCGGCGTCCGAAAGGGTTCACGCTCAGCTTCCAATTCATCTCTTCCATCGCGGTTGTTGGGCACTATCCTCTCTGGAGCGGCAACTCGGTAGTTCCCGAGGAGAGAGTAACTATCGAGTCTGTCCTTCCCAACGTTTATGGAGATGCCAAATTCATCTGCGAAAGAATGCTCGATGAGACTCTGCACAAATGTCCAGACCTATTCCGCACTATGGCTGTACGCCTCGGACAGATCGCCGGCTCGAAGACCAGTGGGTACTAGAACCCAATGGAGCATCTCTCGTTCTTGATGAAGTCGTCGCAGACGTTGAAAGTGCTGCCAGATTTTGATGGCGATCTCTGCTGGACTCCGGTCGATGATGTTGCAGGTACATTGAGTGACCTGCTCCTTTCCGAGCGCGCTCCGTATCCAATCTACCATATCGATAACCCGGTGCGTCAGCCCTGGCGCGAGATGATCCCAGTCTTATCAGACGCGCTCAATATCTCGTCGACCAACGTGATCCCCTTTAAGCAGTGGGTCAGACGCGTGCGCTCCTTCCCCGGCGCGGTCGAAAAGGACAATCCGGCGGGCATTCTCATCGACTTGTTGGATGACAACTTCCTTCGTATGTCTTGCGGGCGCCTTTTCTTGAGCACAGCCAAGACTCGCGAGCATTCCTCAACCCTTGCGGCTGTGGGACAGGTGAGTGCAGAAGTGGCGAGGAAGTACATCCAGGCATGTAAGGACATGGGTTTCTTGCACGTTTAATTAAGTTGCTTATACGATTCGTGTTGTTTTGTAGATCATGCACGTTGGTTAGATTATCTTTGATGATGATTCGTACATGCTGTTTTAGAGCCGCGTTTAGCGCCATTTAGCGTATCCAAGATCCATGGCAATGCTTGGCACAGATTTTCTCCCCCTCTCCCTAATCCACACTATCAACTTCACAACTAGTTTGTATTATAAGAAACTTCTACGCACAAATCAGACCCATCATCTCTGCAAGTTCAATGCTGCTAGAATATCGGAAGTAAATACGAACATGACTAATTTATAGACTCACGAATATATTAGCATTTTGTCTGAGGCGGATCATGTCGCTTTTTGAAGGGCAACTTCTCTTATTTCTCAACTTCTCGATCCCACTTTAATAGTAATTCTCAATTGAACTTTTGTGTATGAAACTTCTACTAGATACTCTCACAATCTCAGCGCTGCTGAAACTCGGACAGTCCGACTTATGATTGTAAAGTTGATGATTTGAATCTGTGGGGGCGGAAAGGTATTCCAATGCCAAGAGGTGGAACCGTGGAAGCGGGTTTGGTTATACGCTATTTAGCGCCTTGGCACCGGCCTATATGTACCTACTGCCACCTGTACATACTTCCTTCCTTAGTATTGTTTCCTTCGTCCCCATGACACCATGATCCTGGTACGTCCCTGACCTCGCCTCCAAATCCATCAGCGTCTCGGCATCATCGCCGCGGCCTTGATTCCATAGCCTTGCATGAGGGGCGGCAGGAAGCCTGCAGATACCCGGGGCCCTGCGGAGATTACCACAAAAGCAGCACGTCATCATTGGCGAAACAATGCCTAGTGAGGTCGTTGAGTTGGGGAGGCTTTGGTCACAGTGGGCATTTCAAATTTTGGATTTACATAGCGCTTGTCTTTACCTTTTTGGCACTTCTCGGGTCTGCGACTGGCAAGGGGTATGGCAGCAGAAAAATGAGTGAAGTGTATTTTTCATTCTTAAAAAAATGGCTTTTGATCCAGCGTCGCTCATGTGATTTGAAAGATAGTACGTGGTGAACCTAATCCTGTGGGTGCTGGAACGAGATTGTGAACACCAGCACAGGAAAGTAACCTTCTCGATGGCATGACTCAAGAGAAGTAGTTCGCTTCCAAGTCCGCAACCAAACCCGGTTGAGTAGGGTGCCATCCCAGCTCCTTCTGAGTCTTCTCACTCGAGGTGGGATTGTCCATGCCGAGCAAATGGGCGAAGAAGCCAACAGCCCCCATGGCTTCCTGCACCGACTGACCTTTCAACGGCAGCTGCAGATGCTCGCTGACCACGGTCAAAATGTCTTTCATCGGTACGCCCTGTTCAGCAACGGCATGGTAGGTGGCGCCCGCGGTGCCTTTCTCCAGCACAAGACGAAGCAGAACCGCAGCATCATCTCGATGGACGGCGGGCCATCGAGCCGATCCATCACCAACGTAAACAACCGAGCCCTTTTGGCGGTACATGTCGATCAATCGCGGGAGCATGCCTGGGTCTCCTGCGCCGTGGACCGTCGGTGTGAATCGGACCACGGCGCCGCGCACATGCTTTTCCTTGGATAGCGCGTAGACCAAATCCGCCGACTTTACGCGGTCGGACATGGGGATGTCCCGTTCGGGTTCCGTGTCCTCGACGGCCAGTGTTCCCTTGGGCAAACCCAACGTGCCGGAAGCGATGATGAGCGGCTTGTTCGTGCCGGCCAGCACTTCCCCCATGGCTTCAATGGCTGCTCGGTCCGTCGCACAGGCTCCGGGAAAATCTTTAAAGTCATGGATGAAGGCGAGATGAATGACACCGTCCGCGGCCTTTGCACCGCTCTTTAGACTCTCGATATCACTCAAATCTCCCTTGTGCGCTTCTGCACCCGCTTTGGTGACGGCTTCGACGTGGGCATCATTCCGAGCGAGACCAAGCACCTGGTGACCGTTTTTGACGAGTTCTTGGACGGTGGCGCGTCCAATGAAGCCAGCGGCACCTGTGACGAAGACACGCATGGTTTGCTCGTGCAGTAGGTTTGATGGATTGATGGATTGAAAGATTGATAGATTCGGAAGAATGATGCTTTGTCAGAGCTGGAATGGGAAGTGGGGATTTCGTAAGCTTGGTGACTTGAGGGAAAAGCTGATGTAAAAATAAGCTGATGTCGAGATACTGTGGCATCGGTTTCCGTCTAATCCTTGTTCTTTAAGACCTTTAACGTATGCGTTGTGCATTTCGGACTTCAGACTGAAGGCAGCGATAAGTCCGCTGCAATTGACCCTTTTACCCTTTCAATCCGGTTTTTGAACCCTAAATCCGGAGTGTCTAAGTCCGAGATGATGTCAATCACAGTCAACTCTTCATCCCATATCCCATTCCATATTCCATAGGCAAGGTACAGTATAAAAGTACAAAAGCAAAAGATGGCTGCAAGGCGGCTTTGTTTACTTTGGTGTGGGCCGAAGGTATGTTGTAAGGGCTGATTTCCGCCTTGTCTACGAGACTAGAGAAAGCTAGCTCCCGAGCATTGGCCAAAATTTCTCGTCCACCTCAAGGTACCTTACCTTAGCTACCTTGATACTAGCTTACCTTTCAAGACCTAGGAGTCCCACCGCTTGGTGAAAGGACGTTTCTAAATGTCCGGTCGAAGATGACTGTGGGAGTTCCCGTAGGATCTATCAGTCTTTACCTCACGGATCCTGACGGTTCTAATGATGCCTAATGATCCCTGGTAGCATTGACCTAAGGTAACCATTAGTCATGATTCCATCTCCTTCTCGACGAGATGCCTTGAGGTGTAACAGTCCATTCGTTCGGGCCTTTCTTCCGACCTATCTATCTGTCCACACAGTTGCGGACGCCCGGGTCGGACCTAAATCCCATCGTCGTCATCAACCTCCTATTCTAAAAGTCCTGGGCCGTGGCGATGGTAATCCGCTTATGTTGCATATCCCCAACATGACTCCGGCTCCCATGGACAGAATGGATGTCCGTGGAGAGTCATGATATTGACCGGACCGTAATGCTCATCACTTGGGCAAGTTTCGGCTCGGAACGACCCCCTACGAAGCATTCTTCTAAGCTTCCTTCGGCCTCACTTCAGAGCCATCTACTCTGGAGTTGACAGTCCTCAAACCCCTCTTGAGCCTCTTCTGACTTTCAATCAAATATACAAACAGTCGCATCGCTGTCTAATGATAACAGAAGTATCGAAGTAATCAACAGTTTTTATCGTGATTGTGATAACGATGTGGCAGCAGAGAAGGAATTACACATCAAATTACTGATAATTAGTCGCCGAACAAGATATGGATGTACGTCAAAATTGCTGTGATTTAAGACACCTCTACGGGAAACGGCTTCACCTGCCCGAAAGGATGCTGACTGCCGATCTGGATGCTGATTGCCAGAATGAATGCTAATAGAATGTCCCACCAAAACCCATGCCCGTAGATAGATAAGTGGTTTTGCCCAATCAACATGGTGGATCTCCATCGGCATCCATTATGTTCATAGGATTAAATTAGCGTCCAGGCGGAAGGATCCTCCCCCAGTGAGATGCAACACTCATGTTGAGCCTTCTCTCTGAATTCTTGGTTCTTGGCCTGCTTATCCAGCCTTTCCTGCAGGGCCTTACATTAATGCTCAGTCAATTTCTGCTTACAACCCCAGGTTCCACTCTTCGGAGATATCATTATACCACGAGAATCCATCAAACAATTTGAGACCTCGTCCAATACCTCCAGGTCACTGTAGCGACAGGATCTCGTCAAATTGAAGACACTAAGCACAGAATGTTTTCACCAAGCTCCGACACTCAAGCTCCGCGGCAGCTGCCCGGTTCAGCGTGTGAGGAGTGCAGGAGACGCAAGCTACGATGCGATAGACAGGAACCCCAATGTGGTAACTGTACGGAATCCGACATTGAATGCAATTTTCGAATATCTCGTCCCCCAAGGGGTCCGAAGAAAGGTCACCTGAAAGCTTTGCGTAATCAAATAGGTAACACAACTGAGCCCCATTCTAGGAACCGAAGCTGATGATGAACACATCCAGCGGCGTTGGATGATCGTGTAGAGCGGCTGCAAAAGAGGCCCGCAGCGAACAAAGCATACAACAGTCCGTCGCCCGTCCCAGCGGCGGTGGACAATTTTCCGGAGCAGCTGCAAAAGGAACCCTTAGCGAATCAAGCATGCAGCAGCCCGTCAGAAACTGTATTTATGGACAATTTGATGTCCAGCGAAGTATCTCTCTGGCCTCAGGATCTCCCGTCCACTTCGTTGGGTACTGAGAACCGCCGTTATGGTTTATCTTCTCCCGGGATGTCTCCAATGGAGAAAGGAGGAACTCCCCCAAATGTTTATTTGTCGGACTTGGTGAAAGTTGATCTGTACGTAAATCTCAAATATCTTCTTGGTCGGCAACTGATCCATTCCATGTAGCGATCAATTATTCTTTGATAGGGTGTATATTTTTGCATCGATGATTCATTAACGTCGCTACGTATCCTGGTCCAAGCAATCGACGAATAGCCCAGCCCGTGTTTGTCTTCAGTATGCCATGTGGACCATGGCAGCATCATTTTCGACGCAATTTCGAAACATCCAAGACAATCTCTACCGAGAGACCAGAAACATGTTGGAAGCGTTCGAGTCGGACAGTGATAAAACCGAGCTGATCTTTTTGGAGCACATCCAGGCATGGATTCTATTGGCAATGTTTGAGTTCATGCACAACAACCATCAAAGAGGCTTGATGAGTGCAGGGAGAGCATTTCGCCTCGTCCAGATGCTATGTCTTTTTGAAATTGACAGTCCAAGCTATGCTATGGCTCGACAGTCCTGCGCCCCCACGGACCATGTCAAACCCGAGGAAAGTCGAAGGACGTTCTGGGTAGCCTACACCATGGACAGGGTTGTCAGCTTCAACTATGGATTGCCGCTGACGTTGAATGAATTAGAGGTGAGCAAGAAGTGATTCCATACAAATGGTGCTAAGTAGTATTCGATCAGATTTGCACTCGGCTTCCCACTCCCGAAGCCAAATTCCAAAGCGGCGAGCCAGCTCTGATGGGTTTTCTGTGTGAATTCATGGGTGGCATCAACCAAGACAGTGTCCCCCCTTTTACGGAATGCATCATTCTGGCCACCATTTGCGGACGCAGTGTATCCCACAAGCAACGAATGACCGTTGAGCGAGTTTATGGAGCGTCGACGCAGGACTCCCTCGACCGCCATCAGTGGCTCAATACCATCCTGGCAGCAAGAATTCCAAGTCCTGTCCCTCAGCTGTCCTTCCACGTCCGAGTCTGTAGATGCCGTACTGATATTTGCAAACCTCCTTGCTCAAGCCACAGTTCTCTATCTCTACAAGATCATTGAACCCGTAGTCTTGGACAAAGATGAAAACCAGGGTATGATGGCTCAATACGAGCAGCAGTCGCTCACAGCGGCGGAGGAGACAAGTCACCTCACCAAAAATGCTGGCGCAGCTGAACCATTTCCAAGTAAATCCTAGCCCTCCCGTGCAGCGTTTTTTCGGGCTTCAACCATTGACTTTCGGTTCGCAGGCTCATCCGTTCGTCCCGGTCTGCCTTTTTGTGTGTGCAGAATTCTTCATGAAACACAGAAGCGTGAACCGATCCTACGGCCTACAGCTCCAGGAAACATTGGAAGCTCTCCGCAGATTGGCCGGTTTCAATAATCTTGCCAGGGTCTATCTGCATCTCCTAGGGCTGAATGATGCTTGACCAAAATTTGGGGCTGCGCGCGCGGTGGTGCCCCCATTGGTGAGTCGAGACTTTGCTGGTGGTTAGTCTCATCAATCCTACAAACACGAAGGGAATCTTGTTACGCTTCCTTGATTCCATAACCCTAGTAGTGGCTTGGCAGCAGTATATAGCTCCACTGAGCTTCCTCTGACGTACTGGGCGACAAGGCATGTGCGAAGCCTGCAGGGACACGTCAGCAGGATGTGCAAGGTGGGTCGAGCGCTAGTACTATGAAACGGTTACGGGAGGCCCTGCCGTGGAGAGAATTGCGAGAGCGGGTAGGTAAAGTAAACAATCAATGGGTGAGTTAGTACTAAGGATTTTCTGCTGCAGAGTTTGAATGCAAAAGACTACAAGATATAATCCTCCATGAAAAGCTTCCAAGGGTGCGACGCGCTGGCATCGTGTGTCGTGATCCCTTGGAGCCGTCAAATCTCCTCCCACGGGCCTAGGCAGCTTTGACTTGTCACATGGCCATCTGCGGGGATAATTCTTGACTGCTGTGTCAGCCGCAGGCAGTAGCGTTTCTGCTCAATGCTTACGGAGGTACCGCAACACTAGTTGGTTCTGTTTGAAGCTTTTGTTGCGGGTGGTTTGATCCTTCGGGGAATTTTTGATTGGAACATAGAACATAAAATGTCCCGGATGCCAGGCCCAGCCCGTCAACATGTCGCGCTACCGTTGATCAAGGCTTTGCGAGGCTTAGAACAGCCGGATTGGTGTCTGGAAACTTGAATGTCATGCTTCCTTGGATGAGTTCCTCCCACAGTCTGCCTTGTCCAGAGAGATCTTGGATTCAGCAGATCCAATCAGACATATTCCTGGCAATAGCATGACTTTGGAACTATTTTAGTCCCAATAGGGTTGGTGGTGGTGGTGGGCCGGAATATTATGTTTCCGAGCCGAAATTTCATGAACCCCCTTCTGCAGGAGGCCTTTCTGAGAATATCTGGAAAGGGTGGGTGAGGGAATTTTGAGCACTGCAATAAGAAACTTCGAAGACTGAAGCCTGGAGCCTGGATCAAGGGATTGAGTCTGAGATTGTTCAATATCAAAACCTCTTCGTCTACTCTTCCCCGTGACTGGATTCTTTAATTAGATTCCGGAGCCGCTAGTATGCCTCATATTGCGATCCTTCCCCTTCTCTACACGGAAAAGCATGTGGACGGTTGTGAACACAGCCAGTCTTTCACGCTCCTACGAGGAGTCTCTCTCTACGCAACCATCCGCTGCTCTTTTTCACAGAGACTTGCCAAAATTGAGCAATGTCGAGCATCCAGGGAATCTGGTCTCAGTAGACCAGTCGGACCTTCAACAGATCTTTACCCACAATATTATCCTTCTTGGCCTCGAGTTCGAGCATATCCCACGTGCAGTTGATGTATCTTCCTCGCAGCCAGTCTCGTCGCTCCGAGGTGAGGTAGACAAGAGTATCCGCGCTGATGTCAGGGGTCTCCGTGAAGACTTGAGCAGGATTAGAACCAAAGTCCTCATCACGAACAATGAGGCAAAACTACCTAGTTTTTCTTGTTCATTCAAATTTTCCGGCCCTCCCATGATGTCCGTCGGACAGTTGCCGGGGTGGATGGAGAAACAGATGACTCCCTCTGCGGCGTACTCGGCATTCAGGAGCTGGGCAAATCTCATCACGCCCACTTTGGACGTTTGATATGCGCTCAACATCGGGTTCACCAGATGCGCGGCGACACTAGTGACGTGGATCAGGTACTTAGGGCCTCCCGCTTTCAGCAGCAAGGGCAGAAAGGAGCGCGAGACGAGATACGGCCCGTAGAGATTCACGTCCAGGACCCGCCGCCATTCATCGGGATCTGAGTCTACCACCAGACCGAATTTGCCCAGAATGCCCGCGTTGCTCACCACCACGTCGCAGTGGCCAAACTCGCGTTCGACGGTACTCGCTGCCTGTTCAACACTCTGCCGATCCGCCACGTCAAGCTGGACCGGAAGGAACTTGGGAGGACCTCGATTGGCAGATACGGCGGCCAACCGGATGTCGTTCGCTAGGGACGACAGGTCAGACCGGGCTCCAACGGCGATGGATGAAGCGCCCGCCTTCGTGAAAGCCAGCGCCATCGCGCGGCCGAGACCTCTGGATCCGCCGCTGATGAAGACAACCTTGCCGGACAGGTCGGCTTTGGTAGGATCAATCGCCGGGTAGGTGTCATTGTGTACGTGAACGGTCACGTCGTAATCCTCCCCTATGTCGAACTATCAGTGGACAAAGAACGTCGCAAGAGAGAGAAAGAAATGTAGCGACCAGGTCCCTCTAGAATGTTCGGTGTCCCTTTTGGAGGCGGCATGGTGTCTTCAAGCGCACTTCCTGTGAAAAAATAATTATCCACCGTAGAGTACTCTGCTGCCTTTGTGGGTTCGAGTTCATAAAGTCAGTGTCATTGCTCCACCAAGAAAATTTGTAAGTCTGATGACAGGAGACATGTATGAAAGGCGTCATCAGGACTCACAACAAATGTCGTGGTCGTAAGAAAGTCCGTAGAGAAAGTCCGCGGAAAAGCATCGAGCTTCTGTCTTCCCAGCTTTGGCCTCTCCCTCTCTTGGATTTAGTCTATTTTGCTTCCACTTTTATCCTGTCTGCTTCAGCATTTCTTGCTCCAATCTTTCCTATCTCTCATGTTCTGATCTTGCGAGCCTTTCTCTTCTGTTTCCGTTCCAAGGCCCGTGGACCCGAGCCGGCATCCTCGTCCCGCTAATTTACGTTACGTTGCCAGTCTTCTGTGTTAGCTTCCAAAGCTCCACCGTCTAACAAGCTGGCCTTCGAGCCGGAACGCCCTCACTGATCCGCTGTTTGCTGGTCCTCACATAAGCTTTCCTCGCAGACCTGCTCGGGGTACGTGCCGAGGCATTCATCGTTCGATGAATTTAACGTCGTTCCTCCTCGTGCTCTTTCATATCCTTGTTGCCGTGACCAGCGGTGCATCCTTCTCGTTGGCAACAGGCCAGTACCTGTTCGTGTTCATTGTATGGGAAACACGCTGTTACGCAGGCAAATATGTATCTATTGTACGTGTTGTTAATATAACGTTGTGTACATGTGGCTCTTAGCATCGTCAAGAGTAGAAGGAACTACGACAATGGTCGAAGACAACAATGTTATGCCCTGTTAAATAGAGGAGAGACCCCTGATGTAACTCATAGCCACAGAACCTCGATGGCCAGGTTTCTCCCCTACGCCCGTCCCAGAACGATGACAGAAGAATGGAATGACATGTTGTAAGTATGGATATGATATACGTAACCCAGCTTGTTCAGCAAGTTGGTTTCATTCCTTTCTCGTCAGCTCCTTTCCGCAAACAAGGTCATTATGACGAGATCGAACGTGGCAACGTGCCAATGCGCCCCAACCTCTGGTACCACGTACTCGTCGATCAAGATCCGGGAATCGCTCGTCAGTGCGGACGACAAGCTGTTGCAGGATTTTGACACAGCTCACGTCGTTCCAGTTATGCCGCACTTTCCGCAGGTAGTAAGAATTTGGCACCTAAATGTTAAAAACCCAGGTCAATTCCACAGGAACCTACTCACTGGCTGAATAGATGTGTCGAACCAAGAGCGTACCTTGAACCGCTTGTTCCTTGGGGTTGTCCTGTGATAGAACGATTATACTGTCAATTGGCAGCACCTACTCAACCGTGTCCGGTAGATCGTCCAGAACAAGTTGTCCGTGCAATCTCGGCTACTTCTGTAGTAGCTGGAGACGATCAACGCCCCAGCCACCACCAAAATCCACAAAGAACGACTTTTCCGATGGTTGTGGAGTCCCTGCGGGGATCTTCATGGTCTCGCTGTCGAAGAGATCAAATCCCGGGACCCATTCGCTGCTCTGCATGGCGGTCATGACGTTTTGAAAAGAAGTGAACCCTTTCGGTTGTCTTTGCAGCCTTTCAAAGTACGGAAGGTCGGTATTCAAGGCTTTCCGAAAGGGGGTTTTTGTGAGGCTGGTGATTGCTTGTACTCTGTTTCCTCGAGAGAATTTGGAAGCTCATGGAGGGCAGAATCGTTGACATTGAATCTGTATGTTTGCAAGAAGTCATGTTAATCATGCACCTAGTGGCTATCAGACTATGCTTTCAACTCACGCGCGGTAGATGCCATGTTCTATCTGAGGTCTCCCAATTAGATGTGTAAGCTTGCTCGCTGCGAATTGATCTTGATCAACTTCGGTGATCTGGTCTACTCCGGCCATGTAACGGAGAATTCTGCCTTTGATATATGGTTTGGTATCATTGAGTGTGATATGATGACTAATTCATCATTCGCAAATGAACATACATAATAATTCCGGAGCTGCACCGGCCTCTTTCGATAGGTCTTCGATGCTCAAAGGACCATTGTTCTTGGTTGCCAGCATACTGAACAATCCTAGATCGGCTGCGACAACGGCGATCACCATTTCAAGATTCTGCCAAAGACCAGATGTGATCAGAAGTGGACATGAAAGATAACTGATAGAGAGTCAATATATACAGGCACAGATTATTACTCTCAGAGCTGAGCGTTCTCATCGAGGTATCGATAGGGGGTTTCGAGATGCAACAAAAGCTGCGGAAGGGTATCTTGTATCTTGAGGCGCTCCACGTCATCCGACGTGTTGGCTGAGTCTTGAATCTGAGGCACAATGAAATCCACATTTTTGATCAAATTTCTCAGGTAAAGGTTGTAATTCCAAACGTTCAGTGGGTACCGCTTTTATCTGGAGATCTGGACGACCTAAGCTTGAGACATCAATAAATTGATCTCGAAGTTTTGTGTCATGACTTGCTTTCTTCTCTTCCGCGCAATTTTCTCTTTCTTTGTGATACGGCTTCAGGTAACCATATAATAATTCATTAGTATACAATTTCGTTTACCAAGACGAAATTTCTTGGCAACGAGCGGGCATTGAGAAGAAAAAGACATTTGTATATTATTGGCAATGCTAGTCTTAGGACTCAATATGTCCTTCGAGTTGGATAGTTTGGACGCCAGATGAAGAAGGATCTTTCGCTAGCAGCATTCTGTGGATAAGGGGGAGCCCGAAGGCAGATTGTCTGGGCGATTAGGCACCAGGCATCGTTGTGGTCGTCGGCGGGAGCTTTCTCAAGTGATTGCACATTCTGCTTGACGGGTAGAGGACATACATAACGACTTTCAACTCGAGGTTCCTGTCGATCCTACCTCGGTTCATAGCCAGCGCCGGTCTCTTGCAGTATGAGAGTTCCGGCTCCGGGGATACGATGGAATAAGACTAACCAGGTATATTGGGATCAAGGTGATCATTTCGTCGCCTCGGTAGTACCATTTGGGAGACAGGAAGGCTTTGTTGAATACAGTGCGGATTCATTCTGGCTTTTGACAGTTTTTGTCCCGTCCAAGTACTTGGAAGAACAGGTGAGAACGGCATTTTTGCCTCTATGACAATTGTTCCTGTGCTCCATGATCCGGGCTCACTTCACTGAAGGAGCAGGACGCTTTTGTACGAATTGACTCTTCTCATGTACATGACAGGTTCAGCGTCAACACCCATATGCCTCACTTTAAAGATGTGTTGAGCTTGCGGGACCTAGCCACTATGAAGCTTCTCAGTAACCAACTTCATGTCACGAAAGTACATCATTCTCTCCATCCATCTTGCCTACTCTCGCACCAATGTGGTCAAAAGATCACATGGACTGGCTTCCAGGACTTGGAAGCCCATCTCACAGTGGTTCCAACGCGGTTTCCACTCCTCGCGCAGCGCTTGAGACCAGCCTCAACACACAAACAGCGGATTCAAAAGTCGATGAAGTGCAATACTCCATCGTCTGCGACGACTGTGGTAAACATTTCTGGAGTCGTTCCAAAGCAAACTCTCATGCCGCGCTGACAGCACACGTCCTTCACGAGGAGATTGAATCGCCCACCGTTTCAAATTCTCCTGCTGCCACTCCGGCGTCTGCTCCAGAAACGACCACGCCTTTTACTCCTGCTATAAAAGTGGAGGCCAGCCCAAACACAGACACTCCCGGCCAAGAAGAACGCGAAGGCAGCGGAGACGGTAAATATTCCGTGTGCTTTGGCTGTGGCAGACACTTCGGGAGCCATGAGGCAGCCTATAATCACGCCAAAGCAGAACACATGCAGGACACAGAATTGGTGCCTTCGAGCGCTCCTGATGGGTCTCCTACCTTTGCTGCTGTCGGTCCTGCGGTACCTCCTACATCCCCTGCTGCCAATCCTAGCATACATCCAAGCTCCCTTTACCAAATAACTGGTCCCGACACCACTTCTCTTGCTGCCAATGGAGGCATAATCCCGACATCGCTGTACTGGGCTACCGAACAAACGCCCGATTATGCAATTTCTCCTACTTCTCCTGTTTACAACCGAGGCGTAAGTCCAACTCTCATGTACAGGATCGCGGGTCCAACTAGCGACCATGCAATGGCCCTACTGCGGAAAGAGATTGCTCGTCCTCCGGTGCCAAATGTGAGTCTATGAGGCCGTATGTCGACTAAAAAGGTCTCCTGCTGACGTTCTTAGCCTGAGTCTCGGGCTTCTCATTCTGAGGATGACGATAGTCTTCGCCGCTCTTCGGGACTCTCTCCGAGCCCAACCGCATCCGATTCGCCTTCAACACAAGATCTTCCACGCTCCGTGAACACAGGCACTCAGACGTTTTTTACTCCTACCACAACCATTCCACCATCTCCGAGCTCCAGCTGCGCAACACTAGAACACCCGCAGGTGATCTTCCCTCCCGAGCTTTCCGATCGCATCTTCTTCATAGTAACCCCCTCTGGCAATCGCAAAGGTCCCAGCTTCATCATGGGCCTGGCTGAAGCACAAATTGCCGTGACATTCCGCACTGGCGTACGTGGTCGACTGGGGTTTCAGGGCGAGCAGGTCGGCTTACGGGAAATCGTTGCCCGTGTTCCAGTAAGCAACTTCCCCAATCACCTCTTCCCTCCCTACGTTGATGTGAACCGCAAGACACGTTGCTGGGGTACATCAACTCCTGCAGCTGTCTTCTGACTCGGTTCTCGAGCTTGAAAATGAGCTTTCTGACTGGAGTACTTACAGTGGCTTCCTGTACCTGTATATGCGGACACTAATGAGGACCACTATCACCTGCTCATGGTAGTCAAATTCTGGCCAGAATGGCAAAAGACAAATGGGAATACGTCTTGCCACATACTTGTCACTCTTGAGGACGAGAAAGAGGACAAAGAAGAAGGCGAGCAATAGAAAAAAGAACCAGGCAAGGCGGAGGACTGATGGCCGCGGCGCTTTGGAGACAGGTGCCCCCGGACTGGAGAGCTTGATGGAAGGAGTCTTGGGGGCAACGGTGCACTTGCGTCTATGTATGTCCGATTGACAAAGCACACATGATACCGATCACTCTACAAGAATTTTTAGAATCATGCTCGTTTCCGCGCAGTGGTCTTTGGCAAGCTCGAAATTAAAGGCGAGAACGCACGTACTCAGGACATCCTTTTTCACAAGAGGGGGATATCGAAACGGTCTGCAGTGAGCGGCGAGTCTAGGCATCGTGCCATGCTGATGGACGTCAAGTATTGGATCGGTTGGAAGGAAGCATACGGCTTGTGCAATGTGTATGTTGGCATCGAAAGAAGCTCGTGGTGACGGGATTGGACTGCCGTTGCTAGAAGTCGAAGTCATCCATAACGGCTTCTGTACCCTGCCTTGAAGTAAATAGAGAAAATGCGGAAAAGCGATCTGGGACCGTAGGATACGTGCTTTACGATCGAATTCTGACCGTCTCGATACCTTTGCTACGGAAGAATTGAATTTCTCGAGACAATCTTGAGCACAAGGTTCAATATAGGCTCACTCGATTTCAGACATCAGATAGCGTCACAGCAGATCGGCATTGTAATCGTTTGAAGCTCTATAGTTACTAGCAATCGAGCTGTCCTGTACTGAGCTGGAGAATACTCCACCCTGATCTTGGCCACGACTCTACATGAGGCATCCTGCTGTTGTTGACGTCTCGAGAAGGACAGCTACAAAAAAAGGATTGTCTAAAGTAAACGGATTCTATTAGCGACAGTCATTGATGAAAGTAGTGAAAGCGGTAATTTGACCTCGCAATCATTGAACCTCATACAAGAAAAGACCACGCTAAGCAAAAGACCACGCTAAACAAAAGACTACACTTTAAAAAAAGACCACGCTAGAGAAAAGACTACACTTTAAAAAAAGACCACGCTAAAGAAAAGACTACACTTTAAAAAAAGACCACGCTAGAGAAAAGACCGGTTGGTACGAATCTCAATGTTTGCGAGGTCCAAGTACCAGAAAACTCCGCTAACCTGATTGGAAAGCTTGCTTTCTCCTGGCTCAAGAATAAAATCACTTCTGTGCCAAGCCTCGCTATAAGACTATTCTGGGAAACTCTTACCTTATTAGGAAGTAACTAAGGATTTAGTAGGTCTTAACTAAGAACATTAAAATTTTCTCTGATTTTCTCCATTTCTCTCTATCTCTATCTCTATCCTTAATATATCTTAATCAATTTTAGATTTTGGCCTCGCATCCTCTACAGCTCGACGTACTGCAAATCGGTATTAAAAGAATTATCAATAATAAAATACCGAGCGCGCTCTCTCATAGTTACACTCTCAAAATCAGCTACGATCTCAGAGAAAAGCTCAAAGTCGATAGCAACGTCGATTACCTTCGTGCGATATCGCATTACAATCTCAACCTCAGCCTACGACACCTCAAAATCTTCCCCAAACTACTCTCGAAGGCATCAATTCTATGCGTATTATCGAGACGCAAATGGATATCTTCAAGCCCAATACTCCAGACCCCGATATCAAACGCCCTACATTCGATATTTACAATACACATCTACGGAAAAATCAAGGTCTCGGCGCTCTGAAACGCGTTTACGGAAAAGCCGAAATAAGTCATTTTCATCTTCAACGAGAGGTTGCCGAGGATTTATGTGATGATCTCGTATATTGAATACGTCTTCAAGAAGAGCGATTCTTACAAGGGCCTATTAGTACCGAATTATAAGACGCCTTAGATTACGTATTTTACGTTATGAAAGCTAAGTGTATAGCGGTCGGTTAGCCTTAAATTAAGGATGAACTTGAGACTTTGTTATGTACGGCGATTCGGCGTGGAGATCTTAAGACTATTTATAAGCAACTTCGGTTTATAATTAATGATCGTTGTAAGGAATTTCTTTAGAGGGATTATAGTTATGATCTTGACGAAGCGGACAACCCGATACCGATCTCAAAATGGGCTTTATGTAAATAATTTCGAGCTTGCGAGGACGGCCCCTCCGGCAGGAGCCCTCGGAGAGCCCCCGGAGGGTAGGGGGGTTTAGGGGGTCTCCCCTTAATAGAATTGGTACTATGCAGTAGTAATCTTCTCAGTCTTCTCAGTCTTCTCACATCCTCGGCAAGTTTTCCACTACTGGGTAGCCCCGCGCCCCAGCACATATTTTTATTAGCGGGCCGCCTTTTGTGTTCAATCTTTGGACAAAACCTGAAAAAGGTTAGCGGCAACTTGTCGTCGAAAGGTCATCCACCTGCTCAACGCCGCAGACGCCAAATGCCGAACTTCATACCATCGCCAGGTAACGACCCACACATGGTCATCAAATCCAATTAAATCTGACAGGTCGGCACCATGCCTGCGGGAATACCGATCACCGAGTGCCTGCGAGGACTCGGTTTGCTTGCGCCGGGTCCCAAACCGACCAAGTGTCGATGGACAGCTTTGGCGAAGACAGTTTATGGACACATCGCTGGGCTTATCCCATCGTCTGGCGACTTGCAGGTAAAATGTCTTGGCACCAACCACCAAAAATCTATTTACATGGTATGGCCTTCAAATGCTCCTTCAAATAAGCAATCTGATTAAAGATCGCTATTCCACATAGCTTACAGCCATATACACCTCTTGGGGTCTGCTGGGGCCGTTTTCTTTAACCCTTATCTGGTATTCTGACGGTGTTAATAGATAATTCCAATAGTGGCTTCCTGATCTTTGACTATGGCTGTGGGGACGTCCTTTGGGACTGTCGTAGGCTTTGGATCCTTTTTCACGTGATCAGATCATTTGACACCTTATTGCGAGGCATTTTTATTAGTTTTCTAGGCTATTTGGCTTTCATCCGATGTCTGATAGACGCGTTGTTTTGGTGGTTCGTGTGGTGAGGCCGGTAGGGCTGAACCCTATTTACCATCGCTGGGCTTATAGACTCCATCGAAGAAGAAGATCGTGCTAATGGTCATGCCAAGAGCCTGAACGAACGGATCGAGGACGGAACAATTGAGTGGGTAGACAAGTACGGCGATCTCTGGACACTCAAGAACCGTGGCAGCCTCTTCCCTAACGCACCAACGTATCCCACCGAGAAGTCAATGTACGTACTCATCCGGAGTCATGAATAGTACGAAAGCACGCGATCGCTCATCATTTACCAGCATGGCCTCTTGGGTTGAGCAACTCGTACGGAATAAGCTAGATCGCGCCGACTCAAACAAGAAACATAATGGGGCAAAAAGTCTTCTGGACGGTAACCCCAACGACGACAATCAAGCTCAAGGCGTTACGAACGAGGGCCCCGTATCTAGCACGCAAGACGTCGAAAAGGTGATATTCCCGCACGATCTGAGGCTCAGAATGGTTTGTATCGCATGGACTGACGAGAAGGTTTGGGAATAGACCTCAGAAGCAAGCGATGAAGCTAGCGAACGCGCGGCTTTTCCAGAAAGTTCGAGCCACGATGAGGAAGCAACGGGCTTCAATCAAAGTCTGGCGCCCCACATAGTTCCAGCAATTCCAGCAGCTGCGCAATTTTCAGTCCGGCGCCTACGCTACAAGCATCGGACTTCAACGCTATTACCGCAAACCGGAGTCCCAAACCCCATCCAACCCAGGCCGATAGACCATTCCAGGACCCTCATCCAGATTTTTCGCCCCAGAACTTCTTCACATCTTTAACATATCCCCCCATCGCTTTCCCCGAACCAATGTTCTCGCGAATTATCTTCCTCGTTCGGCCTCCAGGAGACTACAACCGATCTGCCGGACGCATCATGGGTCTTGCTGAGGCGCAGGACTTTGTGAACTTTCGTGCTGGCACGCTCGAAAGACTCGAGGCTATTGGTGAAAGCATCGGCTCAAAGAGGTTGGTTGCTAAGCTGGAATGGCTGCCTGTACCGGTTCTGATGCAGAATAGTCATGACCATCACTTCTTGCTTGAGGCGATAAAGACATGGTCAGAGTGGAAGAGACCAAGTTTGTGCGTCGTCTATATCAGTCTTGAAGACGAGGCTTAAGAGTCAAAAGCACTCATGCTTATGCTTCTTGTGCGTTATGCTGAGTCAAAGACAGCAAGATGGATGCGACTTGATGGGCGGTGGAATGTCTAAATCACCCGCATGCCCTGGTAGAGGCCAAAGGCATTTCAATTGGAACAATCCCAGCTGAGATGATCCCTGACTTGGCTGGAAAAGTCACGACTTTTTAAGCTGGCGTTCGAAGGCGCTATGTCGCTTATTGCAGTCATACCCGCGGCTATTTAGCGTGTGCAAATATGATCGGAAAGCTTGGCGTTTTCGCTTGTGTATGTACACTTGGCATTCTCAGTTCCAATCACATGGCAGCGCATGCTAAGTCATGGTAGTCAAAGTTGCCTACAAAAGATGTACGATGATTGCACTCGACGGGATAATATAGTCATTCGTTGTCGAGCACCCATAGGATGACGGTGTTCTATCGCAGTGTATCATGTGGTTGGTTGGGAAGTAGTGATGCAAGAATCGGGAGGGTTTTTCCTGTGAAGCGAGAACCTTGCTGAATTGCCCGTTGCATGAACTTAGATAGATGACGTGGAAGAAAAATCGTCGTCAAGAAGGATGGGAAGTCTATCGATCAGGTCTAAGTCGTGATATGTCGGGAATTCTTGAGCGGTCTCTGGGAAATGTGATTTGAGGTCGTCTAACACTTGCTCGGTCATCTTCGTTGCTGGTCGATCCTGGAAATTTGGCAGCACAGACGCAGAGTTCTCGATTATAATTTCATGAATGAAATTGATGAACTCCTTATCTCATATTGAACGACACTGTGCTGTTCTCCCAATCCATGCTGCGTGACCCTGTTGGGATGGATCCTGATATTGTTGTTAGATAGAATATGCAAGGGAAAGGCCAGTCTCAAGTAACAATCCTTGGCGCTCCGTCCAGATGCTACTTTCACCTCACGAATATATAGACTACTCATAGCTCAATCATAGCTAACCCTCCTTTGATCGACATCTTAGACGCCACTAAATACCAAGAGTTGAAGACGACGTAACCAAGTCCGGCCGGCTCCAAATGCCTAAAGCATACCGCACGCCGCTCCAAATATCCAAACTCTGTCCACAATTGACAGCCTCCCGTAAGAGGATAGAGGAGAAGTTGTGCATAAAGGAGAAGATTAACCCAGCGAGGATTCCAGGTGAGAGAATGAGTCAGAAGACATGGATAGAGGGAACCTCGAGGATATGAAGTACCACTGCGGCAACAAAGTATAGTGATTCCTATTCGCGAATAATCATTCGGAGACCATGCCTGCGGATTGCACTGTGGGACCTGGATCGGAATCTGACAGTTTTTGCCTGCCAAATTATCCCTCTATTCATGACTCCCTATCCGTTCTCTTACATGTGAGGTGGGAATCGAAAAGTAGTCTTCTTTTAGTACTCTTGGATAGGAACAGTCACTAATGTTCTGATCAATAGCCACAAACGTATGCAAAAGTGACAACATGTGTACTCTGAGGGCTGAGACTCAGAATTGTCTGAGATTCAGCACTGAGTTTCAATTTATTCCATATTTACACGTGACTCTAGATACATGGTCCGACTCTCCTTCACATAGTCTCTGGTAAGACTCTATATACATTAAAACCCAGCGCCTTCCTCCACACAACCATTGCAATAGCAAGACAACCCAAGTCTCGACGCCCCCTTCCGATTCTCAAGCACATTCCAGATCCTGAGAATAATCATCGACTCTAAAGCTTCTCTACTCCTGCACAGGCACGCAACAAAGCAAATAGCGGTGATACGGTTCAAGTATCGCTCCCATGACCGATGAACGGCGACCTGCCAAATTCACGGATCTGGTTTACCCCGAACCTGACGCCTTTCTTGGCTAGTGCTAGGTTCCTTGTGACAGGAACAGCCCTCGGACCGTGCTCGTCCTCCTTTTCAAACATGCCATGGGCCATGTTCGCGGTTCCCGTGACTGCGGGACGCTTCAGGATAGACGTAGGCTGACCCCGGTGTGCTCGGGCGGGTGCTTCTGGAGGTGGCGAGTAGCTTGCTGGCGACGCAAGAGAGGTGTCGGTAGATCCTAAACCAGTTCGGAACGGTTCTTGGTTCTTGCGCCGCAATTGCTCGTATATTTTCCACAGCTCTGGGGTACTGGGACGATAGCCAGCCGGGATACTCTTAAGGCCAAGTCCGGAGCCGTCGCCCTTACTAGAGAGCATAGTGCTCTCAGTAAATCTCGCGTAGTACTCCTCAGTTTCTTTGACGAACTCCTCCCAAGATGGAACGCCGTCGGCAGGTGGCCATGCCTGTGCAGTCCTTTGGGGTGTTGGCAGTAGAAACTCCGTTCGGAGACGATTCCTCCTGATCCACCTACGAAAGTAATAGACCAGCGCTACGGTGATAGCAATTCCTGCCACCGCCCCAACCACAGCAGCGGCAACAGTGACAGCTGGTTTTGACGTCTGGGATGTAGCACCGATGGGAGATGGTGCTATAGTAGGGGCGGTCGTTGTGGATCTAGGAGTCTGCACTGCTGCCGGTTGATATGTCGTCAGCGTTCCGTTCGAGTATATGCTTATTCTGTTGGTAGCACCGCAGTACTGGGCCTGATTGCCACTACAAGGCAAGTTGCAGTCAGAGTCGAATGGTGCGAGAGTACCGCCATTGTAGATAACATTTCCGCAAAAACACTGGTGGCGGAATTCCAAGCCTGAAACAGAGTAGCCAATCTGAGAGCAAGACCTGACGCATGACTGGATAGTAAGATTTGAGTTTGCAGGTTGCTCAATAGGAAGCACGCGTGCTTCGGAATAGTCGATGTAGCACCCTTTATACGCCCATCCCACGGGAAGGTCGTCCGCTGTCATAGAAGGTAGAGCTATCGGTGCTTGGGCAGTGTAAGGCACCGGTGCAAGGGTCACACCGCTTGTAGGTTGATTCGTCTGAGCCAGTACAGCTGTGGTGTATCCTGATTGGTCGATGAGATAGGTTGTCTGCTCGAGCCATGACGCAGTGGCAGGGACGGACCCTATGTCGACGACTACTATTTGGGAGTCAGAGTATATGGTGTTGGTGACCATGTCCGCAACTATGGCTGGTCAGATAGGGATGGCTGTTGGAATGCTCATTCTCAAGTAGTTAGTGAAGATGATCGGGATTGATGGAAAAGGAAGACAAGCAGAGAGGGAATAGTGAAGTCCCAGAGGGGCGGGCTATCCCCAGCTGGCTTGTGCAACCCGTGCGCACGGATGAAGAAAGACATGCCAAGGCTCAGTGAAGGTGACATGAAAAGTGCTCTTAGTGAAAAGGAATATCTCCTCTAATTCTGTCTACGATAGGGCTGTATGGTCACTATGTAGTGAATGTCTTGTCTTATGCAAAATGATTTTCCAGACTTCTGGTGTTTCTCTGGGAAGCTCTTGGAAGACAAGGAAGCGTAGCAGCAATACCAGTAACATGATAGACTCGTCGAAAGAAGCACAGAGACAGATAGATTTCTCTTTGTCACTGTAGCAAGTAAGGCAAAGATGGTGGTCCGGTGCGTAGATTGGAAAGGTACACGGCAGCAGTATGGTTGCTTAGCGGAGTTATTTCTGATGAGACAAACATGCGACATCACTGGCGCCCACTAGGCCAATAAAGCCAGATGATGATGATGATGATGCATTAAATCATAAAGTAGAATCATTGATTCATTGGTTCTGTAGTTCCGGTTCGGAGGCAAAACATCCAATCCAATTCGCTACGGGATTCCGTATGTTTCGGCCGCAGCATGCCGTGTGCTCCTGGTCAGCTGGGCAGTCGGCCGTTGGTCCCATATTGTGGGGTAGGTAAGCGAAATGCACTTCGTTCCTTTGGGATCAATTGGAGATCTTTGATGATTACTATGATTCTTACAGGAGTCCTTAATTGTTACTCAGAAGATAATTGGGACAAAGGCAGCAAGACGTTCGACTTGGTTGACATGAGTGGGGGTTTTGGCGCTGGTGCCGCCAACAGCGGGGTCTCTTTCTCTGACCGCCAAGCATCCTTCCAAAATTAAAATGCGCCCTCCCATTGAACCTTGTGACTTGAATAGAGCAATTCATACGTGGGATCTGGCGTCTTCTCTGTCAGCGTTATAACATGCCTCTCCCTCCCCGTGTCCATTGCGCCTGCCAACACTGGACTCCCAACCATGGTTGGATCCCCCCATGACGGTCACCCTAGTCACAATCTTCCTTCGACCATATCTACATAATAATAACATTCTTTGTCCCCAATATTTATTTTTACTCATCACCTACAACCGCTCTTCCGAAAGCCTACATTGGCTCTAGATGCTTTGAGAGGCAGCTGGACTGCCCCCTGCATTGAACATCTCCCAAAGCCTTCCTCAAGCACCCTCTCCTACAGCTCCCAATCTTTCCTTCCACTCAGCTCGCCCTCCTCCTTAGTCTCGAGGCTACATACCGATCATGGCGTCAAAGGAGCAGCTGAGCGGTCTCTCTCTCCGACCATCAGAGTCCGTCCCAGGTGATCAGGCCGAGGCCAAAACTCCATTTTGGAAGCGAATGTTGGGCGGCCAAGAACCGGCGAGCTCCGGGAGCTCGGTTGATCAAGAGGATGGAAACAAGGGCAAGCCAGAGAAATGGAGCATGGGGGTCCTCAACGACAGACAAACCGATGAGGTGCCAGGTACGTTTTGAGCGCAATGCTACCCAGGTCCACTGCGCGTAGCCTGTTGCGCAACAACATCAGGGAATTCGCCATGGACCGTAGGTTTATCCGCGGCTGGCAGTAGGCTGACCCAATGCTTCTCCAGGCTCCATTCTCCTCATGTCCAATACCAAGCACAACGAGCCTTTGGGTCTGCGCAACGCACCAGCGAGAACATCCGCCTCCTCTTTACCTTCGCCATTTCCTCCGAGCTCAGGATCTGGAAGCGCAAGACCCTCCTCCCGCAGGCAACTTTCAGGCCATTCTGTGGAGGAGAAGAAAAAGACCAAAGATGGCAAAATCATACTAGAACCGCAGCCCGAGGAATCAATGAACGATCCTCTGAATTGGCCGAGCTGGAGACGAGATGTTGCTCTGCTTTCTCTTGGCTTCTACTGCATGCTTGGCGGCGGTATGACACCGGTCCTCGCCGCTGGCTTCAAAGAGGTTGCAGCTACATACGACGTCTCTATTCCACAGGTCGCCCTTACCACTGGTCTGTACATGATGGGGCTAGGTGTGGGCTCGGTAGTTTTCTCGCCTACGGCGATCCTGTTTGGCAAACGCCCGGTCTACCTCGTGGGCATCGTCTTGTTCATCGTGAGCGCGGTTTGGTGCGCAGTATCACCAAACTACGCATCGCTAGTCGTCGCTAGGGTATTCATGGGGCTAGCAGTAAGCCCAGTCGAATGTCTTCCATCGGCTACCATTGCTGAGATTTTCTACCTACACGAGCGGGCCTATCGACTTGGGATATACACATTGCTCCTCTTGAGTGGCAAGAATCTAATACCACTAGTTAGTGCGGCTATCATCCAAGGCTTGTCTTGGCGCTGGGTTTTCTGGTAAGCAATCCATGGTCTCAGCCAAAGAAGGTCCAAAAAGCTGACAGATACTAGGATAGTCGCCATGGTCGTTGGATTTTGCTTTGTGCTCATGTTCTTGTTTGTGCCGGAGACCTTCTGGGATCGGACACCGCGGCCACGTTCAAGAACCCTCAGACCAGGCCTAGCAGGTTTATCGAGAATTTTCCACCATACGAGTAACGCGCAGGACGAGAAAGGTGGGCTGTCTGCTGGTGGCGACGGGCCGTCGGATATGAGAAGACTCGCCATTGGCAACTCAGCATCCGCCGCAGGATCCGGCCGCGCAACGATCGCCGAAAGAAGGCAGCAAAGGAACGCACAGCACGTTGGATTTGCCGATCAAGCTCAAAAAGAGAGCGAAGATTCGTCGGAGAAGGATGACGCAGTCTTGGTCCCGGAGTCAAAACCTCAAGGAGACGAGGACGGGCGAACTTCTCGAAAAGATGATCAGGCCGAGGGCGCCCAGTACGCTGGTGAAGAAGTCCCTCGATCTTTGTCACCAGCGAGTCACAAATTTGCGGCAAGGATTGAGCCTAGAGGCGAAGGGCCCCAAACGCCTGGTCTTCACAACTTCAACTCTCCGTTCTACGTCGCCACTGAGAAGCCAGGTACCGATTATTTGAAGAATGAGCACGAGGGATCTGAAGTCATTCCCGAAACGCCAGGCTCGACCGGGACGAATCGTGAGACAGCGGCAACCAGTGTGGGGTCCTCGGTACGTGGACCTCAACGATACACCACGTACCTCCGAACTCAGCCAGCCAAGACGTACGCGCAGACTCTCAAGCCGTGGAATGGCAAGCTCCGACACGAGAATTGGTTGAAGGTCGCAATTCGCCCTTTCATTCTTTTCGCGTACCCATCCATTCTGTGGAGTACTTTGGTATACTCACTGAGCATTGGCTGGCTGATCGTCCTCTCCGAATCGGTCTCTACGATATTCGAGAACAAGGCAACCTACAACTTTACTCCGCTTCAGGCCGGGTTAGTTTACGTTTCCCCCTTCATAGGCGGCGTGTTGGGGACCGCTGTGGCGGGTAAAGTGAGCGATCTCATTGTGCGCTACATGAGTCGACGCAATGGCGGTGTCTATGAGCCCGAGTTTCGACTGGTCATGGCGATTCCAGTGACAATTGCGACCTGTATTGGCCTGATGGGTTACGGGTGGAGTGCTCAGGAGAGAGACAACTGGATCGTGCCGACTGTGTTCTTTGGCATCATCAGCTTTGGGTGCGCGCTGGGTAGTACCACTTCTATCACTTTTGCGGTGGACAGCTATCGCCAATACGCCGGTGAGGCTCTGGTCACTCTCAATTTTTCGAAGAGTAAGTTGCGTATCTCCGGTGGACAGCATTCAGCGCTTGTGCTAACATTGTTATTTTAGACATCTTCCACGGCCTGGTCTTCTCCTTGTTTTTCAATCGTTGGCTGGATGCCGACGGGATGAAGAACACGTTTGTTGCGATCGGCGGCATTCAGCTGGCTTGCTTGACAACAACAGTGCCGATGTATATTTTTGGCAAGAGGGCACGAATGTGGACGGTGAGGAAGAACTTTATGGAGAAGTTCTAAAGTTATCGTGGATGAAATGAGAGGAGAAGTGAGGATGATGTTGGGCATGTCTATACATAGCAGAGCCCAGAGCGAGGAGTTGGGGGCAGCATTCTGTGTTCTTCGCATGCGAGTATTTTCTTGGGAGGGAGGCACAGCATTTGCGTGAGCGTGATACATTGCATGTTGGGTTCTTAAGCGCACCAGGCCAATTATTCTTAGGTTATGTACTTCGAGGCGTGTTCACTTCAATCTTCTCAAAATGCCGAGTCAATTTCTATGTTCTCGTGCATTGGTCTCCGCGGCAGCCAGCAGACTAGAGGTAGAAGCCTGGAATAGCCCGGACTGATAAACTCTTGGCCTGGGAACAGGAAGTCTGGAAAAAGAGGCACACTCACCCTCTCATGCTCTGATCAATCCGGACCTGTTTCATCCCGCAGACCACCCGCCTGAGTCGTGTTTGAGGCGTCTCTTTTGAGTGAAGGACCAGATACAGAAGGGTGAGCCGCTTCGCCTGCGCCTCATAGCGACATACATCCTGAGTGAAGAAGTTGCATGGAGATTTGAGGGAAGCAATTGTCGAGGCACAACTCTGTCGACGCAGCTCCCTATTCAATTGCTTTACAGATGATGGCTAAGTAGACCAATCGCATTCATATGTTCAGAAGGTTTATGCGTAGCTTTATGCTAATGAACCAGAGGCATGAGTCTGATGTTGTAATGAATTTGGATAAAAGTATAGGGTAGAGTACTCGGTGACTAGAGTAACTTACCTTACTCACTTTTAACTGATTCCATCCATCCTCCGCCTCTGCGGCGCGACCCTAAAATGGACCACGACCACGGTCCAACTTTCGCCCAAATTCGACCCCGCCTTTTTCTTCCTTCACCACTTATTCTGCCTTTTCTCACTGCGCCGGGCAAACACCACATTGCTGCTAATATTCAACGGCCCCAACATAGGTAGAAATGGTGGGAAGATCGCGGACCATGCAGAAACCTTCAATTATGTCCGGCCCTTCTCCTCACATGCTACACCAGCTGCCCTCTCGTTTCATACTTGTCTAGGAGCAGCGAGCGTTACGGCACAGAACATGTACTTTCCTTTCACCCTGCTGCACCACCCAATTGCCGTCTGACCGGCGCTGGATAATCTCAGTCTAAGAGAGCATGATGCATGGAGATCGTTTCTTCATAAATGCTGTCTGCTTGTTTGCGTCTCACAATTCATGTTTAATGGCGCGGTGTTTCCTTTCGTTTTCTTCCTCCCCCCCGTCCTCCCCCCCGTCATACCTTTGAATATTGCTCCGAGTGGCAATTGGGCCGACCCGTACAGCACCGTCAACCCAAGGATCATATACCATTGTTGAGCAGCATCTTATCTACAGGACAGATGAGCAAGGCCACAGAATGACGCCAACTCCATTCTCGCGAGACCCCACAAGGGTCACGCATGTTGTTGTCTTAGCCGTCTTCTCCTTTCTCGCACTCGTTGCGGTCATCTTCAGGTTGTGGGCTCGAAAATTACAACGGAACATATGGGAGGCGAATGACTATCTTGTCATTGTCGGCTTGGTAGGCGTTGCGCCAGACAGGAAGCACATGAAGATCGCCTAACGCATGCCAGATATGGGCGCTGGCATTATCTGTCTTCACAATGCACTGTGAGCATTCGACGTAACTGCTACGCGCGTCTCAAGACTACATACTGATGGCTCGTAGCGAATATATACTGGGACCTGGGAGGCGATGTGACCCAGTACGGGGATCCTGAGGCCATTGGAAGACTAGTTGTGCTTCAATTCAAGGTATCGCCTCTCCTCCGTGACGGTACCCTATTCATTACTAAAGCATCAACAGGCCCTGCTCGTCGGCCAAGTGACCTGGGCAGTCGCCGTTACTTTCATCCGCGCCTCGATCCTCGCCCTCTACATCCGCATATTCCGGACAAAATCTTTCCGCATGACCTGCTATGTGGTCCATGGGATCAACGCAGCGTTCGGCGCCGCCACCATCCTCGGCGCATGTCTCATTTGCCAGCCCATCTCTTTCAATTGGAATCACTCAATAGCAGGTGGCCATTGCGGAGATCAAAAATCGCTGGATCTATTCATTGGGATCTTCAATTTGCTCGTGGACGTGACCGTGGTAGTGCTGCCGATGCCCGTGCTATGGGGTTTGCAAATGGCTGTGGGCAAGAAGTGGACGTTGAGCGGCATGTTTGGTTTGGGCATCATGTATGTCCAACTTCCCTTCGTCCGCCTCGCACAATTCCTTAATACCCCTATCCGCGAAACCTCGTCCTAACGAAGGATGCAGAATCTGCGTCATCACCCTCATAAGGATCGACATCACCACGATGAACCACGGCACCAACGCCCAACAGATATACTCCCTCCTCGCCCTCTTCACCTGCCTCGAAGCCCTCCTCGGCGTCATCAACGCCTGCCTCCCCGTCCTCAAGCCCATCTTCAACAGACTCGGCGACTCCGGCGCCTCCGCCTGGCTCTCGTCCGTCATGTCGGGAACGATCCCCATCTTCATGCGCCCGAGCCAGATGGGCTCGAGATGGACGACCCCCGCGGCGACGACGACGAAGAAGAAGAAGCAGGACTCGGGAACGGGGAAGGAGATGCCGGAGATGCCTCGGTGGCCCGGGGGCCCTGGGGGGCCGGCGACGACGTCCCCGCCGCCCCGGTACGTGGACGGCAAGGCGGCGGACATGATGTTCGCGTCACCCGTGGGCGTGGCGAACATGAGGAGTCCGTCGTCGAGTTCGCCGGTCCGGCCGAGAGGGCCGCCGGTGCCGCCGAAGGAGGACGATTACCGGGCGAGTCCTGCGAAGGACTGGGAGAGAAGGAAAGGTGGCCGGGGCATCCGGGTGCAGAAGGAGTGGGATGTGGAGAGGGGCATCGGCGAGGAGAGTGACAGGCAGCCTTTGGATCCGCGGAGGGATTATAACGCTGGGCAGTGAGGGATGCAGTAATGTGCTACGAGCGTACGGCAGGGCGGCAGCGTGTACATGGGGTTTGCATTGGGTCTACGGGCATGGGATGGGAGGGGGGGGGTTCCCCAATTGTGGATAATCTCTCGCGTCATTCAACAGCGTCGCTGGTGTTTGGTGGGAATTGGACAAATACCCTATCTGAGTTGGATCTCTACATTTAGTATCTTAATACGATGATCTGATCGGAAAATCCCCCACATTTCCCCTCGCTCCCTCGCATTGAACGACAAGGAGCCCTTTCCTTCAAAATGGTGTGTGGCATGCCAGAAATAGCTAGCTCTGCCCCCACGAAACTCCAACTTGCCTCCTGTCTTCCAACATCCCCCCCCACCCCCACTCCTGTGCAAGTTCCTTTCATCTCCTTTTGCCCACTCGGACGGTAACTGTCGTCATCCCAACCTACCTACCGACCATCTTCAGAATGCCGTTGGTATAAAGTTGAAGGGACCGATGTTTAGACCCATCCACAGCGACGCTAAAACGTCGTCATGCGCTTTTTCATCCGTGCGCTCGCCGCGCCTTGCAGCCCTAGCTGCAGGCGTGCTGTATGTAGTTAGAGCAGTATGCACGACGTTCGCTGGACTGATGTACACCTCCCGCGTGGGCCGGAGCGCTAGGAGAAAGGTCCTGGAGCAACGGACTCTGGAAGATGTGCTGTGTGATTCACGAGGGCACACGGTCATTCGGTGTTTGCAACATTGGCCACGGAGCCAGTTTCGCGAGTCTGTGTCATCGTGCTACGTTACGAAGAACAATGATATTTCCGCCATCGTGTTGCTTCAAATGTCTTGGTCCCGTGGCTGTTCTACTTGAGGGAAACGCCTCGCTGTCGCCGCCGAATTGCCATCAAATGTTGGGCGAGGTTGGTCTCTTCCTCCAGAGAAGTGGAACTGTCGACTCAAGAAAGAACTTGGACCGGTCATTCTCTTATCTATGAACCCAGGCTTCAGAGGTACGCGTCGGCCTTCTGTCAACACGATCTCGGAACATGATCTCAACAACGACAATCAAATTCGACGCAGCCAGCATTCTGGAGCAAAATCAGCTAATGAATTAGAGTCCAAGTCGGATGGATTACCTTATCGCCCATGTCATCCGTTGTTCCCCATCCTTATCGCTAACGACCTTCCTATTCGGGCAGTCAGCTCTGACAATAGCGCTTACAGCTGCGTCCCGTAGACATCGAGAAATAGCTACATCTGGCCATGTTGCTTTCTATTATCTCGGAGGAGCTGTGTAACGGTTTCGTGTTTTGCGGTATTGACAATGTCAGAAAAGAAGTCACTCTCGCCGTCTCTGGAAGGTGCGGAGACGCTGCGTGAGCGAGAGGCGTATGACAACAAAGATGTTTTTGGCCATGAGGAGGAGCACGATGTTCGTAATTCAATCGCGTCTTTTCAGCACTGATGCTCAATCACCTCGGTATCCGATAGATCTTTCCGGTTTCAAATCTGAAGCTGTTGACTGACTCTTCTCTCCTTCATAGATCAGATACAAGACGCTTTCTTGGGAGCTCGTTGCTGTCCTTATGATAGCCGAGATCGTGAGCAATGGGATGCTCTCTTTGCCTTCGTCACTAGCTGTTGTGGGTCTGGTGCCGGGCATAGTCGTTATCGTCTTTCTCGGCGTGTTTGGGCTGTTCACGGCCTGGATCTTAATTCAATTCAAGCTCAGACATCCAGAGGGTATAGAACCAGGTTCCAGCGATATTTTCGAGCTGGATCAGCTGACATATGTTGCACAGTTCATAATATGGGTGACGCAGGCCTGATCCTCTTCGGCCCAGTTGGGCGTGAAGTTCTCTCTTTCGGCACCATTGTCTTTGCTGTCTTCGCTACTGGTGGCCAATTGCTTGCTGGCCAGATTGCTCTTGGCTCTGTGAGTCAAACATTCGAAGATCTGCCCTCGAAATCCAGCCTAACAGGCCTTAGCTCTCCAACGGCAAACTCTGCCTCATGCTCTACACCGGTATCTTCGCCATCCCCACCCTCGTATGCTCACTCCCCCGCACCCTCGACAGCCTCTCCTGGCTCAGCGTGCCCAGTGTGATCAGCATCATCGTAGCTGGCATTGTTGGCATGATTGGCGCAGGCATCAATTTCCCTGTCGCTAATTTCAGTGTAGCCATGAAGACGAATTTCGTGACTGCGTTCATCAGTGTCACGAATCCCGTGTTTGCGTATGCGGGACATTTCATGTTTTTCATCCTGATTTCAGAGATGAAGCATCCTGAACATGCTATGCGCGCGGCTTGGATGCTGCAGACATTCGCTACCGTGTTCTACGTTGTTTTTGCTGTGGTGTTGTATATCTATGTTGGCCCGACTGTTGCGTCGCCAGCTTTCACGAGCTTGCCTGATAAATGGCAGAAGGCGGCTTATGGAATTGCTATTCCCAATTTTCTGATCGCGGGGAGTTTATATTCGCATACGGCTGCTAAGCTACTTTTTGTGAGGTTCTTTCGGAAAAGTAGGCATCTGTATACCAATACTGTGCTGGGTTGGGCCGTTTGGATAACCCTAGTTTTTCTGATGAATGCTGCGGCGTTCGTACTGGCCGTGGGTGTACCCATATTCAATTATTTGATCGGCATTGCCGCCAGTCTTTTTGCGAGTTGGTATACCTACGGCATAGCTGGAGCGTTCTGGCTGTATGATGCATGGGTATATAAAGGAGGGATGTTGGCGCTGAAGACGCGGTGGCCGATGACGGGGTTAAGCGTAGCAACGTTGGCGGTGGGAGCGTTTATTTGTGTGGCGGGGATGTATGTAACTATCAAGCAGATCGTGGATGCTTACGCGAGTGGGCAGGTTACTGCGCCATTTAGCTGTTGATCGAGCGCTGTGGGCGAGGCGGATCTTGATACACTGCAAGACTGCAAGACGGTAAGACAGCATTTTTCTGTATTTGAGAAGATAGCGGTTCTCTATTCGTGGCAACTCTTCAAGTCCTCACAAATCCGTCCTGTGTGCCAACATTCTGTATATCCAACTCTGGTAGGTGGGCCGGGATGCCCGACCCTGCCGACACTCTTACTTTGTAAGTTCCCTGTGCAAAATCCTGAGTCCGGGAAGGAGCGAGCTCTGGTACTGTCCCTGATGGTTTCTCCCGGACGTTCTCCTGTCTGATGATGATCATACCAGTGCCCGCCAAGAGGCAGCCCACGTCGTAGGCCCCACGATGGGCATGCTTACACTGCTAACTCGCACCCAAAGGGATCAGAAAGCTCAGCCGGAGATAAAGCCCAAGACATGACCTAGGTGACCCGATAGTGCAGATGTCGGAGTCAGTGCTGTTCTTTTTGGGAAACAAACCGAGAAACGTAACACCTTCGAAGAGAGGAAGAATCCTTCCGGGTCCGGAATATGACAATCCATTCCATTTACGAGACAGCTCTGGGGAAGTAAAGGAGCTGTCTGCTGCCGAAACATGGGGTGTGGCCCCAATCTGCTACCAAACAGGAATGGTTTATTCCGAAATGTACGTACTGCTCTGTCGCGCAATTGGTATCAGCATCAATTTCGTCAGAGGAACTGATGAGCGTCGATTCTTTACGTTGTGAGACGGTGTTCTGTGAATCCTTTCAGGTCACTATTTGATGTGAAGCTAACGGCTTATCTGACCAAGATCCTGGATCCCAAAGTCTTCGTTGCAAAGCACTTTATGTTCAGCAGATGGTGAGATGGTCAGCAAAGGAATTCGATTGCATTATTATGCACTTCGATTAAGGCGAACGATCTAGGAAAGTTGATTGCATTTCGGAGCTCTAGCACGATAGTTCTTTAGGCCCAAAAGAGCGCAGAAGACCAACCACACCCACAATGAATTCCGAATAGAGATTCCACTAGAGGATAGTGCCCCTTTGCAATCGTGCTTTTAGTGCTCATACTGGGGATGACTATTGCCACAAGTCCATTTTATGCTGGCAGCTTTTCTGGCACCAGACACATACCCAGAGAGCATAAGAATTTGCTTGATCCCAGTCCTGGGGCCAGGTAAAACGTCATCTTGTGACTGTCTTGTAACAGTTATCCTTAAGCGATAGTTGCTTGCTATTCCTTGAAATCTTGTGTCTTGCTTCGCCAGCTTCTATGTTGTGCCGCATCGAGCTTGAGGCAAGAATGCTATATTTCTTGATCGCCTCTCTCAGTTCCAACTCCTGTCTCCACAAGCTTGCCAATCCTGCATGTCTTTCTCTCTGTCACTAATCACATACGTGTCTTCAGTGGAATTCCTGTCGTTGCTGGCGTATATACGCCAGCTCTGCATACAATTCTGTAGTCAATGAACGCGTACTAGGGCTAGTAAAATAATGTACCACCCATGCCAGGTTTGCAGCCAGGAAACCGCTCACCACCAGATAGATCGCAATGTATTCCAACCGTAGTATCTTCTTGATTACTGCGAGTGTCATCGAGAGAGAAAAGGGTTAGGTTTCATGATGTATGGTGGATAGTGGATGCTGAGTAGGCCAGCCAATTACTCTACAGTTATGTTGCGGGAAAGAGCCGCCAAGGCCGCTACCCACCATGTACAGCATCCCTCCGCCTCGACCCATCTGCCTACCACAAGCACAATGGAGCTTCGACAACATCTGTACAATCAATGACACCTACCCAGCCATCTGCTGCATCGCCAAATCTCCAGTATGCTGCCCAAAAGAAGCCGCCAATCCCACATAGACCTTTCTCAGATCCCAATCACCTAGCCCCCGAAGATGCATTTTACGCGCACTCACCACCTAGAAGACAGCTGCCCATCGATCGATATAGCGCCCTGGACAGTGTATCTACTGTGACCGATGGTCTGAGTATTAGACCCGCAGGCTCTACTCGACGGAGACGTGGCAAAGATAGAGCGCGCAGCGGAAGTCGAAGAGGGAGGGGTGTATGGAAAAAATTACTATGGGTCAAGCAGAAGGATTGTGAGTGATCATCTACCTAGAATTGCTCAACGATGTAAGTCTGACGATGACTGCAGATCCCGACAACTACACCGACCCTCCTACCTTCCTGTCCCATCTTCAACGAAACCCCCGTCTTCGCCCCTACGACTTCTGGCCCCTGGTAGCAGACTCGACCGTCATCGTCCAGCATATTTCTTCCGTCGCCATCTTCGTCTGCTCCTTCGTTGGCATCTACCAGCAACGCGTTTCACCAGTCTCGGTCGTCAGTTGGGGCAGCGCTGGCACGGTCCTGGGCTGGGTGCTCTGGGATTTCTGGGTTGGTCAAGAAGCAGCTTCAAAGGTCATCGCAGAGCCCCACAGCAATGGCGAATCTATCAACGGCTCCGCGCTGAGCGGCGCTAGCTCTCCCATCAGCAATACAGCCGCGATGCCTTCAAACTACAGCGCCAATTCCTCCACCATCGGCCTCGGGCTGACCCTTTCGACCAACAATTTCCCTCGAAAAGGTCATTCGCACTCACACTCGCAGACTTCAACATCCTCTGCACCCTCTCCGACCCTCTCCCATCACCCGTCGAACCCCCACTTACACGCCCCTTCGACCACGCCAAGCCAAACACCCCACACTCACTCCCGCCTCGCAACCGCCAAGTCAGCTATCTTGATCTACATCGCCCTTCTCGGCCTCTCACCCATCTTGAAATCTTTGACGGAATCCACCACTAGCGACTCCATCTGGGCAATGACTTGCTGGCTCATGTGCATCAACATATTCTTCTTCGACTACAGTGGGGGCGTGGGGGTCAAATTCCATGCGTCCCTAAGCACAAATGCGGCGCTGATGGCCAGCACAGTGCTGGCAAGCAGGCTTCCTAGCACGACGCACGTTTTTAGCTTAACCCTCTTTAGCATTGAGGTATTTGGGCTCTTTCCAGTGTTTAGGAGGTACTTGAGGCATATAAGCTGGCGTGGGCATCTATTTTTGACATTAGCATTGGTCATGGGCGCTGGAGCGGGTCTGGGGACGGCATTGAGTGCTAAGCCTCTGTGGCATGGGGGATGGAAGAGAGCTATAGCGGGAGCGCTGGTATGGTGCGTCGGCAGTGTGGTCGGCATGGGAGGATGCAGTTGGTGGTTGATTGGGTTGCAAAGATACAAGAATGTGGTTATCGGCCCGTGGGATCCAGCAAGGCCGGTGATTAGGGGAGGACAGTGGGAATAGTGGAAGATTGGTGTATCCAAGCAAAAGAACCACCATAACCTGACGCTCTTTAAGACAAAGGACGGATTCACGCTGACGAAGAAATGCGTTCTGTATTCGTGAGCTCTGGCCGAGGCTCACAACATCTCCAGCTCTATACATGATGATTTATACTTCAGAGGCTGTGACAAAACCCGGGTCGGCTCGAGAAGGGGAATATGAACAGCTGGGCAAAGCGCTTAGCTTGGGTTCAAGACACCCAAGTTATACCCCAAGGCCCGATAATCGTTCAGCAGGTCTGCCGACGTCGTCACATTCTCCACCTTCTTGCTCGCCAGATCAATAGTCAGCAAATCCGTGCCCTTGAACTCGATATATTTGCCCGCTGCTACTTTGCTATACGAACTGTCAGCGCCTCGCTCTGCACGTACAATCTTGTTGAAAATAAGAAGAGCGGTTGTTCACCTCCCATATCCGATATCAGCAGTCGTATATTCGTTCTGTTGCCACCTCAACGCAATCCTATCGCACGTGTGGAACGTGAAGACGACGTCATACGTCACGTTCGTCACACCGTTGCCTCCATATGGCCCTTCGCTGATGGTGTTGTATAATTCCGTGCGGTTGTGGACGTAGGCGGAGGTGGTGCCGTTGTTGGCGCCTTCGTCGTAGATCATAATCTGTCCAATGGCATTGTCAGCTAAAAGTCATTATACACGAAGGGAAGATTTGGCGCACATTTTCTGTGACAGCTGAATCGAGCGTGGGGAGCCCGCCGGTCGCGAAAGCATTGAGCCAGCGTTGTGCGATGCCTTCGACTTCATTGTCTTGAATGCAGGTACCGCATGGGCTACCCTCTGTGGAGGGTGGTGAGGAGTGGGCTGAGATCAGGGTTGAAAGGAAGCAGAGAAGAAGGGTCTGTATGTATAAAAGCTTCATGATTGGCAAGCAGGAAACAGAGAGTGTTGTGAAGTACAGCACAGCGGGTTTGCGCAACAGTGAAATTGCAGATGAAACGAGGGTGAGGTGGTTTTTGTATACGTTCTCAGACACAGAAGCCGTCGTGGACCGTTGTTCCCTACCAGATAAGCAAGAGCGAAACCTTCAACATCATTTCAAATCCGGACCAGCACGTGCCTGCAAGCCTGCCAGGTGCCACTCCGGCTTGAAAATAACAATCTCTTGTGAAATGAGGTGAGGAATTGGAATTAAACCCTGTAGAAGCGCCAGGCACGGGATGCGGGCGGCCATCGAGGCTGACGGGAAGGAGCATCACTCGAGCGGCAATACTGCCTCCCTAAATCTGGACCTCGAAGCTCCGTGGACCTGGGCAGTAGCTTCAAGAAACGGGATTCCTACACCGCTAGCTCTGGATGGCTGAGCAGCTTAGGCATTTAGCATCATGCAAAATGTGAAAATTGGGGTAACGGCGTTTCCTAAAGATGCATGGGTGCAATTTTGACGATCTTGCGAGGACAGTCCCGTGGGTCTTCAACGTCGGCACCCCTCAGACTTTTGAGACAATGGGCACGGAGTGGGAAGGTGGCTGAGACGGATCATGTTGTGGTAGGCAAGATTGAGGTCCAAAAGTCCAGGGTTCGTTCTGAGGGCTGCCTTAGTCTTAAGGTAGCGAGCCGTAGCGTCCACCAACTCTCCGCCCAAATCGCCATCGCGCCATCTTACTGTGCCCCTGGCTTGCTTCTTGACCTGCAGTAATGTAGACCGGTCAGCAACTCGCAAGATTGGACCATCGAAACGCAATCTTCACCAGCCCATCATCAACCCCCAATCCATTCAGCCATCTCCATGCGGAACTGTCTTTCCTCCGGCTTCAACTCCTCAAGCGTCTCTCGAATGATGGTTTGATGGACTGATATCTCTTCATGCTCTTTCTCCATGCACTTGGCTAAGGACTCCAGGCATTGCTTCTCTGCTTACAGTAGGTAGTACTTCGCTTCCATCACGTCTTGGCAGATACCGAGCAAGAGATTGCATTTCATGCGGGTCCAAGGAGGGAGTCCAGGCTTTGCGAGAAGCTCTAGGCATTCTGTCTCTACCTCAGAGGGATCGAGGTGGATTATTGAGGATGTTGTCTGTCACCATCGGCATTCGCTCTTGGGTAGGGAAAAAAATACGAAGGATCAGAGCATCAACTCACATGATGGAATGAGTGCCCCACACTTTGTTGACCTTCTCTATGTATTGCGCGTGTTTGGCAGCTTGTTCGGACCTCCTCGTATTGTTGACTGTGACTTTGGCTTGCGCTGCTCTGTCAGTTGCTCATGTGTTCGGCGACATTCTGGGTTTTGAAGTTGGGAAACAGTCTGGCTGTGAGGGTGAGGGCCTGTTTTCTATGCTCAATCGCAGCTGCACATCTCTATGTCTTAGCACGTGTGTGTAACGAGACAACCTTCTTTCATAAGCGAAGGACCTCCATTCATTATTGAACTTGGACGGAGATGACAAGATGGAGAGTCGAAGTCGTAACACGGCTGCTGTAGACTATCTCGATATAGACAGCTCGTAGAGTCTACCTATAGACCAGCCTGTAAGCGTAGACATACAACACGCTCCAGGCGGTTTTGCCAAATATCTTACAAAGTCGTCAATGCTTTTAGATACGCTGTCGCTCAAAATTGAATAGAAGAACATCGAACTAAGGGGTATAAGAATAGAAAGTAATGACTGCATATGGAAACTCCACCTTAGCTTTCACCTCAACTTTTGGGTCTTGCGTTAGGTTCCTCAACTGGCCCACATCTGAGTTCTCGCATCGCCCACCAATCCTCCATCGCGTCTCGCCTTCTTGTTCAGCCTACTTGTTCTCCAGCCCTCATACCAAAGCTGCCGGCTCGCCTCCCTCAGGTCACCCCTCCATTCCGTGAAAACAGTCTGCTTCAGCTTCACAAAATCGCAATGCTCGGCATTCATGGGATCTGCCAAACCCCAGGGGAACTTGCGCCCAATGACGTCCGGCTCGTAGGGGTCAGGAGAGATGATCGACAGGGGAAGCGCCGGAGGTTCTGCCGGTGGAGGCGTAGGGACAGTTGGCGAAGATGGAGTGCGTACTGGAGAAAATTTTGAGGGTTTACCGGGCTTGGCGAGGTCAAAGTCGGATGCTGAGAAGGCAGAGCTGGAGTCTGAGGAAGAGGAGAGCACAGAGGTTATGGAAAATTTGTCCCCTTCAGTCTTGATTACTTCTCCATCTCGCTCGTCGAGGTGATTGTTCTTTGGGCCTTCGGCTGAGGTATTGGATCCCTCATCTTCATCATCATTCTGAGTGATAGCTTCAAGAGTCTCCAGGCCATTCGATTTCAGGGAGTCCCAGACTGCACGTTTGAGGTGTACCATGTGTGCAGACGTAATGGTGTCGGCTTTGGCAATTACAGGAACGACCGTCGTTTTACCCTTCAGTGCACGTAACACGTTCAAGTCGAGATTCTCATCCAGGCCACTAACAGAACTTTCTGGCCGGCCACGGACGAAGGAGTTGGCCCTATCCTTGACACCATTGATCTCATTGGCTCTCTGGGCGGCGGCCATATTGGCGTCCAGACGGCGAGGATCAAGGACAAGGAAGACACAGTGAACGTGGGTATCTCGCAATCCTGGAGCACGGGCCACTTTGCTTTCTTCGTTGAAAGTGTCTTCGAATTTGCTCTCGATAAACGTGGTCATGGTCTGCAGCTGGAGATCCACTCCATTCGCCTCGAGCCCTTCTGAATCCCAAAGCGTGACTCCAATCCGCTCGCCTTCGATCTCTGTCTCGACATATTGGGAAGTAAAGTTTGAGAAAGCTCCAGTAGAGGCGGGTGATACGATAAAGTAATCATCATCACGAGACTGTTGTCGCCGCTTCGACAGTGGCAGAGCAAGGGAGATCTGGAGGAAGTTGAGGAAGGAGGTTTTGCCAGAATTTTTCGTACCAACTATCAGTATGCTGTGGCACTGTTAGCTGAGCCTGTAGGATGTTTGCTCCAAGCAGGATAGCTTACTTGAAAGGAGTAGGATCTTTCCTCCGCCTGATCTTCCTCGGACTGTTGATTGTACTTATGGCACTGCTTGCGTAGCTGTAACGTCCTCGGTGTACCAGGCTCTCGGTTCTGGGGAATGTGGCTGTTCCTGGGATCGGTGGGATTGGTGGGACTGGCGGGACTGGCATTCCACGGTACATGTCTGAACCGAGCGTTTCCTGTGATGACTTCTGTGCGAGCCTATATTTGAATGAACCTCCTGCTCGATTCGACATGATGGCTACACTATCTGGCCTTGTGTCTTCGCCACCAAATCCTTGTAGGTCTGGTGGATGGGGAATGATAGGTATTCTAGGTGGAGGGGAAGGTATCTGCTCCTGCATCATCTCTTGCTGGCGTACCCTCGACCGGTCCTTCTTGCTCAATTTTCGGGCAGGCGTACTCGATCTAGAGGTCGAACTTTCCCGAGATTTGCTTCGTCTCAAGAAGCTGAAGGAGCCTTTGCGCCGCAGAGAGCCATTGACACGGTTGTCTGACTCGGTAACACTCTGATATGACTCTTCCTGTGGGGAGAGCGAATCGCTCATGGTACGTCGTTGCTGAGGGGTAGCTGAGCGCAGCATATTGGGGCGATCTGATTGGGGCGACTCTGTTCGAAAAAGGAAAGCGCGATGGCATGTGTTGTCATGGAGCTCTGGCAAACGTGAGGAGCGACAAGATGTGTCTTGGCAGACAACAATGTGGGGGAAAGCTCGGTGACCGTGCACGACAAGCAGTCCTGGCGCAAAGTTTGTATACTACAGCACAGCCAGCATCTTATCCCTTGCAGTACCTATGACTCCTCCTATGATTCTTATCGATTGTAGCAATGCACCTCGTCGCGTACATCTTCATGCCGGTACAGTAGTGTCACTTTGCTTTCATTTGGGTGTTTTAGCGCAGACAGCGACTGGAGGGTTTTTGTCCAAGAGATTGAGACAATGCCAGAAATGTCAGTAAATACCGTACCTACGAGTACGAGTACTAGGGAGAGTTGTCGTCAACATTAGGGGTCATGATTCGAGCGGGGACTATTATTTACGAGGCTCAGATAATAAGCTTTTAGAGACCAATCACTGCCGAACCTTCCTCTACCCCCCTGGTGCCCCCACAGCAGAAGAAAAAGCGTCACTTGAGACGGTGCAGATTCTCAAACATTCGACGAGTGCAACATCAACGAGGACATATCTGGACTATCCAACGCTCTTTCTGAAGTAATCTCGGTCATGAACCACAAAAGTTCCCCGTTGAAGTCCAACCTCTACATGAGAATGATAGATAGGGTCTAAAGTTCTTGACTGTCACTTTTGCTGCTAGCTTGCCTGACGATTATGTAGCAGTGTAATGTCACACATTTTCATTAACAGGTAGAGTAACGACGGATCTCAATTTAATTCTCTCCTAGCGATATATAAAAACTGCATCAAACTCCGGAGGTCCAACCTGTTTGTGGCTCCTCATGAAGTGAGCTCTGTACGAACATCACACACATAACCGCTGGCCACTGGACACACTTCGGTTCGGTTGAGCTGTTTATCTTCTGGGCCCGTCGGACCACTGGTGAACTCTGCAGTTGCAGAGATGCCCAAGATCTCGTGTTGTCTGGGGTCTGAGTTGGGATACTGTTCGTCGCCCCACGTACCGAGGTACTGCAGAAAGGCTGTGGGATACGAAGGATCATACGCCGTGTATGTTTTGGCACTTGCATCGTAGCTGTAGAAGTAGGCGCCCAGTAAGGGGTCCCAAAGAGTTCCTTTGTCAGTATAGTCTGTGAGGACGCCCGCATCGGGAAGATTCACGTTTGGGATGGTGTGATCGTGTGTCCCGTTGATAGCATAGTTCGCATGCGAGCCGTTACCAGAGTATGTGACTGGCCGTACGCCTTGTTTCTCTAGGCAGTCGTAGGTGAAAGCTTCGCCGAAACCATGTTGACTGTACCAGACTTGTGTGGGCGTTCCATTCTGGAAGCGGACCATGTTGTGTTCCCAATCCTTCACACGGATGTAAGTGATGAAGAATACATGTTTCTTGGAACGGACATACTCCAACGTGAAGATCAACCTCTTGAATGTCCAACAGGACCCCTCCCCAATTGAAGGCATAGAAGTACATGTAGAAGGCGTCGACAAGACCGTCGCCATGGTCATTGACAATTATTGCAACGCTAGTAGCTCCGTCTGTCTTCCCCGTGCTGTCAGGCTTGACGCCATTTAGCCAGGCGGGATTCGTGGTGATGTCATCGACAGACGTGAGGTAGACGTCCGTACCACCAGTACCGTAACTGTTTAGAGAGTCGAGGTTGTTGAGCGTCAACGGATTCTCATAGCCTTCGACGACAGTGAAATTGATCTCTGGCTTCGTGTGGACCAGTTGAGCTCCAATGTCGGATGGAAAGTAATTCTCGCCAGGGTAGAGCCATACGACAGGTGCTATAAAGGATGAGCATCAAACGTATAACTTTGTGGAAGCTATCGGTCGCAAACCATATGTTGAAACGTAGTCTGGGACTACAGTGCTTTGACGCTCGAAAACTGGCGCCGGGGACGGGTAAGCCAAGACGGCTTGTAGCAGAAAAGCCATCGGAAAGCCTTTGAGGAAAATGAAAGTAGGAGACATGGTTCGAAGGAGGTATTTAAGGAAAGGGGTAAATTGGAATAATGGTGGCTTGCAACTGATGGAGCAGCCACTCTTTATACCAGCTGACTTCCATCTTGAGCTCGGAGCGTACGCCTACCTCTAAGAACACGCTGTGAAACAGAAAGTGCTCATTGGCGCAGACAAGTAACTGAGTTGGCAACGACCGAGGTCAGCAGCAGTATGCCTTGACGGACACAAGCTCAATATGGAGCAATTGCAGAAGCTTGGAAACTAGAAGGTGTCTTGCGCATGACGGATCTATGCATGATGTTATTCGTGGGGGAGAAGAAGACTTTGATGGCGAGGCAACGTGGGCTGCGTCTATTCGACGATTGGTGCCCTTTTGATCCAGGAACGGACTCGGTGGGGCTCAATGTCTTACGCCTGCCCCTTTCAGAGCCAACAGCGATGATCACTCATGCTGCTCCATCTTGAAATAGGATCTCTCATGTCTGAGCCGTTGCTGCCTTTAACGAATTGGATCTGAGCCAGCTGCCGTATTGTTGGCGCTGGTACCTCGTCGTATTCAAGCCTGCTGTTCCTTTGCGCCGGCGACGCCCCGACCCTGATGATCGGAATAGTGCGAGCTGAAAGACCTTCCTTTTTGACAGTTGGTGGGAACATTCGTTTCCAAGACGTTCGAGGACTGGCACAAAGCTTGTTGGACCGGGCATTACCACTTAAAGGGGAGCAAAATCTTGAATGATTGGTTGCCGGCAATCTATCCCTGCCTCGACAGACTGTCCACATAAAATTCGTGATCTTGGACGATGACACAAAACCCATACCATACCATGCTGCGCAGGACAAACAACGAGCGGTTCTCTGCGGACTTTACTAAGAGGACCAGCCATTATTATCTCGAGCGCGCTTTTCATGACTAAAGAGTCAAAAACGCGGCTTGAAGCTAACTGAATCCTTGGCGCGTAACTGCCCCGCTTCAGCTGAGCTCAGAATGGCTCCGAGTCGCAAAAAGCCTCGCAACGGTCACTGGTCGGAACGGTGTAAAGTCATTGGATGCTACATAGCTCGTCTTTGTGAGCAATGTCTCTCCGAGTCGACGATGGCCGTTCCAGAGGTCGTTCCAAATCCCCAGGCCGCAAGGATGAACGATCGAGATCGCGAGACGTGAGAGCCCCGTCACCAGTGGTAGTCGTCCAGACAAAAAAGTCCTCGAAAAAGTATTATAGCGGCGAAAGCGATTCAGACACTCGGTCGAGGAAGAAGAGCTCCAAGAAGCACTACGACGACGACTTTTCGGAAAGCGATTCAGACCCAAGGTCAAAGAAGAAGTCCTCCAAGAAGCACTACGAGGACTCCTCGGAAAGCGATTCAGACCCAAGGTCGAAGAAGAAGTCCTCCAAGAAGCGCTATGATAGCGATGACGGTGACTCGGACCCAAGATCCAAGAGGAAGTCTTCGAGGAAACATCACGACGAGAGTGAGTCGGACACCAAGAGCAAGAAGAAGTCCTCGAAGAAATACTACAGTGACAGCGACTCCGACAGCAAGTCTAAGAAAAGATCCTCCAAGAAACACTATGATAAGAGTGAACCTAGCTCAAGCTCGAGCGAAGACGACAGGAAGAGCAAACATAAGAGTTCCAAACAAGTTGCTTTGACTCGCAAAGGCGAATACATTGAGACCTCGACATCAAAATACGAGCGAGAACGCCATAGCAGCTACGCATCGCCGGAGCGTCATGAAAGACCGGCAGAACCTAAGCGACATATGAGCACCAGCAGCGTTGAGGGCGGAGAGAAGTATCGCCAGCTGTCGATGCCTGGAGGATTCAGTGGAGGTCATTCCCCCCACCCGCAGTACGCATTGCCAAGTCCTTTAGCCAACAGTGTTCTCATTTGACTGATGCTGCTGTAGGTATGCCCAGCCTCAAGTTATATCTCGACCCGAAGGTCAAAGAACGCACTCTGGCTCCATCAGCTCGCGTGGACCAGAGTATGCCCAGTACCAATACGCAGATCTAAGTGCTTATGCGACCAACGGCAGAAAACCTTCCTACCCAATGAGCGCCCAGCCTCAAGAGGTCAATCCCTATCATGGTTCGCATGCTCCGCTATCTCCGCCAACGCTGCACCGCCTATCGGTCTCAGGAGGAGCTGCTGGAGGGTTGTCTCTTGCAGCACCGGGTCAGCATTCCGGTCATATGCAAGGTGGCTTACCACCTGGCAGTCCGCTCCTCGAATCCTACCGTGGTACATACCAATCAATATCGCCAATGCCTTCTCCATTGATGCTGCCATCAACTATGGATGAAGGTCTCTCGGACTTGGAACAACTTTCATCCGGAGACTCTGACCACTCGGGAGGCCATCTTTCCAAGAAGTCGACACTCCGAAGAAAGACCGTTTCTTTCTACCACCCTGAACCCGACGCTCTTGCACTCGCGGCAGCTCTGAAACACTCGACACCTGAGGCCAAACCTATCATCAAGATCCTCCCTCACCTCTCGGATGATCACGTTCTGATGTTGAGGACAGAATACAAAAAGCACATGAAAGCGCAAGGCAAAGGCGTTAATATCGCTAAGCACATCAAAATGAAACTCACCGGCAATCTTGGAAAGGTTGCTTACGCAACGGCTCTCGGACGATGGGAGAGCGAGGCGCACTGGGCAAATTTTTGGTATCAATCCAACACCTCACGGCGAGAACTCCTGATTGAGAGTCTTATGGGCCGTACGAATAGCGAAATAATGAAGATCAAAGATGCATTCAGCGATCAGCGGTACAATAACAGTCTGGAAAAATGCATGCAGACCGAACTGAAGAAGGACAAGTTCCGATATGCTGTTCTACTTGCTTTAGAAGAGAAGCGCATGTCGGAGAGCGACAAGCTTTCCATCGAACTCGTACGCAGAGATGCGCAGGACCTCTACCGTGCCTTGACCGCTAAGGAGGGTGGAGAGACAGCGATGATCAACATCATCGTCGTCAGAAGCGACAAACACCTTGCCGAGGTCTTGCGCGTCTTTGAGAGCCAGTATCGAAAGAACTTTGCGAGAGAGATGATCCAGAAATCTCGCAACTTAGTCGTACGTGGGTCCCCGCCGTATTTGCTGATGATACCCGTAAAACTGATTCCCAATAGGGTGAAACCCTCGCGCATATCCTCAACGGCGTTCTGAATAAATCTGTTCGTGATGCCCTCCTCTTGCACCAAGCGTTGGCGGAAACGTCGAAAGACCGTGTTGAGCTACTAGTAAGCCGACTGGTGCGGTTCCACTGGGAGTCACGGCATTTTGAGAGAGTCAAAGTGGCTTACAAGCAGAAATACGGCAAACGGCTGGAGTCTGCCATTGAAGAGGGAAGCAAGGGAGATTTTAGGGACTTCTGTGTTGCGCTTTGTAAGGTCGAGTCTTGAATTCGCGCGTCCAAGTGGGTTTCATGGGGGTGAAAAGATGGCAGGAAGTTGGGTGTGAGCGTACGTGGGTACGAACACGGACGATAGTAGAGTTATGAAAACCCTGTGGATCAGCTAGAATACTGTATGTATCTACGTAGCTGCCACCATGCTTTTTATCGACAGTGTGAAATTGGATATAGGGGTAGAATAGGCTAGTGTGTCACGTGTGTTACCCCTCGTGGGGTGGGCCGTTTTATGTAAGGTGTACCACGGGCGTATCCACAGGTACCAAAAAAGCCCGCACACCCTAACCCGCAAGTGGCTAGGAGAAGCGAGGCCATCCCGCATACATTTCACACACAAATTTAGTAGTCTTCTCTCATTATCAAGCACAATGTCGTCGCCCGAAAGGCTTCAGGCTGTAATAGACGGTAACGGTCAAATGACTGGCTATTATATAGAGAATCATTCAATAATGTAGGTAGGTAATTCTGCTGGGGGGAAGGCAGTAGTCTCCATTTGGTTAGGGTGTGCGGGCTTTTTTGCTACCCGGGTGTTGCGGGTAGCAAAAAAAGCCCGCAAACGGCTAGGAGAAGCGAGGCCCCTCCACACTACGAAGCACTATACCTATTGTGGATAACTGGGAGGAGCATATAACTCAGAAATTCATTAACGAGCGTGTAAATAGTATATCTAAAAGGCTTCAGGCTGTGATAGACGGTGATGGTTAAAAAACAGGTTATTAATGGAGAAGAATGGAAGGATTCTGGTAGGGGAAGGCGCTTATCTCCATATAGTTAGGGTGTACGGGCATTTTGCTACCACGTGGGTACATGTACAATTACCTTACATGTACTGTAGATACTTTCACTTTATGCAATCAGAAATTGTGGGGAAACTCTAATTGAAACCTTGGCGAGCTTGGGTTATGTAACTTATGTATTCTTACCTTGAGTAACTTCCTTGAGTGGATTCGGCAGGGATGTTTGGCTTACTGATGCTCCCTTGGGGGCACCAAAAGAGATCAGCTGCAAAACAAAAGACGCCTTCCTTCGACACCGCTCCTCCCCTCCTTCAACCCGAAGCGTGTCTCTCCTGCTCGTCTTTCTATTTCTTTTCTTTCCTTTCACCATGTCCTACAGACCACGCCTTCGTATGCAGTAACCGCACACTCATTAATCTCCTCAAAGCCCTACCTCCAGCGAACGACAGACGCTGCCACAATGAACGACCCCGGGCTTGACGAGCCTCTCAATCAGACGCAGAACAAAATTGAGGGGGTGAGGAAAGAGGAGGAGGATTTTGAGCAAGAAGTAGAGCAGTCATTCCTGGATCCAAGGTCAAACCCACAATGTCTTCCAACTCAAAATCCCTTGCTGACTTCTTCCTCGCAGTCGATGGTGGTTCGCTTCGACAGCATTTCCCTTGCTCGCTGTACGTATCAGATGACAAGTCTTGGTGTGTGCTGAGGACTAGATCTAGGGTACCTTTGGCCCCATGGCCACAGCCTTCAACATCTGCGCCCTGATTGAGCATTGGAGGGTCGAGATTCCCCCGGGACTTGGAGCCAATGAATCACATGGAATCGACGTTAGGGATCCGAAATGGTATCCTTCCCCAAATCCCCTCTTTCCTCAACGTACCAGACAGAAGCGGACCTCTCGATGCAATGATTTCTTGAATGCTAACACAGCGTTTAGGCTTTTAGCGGTCAATGGCGCCTCGCTTGGTCTTGCAATCATTGCCAATTTCTCATTACTTCTAAACATGGCTCGCCGCCTATCATTCTCCGTCGCTCAACCCATCACAATCCTTGGCTGGTACCTTTCATCAATCTTGCTCATCGCCGACCTTGCAAGTATCATTCACATCGTCAAGGTTCCTGGTCAGAGACGAGCCTTGACGCAGGCTTTCTATTATGCTATATTCGCCGCGGCACTCTACTTCATCATTGCTTCCTTGATGGTCTTCACTGTTATCGGAGCTTGGAGGGGCCATTATTCGAAGGATTTCAAGCTCAACACGAGCCAGCGGACACTCATGCTTCAAACGATAAGCTTCATGATATACATGGTCGGAGGCGCTGGTGTTTACGCGAAAATTGAGGGCTGGATGTTCCTTGATGCATTGTACTTCACCAATTACACGTTGCTCACTGTGGGTATTGGAGACTACGCTCCTTCAACACATCTCGGCCGAGGATTGTTGTTTCCATATGCCATTGGCGGCATCGTCATTCTGGGTCTTGTCATAGGCTCTATCCGCTCGCTTGTTCTAGAGCGAGGAAAGAAGAAGCTTGGAAGTCGATTAGTGGAGAAGAAACGCGAGCTACTGTTAAAAAGAATGATCCAAAAGGACAAGACCGACAAGCTCAAACCAATTCAGAGCAAGCAACAGGCTGAGGAAGTAGGCATGTCGGAGCGAGAGAGGCGACAGGCAGAGTTCGAGCTTATGCGGGAGATACAGCAACAAGCTTCGACTAGGCAAAAGTGGCAAGCGCTTCTCATTTCGGGAAGTGCGTGGCTTCTCCTTTGGCTTATTGGAGCGGTGGTGTTCTACAAGGCAGAGCATGAGCAGCAATGGACGTACTTTCAGTCCCTGTACTTTGCATACACCACTCTTCTGACCATTGGGTATGGCGACTACAAGCCATTCAGTAATTCGGGCAAGGCATTTTTTGTACTATGGTCGTTGCTTGCAGTCCCAACACTTACTATCGTCATCAGCAACATGGGTGATACGGTCGTGAAGGCTATCAGCGATCTCACACTGTACTTGGCAGAGTTCACAGTCCTACCAGGGGATGCACCGGTGAGAGATCGGATGAAGCAAATCGCAGCCAGAACTACAGGCGGTAGATTGTTCGGAGAGGTCATAATGTTTAAAGAACCACCAGGTTTGCTTGGCGATAATGGCGAAATTGACCCCGAGAATGGAACCGCTGGTGGTCCAGGTGCTGCTGCCACTGATTACCTTGCTGGCCAAGTCGAAGACGAAGAGCTCAAGGAAGCTCGAGAAGCTGAAGCCAAAGGCGATAAGCTTGGAGGGGACATCCACACATATCACTATCTTCTCATCAAAGAATTCCGCAATGTAATGAAGCATCTGAATGAGTCTCCGCCTCGAAAGTACAGCTACGAGGAGTGGGCATGGTTTCTTAAACTTATGGGCGAAGACGAGTCACACTCCGCCTCGCACCGAACAGCTCCTGTCAAAGTGAAAAACGACACTGACGCGAAGCCGGATATGCAGCAGGCCCAGACAGATGACGATGAAGGCGGGATGCGCCAATGGAGCTGGCTCGGAAATCGCTCCCCTTTAATGGGAGAAACAGAGGAGGCGGAGTGGGTGCTTGAGAGATTATCAATGACCCTGGAAAAGGAGATGAAGAAGATTTGGGAGGCGAAGACCAAGAAAGATGATCAAGATCGAGGGGAGAACGCGGGCAAGAGAATTCATTCGAACAGCGACAGTAACACTAACGGGAGTGACAAGAATTCGCAAGACAAAAAAGGCGGCGCTAATGTTGAGCAAAGTAGCGTGAAATGATACCCCAATCTGTTGATTGTCTCTGCGAGCATTTTGATTTGTTCATATCGAGCTCTTTCGTTGCGACTTTGTATCTAGTCAGTCACTTTTTGACAGTGACTCTTCATTTGCAGACTTCTAAGCAAGTGGGTTGTCTATCGACGATTTCCGCTTCACTCCTGTTCAAGCCAATCGCCCACTTCCAGTCCCGGCCGACGGAGTCATCAATGCTCATCGCCTGACCTCGGCATCTTTGCCATGTCGTACAAGCTCTTAGCTTGGTCCGGACTATAGCGGGAATCCCATCTGCAGCCTTGACATCCGCGACAAGGTATTTCAGCCATCGACTCCGCCCATCGTACTTTCAGCAGCAGGAAGCCGTCTCTCGACAAGCATCCCTTTTTTCTTCTCCCACAGAACAGGCTGGAACAGGCTAATAATGGGTGTCCTCCAGCCACGAACCGCCTCCGTCTCACTCACGACCTACGCCGCCACCACGGTCGTCCTTGTTCTGTGGCTTCTCGCCATGGTCGCGGTAGTCCTATATTTGATTCTCCAGCAGCGCAATCGCACTCAAAGACCTCAAAGTACAAGCTCTGGCGACCGCTCTGCCTCACATGGCAGCACCGCTCCTCGTTTCCCTCCCAGCGATCCGACCGCGCTACCGTCGTATCCACAGCGGGCACAGGCACGGTCTCATCCACCGACTTGTCCGCCATCGCTTTCAGCAACGATGAGACCTACGAAATCCCCCCCATTCCGTACGACATCACCAAACATCGACCCTGTCCCACCTGGGGCTTCGACGAGAATCGCAGACTTGGGTCATATTCCTACGGTGTCACCAACCAGGAACCCTGTCCCCGCCACGCCTTCATCGAACGAAGCAAGGCAACAAGTTCTGCTTGCTAACAACTCATCACAAGCAGCCATGATCGCGAGATTGCAGGCCATGCCACTCGCGAGTGATACCACAGACATGAGCACGGAGACGGTGGATCCCGGGAGGGAAGTGGCCAATCGAAGGTATTTGGCCATGCTGGCGCAGAGGGACATCCGTGCTCGGGACCATGCGCTTTTGGGAAGCGACGATAGCACCGATGCTGGCGGTGGAGCCGGAGCCGGAGCCGCACTCAGTTACGCTGTCCGTGCTAGAGGCATGGGTCCGAGGTGCGTGCGCATAGACCGAGAGAGGGAGCGGGGCCGCCCTACGAGTCTAGGTGGCAGAGGGCGGGCTGTGACTTTGGGGCAAGAGAGTGGAGATGGAGAGCTGGAGAGGGTGATACCTTTGCAGGTGAAGAAGATGCCTTCCGGGTGAAGGTCTTGGGGGATGAAGGAGTAGGATGGATTGGGATGGGATGGCGTGTTCGCTTGCAGGACGAGCTTGTCAGCCTTTTTGATTTGTCCGTCTGGGTGGTCTGTTTTGGTTTTTCCTGGGTACGGCCGTTTGATAGTTGGATATACATAGCTCTGACCGGTAGAAACCCTCTGCTTCCTGGCACTTTTCGCGCACCTTTGCGCTCTGCGCCCTCAGTATGTGTGTCTTCTTCCCCCCACAGTCTCCTTGAAGTCCTTGCTCTTCTGAAGTCTTATACGTGCAAGATTAAACAAATGAACAACCGATGGAGTAGAATCGATTTGACTTGCAAAATGACTTGCTCCCACCCCTTGTATTCATGGTGTCTTAGGCAGGATAGATTAAATATATGGAACAGAGGGAATTCCTTGCTGGTATAGGCAACGACGATTTTTAGGGAAAGTCTGACATTGTCATTATGAGAGGGCACTGCGCCTGAATCGTACGGCTCTTACGAATTCTCCCTTGCAGGTAAAGTGACGGTTCTTAGGGAAATTTTGTGGAATTTGTCACTATTTTCTGGCACGTGCCTGAACACCACGACTTCTGTAAGTTCTCCCTTGCAGATAAAATAACAGTTCCTAAGGAAAAGTGGGTGAAGATTGCCACTATATTCTGGCACTGCACCTGAACTCTATGACTTCTACAAGTTCTCTCGTACAGAATATATGACAATTCCTAAGGAGAAGTTCGTGAAATTTGTCACTCTTGTCTGGGAATTGTTGGACTTCTACAATTATATTAAGAGAGAAATTCCGCCCTCTGTGCATAACTTTTGCTACATACTCTTACCTTTATCACATTAGCAATTAGTTTCCTTCGTTTTTTTTATCAAACTTCAATCTATTCAGGGTTACCACGGCCACTACATTGTGCCTGACCTGAAGCTTGAGACTCGCGCAAATTTCTGTCTTTTTGTTTTCGGGACTGTATCTTATAAACAGGTGTATCCTTCTGGCTTTGGCTTTTATGCTTTTCGACATGATTTCTTCAGGGGATTGTGCTTTACTTCGACCGCCAGAGACGCATCTGATCCATTGCCGTAAGAATTTCCTAAAAGAGGCCAAGGGATGTGAGCAATTTGAGAGGTGAATATCATCTTTCACTCTTCGAAGCTATTTCTTCGGCCCCAAATTTTTGGCTGGCGCTTTACGAATGCTCCAACGGATCCCAGATAGCCTTCGTGGCGGAGGAAGTACGCTTCCTTTTCGCCGTTCGACCAGAACCTGATGGCATACGATAAGGTGTTCATGGTTTGCCGATGTCCACGGATGAAAGAGCCTCCGAAATAAATGTGCTCAAGCTTATGCTTTTCGCTTTGCAGGTACGCAATTTGGCCGATGTTGTTACTAACGGCGTATAACAAACTTCTACTGATGTCTTCTGGGGCGAATGCCCGGTCTGGATCAGAACTTCCACTCGCTGGTTGAGGATCACCGTTCGACAATCCATTTCCATCTTCGGCATCGTCCTCACCTTGCCTCTTCATCTTGAAGACTTTGCCGAAGCTGCTGGCAATGGTACTGGTCTTCAACCCAATTTTGCTGTAGTCCGTGCCGTATATGTCACCAACAAGCATATCGACTGTTGTATTGTCGCCTCGGTCAGCCATGGCTAGCATATCGTCGAACGTCCTTGCTCCGGTAAGCAGAGACAGAAGACCCCACAGAGTGCCTCCGCCGAGTGAGGTGCCACCAATGCGCTCGAATTGTTTCGGCCCTGAGACCTTTACCATTGAGACGCCTGATCCAATGTTGACCAGGAGGTATGGATAGATATTGGCACGTGGTTCCTCGAAGTGCATTGGATCCAGATCCGCGTAGGTGAAGACTTCGCGTGGGATCTCAGTGATGAAGAAATCAAGGCCCATGATTAAGCACTCCATCTCGTCTTCGCGAAGCACTTCTACCCCCAACACATTCTTCATCTCGTCGTAAAACTTGTACGCTCCTCCACCAGTTGCCACAATGCATAGCTCTCCAGGCTGAGACCCATTCAGAGGTTGCTGCTTAGCCTTCAGTTCCTGCACGACTTTGAAGCACTGATCGATTCTATCGGTCTCAAATTTGAGAAAGTTGAGTCTGCCTCCCAGCTGAAAAAGTCGTTGGGGTCAGCATTCCCTCATCAGGATAGTCGTTGGACGAAATAAATGGAGACGATTGCTTTAAACAGTGGCTAGCAGCTCAAAGTTCCACGCAATCAATCAATCAATTGTAACTGTCCGAAACGTACACACCTCCTTGGAATCCGGTTCACGCGAAAAGTAGACGAGCTTGGCAAGAGACCCGCCTATATCAAGTGCAACATGGCTAACTACACCCTTATGATTGGGTAGGCGGATGCATCTGGTGTCATGCTGCGCTCCGTCATCTGGCTGATTGCCCGTAATAGAAGCCACTTCATCCGCAATGAAAGCCCCTTGCACGTTGATTTTAACGGAACCTGGAGAGAGGATAGTCTCATCGAGTACAGAATCCCTTCGCTCTTGGAGGGTTGGACGGCGGCTGTCTGACATGGCTGACGTCCTGAGGATAAACAAGCTCGGAAGCGTGAGACTTTGACGTCTGCAGGGTCGTAATGAGTCATCAAGACTTTATCAAAACAGAAGAGGGCCCATTCTGACTCGGCTTATTCCCTGGTCAGGCCGATAGTCCCGAGGGCCAGGAACCGCGTCATATATGCCGAATAATCATGTAATGTTGCACCAAGTACCGTGCTTAGAAAGAGCATACACAGCTCGCGCACAATGCATTAATGATGCCCGTGTGTCGCGTGATTCCTTTTCTTTAATGGACATACAACGCAGCATGAGGTACAGAGTACAGTAGTCACTTAGCTTCCGGCTACACTAAAGTACCTTACCGTACTTACCTTATCTCCGAGTCCGCTAAATACGCGCATCGCAGCGGGAATAGCCGAATGGCCGTCGTGACGTCATCGGAAATGCAGAGTTGGAGGATAAAGTAAAGTACATGAACTCGGTAACTCTCGGTCAGCATTAATATTCGCATGACTGCCGAAAAGCCGATGTGCAAATATGAAAGAGTCCCTTCAAACATGCCTTGTTATATGAATACCTACTCCCTCGCCCCGCGCCTTATTGACTTACCTACCAAAAACAACTTATCCTATATCTACCTTTTCTTTTTCCATTGGATTGTTCCCTAATCAATACATATAAATCAGTCTCTCATACTTCCAAAATCGGTTTGGTCGAGGGACATGCCAGAATTGAAACTTAGCCGTTCTGCACCAACGCCCAGCTCAGAACCCAGAGCTCAAATCCGCCGTGGCCGGTCCAACACAGCCAATCGTCCCCATCTACAGCACGTCTTTTCTGCGCAGCACCTCGATGATGTCTCAAACTACCACGGTGGCGACCACGACTCAAAACTTGAGGACGAAGATGACCAGACCGAATACTCTGATGAGCTTGAGCAAGTGAGGAACGAAGACTTTGACGAAGCCGCTAGAAATGGCGAAGATGAGGTGGCCGAGGTTCGAATGGGCGTTCTCGACACGCGAGACCTCGAGGCAAACCTGGAGAAGAAACAAAGTACGAGATCGATCAAGGATCCCAATTTGGTACGAGTGGTTGACTGTATCCTCTGCAATATGACAGTATGATTGACTGGCTTTCTAGGTATCGTGGGATGGCCCCGAAGACCCTGAAAATCCCAAGAATTGGACTTTTGGGCGTAAATGGGCTGCGACGCTTATTGTATCATGCTTCACCCTCATCTCGCCTGTCTCGTCGTCAATGGTGGCACCTGCTCTCACATCAATATCCAAAGAATTTGGCATAACGAACGAGGTGGAGTCGCAGCTCGTGTTGTCTGTCTTCGTCCTAGCATATGCGATCGGGCCTCTATTTTTGGGTCCGCTTTCCGAAATATACGGCCGCGTACCGGTCCTTCAAATTGCGAACTTGGTATATCTGATCTTCAATATTGCATGTGGGGCCAGCAGAAACAAGGGGGAGATGATCGCGTTCCGATTTCTTGCTGGTCTTGGAGGGTCTGCGCCATTGGCGGTACGTCTGCTTGGGGTCGAGATATGCGGCTGTCGTAGGAGCTTGCTGACTCTCTACAGCTTGGTGGTGGCGTCCTCAGCGATTGTTGGCGAGCGGAAGAAAGAGGTCGTGCGATCAGCATCTACAGTCTTGCTCCCCTTCTTGGGCCAGCCATTGGTCCCATAGCAGGTGGCTTCATTACCCAGAACACAACGTGGAGATGGGCTTTCTGGGCCACGTCGATTGCCGATGGGGTCATCCAGATCATGGGGCTCTTCTTCCTCAAGGAAACATATCCACCCACCCTACTTCTCGCGAAAGCAAAAAAGCTTCGAAAAGATACCGGCAATGCAGCTCTTCATACGGAGTTTGAGCATCCTGAACGGACGCTTGCCAATACCATGAAGCGCAGCCTGATCCGCCCATTCAAGCTTTTGGGTACGCAACCAATAGTTCAAGCCCTGGCGATTTATATGGCATATCTTTACGGCCTCATGTATCTCGTTTTGTCCACATTTCCAGGTCTGTGGGAAAACCAGTACCACGAGTCCATTGGCATTGGTGGCCTGAACTACATCTCTCTGGGCGTCGGCTTCTTCCTTGGAACTCAAATCTGCGCTCCAGTAAATGATCGTATCTACCGTCGATTGAAGACAAAGAATGACAATGTTGGCCGCCCGGAGTTTCGCACGCCTCTAATGATTCCAGGTAGCCTACTCGTTCCCTCTGGCCTCTTTATATACGGCTGGTGTTCACAGTACCACACACATTGGATAGGACCGAATATCGGCGCTGCCCTCTTTGCGGCAGGTGTTATCATTGGCTTCCAATGTATTCAGACATATCTTGTCGACTCCTATACGCGTTTCGCAGCTTCGGCTATCGCGGCGGCGACGGTACTCAGAAGTCTTGCAGGTTTCGGTTTCCCATTGTTTGCTCCTTATATGTACAATGCCTTGAATTATGGCTGGGGAAACAGTCTGTTAGGATTCATCGCTCTTGGATTGGGCATACCAGCACCATTTCTGTTGTGGTTTTTCGGGGAAAAATTGAGAGAGAGGAGTCCTTTTGCTGCTGGCGGTGATTAGGTGTATTGGCAGAGAGAGGCCTTGGTAGTCTTGGTTGCGGTGAATGCAGTGCATATAGAATATAGATGGAGTTTCGTGTACATGTATCTAGATACAACAGACATCGAGATCCCTACCAAATTGACAGCTTTTAATCTCATCAATGACAAAATTTTGTTAGATGTCCAGGAACGAGCAAAATCATAGAACCAGTACCTATTTATTCGAGAATTTAATGAGGATCTTTCAGCCGCATGCTCAGGGTCCAATGCTTCGGCTTGGACCTTCTCGCCGTTGCTTGAGCTGAGTACTTGGACCTTTAGGTCTTTATGACATATAAGCGTCGTTCTCTCACCGCGCCTGATCTGCTCACGTACCAGAGTCACACCTCATCTTACATCCCAGTCTACTACCAGTCGCCTCCCCTCCAAGCCCCAAAGCTGTTTCAGTAAGCTCCCACAGCATCAATACCTTGTCAAACGCAGCGTGAGCACCATGGCGGCCGACATCCCCAAAGCAGTGTACAAGCAGCTTGGTAAGAGCGGTCTGAGAGTCTCTGTGCCGATTCTTGGTGCTATGAGCATTGGAGACAAGAGATGGCAGCAATGGGTCACGGAAGAGGATGAAGCGCTACCTTTACTGAAGGCTGCTTACGACCGAGGCTTGAATACGTGGGACACAGCCAATGTGTACAGCAATGGCGCGTCTGAAGAGATCATTGGCAAGGCAATCAAGAAATACAACATCCCTCGCCATAAACTGGTCATTTGCACGAAGTTGTGTGGTACTGTTCGTGAAGGAAATAGCCCAGAGGTGATGGCTCTCAAGGATATCGACAACACGGTCGATTATGTCAATCAGCGAGGACTGTCACGACAGGGAATCTTAGCTGCTGTCAATGCCTCTCTCGCGCGTTTAGACACATCCTACATCGATCTCTTACAAATACACCGCTTCGACAAGACCGTCCCGGTCGAAGAGACTATGAAAGCACTGCACGACCTTGTCGAAAGTGGGAAAGTGCATTACATAGGGGCAAGCTCCATGTGGGCGTATCAATTCGCAACGATGCAATTCGTGGCCGAGAAGAATGGATGGACGAAGTTCGTATCGATGCAGAACGCCTATAACTTACTCTACCGAGAGGAAGAGAGAGAGATGAATAAGTTCTGCATGGAGACAGGCGTTGGATTGATACCATGGGGACCGCTGTCTCAAGGTCAGCTCGCTCGCCCATTTCATGTCAACGGCAGCACCACTCGCTCTTCTGGCAAGCCAGCGCTGCCAGAAGCAGACATCTCAATTATCTCCCGAGTAGAGGAGCTTGCCAAAAAGAAAAATTGGAAGATGGGTCATGTAGCGTTGGCGTGGCTCAATTACAAAGGCATCTGTAGTCCTATTTGTGGGTTCAGCAGTGTGGCGAGGTTGGATGAAGCGTTGGAGGCTAGGGGAAAGGAATTGACCGTGGAAGAGGTGAAGCATCTGGAAGAACCATATACCCCCAAAAATGTCTTCGGCCATGGCTAGCAAGGAATGAATATTTGGCGGTATGGAGTTGCGTATCAAAGTCATTTCTAGCAAGGCCACTTCAGCACTGGCGTGAATAGCAGAGTTGCCTATCGAAAACAGTATGCCGAGTTCCTAAACCCGGACTCATGCAATACCAAGGGGATCAAATATCATCTTTCCAAGAACCAAGCCTTCTCCCTCACGCCATCGCTGTTTCCACTACCGTTGAGCTGTATCTCTGGCCCTCTCTTCGGTTTACGCCGAAAACCCAGGTTTCGCCATGGCTACAATCGCTGGCTCGAGCTTGCTCTTGCCGATTTTTAACCCTTCCATCTCGCGATTTCCTTCGACCAGGCAGTCATTGATGTTCTACTCCAACAAGACTCCTAGCCCGCTCGCATGTTCTGCCCGAAATACCTCCACCCTTGCTCTAGTCTCACTTTGGTGACGATGGCCTCGGAAAAATTAAGATGCACGAGAATTCTCGTTTGAACAACAGCATGTGAGTAGATCGTGCCACCATACTTATAATCTCTTCCAAGGTTAACTATTAATCGTGGGCTTAGATGCATAGGGAAGGAGCGATGGCTGGGAATTACCTATCGACTCTAGCCTGATCCCAGGAGGCATCCCGTCTCATTGCGTTGAGCACCATAGATATTATCATAGAATATCTTACTCATTCATCTCTTTCCCGAGGCCTCCCGTTATGGATAACCAGAAGCTAGTAGCAATTTGCAGGCACGACTTACGATTGGAAGAAGATTACGACATTGCTCGACTAATCAGAGAGGTCAAAATAGTACAAGAGGATTCGAGCGACACCTATGCCAGGCTCACTAGAAAGCACAGAATCAAGGCTCGGGAGATATTGTCCGGGTATATGTTAGCTTGGGAATATGTGGAAGACCTGGACGGCTCAGGTTATGGCCAACGCTTCTGGCTGTGCGTGTTTTCGGAATCCGTATTTCCTCTTCTGAACCAAACCTTGAGTCTCGAGACACGCCTTGGGAGTGTTCACTCTCTAGACGTTTCTCAAGGCTCGCTAAACTCCCTCAAACAAGCAAGACTGACCCTGAATCATAATCCAGAGGGAAGTCGTCTCGTCCCGATGCTCTTATCTGGCCTGAGGATAAGAAGAAGTGGTGTGCAATGACAAGCTTTCAGCTCAACATACTGATATATGCTAGGATCCTCGCGGGCGTCGAGAAGATGTTCAACGACTTGCAGGACTATGCAATAATTGACCGGCAGAAGAGGAAATCACGGCCAATACCAGAGATTGATAAAAAAGCGGTAAGTATACGTCGATGAGCAAAATTCCCACATCTGACACCTAGTGCCTGGAGTCTAGGATGCCGGAAATGACCCACCTCCACCGGGTGCACAATCAACATTTGGACCACCAACAAAACATGGTAGTAGAAGGGATAAGCAACCCAAGACTGATGTCACCCTGGTCCCATACAACGTGGCTCCTATTGCCCAAGATGCAAAGCCCGGCGAACGAGCCGCCAGCCAGAAGGAGGAGCCAAAGAAAGCAGCCAGCGAGGAGTCCTACGACGTGGATCCCAGTACGCGACCAGAAGGAGCCGTCACCGACGAGTCTGGCGAAGAGACACCATCCAGGAAGAGAGCATTAACGCCTCCGTACATCCCAGAAAAGGGTCTTCACCAGACATGGCCAGCTTTCGGGTTCAAGATCGTCAGTAAGGAAGGAGCTCGGGCTCTAAGAAACCGGGCTGTAAAGATCGACGACTCCGAAGAATCAACGTCTAAGACTACTCCCATGACGCCCCGTAGATCCAAGGGCTCGAGGGTGAAGGCGAACCGGAAGCAGGATTCAGCAGAGAAGAACTCCAGCACTGTATCTGCAGAGAGAAGCGAAGAGGAACATATCGATATCGAGGAGCCGAAAAAAACTGGGAAGGGCCGCCTCCCCAGCTTACCAAATTCGCTTTTGACTCGTCGTCAAGCCGCATCGGCGAAAGCAACTGGCAATGGCAGCCCGAGATCAGAAGATGATTGAGCAAACGGCGAAGCCAGCCTCTCAGCAGTCCCGAGTAGCGATGGCCCAGCTGTTCAAAGGTCTCCAAAATCCCTCAGCGAACACCACTAATTTGCAAATGAGAGAGTGAGAAGGGCCCAGAGAGGGTACATCGAGTCACGCTGCCCGGACGTTATGAAAGGAAACTGTGGACATGGAGGACTAAGAAGTAGGCTTGTGAGTGGTCAAGCAGTCAGCAATGGGATATTGCGTAATGAAAGATTCACCAGATCAAAGGACCAAATGCACTTGTGATCGTGAACTTGCCAGCCGGCTCCCAATTCGTGCCATGTCCGAGACAGTAATTCTTGCACAGCGCAGCAGACATAGCTACGAATGCTTCCCCTGAGTCCAACAACTCGGCTAACGGCTGCTGCAGGTTCATAGCTGAATGATGGAAGATTAGAAGTGAAATTCTTATAGACACATTAGCAACAGCAGCACGAAAGCTAGCCTCCTCGAATAACGTTCCTTCACTATATGCTTCAGGCTTCGATCCGTAGATTGCGCACCATCAAGAGGGACCAAACGCATGAAATCGGGGAGGCCTTCTCCGGACAGACGATTCAATCATCGAGGTTCGAATAGAAGTTCTTTATTGCTCCTGAGCGTACGTAGCTACGGCCGCTGCATAGCAAGATCATCCTTCGTTCTGCCCCTGCTTCTTCACAACATCCTTCCCTTCTGCCACCCCCCTCAAATCAATGAACCTACGCTGGATTCGTAGTCGTCCCCCTCGCTCCCTTTGGTGCACCAGTCTGGAACCCATTCTTGAACTTGCGCGGCACCTCCTTCATCGAGCGCATGCGGCCGGTACCGGTGGTCTTTCTTCGCTTGGCTTTCATTCCCCAGTTGTCTGTGGAATACGAGTTAGATATTGGTGCGCAATAGCGGCTGGAGAGGAAGGTTGTAGGTGGAAGTGGATGAAGATTGAGTGCGATTATTCCGAGGAGATTTCAAGGATGGAGAGAGCGTACATTGGCGGATCTTAGCAGCAGGATAGCCACATGACGAGCACGTGTGCTTCTGGATGTGAAGAGAGCGGCGACCTGGGACAGATGCGATTAGCAAGGCGTTCGATCCATAAGAGGGCCTCGCAGTTGACGGATGTTTGGGCCTGGGAAGCCAATTTTGCTATGACCAACGCAGAGGAGATGGACTGAGCTTACCGCAGCGTCTGCACAAAGTGTGAGTCTTGTTATGGCGTTTACCAAAGGACGAGGTACCCTTCGCTATTTGGAGGTCAGTTGCGACCCTTTTTGGCTTGTCCCGGGCTTCTCGAACGCACTCATCTTGGGCTAGGTTGTCTATTGTACTATATCAGCCATAGAGTGATGGTCATTTGTGGAAGGATATACATACCCTCTCGCGATGTCAATGTGGTGGCTGTATGGGTGGTCGTGAACTGGTAAATTTGGAAGATTGACGTGCGAAAATCTGCCAAGACCTCGCTTGATTGTCATTAGCGCCCGCGATTTAGTCGTACCGGCGCCCGCAGATTACGGACTCACAGAGTCTGTCCCTCGGTCTTCAATTACTTTACTCTTCTCGTTGTCATTTCTTTATCAGATTGACAGCGGTGGAGCTGAATGATGGCAAGTGACTCTGTATTAGCACGAGTTTATATTCGTTCATGGATTCTTTCCTTCGACCAAGGCTCCGCTAATGCAATCTACCCAGTCTTCATCCGGCTTCCAGTACCGGACTCGAGACGCTTAAGCACCCCTCTCAAACACCTTCACTCCGCCATCCGAGCCTACATAGTACAGGCATTCCCTCTCCTCTACATCTCCCTCATCTCTCGACTCCTCGGCTCCTTTGCTAATCCTTAGGACACCACTGACATCCTTCGCCACGCCTGTATCGAGTCCCCTCACGCTCAAGATCGATCTCGCCTGATGTGCTAAGCTCATCACGAAAGCTGTGTGAGATATTTCGAGAGGCGTAGTGGGCGATTGAGAAAGGGGCATGTCGGCAGCTGTGGCAATAATGGTGGAGTAGACGTGCTATTTCTCGACACCTCCGTTGAGCGAGTGCATGGAGCCTGTAGATGGAGAAAAGGCGTACCTCTCTGAGTTCACCAATCATATCCAGCATCCCCAGCACCTCCCACCCTGTAGCCGCAAGCAAGAAGTCTAAGCCGTCTAGCATCAGTATAACGTTGCCTCCGCCGGTTGGAGTCTTCTTGCTCCCAATAGCCTTCATGATCGCTTTCTTCACATCAGCTAACCCTCCAGCACCCATGCCTAATCCATTACTCAGAGCATCAATGAGATGCACTCTCTGGAAATCGATGCCCTAAGAGCGTAGGTGCCGATTAGCTCTGGTCCTTTTCGTGCATTCTTCTACCACGTAGATACCACGTGGATACCGAGATAGAGGATGTGCTCACCAGCTTCCGTCCGCTCTCCCTCCACCATGCCCCATCCCTGAGCCAGCTCACCAGCACTATCCTTTGGTCGAAGGGATCACCCTGAGTAATGTGGCAATCATGGCCAGTGCCGTAGCCCTTGCTCTTCAATGTGGCACATACGAACCGCAAGACCAGCCAATTTGTTGTGGCGCCGAGGGTCGAGGTGAGAAGCGTGAGAGAGGTGCAAGGATGGGCGGAGAGATTGGGAGATAGCAAAGGGGGAATCAGTGGCTGCGATGGCATCTAGGGCGGCTCAGCGGACGATGAAAGGGGTGCACGAGTCATTATTTTTGGGTACGGTCGAGAAATATCGGGGTTTGTTTTTGTTGGCAAGAGAGGGACAAATTCGGCTACGTTGATCAGAGCATCATGTTAATCTACGGTGTACAACCATCACATTTCTACGCAGCTAGAGTCATTCGAATGTTTTAACGGGTTCTTGATTTTTTAAGTCTTTCTTGGAAAAACACTCGATGCGTTAAGCAGCTAGGAAAGTAATGCGTGAAACGTAATGGTTCGTTCGTAGCGGATGTGTCTTCATTCTGGCTTGCGATTGGAAGCGTCGTGCTCCTCGGTAGGCTTGATGACATGAAACAAACAGGTCGTAAAGCTATCTTCCACAGAAGATGATCGATGTTACGATATCGAGACCTTGATTCAAGCCGACCATCGTACTGTTACACGTCAGTGTGTGTACCCAAAAGATTGTGAAAAATGGGGCACATACCCTGAAAATGCACCCCTCCTCAATTCATTCTCTCCTCACGATCCCGGTACCGCGTCATCTTCGGCAATCGTTGCCAACTGGTCAAGCAAGTTACCTTTGGTATCAATAGACACCATCACTTCGTCTGACTCAGCGTCGCTGTCACTGGAATAGCCCACCTCATTGTTAGCTTCGTGATTGTTCTCCTCCTCTTTCATGGTTCTCTCCTTTTCCTCATCCCTTTCCACCTCATCGCTAAGGTCGACCGTTGACAGCTGACTTGTCTTAACTGCCTGCTCTTCTGCTCTGCCAAAGAACACATCCTCAAGAGCTTTTTTCTTCTCTTTGTGGAAAGATTTCAACTTCCGGTCTTCTGGCTCGTCCGAGGGAGCGGACAGACCCATCATCAGATCAGTCAACAGTCGTAGATTGGATCCTTCAGGTATGGTGCAATCAGACTCGACACTGAGATCCTTGTCATCCCCCAAGGTTCCTCCAAAAAACGCCTCGTTGAGCGCAGCAGTCTGCTCCTCTCCGGCTAGCCGTGCTACTTCTATCCTCCCTTGACTGTCCAAGGGTCTTTCTGATCCACGGAGATGGCTAACTGACCTAGCCGTAGACTTGGAGTTGCCCTCCACTGATGCTTCAGGATTGTAATAATGGTCATCATGAAACTTCCGAGCCAGAAGCTCCGGTGAGCTCGAAGACGAAAAATCAATCAAGCCCTCGTTCGCCGAAGAGCCGTGTTCCACGCTCGAGCCCATTGATGAGTTGAATGACTTAGCGCTAATTGAACTAGAGGGTATATATTCCGCCGCGGTAGGCCTGTCACGTTCGTAAGACTCTCTGGACCTTCCGAAGAGCTCAAGCAATACTCCAGGATGTGTAGTGTCCTCTGAGGTCTCCAAATAGTCGCTCGAATCTAACATACTAGGACCAACACGACTCGGCTTCGGTTGAGGTGCCTTGATCTCATCCGGTGGGACTGCGGCCTTCGAGCCGATTTCTCCTCGCACGGAAATTGGACCCTCGGCCTCAGAAGTATTGCTCTTTGCAATCTTGCCAAGGACGTCCTGGAACAGCCATGGAAAACTCATCAAAGGCATGGCAGATGCCGTCATCTCTCGTAGGGGTCTCGATTGGCCGCCAACGAGCTGAACGCGATGACATTCTTCGACAGCTGCGGTCACTTCTCCGGCCGTGACTTCATACATGGCTGCAGCGAATGGACCGATATGCTTGTAGTCTTTTCCTCCGGCACGCTCATGGCATATAAGTCGAAACTGGTCTTTGAGTGCCATGGAGATCTCTCCAATCTGCTCATGGTATTTAAACGCATTGTTTGTACTCGAGTGCTGCAACACGAAGGTTGACCAGACCTCAAACTCGGTTTTGATCTCCTGCTGCGCCATGATGCGACGCATGTGCGCATCGTACTCGTCTTTGATCTCACGCGCACTCTGGAGGATGTTCTCATCGAGTCTGTATGCTCGTAAGATTCGCGGGTCGAAAGGCGCAGTGAACGCAGGAACAAAATCTATGCGTTCAACTTGATCGTAAAGTTGTCCCAGCACCTTTTTCGATGTGTAGATCTGATGCTGTTTTTTGCCGACCTTCTCCATAAAATGAGGCCATTTCAGAGGCTCTAGGTCGCGGGTCAACTGAGCTGGTTGACCAGTCTTGACGTAATCCACAGCCATAGAATGAAGATTGGCAAGCTCCAGGCCTAATCGATAGTCAGCAATGTAGAAGATAGATACACTCGCAAAACATACATCTCGCTTCCTTCACGCCTTCTTCCAAATAGTCGGCATTTGCGGTATGGGCATGCGCTATTCGCGCCAAGGTATCATTTTTCATGTAAGTCACAAAAAAGGTCGTCAGATCGTCGATCCCAATGTTCTCGTTGGGCTGTTCCATAGGAGGTCGAGAATAGTCCATGGCCTCATGGTTCCACTCACTAGGCAACAAGTCCTGGTCCCAAATGACGAGGAAATCGTCTCCATCTAGATCGCCCCCAGAACACATTCCCGCAACATCTCTGTCACCCGTTTGAGGCAGAACTACTACGTCTTTCAGATGGTGAAGCTGTGGAACGTCCACACCGCAGACAACTCGAACATCTCCTGGATGGAGAGAAGGGTTCCGAGCGAGCAGCATTGGTCCGAGCATGACTTCAGGTCTTCCGTCAGAGTTTTTGGAGATTTGAACAAAAACCTGTGGTACATGTCTGGCCTTTTCATCGTTGGAAGCGTCTGCTGAGAGTTTTGGACTATCGTTGAAGTGGCCTCGAAGAGTTGCCGTTTCGTCCACACAGCCCAAAAGGAGAGCGCCGGAACCGATCGTTATCCGCGCCTTCTCTTTCAGATATTTGATGGACCATGCTCGCCACAACTGTAACAGAGAAGTCACGAACGGTTCTCTCGTCTTCTGAAAACCGTCCAATACCATGCTCGCGACAGTCAGCGTCATTTGATTATGATCGATTTCTTTTTGCAAGATAGCCAATGCCATTGTCTCGTCAGTCATAGCCCGCTCGAGTCGTGACAACTGCGTTTGCAGCTTTCGAGCAAACACTTGATCCGGGACCCCCAAAGCAGATAGAATCAATATAAGTTGGCGATTCAGATTGGCGAAAGCGTATTGAGACCATCGGATTATCTCCAAGTTCTCGTCCATCGCAGGGAATTTGTACTGGCTCTTGCGAATATGAATTTGCCTTCCAACAGAGTCCGGGGAAATGGCGAGCACGCCCTTACAGCCGCCAACACGAATCTGGAACACACTTGGCGGATCTTGGGAGTGTTGGAGTATACCCAATTCTGACGCCGCAAGATAAGCAAGGAATGGAGAAATTCTACCCACGCCGTCCGTGAAATTGTGTCCGTTGCGTCTGATGTCCGGGATCTCAACCGTAATAACCCGTGCACCGTGTATTGCCCGTGTAGTCGAAAAGCATTGGCCAAGTCGAGAAGTATAGAGCGCCACGGTCTTGATCTCTCTGAACATTCCCATCCATTGTCGAATCTTCTCTGTAGTCAAATTTGGCAGGGGAGCGAAAAAGTATGCTCCATGTTCTCGAAATTGAGAATTTCCACAAGCTAGAAACTCGTATGTACGATCGCCAATTCTGATACCGTTGGTCAATACTCTCTTAACGCGGGTAAACACTTCGTTCATCGTATCCTTATGGGTTGGATGTATCTTGCCCTGTCCCGATAAGTTTCGTCCACTGCAGCGTTGGGAAAACGTACCTCTGTTTTCTCCTCCGTGAATCGGACACGAAGAAATCGGTCAGCGTATTGGGAATATTGGCGTATTACACGATTTGAAGTCTCCGCAACTGGCGTTAGGAAATGAACAGTCGTTGGTGTAACCGTTGCAGAACGGACATAGGCGCAGTAAGATGGAATTCTGGTTCTGGAAAGCGAAGCCTTGCCATTTATTGCCTGTAGCAACAACATCGGATCGTAGATACGATTCCCATGATTAGCAATGTACTCGAGAAGGTCCTGAGCTTGTTCGACGTTCATGTTCATGAGTGTCGTAATGAAGTGTTCGCTCAGATTGTGCTCGTTCAGAAATCCTTGTGAGAAGCAGACCTCGAGTTGATAGCGGGCTTCAAACGCCATCCGTGGCTTGTTGGCATGGATCATCTCCTCCAAGCCGGTTCCTTTGTTGCTTCGTTTCTTAAGTGGTAGGTCGATGAGCTTCCAGACTGGGGCGTCGCGTTTCGAAGTGATGTAGAAATTAGGGAAAGGTACAATCTCAATATTATAGTCGCGTAACGCTTCACGCATTTGGTCGAACTGTGGTAGACCATTCTCCGGACTATTGAAAACCAAATGATAGGTCGTCCAGCGTCCTTCCATAGGTCAGTCACGGGGTCTTGTGCAAAGGATTAATGCTTACCAAGGTCGATAATCGGATTTGTCTTCTTCCAAGTCAGGGAAGACTTCTTCAGATCATTGGGTACGTATACAAGATCAGTTTGACGATACCACGCATCGTTGTCGCCCCATGTCACTGCTTGATCATCGTGACTCTTCGAAGGATCCAGCTGCTTGAAATACTTTGGTGGTGTCTCCATGGAGATGAGAAGGATCAATTTGTGTCCTTGTCCCTCTATTCGGTGAATCACCTTCAACTGGGTGAAAGGAATCCGAAATTGGAAGAGCTCTGTCCTATCGTACTTGCCTCTTCGCATGTTTGGGTTGTTAGAAGTCGCTCGTGGGTCCACAATGTGCATCGGGAACTCGACCGAGATCTCCTTGTGGAACATATTCATGCAAAACTTAATCCCAGTCTCTCTAGTTGGCAGCACTCTACGCATGTTCATCATCGTTATCTGATCGAACATAGTGCCAAAATCCAGGGACTCAGCATACATGGTCTGAGAGATGTTAGTTGTCGTAGAATCACTGGAATACAAGCAGCATACCATGGTCTCCGGGTATTTGCTCTTCGACTGGACTGGAAGAACCGATTGTTGGCGAGTCTCGTTATATACCCTAACAGATATTGTACGACCCCCAGCAAGCTGTATCGAATACTTTCCACGCTTCCAGAAAGCCTTGGCTGGTGGTGGACTACCACCTCGTCAGTTATTGCGATGGCGCGGACATGAACGATATGTGGAAGCGTACCTGAACTTCACTTTGGCTCCGCCATCTCGATGGCCTTTCGCATTTTGGTAAAGCCGAATGTGCGCAATGTGGCCTTCATGCTTGAAAGCTGTCCATAGATCACGAGTTGTGGCGCTGTCTGGAAGGTCGCAGACCTTGATGAATATGTGTTCCCCAAGAGCCCAATCATTCTGGATCCTATGGTCACGACGCGTCATCACGGATGAAAGGTGTGAGAAGTCATTCGGAAGTCGTGGCAGTGGATGCTGGACGATGCTATTGGGCCGACCGTGCGAGGATGATTGATTGTAGACACCATTGGTTATGGTGCTGAAGGGGGTTGGATTCTGGGCATACAGAGACTGTGATGGGAGCAGACCCACGGGCTGAGGTGCAGCTTTTTGATGTGCCGATGTCTGGAAAGTCGAGCTCGTGCTGCTGGAAGAGATTGAGACACCCAATCCATTGAGCAGAGGGGTAGATGGTTTGGTCGACATGTCGCTTGTCTGGTTTCCTGCTTCGAGGGCTTCGGATGCTGCTTTAGCTTCTTGCTGCTTGGCGGCTTTTTCTAGCAGGAATCTACGCCTCGCTGCTTTGATGCCTCGGTTGGCTCCACGTCTTCGTGGGCCGCCTGAAGATGAAGCTTCGAATGACTTCTTCGCATTCTGTATATGCTGTGATGGAGGTAGATTTACTCTGGTGGGGTGGTGATCGAAGGAGCAAGAGGGGGAAGAGGTTGAATTGAGTGAGGAGGATTGTTGTTGTTGATCCGAGTCTGAATCCGTCATTGAGTCTTTAGCGTCTTTTCCTAGCGGCTTTCTCTGGTCTATGTCGGGAAGTCGCACTGCAGTGTTGTCATCCTCGGAGTCCGAGGAAACACAAGCTCGAGGTAGTGATAGTTCGACTGGGCCATCGATGTTACTTCTGCCACCAATCACCGAACCAATGCTGTTCATAGCTTCAGATAACGCCATATTGCCGCCCAGCACGTAGGTGTATCTGACTCTACAGCCCAAGTTCAAGAGAGTGTCTGAAGCGACGATAGAGTTCTATGAGTAGAAAGTGATGAAGGAGGTTATAAAAAGAAGTGGTGAAGGCGGTTGCGAAGAGAAAGGCGGAGCAGCTGTTTTAGCTTGAAACGAGGGTAATGAAAACAGTATTGAAGGGCAAGAGTGATGTTAACGGCAAATTCCGTGCTTATCTCCGTATCCTCAATGACTGCCCTTGAACACCAATGCTCGCTTGAGGACCAGTGGCTCGATCTGTCGGTGTTGATGTGAAGAGGTGGAAGGAGTCTTTGAGGCGAGTTGGGAATGGCAGAAGATCTGATCTTGATCTTGGTCAATGCAAGCAGAAACCTTTGATCATTGCAAGTACTCGATACGCATAAAGTCTAAACCGAATCAAGTCTAACAGTCTGGAGTCCTAGCAGTCCTGTGTGGCCTTTTCCACCAGAAGGCTTCGCATTGGGATTGCTGAGGAATCAGTGTAGTAGGCGGCGTGTGGGAAGGATGGTCAAATGGACGATGAGGGCAATAGAAATACATCAGGAAGCCCACCGCCAGGGATCAGAGATTCACTATAGGAAGTGAAGGCTTGGAGGTCCCTTCTACCATGGTGTTGAGAGGTCTTCACAGTCTTCAGTCTTCACACTCCTGCCAGTCTTTACAGCCTTCACATTCATTCCTAGTCTTCAAAGGTAATTGAGAGCTTTACAGAATGAACAAATCTCTTCCACGGAGTGAGCGACTATGTCGTGGCAGGCTGGTTTGTTAGCAAATATGGTAGGAAAGGCAAACAAAGGATTCCTTCAATCACGGACATTTTTCTTAGGCGCAGGAACCCGCTATGCCACTCAAGACCCAATCGGAAACACTGGGCGACCCTCAAACACAGCCTTGGCAAGCACCAATCACAAAACGATTTGACACACCATCGAATGTGAAAGGTCAAAAGGCCATACAGAACCACTCCGTTATAAATGGATGCGGATCCGGTTTCAGCAATCTCATCAACAAGATGTGGAACGAGACCAAAGGTCAGTAGCACCGGCCGGTGGCTCCTGCACCCAGTGAATCCAAGTAGCGCACCTCAATGTTCGATGCAGTTCAGGTTCTAAGTGCTACATCATCGTATCAGAACTCCGTGGTCGTCTCATCGTATTCGTGTCTCGGCAGTTTGCTGCGCAGCGCAGGAATCTGTTCTTGTTCGGTGCTTGTGAAAATGTCCCCTCCGCCAAAGGACTCTTCCTCAGAGTCAAGATCCGGAGATACTTGGTCATTTTCTGTGGGTATTTCCCCAGCGCCGTCGGTTTTTGGGGTATAATGTTCTCGAGATTTTGGATTTTTTAATGCTAAAAGACCCGGACTCTGCGTTGATCCGAGGTCACCCAGTGGGACTCTACCAACTCTCATAACGCTGCGCTGGTGCTCTTTCGATGTAATAATAGACTTCGAACTTTTCGTTGCACGGGTTGTCGGAGTCCTAGAGTCCTGGTGTCTCTTGATGCGCTTAGGTGCTCTGCTGGAAGCGCTGGAGTTGGGTGAATGCAGTGATTCGGCGGCTGTCAGATCTGGACTATTCGCACCAGACGAGGGTAGATCACGCTCGTCATGCCCTAGAGTCCTCAACTCTGCCCCATGAGATGATGTTTGGCGCTTGGTGGTTCCCATAAGGGACATAAGGCGACCGCTTAGCTCCTGAGCTTCTGCAAACTCTCTAGCCCGCTCCTGTCAAAAATTCCAGGATTAGCATTTCTTGTTTCAGACTTGGATGTCTGTACACTCCTGAGTCATGTCTCACGGCTCCAAATTAGGCGCCATGAGTGCAGTATAGATTCCAAAAATACATACCTCGCGCTCTTTGCGAAGTTTGCTAACCTTGCTCTGTAGGCCAGCGATCGTCGCCGCATTCTGCTCGCTGGCTGCTGCAGCCCTCCTGTGCGCCACCTCAAGCTCGCTTTGCCATTTGTCATTCGAAGATCGATTAGACTCGTCTAAGCGCTCAAATTCTGCGTCTTTGGCAGATACGTACGTCTCGTGCTGCAATCGCAGTTCGGATGTGTCAACTTCCACGTTACGAAGTTGAACCTGCAAGGCTGAGATCAGTGACTCGTTCCGGTCAGATGCTTCGTTCACCGCAACAATAGTACTATTCAGCTCTTCAATGAGGGCCTCGTTGTTGCTGATCTTCGCGGTATTGCGGGCATCTTGTTCTTTTGTTTGATTCAATTCATGTTGAAGATCCTGGACACGGCGTTCCGAGGCGGAAATAGCATTGTTCAATGTTTCGATGTGTGTCTCCCTGTTGTTCAACTTCTCGGCATTCTTGGCATCCAGCTCTCTCATACGGTTTATTTCATATTCAAGGGAATTGACATGATTCTCAGTGCTGGCAAGCTTCAAGCATTGCTCCTCAAAAACCTCATCTTTTCCCGTCATCGTAGCTAGGCACGCGAGGTCTTGTTGCCTAGCGCTTTCGATGGCAGCTTGTGCTGCCCGTTCAGCTTCGATCTTGGCATGGTCGAACTCCTGATGGATATTGTCGAGACTTGTCCCTAAATCTTTCAATCGTCTCTCGGTCGCCTCAACCTGATTGGCGAGACAATCTCTTTCAGTCTCTAGGGCGCTGAGGGTTGATTGGCGGTTTCGTGCCTGAAATTCCAATCCAGCGTTCTTTTGCTCCGAGCTTTCCAGCCTTGCTTGAAGGTCACGAGAATTTGATTGTTCCTCCCGAAGAGGACGCTCACTTTCGTTACACCGAAGCTCAAGGTCCCTACAGATCTCACCGACCATTCTGATAACACCCTCATAACGACAATCTACGTCTCTTGACATTTCTCGTATAAGGCCGTCTCTCCAATTAAGGCTAACGGAGTCCACACGCGGCGTACTGACAGCCTCGAACAAGGATATCTTGGGCGTTGTGAGGTTCATCGATCTGCGTTGATTACACTCCACAGAGGCGGGCTGAGTAGAAGAATGAAAGAACTGTTTCTCAAGCAGCAACTCCATAATGGATGCATCGAAATTACCTCCACATTTTGAAGCGTAAAGTGCAGATTTCAGAAGCATAACCGCAAGACTTTGGTGGAGTCGTGCTTGGGCTTCACTGTAAGATATCGGGCAGACGTCTATGGTACTGTGGCCATGAACGAATCCCAAGCGCATGGTTCCTTGCACTTGAGAGGCGTATTGAAGGACCATGTCCGAGACCGCGTTGCTCGAAATGGACTGCAAGACTGCTTTGAGTAGCTTCGATGACGTGGAAATGCTTTCCGTAAAGACAGAGATCAACCGTAAGGCATTGTCAATTTTCGTCAATGACTCCCTGCATGGATGCCACTTATCACACGCCAACACCAATAGCGACTCCAGAAGTTCACGTATAGAGGCGTCTTCGAGTAAGACCTGCATCTACTTAGCCACAGCCTGCTTTTCTTGTGCTATGAATGGTCTTACGATGCACTGTCCGATCGCACTGGCAGATAGATTGTCCGTTTCGGATGTGAGAAGGTGTTTTTTGAGATTCGGAATGACTTCCGGAGGCAACGATTCCCCAGCAGACAGAACAACAAGGAAGTTCAGTGCCTAGGCAGATGTTAGTTCCTAAGAAACCGAGCACCTCCCTTTATACATACCTCGCATTGCACTCTCGCTTCGACCCCAGACGTAAGGATCTTCTCATACAACTTCTTGGTTTTCCTGGTGTTGGCAGCTAGCCAGGAGCTTTTCTCTTTCTTGTCAAAAGCATCCACAATCTCTCTTGAAAGCTTCAAACTTTCGACAATCTCTTGTGTACTCAATGGGCAGTGTCGAGAGAATGCTGTGATGGCTTTGAGGACTACCAAGTCAAGCGTTTTCGGGGCTCGTCTCGATGAGAAGAACTTTCGAGCGGGAAGAAATCTATCTGCAGATTCGGGTCGAACTTCGCCGCTCGGCGAGGATTGGATACTCGGCTGACACTTCTCCATGCCACTTGACCTGGAAGCGATTTTTGCCAAAATGGCCAAACATAGTAGACTGGCCAGATGATTGTCCGAGTCAAGATTGGTCAGCACCTCAACCATTTGACTTTGAAAGCTGGAGAGAACATCGCAAGGCAAGATATCCAGATAGCTGGATTCTAGCCCTGATAGTAGCAGGTAGACTGGTCTGATAGTCTCAGGGGAAAGCGATTGGGTGGCCTTCTCCAGGCATTTCATGAGAAAGACAGGAACCTTCGAGGGAATTGGGAGTTCTGACGATGTAGAGAGCAAAGCAACGCAGGTGGCCGCATACTGTATTTCCGTCAGTACTCTGTTGGCGACACATAGGGTAATCTCGGTTGAGTACCTTATCGAAGCCTGAGTTCGAGTCTATGGCGTTGGTGGAAAGGGTCTCGAAAAGCATTGGCTTCTGCTGCAAGGCAGCGTTTCGGAAGGAAGGAATAGACGCTTGAAAAGATTAGTGAGCAAGTGGCATCTTACTGCTTTTCTGATCATACCTAAAACCGTCAAGACATCTATAGTGAAAGGCCATAGCTCAAGACCTTCTAAGACTACGACTTTATGATTTCGGAGTTAGCATTACTCTTTCGGGAGGAATGCTGAATCACGAGACATGTCTGCCGACACACAGGACAGCGTGAATTGGGAAGAATTGCCTGGGAAATCATAACGTACTGGCCAAGTAGTCTTCAGGTTTTCGGAGTCAGTATCTCTTCATTGTATCTCGGAACACAAATTGGGGCACGGATTAGGAAGGGAGGTATTGCTCCGAAATGTAGACGTACCAATCTGACAAGGATTTCCTCGGGCCCACAGTTGCAGAATGCCAACATCAACAATTTGCAGAATGTCATGGAGCTTCTGCTTTCGGGCGTCAGCTTCTCTTATCATTTCACAATTGCGTAAAACGCTCGTAGGACAGAAAGAGGAACGAGAGATCCTTCCTTTCCCCCATCCTTGATCTTAGGTACCTTCAAGCTAGGAGTATACGGGCAATTCGTTATGCGATGCACTTCCACACGTAATTCTTCCATCATGCACGGATCGTCCATCTTCTGATGAACTGTGAAGGCCAGGACAATTCGTGTTCAAAGGTTGGAGGCCTTCTCTCCGGTTATCTTGCCCTGGTTGCCCATCGCAACGACGTTTGGGACGGGAGGCTAGCCCGGACGAATCCATCTCTTGAATCAAAAGCCTTGGGGGCCTGGCTCGTCCCTTCGAAGTAGCTGTACTACTGCACTGCTTTGCGTCCCTTGGACTATGGCTACTTAAGTGCAAAGGTTCGAGGATTGCAGGATCTCTTTAACACGGGGGCGATGAAAGCGGGAACTAGCCCTCTCTTGACTTGCTGCATCTGCCCTTCATTTAAATCTTTTGTCTTCCACTGCTTCTATAAGATAACATGACAAACCAGAATACTGTCATCTACTCATGATGATAGACTAAGTTCATAGATGATAGCCCGAGGCCTTTTTTTCCCTGTACAGTGGGGCAACCTGTGGTGGGAGAAGGGGTTGTTGGAAGTACAGAATCAGCTCGTACGAGTACAGAAAGTTCTTTGTTTCTGGAAATTGTGCATGTTGAAGGTCGATACAGCTACTCTGGTAAAACATTATGTTCCGCTCTTCGCTTACTCAAAAGAGCCGACTCAATCGAATGGAAACATGGGCCTCGTAGCCATATCCTCCCACGCCAAAGGAGCCAAAGTGAGATTCTCATCCCAATCCCAGTCATTGTGTAAAATCGAATTCGAGAGTCTATGGTCTTCCTCTTCTGTATGGGAAGCTGGTACGGTTTTAGAGCCTGTCTTATCTCGCGCGCCCCCATCGCTTTCCTCATTCGCTGGCTCATTCGGATCATCCACCGTCTTCCTTGTCCCTGTTGAGCTCTTTGCATGCTTTTTTTTATTCGGAGATGTTTGGTTTTCCTTGGGTGAGGCTGTTGAATCCTGCTGCTTATACAGGCCAGGGAATCGCAGGCGGAACCGATCCCGTATCTGGCCACATGATCTTTGGTCGAAATTCAATGCGGGATCCTTGAGCATGAGATTCCATTGAAATCCATACAATTGGAAGCCTTTTTCAAGCTCGGTATCTTCCTGCTCTGTCCAGAGACGTTTTGGAGCTCTTAGTGGAGACTTCTTCGCAGTCCCTTTGGTCGCAAATTTGTAGCCAGAGGGTGCTTCTGCCACAGCGTTAGGTGTTGATACTATGAGGTAAGTTTCTTTTGTGGCCAAGCGTACCTTGGTCGTCGTCTGGAGGCTCTGGCATTGCTCTAGTCCACTTGTGCCGTGCGTTCGGGGGGAACACGACGCGGAACCTGAGAAAGATTGATCAGCCGCTGAGTGGGACAGCTAGCAATAGGATGTCATGTACCGATCCTTGAGATCCATGTTTGTCCTGCCTTCACGGAAATGCAATTCCGGGTGGTTAAGGATACTTTTCCATCTTCCCATCCCATAGATTGCGACACCTTTGACCAATTGGTCAGTCTCTTCTTCCGTCCACGCTGTCCGTTCTCGAGTATAGATTCTTTTGGCAGTACAACTGCCAGTAGAGCGCACCCTTGGCTTCCTCTTTCTAGCAGGTGGACGCCCGGGATCTTTGGTCTGGTTTGGAGGTTGCCCAGCACCAGAATGATATTTATCATGCTCTTCTTGAACTGCATTTGGCGTTATTGGAGGGAAGAGTGCTGCACTTGGAGGTGGTTCATGCAGCTCGTTGAGGACCGAGATCGGCTGGAACGGACGCGGTTTATCTTCTCTCAATTTTGTCTGAGGTCGAGGCAGCTGAACGAAGTCGGCAATTTGTTCATGGTCGTAGAGCTTCTGTTTCTTCCGGGGCCGCTCTTTCGGATGCTCCGTCTCTTGTGCTTCAGGGAGTGCAGCAGGCTTGGCTGTGATGGATGCTTCGAGCTCATTGTGTTCCGGCGCCCCCAGAGGTTTCGCTTGCGCAAGTGCTCTTTGTCTACCAGTGAGCTTGTTCGCTTCGTTATCGATGTTGACGCGCGCATTAGGCTCCAACGGAGAAGGTCTTCGCGAAATAATCGAGAGTGGGGGGAAAGGGTCTTGTAGGGGAGGAATCCGTAGAGAGGGACGGGTTTGGAAATCATCAAACATATCATCGAACATTGGAATATTCATAACGAAGTCACAGATGGTCTGGAAACATTGCCCCCAGAGACTCCACGCGGAATCACGTGATGCAGCAATTTGAGCAGAAGTAGAATTTTCGATCAGTGTTGGTGATGCCTTGCAGCGCCAGGATGCTCGGCCCCGCCAAACGTAACGGCAGCCAGAGCGGAATCGTTCCGCTCGGCATCGACAATGCTGTTGATGCACAATGTCGATGCTTGTGATATCGCCCGCCAGCTTCAGCTACCGTACTCGAGGGACCTCCAAATTCACATCCTCTGCGACTCTCCTCTTTGAGCCTCAGCCGATCTACAGCAAACATGGCTACCATTCGTACGTCTACATTTCCGAGCGATTCCTTCTTACATCTGCACTCCGATGTTTCAACAGAATCGTACTCATCGACCTTGTCTTGTGACTTCTTTTACACCTTAAAGAAGGAATCCTGACTCCGAGAGCTTGAAGTGCCTCCGATTCCCCGCTTCATCTTCACGGTATTCGAGCCCATCGCCCTTCTCGCTGGCTACCTCTCCCCAATGCTTGATACAACCAGCTTCGTCAATTCTCAACTTCCCGCAACCTCAGTCACCACCGTATTGCCGACAGCGACAAACCGCGTCCTGGCCCTTGTATGTATTTCCGGAGTCCGTCTTTCCTCCATTGGACCAAGTCTTGAGTCTGGAGACATGTCTTGGGAGTTTCTACTCTGTAGACATATTCCAAGGCGCAATGCAAAGTTCTCGAATAAGCAGTACTGACTCCGAAATTAAAATTAGCAACTGGGTAATGTATACGGACTTCTTGCTATGGTTGGTGTTGGCATTCTTTACGCCACAACAGAAGCAAAAGTCGTGCGCAACTTTCTACTTGCCTGCGCCATTGCCGACGTAGGTCACCTGTACGTTACGTATGCAGTAATGTACGTATTTTTGACGTTTATGTTGCATTCTTTAGACTAAATCTTGAATCTTGAGAGATATCTGGGAAGTTTCTACCCTTTTGGACATGTTCGAAGTCTTGATATACCCTCTATGAAATGCAATAATGACTCTGAAATTATAATCCAGGGGTTACATGGACTTCATAGATGTGCAAGGATGGAACTCAATGGCGTGGGGCAATATTGGGGTTACGCTTGGGCTTTTTCTGACCAGGGTACTGTACTTGACGGGTTTTTTGGGGCAGGATAAAGTGGTCAATAGCACGAGAAAGACAGTCAAGAAGAATATATAGGAACGGGTAGCCATTACCTTGACGAATGTGGTTGCAGACATAGGCGAATTAAGCGGGAATGTCTATGTAGGTTGAAGGTATGCCGCCATTAGGGGCTAGGATGATGCCCTTGTTGTTACGTCGTCGTCCAGCGTAAAAGCACGGCAATACTTCGAACGCAGTTTGAATCTTCTGTAAAGCTAGGGTCTAAGATCTGAAGCCAAGCTGGTTGTGCCAGGCTATTCCTCGCTTCGACATCCTACGATGTCCTCCGTAACCTAGTGACCTGCAATTGCATATGCACGACGACGATCCCTCTCCTCTGCAATTGATAGCTATTCACAATCAGCATGTTGTCACGTGATTGCGTAGAACAGCTCCACCACTGTCGTACCTTAACTCCTTTACCCTTAGGCAGACTGATCCATGGCTTCTCGTTGCCAATGACAAAGACATTAGTTTCCCGAGTAGCAAAGGAATTGTCTATGGCATCCTTGATGTGCACAATGTTGAAGCCTCCATCGTGACGCTCGCGATGTGTGATCACACCAACACGGCCCATGTTACGACCACCTGTTGCCATTGCAATAACACCAGTATCAAAGCGAATGAAGTCGCTGATTTTGCCTGTCGATAGATCGATCTTGACTGTGTCATTCACTTTGATAGCAGGGTCCGGATAGCGAATCCTACAGTATGACTTCCAGTCAGCACCTTACTTAGGAATGCCACCAAAACTTGGTCCAACGACTGAAAGAGTGCAACAAACTCACGTTCGTGCATCATGCGTAACCAAGAATGGGATTCCACCCTTGCCTAATTGCACCCTCTTGACCTTTGCCAGCTTGTATTCCGCCTCTTCAGTGGTAATGCGGTGGACTGTGAAACGACCCTTTGTGTCGTAGACAAGTCGGAAGTTCTCGCCAGTCTTCTCGATAGAGATGACGTCCATGAAGCCGGCGGGATACGTGGTGTCGGTGCGAACCTTGCCATCGACTTTGATGAGGCGTTGCATGACGATGGCCTTGGTTTCGCGGGAGTTGAGAGCATACTTCAGTCTGGAAGAAGTTAGTAAGGTCTGCTTGGTTTGGACAAAAGCTGTTCAAGCTCACCGGTTACGGATGAAGACAATGAGTGGCATGCAATCTCGGAGCTTGTGAGGACCTGGCGATGGGCGAGGCGCATAGGCACCAGACAGTTTGTCCAGAAGCCAGTGCGATGGCGCGCTGAGACGCTTCTGATGCTTCTTCCTACAGTGATTTTAGCCAGAGTCTTCTGAGTAACCGGCAATGATGACGAAAATGCTGTACTTACGGTCCGCGACCCATGATGGCGATATCACTGAGTCGACGTTGTAGAGACTTGGGCGGAGGTTAGTTCGTTTGATCACGATTTTTGTGGTCTCCAGGCGAAGTGGTGGGGCCGCTTAAGCGAGCCTTGGCGCCAAGATTCTAAGGCTTCGCGGTAATCTGTCCGATTTAGGACGTCAACGGATAATCATTTGTTATTCGTGGTTGAGATTGCTCACTGAAAGTGTTAGAAAATTCAGCATCTTCCTCAATGATGCTAGATTGGTTGAATTTCTGAGAATCTTTAGCCCTTTCAATGCCTCTTTTTCTGACACCTTGCCTGCCTCTTTCCATGGAATATCTGAGCTTGGCACACCTAAGCCTAGAAGCTATGGGCTTAATGGCAAGGCAGACGGTCTTCGTGAAAAGAAAAGCAAGAAACAGATTCAATCCTTATCATTCAATATCTAGTATTGATGAGTTGCTTCTAATAGCAACCACGCTCATGCTTTCCTACCTAGGGATCCACGGAGAATAATCCCACTCATGAATAGCCAGCCACTCGCCAACGTCCTCATCTACACGGAGTACACCTCTTGTCTTCAGCTGACACCCAGTCTCCGACCGAATCTGATGGTTACATGCGCTTTCCCATAACCATTCGACGCAGAACCTAAGTTTCAGACCGTAAACGCCCTTGTACCGAATACTCCACGTATGAAATGGAAGCCGCCCTATTCCTCTGCCTCGCCGGATAGCAACTTGCGCCTAGTGATCCCCAGCATAGCCTTCGTAGTGGCATTGTCGTTCCCTAATTATGCTGTGACTTGAACCGCCAAGGCGTTCTGGCGTGCAACAGCGCAAGCATAGGTATCGTCGACCGGCGACATCGTGAAGCGGGCCTCGCCCATAAAGACTGAAACCAGTCCGAGCTCTTTTTCCTACACTCGAGCTTCTTGCATCGGCTGAAGCTGCGCTGCGAATAAAGGTTATCGTTTTTCTCGTCTTCGAGCTCGGCACGGACTCGATCCAGTCGCTACTCTAGCTTCTTGATTCGTCGCAACGCCGAAATGACTGGGAGAGACTTTGAGTAAAATATATGGCTGTTGCCTGTCAAACTGGGAAGACTTACGCAGCTCCTCTCTTTCATTATCAACGTTCTCCTGAACTACCTTCGTATGTTCCGGTTCCTCGTTTCCCTTGTCATCGTTCTCCTGAACCTGCCTCAACAGTGCCTGCGCAACCCGCCGTAGAATGTCTCGCTAGCTGCGCAGACGTCTGATCGTGTGGTTCTTGGAGTTGATGCGGTTGCTCATACGGCCAACTGTGAGAGTGTAAGTCAAGGGTCTCAACGTTCAGGAAGAAGCTGGAGAGCAGGATGACCAGCTTACTGCGTTGCTTCCTGTTCGATGATCTTTCTTCAAGCTTTTTGAGGTACCTCATGACATTCCTGGCTGCAGGTATTTGGGGCGCGGCGAAAGTGGCCATGACGACAAAGTATGGAAGAACAGGGTGAATTCGATGCCACTGATGAGTTCGAAAGGGGGAAGTGTTAGTACTCGCGAAAGTCTGCCTGCGATCAACGATAGAGAACTGGTTGATATATAGATAATTGTTTGAGAGAAGAGAGAGGCTCTAGTAGTAAGCTTCTGAAGAAATTTCGCGGTCAATAGGGATACCACGTATTATAGGCGGAAGATAGGAATTGCTGCTTTGCATGAAATGGCAATTGCTTACCTGCTTTTAAGTCTGTGTGGAAAAGAGATCAACAGCAAATTCGAGACGGTTTTGGAAAGCGAACTCGCATCACACTTTGGCAATAAAAAGGTACAGCTGTGCATGTTGATAGTGATTGATTGAGTGATTGAATGAGTCAAATTGGACACCCTACGGGTTACCCCAAGGGCGTCACAGGCGTCAAAGGCCGAGCCAGATGCATCGTCCCTCGGGCTTCCTAAAAATGTTGACACCGCATCCATCCAGAATGGTCGAGGTCGTTCAACTTCAAGGTTCTACCCATAGCTAGCCATTAACATGAAGTTAACCGAAAATAGCCCTCAGAGGTTGCGCGTCTATTCTTTGTAGTCACTTTCTGACTCTGGTTGATATCCATACCCTTTGCTTTCTGCTTTTTGCGCCGATGCCCCTCCTCCGACCTCGCCTCGCCGGCAGCGCCGACATGGCACGACACGCTTGGGCAGCTGCTTGTACCTGCGTCCTTATCAGGTCCCTTTCAACCAAATTTTAATCTCGCCCGGCCGTGGCTCGAATCTCTTCGTCCGGCCTCTCCCTCCGAGCATCTGATGTAACCATTGAGATCCTCTGCAATGACACAAATGTTAGCAGTCTCATGTCTCCATTCACAGAAGGGATGGAGTGTCAAGTATCGCTCACTCCCAAATTCGACTTCCAGAACGCTGTCATGCAATTCGACCTCTCTCTCTCAAACTTAATCTGTCCGTAGTTTGAAAGCGACCTCTATCCTCCCCCTAAAGCATCAAGAGGCTCTTCAAGCCTTTATACCTGGTGGTATATCTGTTGGATTTGACATTGCTGAGGTCACATTGGGCTACTCATGGATTCCTTCCAAATGAGCGTTCGAACAGTCTTTTCCCTATCAAATTGCCTGAGTTTCTATTTTTCAGATGTTGAAATGTCTGAGCTAGTTGAGCCCGAAGTCGGAAGTTCAGCCATGATGCACAGAAATCGAAAGATAGTGTATGTTTATATGGAACGAGTCTGGGGTATGAGACTGGCACAACGAAAGGAGAAAGCAACACGAGGCAGTGATAAGATAGAAGTTTGATACTCCCAGAGCAAGCAGCGTTGAAAATCGGAGGAAACCTTATAGACTGGTGGAAGGCTTTGCTAGGCACGAAGACAGGAAGAAAGAGTAACACTGAGATGGATTATAGTAAGGGCGGAGGTTTCGCATGGAAAAGGCGCCTAATGATGAAAGAAACGTATTGTTGTGCTTCCTTGTCACGATACTGGCCTTCCACATAGTGACAGCAACAGGAAGCAGAAGAGAGACAGCTTCGTTAACTCGGTACATGAAGAAACTTCTGTACAATGCCTTGATTGACTTGTTGTCCCTTGCCACTGGACGCCATTCGCTCAGTTCGCTGTGATTGCTGAAAGAATAAGTAGACCGCTGCTGTACATAATAATCATCCTAACAGTCCTTACGTGAGTTCTCATCACGCTTCACCATGAGTTCCTATCCCAATTTGGATCTATACCAGCATTAGCCCTTCCACATAGATGCATAACCCTCCCTGCCTGATGTAGAATACTCACCCTGCACAAAACTCGCCAACACTTTGCTCCCCGTCTGCAGCAAAGGATGGCCTACTACAATCTGTAGGAATCGCTGCAGTCCCTCCCTCCGGTGCTCAATAACATCATCGCTGAATCGATTCGTAAACACCTTTCCCGGCAATGGCGGTATAGTCACCCTCGCGCTCTCACGCTCCAGTATATCACGGAAGTATTCAAAATCGGAGTATCGCCGACGGACCGTGCTATGCTTGAGCTTGAAAGCGGGGATGTTGGTGCGGCAAACGATTTCGTAGTCAGTGTACATGTTGCGTGATGTACCGTGGGTCTGAGGGTTCTTGACCTGGTGGAGGTGGATGCAGCGTTAGCTTAGGAGGTCTTGGGGCAGAGGCTGAAAACCTAAGGATCCGCAAGATGATGACAGTGAGGGACTGACTTCTATCTCTAGAAAGTTCTCTGGGGGGCCATAGATCTCTTCGAAGCTTTGTTGGCGGGCGTCAGGCATTGCCTGCATTTTGGCAAGTGAGAGGGGAATGATGGAGCTGCTTCGCAGAGGGGTCAGATCCTGATGAGGCTCACTTGTAGCAAATTGGTTTTTTCTGAGCGGCTCAAGGTGTATAGTCTTAGAACGGCTGTTTGAGAGGGTATCAAAGATGGAGAGAACTACACAAAAGGTGGGGCGGACTCGCGTTTCATGGGCGACCCTGGTCTACACAAATCACACGATCAATCGATATATGAGGATACATTTATTCTAAAGGAAAACCTGCAGCCAATCTCTAGGACGAAGCTTCTATGTAAGTTCCCCTATCTGCTATCCCTGCTCAAGTAGAAAGCTGTCTGTGACAAGACCACTACTCTTTCGATCCCTTTGGTACGATTCCATCATAGGAAGCCTATGTTTGCGGGGGGTGACCGAATTGCTGAGGGATTGAAGGGGGAAATCTCGCTGGAGTGGCCGTCCATTCAAAGCACCTGGTTCCACATATCTATTGTTGACAAGGGTCGGTGGTCTGTGAACGGGGTCCTTTAGTAGGGCTTGTTCCGGTATCTGCATGGGCACCGTAGAAACAACCGGTTCGTAACCCTCGGTGCTCCGTTCTCCACGCCTCCTGAGCCCTGGCGCATGTACATCTTCAACGGCCGTTGAGCCTTCTTGGCCGTGCGATCGAATGCTGGTTGGCCCACGGGGACTCTCAGCTTCAGGGGCTGTTGAGCCTTCTTGGCCGTGCGATCGAATGCTAGTCAGCCCACGGGTACTCTCAGTTTCACGGGCCGTTAACCCTTCTTGGTACAGCGATTGAACACTTGTTGATCCAATACTCTCAGTGAACTGATTCGACCGGAGCCCTTCTGTTTCGACATGAGTGCTGGACGTTTCTCTAGAGATTTGTCTTTCTAATAGATTTCTCATTTCCTTTCCCACATGATCGTCAAGCATCCCTCCATACCCTTGACCTTGTTCGTGGAGACGTATAAATTCCATCAGCTCGTTTAGAGGTAGGAGTCCGTCCATGTGGACCGGTCGGCCGCGTCTCCTCCATTGCCTTAGTCGTCGTAGTGCGTAGGCCGGGAGCACAGTTACTGGTGCAGAAAGCCACATGACCAAGCGAACAAACCACGTAAATCGGCCTGAAATCTCTAGGTGGAATACAGGCATGACGAACGTAGGTCCTACCTGGCTAACCATAATTACTATATTGGTCGTAAGGTATGAAAAGCGACTACCGGTCTTGAGCAAGTGGCTCCAGAAGAATGGTAGGACTTCCGCAATGGCCACGGACACAACTACCAGGGAAACAAGCATCCAATCCGGTCGGTTTCGAACTTTCAGTACCTTGCCAGCAAACGTTCTGTGGTTCATTAGCCCATTACATAGGTCTGAAAGCACGTTATCAGACGGAGCCTCACCTGCGTCGTTTGTCACCGGTCCGGTTCCATACCGTCAATCTTGGTATATCAACACTCATGATACCCCACATAACAAATGCCAAAACGCCGTAAAGAGCTACCAACATCATGGCAACGGAGGCCATAACCAACCACATTTTGCCAGACCATACGGCAGGGTAAATGCAAATCGATGTGTTTGCCGGGGTTCCTCCCCAAGCTTGTGGCCGACCAACATGGCTGTCTCCAGCCGCTGAACCCTGGTCATTAGGAGGCGAGAGTCCCCGACGGCTGTAAGCGAGGGGAGCTAACCCAAAGGGCGCAATGTTGCTCTTGCTGTCGTTTGGGATCGGAAGCCCGCTGGTCCAAACGAGGAGGAATACCAGATAAATAAACAGTTCTGAGGAGAGTTGCATGCTGAATAGATCCTTGAGACTCGATTAAACTGCGGGAATAGAATTGCCTTTGGGTCTGCGATTAGAGGAAAGCATTGCGCTTGGCTGTCTTCCATCTGGAAATTTTAAATTGAGGAGAGATAACATTGCATGAGAATTGTAACAACGAAGATCGATCTTTCCCAGCTTGGTGTTCTTGGTAATTGGGCAAGAGAAACCGAAATTGGAGGCCTGTAATTACTTGTTTGGCAGGAGCAATCGGCAGAGGGCCGTGAGACACAGTGTGTTGAAAAATGTTTCCTGCCTAACAAAATCTTATCTCCCCTCTCAACGCACCAGCCACGTCGACAATCATCCAACGAGAACCTGGTTGACCGGAATATGTACTAAAGACTACGAGTCAGGACCGGATGCTGTAAACAAAGCCGCGAGTGTGAAGGGTCAAGTGGCTCAGGACATACTGAGTTTCACAACATATCCTAGTGCCCCCATCACGACGAAGCCAACACCGACCTATGTGATGTCAACGGAAGTCATCAACCTTCCTGCGTCTATTTTCGTGCACTCACTGCCTGAGAAATCTTAAGAAATTCAAGCTTATCAGCTACACATCCTCGTGGTCAGCGTCAGGGTGGGCGGTCAAGAAAGATTGACGCAGCTTACGCTTTGTACATCTGTGCTACTGGTTAGTAAATTGTAGAGGGAGTTCTGAGGGACGAGGACAAGGCGAACCTGTTCATAAATTGGGTGCCATCGTGCAAAAAGTCCCGAGGGATGTCGAGGATCTCCTTGAATTGATCTGACATTATGTGGTATTGAGAGTTTGCAAAGGGGGCTCAATGTTCTGCGAAGTGGTGTTTATTTAAGCTAATACCAATGACACGAGGGAGTGTGAGGTTGTGTGATTTGAAAGATCTACCATGATTAAAGTAGAGAGGACAGCTGGAGCTGGAGCTCGCTAAAACATTTTCCCGAAGGAGTCTCAAAGATACGCAGTAGTTTACATCACGAATCTTTCGCATCGAATCGAACTCGTACCAGAGCTTGCTTGATCACTTCTCTTCCACTACTCAACCCACAACCTTTCAGCTTCATTTTCGGTTCCCGGCGTCACCACTACTTAGTATCACGCTCCTTTCGCCACCTCGTTCACAAACAAGCGGTTTGGATGAAGACACCACACCACTCTTCTAATCTCCATCCAACTTGACAAGGCTGAGAATTGACTGTCTCTCCAAGTTTGGAGGTCCCATCTTCCAAGTTGAGACTACTGCCACACCGCTTTGGAGTCCCCGTACTGACTGCAGTGACACTGTCGTCTCTTCTTCTGACTCGGGGAAAGCAAGGTGCTGGAAAATTGTTTGCTGAGATCTCCTCTGAGCCAGCCGCTGTCCTGTACTCTTATTGTGCTCCTTCAACTTCAGCCCGTCATTTGCCGAGACAACCTCGTCGGCCAAAGCAATTGTTGTACGCAGTCCAAGTATTCAGTGCAAGATCTTCTTTTCTCGTGGGCTTCCTTCACCTGTACGTATTCTTGCATGTTTTCCTGGAGATTTGTCTAGTAGTGCTGGCAGCTCTTGCGTTCTACGATCGGCGAACATCGTGCAAGAGGTGGTCCCTAACGATCAGTACGTTGTATTTACCGTGTATTCTCGAAAGCTAATACATTTACTGGCACCTGGCAGACTTGTACTTCTACCTTGAATTCGAGACTGTTGTACTCATGATACAAAATACACTCACGATTTAATTAACAGCTGAATCAACGATTTCCACAATGGCTGCGGAAGAGGACAATTTCGACATTGACATCTATGGTGATGGCGGAGAGGATGATCAAAATCAAGAGCCGGAGGATGGGATGAAGGCCGAGGAATCCTCCGACCAGACTCTACAACCATCAGAGCCTACATCAAATGCAGCAGACCATTCCTCGGCAAATGACCAGAGAGTAAATTCAGACGTAAAGATTGAGCATGAAGGCAATGATGTTGCACAAAAGATCGCCAGCACAGACGAATCTGGTTCAGATCCTGTGCAGCTTCCGAAACAAGCACCACAGACACAGGGACTGAAGCGAAAAGACGGAGTGGACGATCGATACGTTGATCCTGGCGCGACCACCGCTCTTTTCGTGTCCGAGCTACATTGGTGGGTCAATGATGACGACGTTCGCGGCTGGGCAAATCAGAGTCAGTGTGAGGACGAGCTTGAGGATATGACATTCAGCGAACACAAAGTGAACGGGAAGAGTAAAGGGTGAGTGTTTCTCAGGAGAAGAAGCTTGCATGAGTTGCTAATATGGCAATTTTCAATAAACTAGTCAGGCCTATGTCCTATTCAAAACGCCGCAAGCTGCGACAGCCGCAAAGCACAAGATTGAATCCTTTGGTGAAGGCCAACAGTACACGAAAAAGTTCACGGTCAGCTACACCAATCCCTACACCAACCCTTTCCGTACGCTTCCCAAAGACGGGCCTGCTCGAAATAACGCTCCTGTAAATAACAATCGGTCGACTTCCGGGTCATACGGTGGTGCAGGAGCAGGAGGCACGGGTGGCACGCCACAGTCCTTCAACAATGGCTCCGGTGGCTATCGAGGCAACCGAGGAGGTGGGTACAACAATCGGGGTGGAGGCATGAACAATATGTCAGGCTACAGCAGAGGAGGCTTCCAACAACCAGTGACGGGGAGCTTCCAAGGCTCTGGCATGGGCGGCTTCCAAGGCTCACCCATGGGAGGCATGCAGTCCTATGGAGGCTTTCAAACCCGAGGGGCCATGATGGGAGGCATGCGTGGAGGACCGATGGGCATGCGGGGGGGAAGAGGAGGTATAAACCCTAGTGGAATAATGGGCATGCCGATGACTGGGATGGGCATGAGTGCGATGGGAGGCATGGGGATGAGTATGCCACAAATGAACGGAGGCATGGGTATGCAAGGTATGCAAGGCTCTCACTTTCACCCCCACATGAATCTCGTTGGACATTACGGTTCGTCTGCCACCCCGGTGGGACATTCCTCACCTCCTATCCCTCAAGCGATGCACTATTCGCCGTCGCCCCCTACGAGGCTCCATCCTTCCCTCATTCGTGGACGGCCTGCTCCCCCCACGGGCAGTGCCCCCAGCTCTGCTTGGGCCCAATACACACAGTACTTGCCATCACCGGCCAGTAGCTCCCCCACACGTCTTTTTTCTCAAGTAGAAGCTCCAGAGACTTCCTTTGCTCCCTCTCTACAAACCACAGCGCTAGCAGGGGATTCATCGCTGACAGGTACCCAAGCCCACTACAACCCTGCATTCTTTACCCAGCAGCAACAAGGACAGCAAGGCGGCAGCTCGGGGGATGCGAACTGGAACCCGCATGGTGCAAAACGAACGAGACAAGAATGAGACCTCCAACTCCCTCCGCCTCTGATATTTACCATTATGCCCCAACACATGAGGTGTGAAGATGTGGTGGAGAAGGCCCACCTCCTCATTTCAACGACAAAAGGCCGCTTAATATTAGGAAGTCAAGCATCGGTCAGATCCACCTCAGTTTGATTGGACGATAAGGTTTCATTTTCTACATCTGTATTCTAGGTCAAAAGCGGCTGCGAAGGGCTATCATGTAGGGCAAATGGATAGTCTTGACTATGCATGCAAGATCAGATCCGGTGCAGATAGCCCGTGATTCGCCGGAGGCCATGCCTTGTCACCTTTCCTGTGTGCTGTCGACACCTTGCCCTGTTTTTGTTGTAACCGCGCCTGTTTCTTGGCCTGCCAATCGCCAATAACACTGGGAAGGTCCAACGTGTACTCCCTGCCAAACGAATTCGTATCGAGAGAAGAGAAACCCTGCTAACGGATAATCCAATCTCAGTATTGCAGTATTGAGGCTGCTGGCTTGATAGCTCATACTCAACAAGCAATGCATCTCCTCCGAGCTCGTCCCTGAAGTCGAAGGGCGCGGGATTCCTTGTCGAAATGGCGTTCATGCCCCTTTGCAGTACCGCAGAATCACTACAGCGTGTTTCTTATCAACGGCTGTTCTAATATGGAGATCCCCAACTATACCCAGCTCTCGATGAAGGAAATTCTTTCCGCTCTTTTTCAGACCGCTTGCTCAATCTCATGATATTTTCAAGATAGTCCTTAGCATCCTTTGGCACCCCGCAAATCTCAATGTGCTTCAGTCCCTTCAATTGTCCTAAGCATTCTAAGACCTTATGCTCGTGGCCTGTTGTCAATTGCTCTGTGCCGAGAGCGAGGAAGTTCACTTTCAAGCTCTTCAAGTTGTTTGAGAATGATAGGATTTCGCATAGCTCTCCAAGAGCAGTGCCAACGATAGCAGCAACTTCCAATTTCTTGTCCTCTAGTAGCATCCTGGACGGCGTATGAAACGTCTCATGTTCGGGATTCAGGGTAACATACAGGGTTAGTTGTCGCATATGGTGCACATAATGCCTAATCTTAGATGTCCATTTCGACGGAATGGAGGCGAGGTCGCCCCCTGCCACGGATATGCTGAGTGGGATTCTGCTGGAGTAACCCAAATAGCTCGCTTGATTCAAGACGATAGAGAAATTGTTGCGTTTGCACATGATTGCACAGCCTTCCTTCCGGATTTGTTTGTTGGTCCGGAGCAGCTGTGGTGCTAATGCTGTTGGTGCTTCTGTACCAGGATTTTGCAGACCACCTTTACAGGAAATCATTCTCTTGGCCGTGACGGCTATTTCGACGTCGTCCTCGAATTGCAGGCAATACGCCCAAATCTCATTTCGAAGTCTGAGATAGCTAGTCAGCATCTAGCCTCTGTCAGGAGTGGAATCACATGCTCTGCGGGAAGACTTAGGAGGTTTCGAGATTCAGGTGAAGAAGACGTATCTTGAGCAAAAGGATGCATGTTATTCGCATGTTCTGGGAACTCTGACTCTGTGTGACTAAAGTCCATGATGTAGAAGATGTTAAAGCGATGAGGATAGTGGTACGAGTCTATTGGATGACAGAAATTAGGTTGGTAAACGTACAAATCCGGTGAGCGCAGGGGAAATTAACGTTGTTCAAACGTTAAGTGTTATGGACAGCTTTCAATTGTTATTTATTGGTATGGAATTAAGTCAACGTGTGAAAAGGGAATATTTAATATTGCATATTCACTCCCATGCTTTTGACATGAGTCAGCTTCGGCCAAGACTGAATGCTGAGCCTTGCCTGGGATTTGAGGCCATCCTTCAAGGGTGGCGACAGGCTACGCTGTATGTTGCTCGCGAAAATGGTGGTCTGCAAAAGACTTCTGTTCCTGTGTGTTGGATGGAAGCAGGGCGGTAGTAACGGCTCTTTTTCACATCTCTCAATTACATGAGATAAGAGGAAAACGAATTACAGGTTAGAGGACAAAGAGGAAAGAGGCAATGTTCTTTCTCGGTTTCTCTTATATTGTCTTGGAAAAGCTGCAAATAGGCTGGCGATTTGGGACTTCGATGCCGCCATTTTGGATGAATCTTCCTCGCTCCTTCCAAGCGACTTGTAGTAGAATTGGGAATTCCAACTCCATAACCCAATTGAGATTCTTGTACTCGTGATGATATTAGTGCAGCTCACGAAGCACAAAATTCCAGGATCAAGTTTCAAAGACAAAAGAAGCCATGTAAATGCCTGGTGAACTCCCCTCGCCTCACATATAAGCCTCAGCCTTAGCCCGTGATGCACTAAACCGTTTTGAGACTGCATAAGTTTTCGTGCATTGTCACATTTAGTCGGCAAATATATTCCGTTACGAGTGACCTTGAGAGATTTGGTAAAAAAATTGTTAAGTAGATATCAAATTGAAATTAGGGCATTTATGTTGTTAAATAGTAGGTTATTTAGTTAAAGTGTTAGAGGCTGAAGATTTATTATTTATACTAATATCTCATGTACACATACCATCAACAGATTCACCTGCTTGCCATCTTCTTGCCACAGGCGGTCGTCTTTTCATGACCATCCCACCTGCCTGGGGAAAATTTGCGCCGGCGCAAATTCAAGGACCTACACCAGGCTTGAACGAGGCATCGTTACAGCAGTCGCGAGAGAATGAAGATGTCATACGAAGTTTCCAGCTCAAAGACACGACAACAAAGAAGCAAGAAGGCCATGTGCGGAAGCCATGGGCACATTTTGTCGCGGGAGGGTATCCAATATCCAGAAACCGTTGCCCACTGAGGAATCGACTGATTTCATCCTAGAATTGGGGGAATGAGCTCTGCGATTCTCACATCTCCTCTCGAAGTCCTCAAAACTCGATTACAATCCGACTTCTATCAATCTCAAATATTAGCAACGCGAGATGCTCGCGGCATACCTCCACCATCCGACCTCTCTTTACCTCGCACAGCCCTCCTACATTTCCGTGAAACTTTCCAGCTATTATTCTCCATCCATCGCGTTGAGGGATGGCGAGCACTTTTCAAAGGGCTGGGGCCCAACCTCACTGGTGTAGTCCCAGCGCGGGCGATCAATTTCTACTCCTACGGCAACGGCAAGAGAATCATAAGTCAAAACTTCAACCACGGACAGGACGCCGCCTGGGTCAATTTTTGTGCTGCTGCGAACGCGGGTATAATCACAGGCACGATCACAAACCCAATATGGGTCGTCAAGACGCGGATGCAACTCGATAAAAATCATGCGGAAAAAACAAGCACTTCGTCCAATCGTCAATACTCAAATTCCTTCGATTGCGTCAAACAGACAATACGTAGTGAAGGAATTAGAGGTCTATATCGGGGATTAAGCGCAAGCTATCTTGGAGTGACTGAAAGTACTTTGCAATGGGTGCTCTATGAGCGGATGAAGCTGTATTTGAGGCGCAGAGAGGACAGGCTCATGGCTTCGGGCAGAAAAGCAACGTACTGGGATAATTCTGTGAGCTGGGGTGGCAGAGTTCTGGGGGCTGGCACTGCGAAGTTCTTTGCAGCTGTTATCACGTATCCCCACGAAGTGGTTCGGACTCGATTACGGCAAGCACCACAAAGGGATGGCCGCATGAAATACACTGGAATCGTGCAATGTTTAACGACCATCTGGAGAGAAGAGGGTATCGCCTCACTGTACGGTGGGCTTACACCACACATGCTGAGAGTCGTACCTAGTGCTGCCATCATGTTCGGAATGTGAGTATAAGTCAAAATCCTTTGAACATACAATCTGACCATCTCTAGGTATGAAGTTATACTACGGCTACTAGGAGAGCAAGCTTGATACTCCATGTCTTTGCTTTGACCTATGACTTCCAACTTACAAGAAGCCTCTTGAGCCTCTTGGCATGGCACGCCTCCCCAGCGAATCTCCATCTTCTGTACAAAATTCCTAACATTCACCATAGCCAGGAGGATCGAAGGAATGGTTTCCGCCGGATAATCTCCGCTCTTGAATGAAGCCTGACATGTGTAATTACAGCGCTTGATAAGATATGAACATCAGGAGCTTCTGAGCAGGCGTACTCGATATGATATGATATACTATAGCTAATATCATAATAATGTATTCACTGTGCTTCATTTCGTCTACTCTCGAATCGGTCTTTTCGCACGCTCCGAGGAGTAACGCCTAACTCCGGCACTAATAGGATACGATAAGAACCACCTGGATCATCGGCCAATTGCCATCATTGTTCGTCCGTCTCTTGATTACTCTTTACTCACCTCATTGTTACTATGGCTACCTCACACCCTTCTGAAATCATTCGCGGCGAATCTCCAGATCCTTCAAGTCATGCTGCAAACATCTACGATGCCTCAGGTGCAGAAGGTGAGTGGCTCGACGAGACAGAAGATGATGACGACACTTTCGAACCAACAACAGATGAGAGTGAGGATGCTGAGTTCTTCGATCCTTCTGAGGATGTTGAGGCAGATTTCCACGGTACGTTGTTATCAAACTGTTTTTTCTACGTGGAAAGACTTCCTAGTGTGGCCAAGTACAGGCTGTTTGCTAATGTATGATTGTCTGATATTCAGATGCTGAGGATGGCATGAGCGGCGTTGAGATCGAATTCTCTGCTGAGGATGGAGGAATTGGCACACAAGATGATGATGGAGGAGCTGGAACTGAAGGTGGCGACTCTCGGACCCAGGCGAACACAACTACTGGAGGGCCTTCACGCATACAAGGTAAATGGCAGTGTGATTTATTTAGGAAATTACTAAACCTCATTGATAGTCCCAACTCAGATCCTGCAGCTTTTGGGGCATGCCGGTCTTCGCCGGATATTTGCCAACCATCGGGCAGGCGGCTCTGGCATCACATTGCAGCTAGATGACAGGAATGAGATTCTAGATGACGGCCTCGGAGGTCTGGCAACTCGAAGTAGACGGCGCGCGAAGGGCTCGAGCAAGAAGTTTCCTCCGGTACCAAGCGAGGAAGGGAAGAAATTAATGGACGGTGGTTGTTTTGGGAGTAATGAATACTACCGAGACACAACCAGAAAGAGGAACACGAGACTGGCAAGGAAGCTGATGAGCCGGGAGCTGGGCACAAGTAGGGGCCAGTCCACAAGAACGGCCAGCGCTATATCACAGGTATGACGAGAGGCTGAGCAGACCTCGGTCAACTCGCAAAATTCCCTACTAATGTGAACAGGGAATGATACCATCGTCGAATGCGGACACAATTATTCATTACAACTCTCGGTGTTATTCTGGTCAATTCTCGGAAGATGGGAATTTCTTCTTCTCGTGCGCACAAGACTTCAAAGTGCGGATGTACGACACTTCGAATCCCTACAATTGGAAATATTACAAAACTGTTGTATATCCATACGGCCAATGGACCATTACCGATGCTTCTCTCAGTCCAGACAATAAGTGGTTGGCATACAGCTCAATACGAAGTATTGTTTGCCTTGCTCCCACAGATCCCAGCTCAAGCGGTGAACCATTTCTTCTGGACTTTTCAGATATGGGCGGACGTGGGACTAGGAGGAGTCGAGGCTTCCACGGAGGATTCAGCCATTTCGGCGTAGGTCGATCCGCGTTAGCTTTTCAGATGGCCGTAACTGATCCATCTACAGATATGGTCAATTCGCTTTTCTGGTGACGGTCGAGAGATCGTAGCTGGGACGTCTGATAATTCCGTCTACGTCTATGATCTTGAGACCCGTCAATCTATCTTGAGTATTCCTGGACATAACGATGATGTCAATGCTGTTTGCTTTGGAGATTCTAATTCTCCTCATATCCTCTACTCTGGCTCTGACGATACTACTATCAAAGTCTGGGACCGGAGAAGCATGGGCGATAGCCGAGAAGCTGGTGTCTTCATGGGTCATACCGAGGGTTTGACCTATGTTGATAGTAAAGGCGACGGTAGATACGTACTCAGCAACGGCAAAGACCAGACAATGAAGCTTTGGGATCTTCGTAAGATGATGCCAACAGAAAAAGCATCGAGGCTGGACCCAAGTCGATATACCACAGCTTTTGATTACCGCTTTATGACTTACGACGAAAAGGACTTTGAGCCGCATCCTTATGACTGTTCACTCGTCACATTTCGGGGTCATCGAGTATTGAAAACGCTAATACGATGTCATTTTTCACCGCCTGGTAGCACCAACTCTCGATATGTCTACTCGGGAAGCGAAGATGGGAGCGTCTATATCTACAACATGGATGCGACTCTAGCAGGTAAAGTCAATGTCAACCAAGCGACACATCACTCTCGGCCTCGAGATCCGGATCTGTACGCTAGTCACTACGAACCTGAGGAAGGTCGGAGCAGGGGCGCATGGAAGACGTGCGTTCGGGATGCGAGCTGGCATCCCAACGCACCCGTCATTGCTGGTAAGATTGGCTCTCTCCATTGGCAACGGCTAAGGTCCCGAAAGTCAATGTACTGACGTATCCCAGCAACATCCTGGAATGGTTGGGGCATGTCCACTGGAACCTGCACAACGCACAGCTGGAACGACGGAGCAGAAGACGATGAAGGCGAACCGAAGATGGGCTTGAGGGTGGATCAGCGACTCGAGATGGATGATGATCTCTACGATAACACACGTCCGTTGCGAGACGGACGACTGATGAGCCACTACAGAGCACGATTGAGGAGTCAAAGAGTTGCGGCTACAAATGATGATGCTGTCGATGATGAAAGCCACTGGTAGCCTTACTTACTACTCCAGCCCCACATACAGGGAATGACAGGAGCGCTTCTGAAAGAAAGAATTTGATATGAAGTAGATGAGCTATTCTCATAGCACCCAAGAGAGCGTCCTGCTCCAGAAAACATTGTGAAACCACATACATTAGCCACATGGTCTTCCGTCTATTTACCAGCTTGCAGGCGTTCGGTGGAATTGACTGCATTTGTGGAAGGGAAACATATGGCATGGGGCCATGAGAATTTCATCATTGTCTGAGCATTTACATAGGCGTCACAGTTGTCAATAATATCAAGAATGTGTGGGTGAATCTCAAAGCTTTCCATCGTCTTGTAGACAGTGAAGTATTCAGGCTTGATATGCACGGTACTCTTCCATCTAAATTGTCGTTTCGTAAGCAATCGGCACGACGGTCTCAACACCTCCCTTCGCATCGATTGTTCTTTCTTCCCTCGGTCCTAGAGGCTGCCTCTTCAAGAACATGTGCACACCCTCGGCTTTAGCCTTCTGCTTCTTCCCTGCGTTGTCTTTAACTCGGTTGATGAATTCTTCTCGTGAGCGGGAGAGCGAGACGTGCTCGATGCGGACATTGACTCGCTTCTCGATGTACCGGTTGCCGACTCGCTTGTAGATTATGACGCCCACTGCGGATTTGGTGACATTGTAGATGACGCCGGTTTTGCCGTGGTAAACTTTGTGAGGCATGCTACGGTACTTATCAGGAAGATCGTTTTGGATTGTCCAAAGTAGAAGAAAATGCCCACCCTTTTTGGACGGCTCCGTTGGCTTTGACATCAACGATGTCCCCAACTCTAAAGACCCGTTAGACTATCAGCTGCGGATTTGGCTCGAAGGTAAAGACTTGCTTGTACTGTCTCAAGTATGTCGAGAGCTTGATCATACCCTTCTTCTTGAAGTCGCGCGAGAACGCATACTGTAGCCCCAGTCAGTTCTGAGTCTGTGGTTGAGAGCAAAGTAGAGCTGATGGAGATCAGCTTGTATAAAGCCGTCCAACGCTACTCCTGAGATCTTTCACATACTCGAGTGCCGGCACGGAGACCACCCGAGTGACCCATGGTGGCTTAAGGATCGTTTGTTGAACTGGTTTGTCGTCGTACTATTTCTTGTTGTTTTTCTAGAGGGCAAAGTTCGTGGTGGGCTCGCTTAGGGTCTTGGCCGGGCGCTAATTACCCGCTCCCTTCCCACATTGAAGAAACCATTCTCAACTTCTTGCCAAAGCGTCCTATCCGCAGTCATGGCACCACGATCATACAGCAAGACCTACAAGGTGCCACGTCGTCGTAAGTAGCTTCCGACATTGAGATGTGTGCTCTCACGGACTGACCACGTCCATAGCTTTCGAGGCTGCTCGTCTGTCAGTATTTCCCGGCCACTGAAGCAAGAGCTTGCTCTGCTCATGTCGATGGATTCAAATTGACTCCTGTTACAGGGACTCTGAGCTCAAGATCGTCGGCGAATATGGCCTTCGTAACAAGCGTGAGGTGTGGCGCGTTATGCTCACCCTCTCCAAGATCCGTCGTGCTGCTCGGTATCTCTCTATTTGCTACACTCCTTATAATCTACGCACGCTAACCTATGGCCCATCACACAGTCAACTCCTGACCATGGAGGAGAAGGATCCAAAGCGTCTTTTCGAAGGAAACGCCTTGATTCGCCGTCTCGTACGTGTTGGTGTGCTTGATGAATCCCGCATGAAGCTCGATTACGTGCTTGCGCTCAAGGTGGAGGATTTCTTGGAGAGACGGCTACAAACTTGTGTCTACAAGCTCGGATTGGCGAAGAGCATTCATCATGCTAGGGTCTTGATAAGGCAGAGGCACATTCGGTAGGTCTTGTGTCTACGATGTGACATGGACAATACTGATCTCGAGGGCGTTCTTGTAGTGTTGGAAAGCAAATCGTCAACGTCCCATCCTTCGTCGTTCGTCTCGACTCGCAAAAGCATATTGATTTTGCTCTGACCTCGCCATTTGGTGGTGGACGCCCTGGACGTGTGAGGAGGAAGAAGGCTAGAGCTGCGGAGAAGAAGGATGAGGGTGATGCTGGTGAGGAGGAAGAGGAGTGAGCGGGGCCTACCGTATGCTAGACGCTGTCTTCTGGCTACAGGCACGGTCAGAGCATGGCAAATTTCCCTAAGCAACAGGCCAGTTTACGTCTGAGCGTAGACCAATCAATTAAATCAAGCCATGATTGCAAAAAACTCGCTCATTGGTATCTTCTTCGTCCTCGGGCTATCCGCGAGGTCCCAATGGACTTTTCTGGACCATGACGCCAACGCAATGCAGAGATCCACTTTGGACACTTTGGACACTAATGCAGGAGCTCGTCTGTGCCTAAAAGCATTGCCATAGGATCATCTGTCATTGCCCTGGACCTTTTGTAAGCCTCGAGTTCTTCCTCACTAACACCACCCTTCATTTCCGTCAATGTCCTTTTCTTCGTCATTGCCTCTGCTTTCCCATCCATTCTCTTGTTCTCGACTGGCTCTTTCTTTTCTACAGTCTGTATAACACTGTCTTCGGTTAATCGGATTGCCTTTATGTCGGTCACACCTTCAAGCTCTCCACCGGTCCGGATCTTGTCGGCTTCTTCGAAGGCTACCCTGCCCTCTTCACCTGTGCAGTAACTGTTTCTAGTTGTAGAATGGCAGCAGGTATAGCCCCATTGAAAATTGGACCACCAGCTTCCCCATACTGAAGTATGGTTATTGAGGAACACGTCCTCCGGATACTTTGACTTCGCCTCCGCTTTCGGTGCTCCTTTGATCGCTCCTGTCTCATCGTATTCCACGTATCGTTCGTTTTCCACAACGGCCATATCTCGCAATTTGGACGGTTGTAGGTGCTGCTCACCGCCATACTTCTCCAGCAGCAATTTTCGTTGCGCCTCCCGTTGCACGTCGCTCTCTTCCTTTTCTTTTCGTCGAAAGTATTCGCCCGAAGTAGGATTGGCTTGCAGATGTGTTTTGTCCTTGTCTCCTCGCTCTTGTGACTCCCATGCGTATTTCTGCGCCCTCTCAAATTCTGCTGCATCCCCTGAAGCTCGCATGAAGTTATCTTCTGCAACTAAAGCGGCGGCTTGGTCGGCTTGAGCGCCCATGTCTACCATTGATCTTGTCTTGGGATCGTATTTAGCAGAATCCAAGTCCAAATTGAGCAAGTATTTGGCTGTGTCCTCCCGTATTCGTAGGTTTCTAGTAGCAGTGCTCTGCTGCCGCCCCATATCAGACTCCTCGGCATACTTCGCCTCCTCTTCCTCACCCTCTGGTCTCTGTTCATCATCCTCAGTCAGAAGCTTCTGTCCACTGGCGTCTGCCTCCTCGCCTTTCAGTTTTTTCTTCAGATTCTCTAACTCCTCCCATTCCTCGGTTACATTTCGGTATTGCTCCGCATCATATCCATTCCACCGATCTCTTTTCGCATCCCAGCCCAACTCAACATCCTGCACTACTTCATCGGCTTGAATGTCCTTGCCCGTCCACCGAGCACCCTTCGCCCTTGGCCTGCTCAAGCAATCTTTGGTCTTATGTGTTAAAGCCCCACAGTTCTCACAAGCGCCTTTGCGGAACTTTGTTGCTGCGGGACCAAGTCGCTTTCCACGATCATACCATTTTGACTGGTCAGGTGTAGAGGTCTGGAGACGTTGATGCTCGAGGTAGTCGTTTTCGCTGTCCGCAGATTCAAGGTAGAAAGGCTTTTTGGAGATGAAGGAGGGAATGTACTCGTTCTGCTCTTTTTTGGCGGGTTCTGCAGGTTTTCTGGACATGATGACGATGAAAGGAAGGCGTGTGAAAAAGTGCGACGGTCTTCGAGTGGAGGAGTGTAATGATCGCTTCCATTACTGTGAGAATAATCAAACCGACGAGATCTCGGGAAAGTGAAGTTTTTCGCCCGCCCTATATCAATGCTTGGAGACTCGGGCTGACGGGGGGAGAGCACATTTGATGTGCTTATATTGTGAAGAGCTTCTTCATACTTGGCTGTAGAGCGAAGTATCGGAAATAGCTTATGTCCGTAGTGCTGAAGTGAAGTGCATGTGTTTTCGCGATGCATGTTCGCGTCATCCAGGTTCCATTCGTGTTTCTACTATCTCTTGTTCCTCATCCAATGGTGCTTTGATGCCTTGATACTCGGAACTTTGTGACAACCCATCGCACGGTTGCTCCATCATGCACTCGAATCTTCGATGGACCTCTTTCGCGTTAGACTGAACTGCGTTGACCACTACCAAGCAACTCCTACTGCATTCGATCCCCAACTCCCTGGTGTCCATGCCTCCAACCAGCAGAGGGCCGTTCCCAAGGTCCCCGTTATCAGGGTTTTTGGCGCCACTGAGTCAGGACAAAAGGTATGCGCCCATGTTCATGGCGCGTTGCCGTACCTCTACGTCAGATACGATGGGAGTCTGGTACAGGGAGATGGTAAGGCCCGCTTCTTATCCCGGTCCAGAAAAGTCTCTTATAGGCCTGTAGTAGCCGCATACATTCGTCAACTCAACCTATCCATCGACCATGCCCTTGCAGTCAGCTACCGCCGCAATATGTACGAGGGAAAATTCGCCTTCGTTGGGCACATCACTCTTGTCAAGGGTGTTCCCTTTTACGGTTATAACGTCGGCTACAAGTTCTTTCTCAAAATCTACATGCTGAATCCACTCCACATGACTCGCTTGGCAGACCTTTTACGACAGGGCACGATTATGAAGAAGGTCATTCAGCCGTACGAAAGCCACATGCAGTACCTGCTACAATGGATGTGTGACTATAACCTTTACGGGTGCGCGTACATAGACTGTAGCCAAGTCAAGTTCCGCAGCCCAGTGCCAGATTACTTAGACATGAACAGCACTACCCATCAGTGGCACAATCGGGCAATTCCTCCTTCTTTCATTTCTGACAATGAGAAAATACCGCGGCAAAGTCACTGCTCTATTGAGGTTGATGTCTGCGTACAGCACATTATCAACCGACTTGCCGTCAAGTCACGGCCTATACACCATGACTTCGTTGAGCGTAAATTTCCCATTGCGACAGACGAAAAGCTAGTACAAAGCATGGCAGGTCTTTGGCGTGACGAGACTAGGAGGAGAAAAGCCAGGATGGGGGAGACGAATCCAGGAAGTAGCCCATTTCCGCCGGAAGTATTGGTCTCTGTTTCAGCGGATCCCAGAAACACTCAGGCAGGCGGATGGATCCATGAGAAGGAGTACATGGAGAAGATCAAAATTATCGTCAAAGACGAAAGACAGAAAAGTGATGGCGGGGAAGTTGGGTTTGATGGATTTGTTGAAAATCAAAGTCTTGGGGACCAAGTGAAAACATCGCTGGAGAGCGTAGAAGACCTTTTCCCGGAGAATCTTGCTCGTGTAATGATTTTCCGGCTGGCATCTCAAGCTGCTGCGGATAACGCACAGGAATCAGCAGCCGATATGCCAGAAGTGGATGAAAGTCGGCTGCTCTCTTTCGAGGAGGATGAATTCCCATATGAGTCGGACGAAGAGCTGGCGCGAGACCTGGAAACGTCTCAAAAGAAGCAAGGCGAGCGGATAGATGATGAAATGGAACAATTCGCGAATCAAGGCATGAAGGAGCCAATGTACGATAACGAAGAAAGGCTTGCATATGTTGCGTCCACTACCAATGCCACGGAAGTCCCGAGATCAGCTCCACTTGCAAAAGTGCAGGACATTACAAGCTCTACTGAGATTGAAAAGATGGGAATCAGAAATGTGGGTAACTACGACCACGCTGATGAGGACGCTTTCGAAATCCCCCTGGAATTTGCAAGCGACATCAGTGCTGAACGAGCTAAGGACTCGACCAAAGATTATCAACATGACAAGAAGAGACGTAAGCTCCCCAACGGCGATCACCTTACAGTCGTGGATATCTCCGATCACCCGCCCCCAGACAGCAGTCGAGAAGTCTATGATATTTCTGCGAACGGTCCGACGAAATTGCGAGACAAGCCTGATATTGATCAATCGGTGGGGTCGTTTTCCTCAGAGGGGCCATATGGAACGCCTCACTCGCGTGAAAATAGCCAGAGAAAGCGCAAGATGCTGCCTTCTTCCCATGAAGGAATCAACTCCGCGACCGGAAACAAGACTCTCTCATTTCAAGTCGTTAAAGATCCGTATGACCCAAACACCATCAAGAAGCTCAGTCAAACCAGCGCTTCAGATGTCAAAGGCTCACAGAAATCAAAAACCAAGTCTGTATCTTTTCCACTGTCTAGCGAGCCAAGCCCAAGCGCGTTCAGTGCACCAAGGCTCGGATCGCTAGGATCTTTAACGTCACCAAGGAGAGTGTCTAGCCAGGTGTCCGAATGCTCCTCAAATGTTCACCAAGTGTTCGACATCAGATTACGAAAGAAGATATTCATCCTAGCTTATGAACCTCCTCGAGCTTCCGAGATCCTACTAAAAATGCGAGATGAAAGGCTTCCGTCAATCATTTATCAGGACGCTTACTATAGTAACGAAAAGGATGTGCCTGAACGTGCTAGAGAGTACGCGGGAAAGGATTTCAAGCTTGAGAGTAGAACGGTTCCATTCCTGGCAAGTTTCGATCCCACAGGGACGTCGGCAGCCAGTCGAGGGGAAAAACTAAGCGTGGTCGTCGACAAGACTGATGAGGAGCGACTATCTCGAAGACGAAGAATGGCATGTGGACTCCGAGCCTGGGAAATAGAAGAAATGCCTCCCACGAGACAGGAAGTCCAAGCTTGGTTAGATGAGGAGAGCGGGGAAGCATCAGGGTCTTCGGATAAGGCAACTGTCTATCACGGGATCACATCGACAAAGATGGATCTCTCGCAGATTGACGGTGCCACTCAAAAGAACAAGCACGGATTCAAATACTCGCAAAAGCAGAAATCGACCAGTGTACAACACGAGACTCAGTACATGAGCGTCATGAGTCTTGAAATCCACGTCAACACTCGTGGGAAGATGGTGCCTAACCCCGAGCAGGATGAAATTGGATGTGTTTTCTGGTGTCTCCAGTCTGATGAAGAGGATCTGGAAGTCAACGGCATCAATGAAGGGACACACGTCGGAGTCTTGGCCCTGTCGCATATTGGAGGGTTGGCCCATAGAATCTCCCAGCACACTGGCGTGGAAGTGGAAGAGGAGATCTCTGAGCTTGAAATGATCAATCGCATGGTCGATATCGTTCGTGGCTATGATCCTGACATCCTAACCGGCTACGAGGTGCACGGCGGGTCCTGGGGGTATATGATAGAACGAGCTCGATGCAAATACGACTACAACTTGTGCGATGAACTTTCGAGAATGAAGTCCCAGTCGCATGGTCGATTTGGCAAGGAGGACGATCGCTGGGGTTTCAATCACACTTCCACCATCAGAGTCACAGGAAGACACATGATCAACGTCTGGCGCGCAATGAGGGGAGAGCTGAATCTGCTGCAGTATACGATGGAGAACGTCGTTTTTCAGCTCTGTCATCGCCGTATACCGCACTATTCTTTCCGAGACCTGACATTCTGGTACAAGAGTGGCAAACCAAAGGACCTGGCTAAAGTTGTGGATTATTATGTCTCCCGTGTCCAGCTGGACCTAGAGATCTTGGAACAGAACGAGCTTATTCCAAGAACTAGTGAGCAAGCGCGGTTGCTGGGAGTAGATTTCTTTTCGGTGTTTTCGCGAGGATCTCAATTCAAGGTCGAATCACTTATGTTTCGAATAGCCAAGCCAGAGAATTTCTTGTTACCCTCACCGAGTCGAAAGCAAGTCGGTCAGCAGAACGCCTTGGAATGTCTGCCTTTGGTGATGGAGCCTCAAAGCGCATTTTACAACAGCCCACTACTGGTGCTTGACTTCCAGTCTCTATACCCGAGCGTCATGGTTGCATATAATTACTGCTACTCCACATTCCTAGGAAGGGTGGTTAGCTGGCGTGGTCAAAACAAGATGGGTTTCACGGACTATCATAGAGAACCAAGACTCTTGGAGCTTTTGAACGACCAAGTCAACATCGCGCCGAATGGTATCGTGTATGCCAAACCCGATATTCGCAAGTCTCTTCTCGCAAAGATGCTGGGGGAGATCCTGGAGACTCGAGTCATGGTCAAAAGCGGGATGAAGGATGACAGGGATGACAAGACTCTGCAGAGGCTACTCAACAATAGACAGCTCGCATTGAAGCTCATTGCCAATGTCACTTACGGTTACACCTCTGCCTCCTTCTCTGGGCGCATGCCATGCTCCGAGATTGCCGACAGCATTGTCCAGACAGGTCGTGAGACATTGGAGAAAGCCATCGCATTAATACATTCCGTGGAGAGGTGGGGTGCTGAGGTCGTATATGGTGACACTGACAGTCTCTTCGTCTATCTCAAGGGCCGTACCAAAGACGAGGCGTTTGACATTGGTAAAGAGATCGCTAAGACCATCACGGACATGAATCCCAGACCAGTCAAATTGAAGTTCGAAAAGGTGTATTTTCCATGCGTTCTACTCGCAAAGAAGCGATACGTAGGCTTCAAGTACGAGAGCAAGGATCAAATGGTGCCAGACTTCGATGCAAAGGGTATTGAGACTGTGCGCCGAGACGGAACACCAGCTGAACAGCAGATCGAAGAGAAAGCCCTAAAGATACTGTTCCGCTCGGCGGATCTAAGCCAGGTCAAATGCTACTTCCAGCGACAGTGCATGAAGATCATGAAAGGAAAGGTGTCCATCCAGGATTTTTGTTTCGCGAAAGAGGTCAAGCTTGGTACGTACAGCGACAAGGGTCTGCCGCCTCCCGGAGCACTCATTAGCACCAAGAGGATGCTGGAGGACCCTCGTGCAGAACCGCAATACGGAGAGCGTGTTCCCTACGTGGTAATTACCGGAGCTCCAGGGGCTAGGCTCATCGATCGATGCGTGGCTCCAGACGTGCTGTTGCACAACGATAATAATGAATTGGATGCAGAATATTACATCTTGAAGAATCTTATTCCACCACTTGAACGTATCTTCAACCTCGTTGGAGCGAATGTACGACAGTGGTACGACGAAATGCCCAAATATCAGCGAGTGCGCCGCATAGAAGCAGGGGCACTCACGGGAGGGAAGGAGTTGATCATATCGAAGAAAACATTGGAGTCTTATATGAAGTCTTCTACCTGTCTCGTCTGTCATGAGAAGCTCGAAGAAGAAATGGCAATCTGCGCCAGGTGCATACAAAATGCTGACAGCTCTCTTATGACACTGCACTCGCGGCTCAACAAAGCAGAGAGGAAAGCTGTCAATTTGGAGAACGTGTGTCGCTCTTGTGCGAGTCTGGCTTGGGGCGAAGAGGTGAAATGCGACAGCAAGGATTGTCCCGTTTTTTATACTCGGACGAGGCATATGGCAGGTCTACGGAATTCAAAGTTAATGGCGGAACCGGTCATAGGGATCTTAGAGGAGCTTGAGGCTGGCGAGCTAGATTGGTGATTGGCATTGGACTCAGCGATTGCATTGAAAGCGTGCGCATTATACCCCGAGGAGAACGTTGCAATGGCGTTAGTTACAGTCCAGAGACTATAATGAGGTAGATTATACTACTTGTGTAATTAAATTGTTTGAGGAAGACTTCGAACAATGTGCCCGAGCCGTGCGTCATGCTTAATTAGATCCCTTGATCACACCGAAAAGGCAAACTAGATTATCAATCTCACATGTTGTAAACCGTAGCGGCCTCTACTCAAGCAAAGCTTTGGAGATGAGTCGACTGATCAAAACGCCCAAGTGTCAGCAAAGCAAAGCGCAGAAGTGTCGTCGGAAGTTGACTACAAGCCAAACCTGACACCTTGCATGCCCAAGCCGTAAGCACGATGAACGAGATACCTTTGCATCTCAAAGAGCTGCCCTCGTCGTGATGGGCATCTCTATTGCTTTTATATTAACCTACTTACTCGGTGGGCTAACCTTGTTGCCCATCCTTTTCGCCATTGTTCTCCTACATGCGTACCTCACGTTCCCCGTACAAGATCGGTCCTCGACCTCCTCCGACACCTCTTCGGACACCCTCCGCGATGACAAAGACGACGGACAAAACCTCAAATCTCATGCGAGTATAGCAGATATCGCGGAGAAATTCAAACGCGCACATGAGCCTGATGTTGCAGCTGGCTACTTCGCCGTGTGCCGAGAGTACGTGCCTGGAGGTATCAATGGCAAACCACCAGAGCGGACGACCCCGGCTGGGGCGGTAATAGCTACAGAAAGCCCTAGCGTGTACCAGAGCATGTATAGAAGTATATTCGACCGGAAGCAAGGGCCAAGTCTAGATCCCGGGAAAGGCAACAGCAAGACCGTCAAGAGGGCTAGGAATGTCTTCTTTGTTGTTCTACGACACGGACACTTAATGCTTTACGAAGATTCAGAACAGCTGGAGGTCAAACATGTCATATCACTGGAACTTCACGATGTCAGCATCTACGGTGGAGGGAACGAAATCCCCGAAGGAGAACTATGGATAAAGAGAAATGCTATACGCTTGACGAGAAAAGCCGGGTTTGAAGATCCCGCCTCTACGTCCAAGCCTTTCTTCCTCTTCTCCGAGAACTGCTCAGACAAAGAAGACTTCTATTTCGCGCTATTACAGAACCAGGAAATCAAGCCAAATGCGCCTGATAACCCGCCGAGGCCACAGCAGTACGAGACCAAGCATGTCATCGGGCTTGTGCAGAGGCTGCATTCGTCGGAAGAACAACTGCAGACAAGGTGGATCAATGGACTTGCGGGTAGACTTTTCCTTGCCCTTTACAAGACTCAAGTCATCGAGGAATACATACGCAAGAAGATCACTAAAAAGATTGCACGGGTGAAGAAGCCTGCCTTCCTCTCCGGTCTCGTACTCCAAAAAATTGAGATGGGAGAGAGTGCACCCCAGATTACTAACCCGCGACTCAATGACCTCACGATCAACGGCGACTGTTGTGCCGAAGCAGACTTCAAGTACAACGGGAATTTCCGCCTAGAGATCGCAGCTACAGCTCGCATTGATCTCGGTGCGCGATTTAAAGCTCGAGAGGTCAACTTGGTGCTGGCAGTGGTTGTCAGAAAATTGAACGGTCATGTCTTGGTGAAGTTCAAACCACCTCCAAGTAATCGCGTCTGGATATCCTTTGAGACAATGCCTGATATGGAGATGACCATCGAGCCCATTGTCAGCTCGCGACAGATCACATATGGCTTTATCCTACGAGCGATCGAGAGTAGGATTAGGGAGGTTATGGCCGAGACCATCGTCATGCCGCACTGGGACGATAGTCCATTCACAGACACTAGACAACAAACTTTTCGAGGGGGCATCTGGGCGGACCAAGGGACGACTGGTGGAATGCCGACTGAACATACAAACATTCCAGATGAAGCACCGGAAGATGACGCCGAGCTCGAAGCCGATGCGGCTCCAACCCATCACGCCTCGCCCCGCGCGAAAGACGAGAGAACCTTGAGCATGCCGGTCTCGCTTGATTCGTTTCCCTCAGGTCCAATTCCAAATCCAGCAGCGAGTTCTAAGCAAAGCCTCGATGAGACTGCTAAAGATAGCGTTGCTACTGGCGTTCAGAAAGGTCCAGAGCCACCTAAAACCCTCAGATCGCGCTCGTTTGCATCAGCTGCCAACCCACTCCTCAGCATGGATAATGCAAATTTTGACTCTATTCAACCGGTAAAGAACACGAAACAACTACAAGACGCCACTAGTGCAATGATGGCAATCTCGAACCGCTCGCGCCCTACGTCTCCTACCGACACTCCCATGGGGTCTGCCCCAGGCCCCTCTACGTTGTGGGGGAACAGCCGAAAAACCAGTAGTAGATCCTCTACGTTGTCTGATTCTAATGGCACACCTGAGCAGAATCTTCTACAAGACATTTATACATCTAGCCCTAGCCAAACTTCTTTGCCTCCAACTCCGACTACTTCAAGCTCACGGTCCACGAAGTCAACTTTTGGAAATGTTATGCCACAGTCTAGAACACTGCAAGCAGATGTTCGCATGCCAGCATCGTCGGAGAAGAGACAATCAATAGTAGTCCTTGGCGCGGCGACTGCAGCCGCCAAGAAATGGGGTTGGGGAGTACTCAGCAGGAACATGGATCAGAAGAACCAGCAGGCTGCTGATCCAGATCGCGCTGGGACACCCAAGCACCCCATCGGACGAGGTCGCCCTTTACCTCCACCCGGCCAGCCCTTACCGTTCCCTGAAAGGCCTCACACGAAGACGATGCCGGCCACGACCCCCCAAAGAAAGCCCGTCCCAAAACCAGACCTGCTTCAAACACGTCAGGATGAGGCCAAGGCACGATCGGTCCCTCCGCCACCACTTCCGGCTCGCAAAAGACGAGGATCAGCTCACATTGATCATGAGAGCGACGGCGGGCTCTTAGTTGTCGAAGCTCCGCCCGAATCTGAAACCTCGAGCCCCAATGATGACAAGCGGGATGAGTATATCAGCGACCCTGAGGTTGAGCCTGTAGCTAGCTTACCGAATAGCATTGCGCCAGACGGAGGGGACCATAGCTCAGAACGACGACGGAGGTCAACTTTCATACAGGACTCGCACGCGGAGGATGAGAGTGCTCATTCGATTTGGCAGTCGGCGCAGGAAGAAGAGGCCAGATCAAAGAGCATGTGGCTAGATACCCATGAGCATTCGTAATCAGATGCATTAGCGGGTACGGGGCATTGTACACATCCAAGATGTCAGGGCGTTAGAGCGATGAATTGACTTTGAGACTCAATTAGACGCATGATTACTAGTGTAGAAATGCCATGATTATGTATGTGAATGCAAATGATGGAATTTTATGCGCAGGCAAAGGAGTGTGCTGGTGGTAATACGGATCTTTCCGAATTTGATGTCTCGGTCCCATATCCCTTCATCATCTTCACTAGCATCGTCGATGTCGAATCCGAACCCCCCCCCCATATCGCCAAGGATTTAGGATTTGATTCGGTCTGGCAGCCGTTTCGCCATCAATTTTGCCATCAGTTTCGCCTAAATCTCCTACATGATCCTTCCAGCAGTCCAGATACTCATCTTCCAAACACACCCTATCCTCTAGGTCCATATCGTACTCCGAGTCTAAGTAATCCTCATCAGTAATCTCACCATCACTCAGACTGAGTGAAGTTGCATACCCTTTGTAACCCTCTTTATCATCGCCCTGCCCATAATTATTCCGCGGAAAGCCGGATGTTTTAGACACATAGGTAACAATAGCTGCCTCCGGAATTGCGATTCGTTTATTCTTAATCCTTCCCACCTGCTCATCGTGTTCAATCTTTACCCTACGTGAGACCTGTAATCTTATGATCTTGGCTCGTTCAGATATCGAATTGAACGTGAGTCTAAGACCCGATGGAAGGCGGACTTGAAGTTTCGAATCCAGCTGCCCGTTCGACTCGAAGATGTGCTCTGGAAGATATCTTATCATGAAGAGAACGAAAGGTCCGCACGACCACCAGTCCGTTTTAGTAAAATTATAGTTGGCCTGATAAGGCGTCTGATATTCTTCAGGAAAGGCAAATTTCCTCAAAACGCATCCGACTCCAACCACGGCTCGCCTTACGACATTCGCTTATGAACTATAATGGGACGCTATGCCGGCCTCGATATCCATAACCAATAGAGACCAGTGACTACCACCTGAGTCGCCAAGCTCGACGTCGTTAACGATCACGAACAAAGAATTCTACCTTCAAGATCCTGTCAGTCACGATCCGTAATCTTAAGATCTTATTGCTAGCCGACAAAGGAGATCCATTGCAGGACATATCAACGAGATATAGTCGCCTTTAGGATCGAACTGAGAGTGAAAATGCTGCGTTACGAAACGCAAGATGGAATCAGGGAGCCATTTGCCATTAGGCGAAGCCACAGTATAGATATCAGCATTGGTGACTGTAGCCTCATCGGCTGTGACAGAGACATCGTTATTGTCCTCAATGCCTAAACCATGCAACATGCCTTTGAGTTCGCTTACATACCCAGCGAGCATATTGACCGAGTCCTGGTCCTTCTTCGGCACAATCAGTTTCCGCTTCTTGCTTCCTGACCCGAGGGAAGGTAGTAGTACTGAGTCAAGCTTCCGTCTCTGCCTTGTTCGAGGGCCTGGGCCATGCCCAGCCTCACTACATGCTGAATCCATGATCATCAGTGTACTTCTACCAGCGTGGTAGCAAATCCGACGCTTTTGCGCTTTTATTAGTTTGCGGAACACGTACGACTAATTATCTGCTCTTGTGATAAATTTTTCTTGCATCACAAAGCAATGATGGATGGAAGATGAGTATATCAGAACGGGTGAAGGTATATTCAGTAGAGGTGGGTGCGTTATGGAAGGCCTTCGTGCGTATCAATAAAGTGAGGAACAATCTGACCGTGTTGAAACAACTGATAGGGTTTCGAATACGGATTCAGCGCTCTCAGATATTTCTCGATCCGGTCGTGGTCCTTCTCTGGGGTTGGAGGGAGGTAGACGTGGTACTGAGGCAAGCAATCGCGACTGTTGTGTGGACGATGCAACCCTTACGAGGCAGTGCGGCCACATGCACTTGTGTCAAGCACAAGCGCTCCCAGACTGCTGTAAGCTGATAGAAAATGTTATGTGTCATAGGTCAATGGCGTACGCTGAACACTGGCCCGTGTCGTATGTCAATATAAACCTTTATAGCTTTATTAACCAATGCTTATACTGAACACTCAAACAGTATCAAGGTCGAAATAGAAAGGCTCGAATCAAGGGCCTGGCTTTGCGCTTTCCATCAATTCCCCATTTCTAAAACCTGGAATCATTTGTGCAAGGCTTCTAGACCAGAGAATCAGGGCTTGTGCAGAGGTGCAATCAATAAGCTTTGTCGTACAACAACGTGGCCTTTTATGGTTCATCGATATGAACCGTCGATTATACTAAAATCCGTCGCCTAGATAATCTAGCAAATTCTTCTTAAACTCAGCCATTAGCCCATACGCTCTCCTTGTCACGGCGTTCTCTGATCTGCTTGTCTTGGCTTCTTGATGCTGGCGATGAATCTTCGCAGCTCCCTACTATGGTCATGCAAGACCTCAATTTCGGTCTACTCATCATCTTTCACGCAGTCCTGTATCGTTGGTGGAGTCCTGACCCGGCTGTCAATACCGCGAAGCTTTCGTTCAGCTTCGAAGATCTCGGCGGTTTCGAGGTCGATGAGGACGTTGTGTTTTGTGTCAATCTCGGTCTCTAGAGGTGAAGCTTTAACATAGCCTATGCAGCAGCCTGGGAATATAAGCATGTAAGCGAATATCACGGAGTAAAAGAGTATCGTAAGATAGAAGCATATCGCAGGGTAGGAGAGTATCGTAGGATAGGGGAGTATCATAGTATCGTAGGGTAGATATTTGTTGTCAGCTAGAAAAGCAAAGTATAATAATGCTGCAGGCCCTAGAGTACTTTAAAGCTCAGTAAAAGCGGCCGCGAGTGGGGCCACTGGGGCCCATGGGGGTCATTTTCGGCTTTGGGGCCATACATAAGCCTAACTACGACAACCGGGAAGTTTGAGCATACGAATTTCTGCCTGAACAGATCTAGTATAGCTCTCCGGCGACTGCTATCAAGACACAGACCTCCTTCTCCTCCCATCGATCTTGCTCTTCTCGTGTGAGCCGTCCGGTAATACTGGATCCTACCACCATCGTGCTTTCCCATTGGTCATGTCTTATGGCTACGGGGGGTCAAGCTCACGCAATGTTGATTTGGGCAAGTAAGACAGCACCGAATAGTCCCTACTCCGTATTGCTATTGCCGCCGAATCGGCCGTCAGATATCATGGATATTAATTCTTTCCCCAGATCAGAGACCGACCTCGCAATCAACATCCGAAAAGCAACAAGCATAGGTCAGTCATGGCATTATGATGACCTGGAGCTGGAGCTGGAGCTGGAGGTAGACTGACGTTAGTTCCTCTTTCCAGAAGAGACTGCGCCCAAACGTACGTCTTTCAGCGATCGTTCGTCCGAAGAGCTTCTTGTGCTCACGGTATCCAGGCAAACACGTCCGAGCATGCATTGTCTACACATGGGACCATAAATCGTCCCAGTCGTTCTGGGCGGGCATGAAAGTGTGCGTCTACGAGCCCGCGCCAATTCCTGCCATAGAACACTCATCGGAGCTCGTTAATGCTGATGGTAACGCTCTCCCTCTATAGGCAACCCATCCTCGCCGATGAAGTGCAGACGTTCAAAGCTTTGATTACCGTACATAAAGTCCTCCAGGAAGGGCACCCAATTGCAGTGAAGGAAGCGCAGGCGAATATAAATTGGCTGGAAAGCCTAACAAGAGGTGTTACCGGAGAAGGACTTCGAGGTATGGACCCTTGTTGCGCACGAGAGGAACCCCGGGCATTTCTTCGAGGCAGTGAAGGCTCAGGGTTTGAAGGGCAAAAACTTGACGGTTGAGACAGGATATGGACCTCTGCTACGAGATTACGTCTACTTCCTCTTAGCCAAATTGGCGTTCCACAGGCAGCATCCCGAATTCAATGGTTTGAATTCTCTTGAGCGTGCGCGCATGGTAGGAGCTAAATAGCCTTGCAGGGCTTTTTGAATATGAGGAGTACATCAGCCTGAAGTCGATCAATGACCCCAACGAAGGGTAGCGTACCTCATCAAATGGCTATTCACCGTCTGCTAACCCACTTCATAGATATGAGACAATCACAGACCTTATGACTCTTCAAGACCAGATCGATACCTTCCAGAAACTCATCTTTGCCCATTTCAGAGGCGGTGCCAACAACGAATGCAGAATTTCAGCGCTGGTTCCTTTGGTGCAAGAAAGTTATGGCATCTACAAATTCGTCACAAGCATGCTGCGAGCAATGCATACTAGTTCGTACCACACTCTCTTCTGGGCTGGACGCGACTGACTGAATACGCATAGCTACTGGAGATGACGAGGCCCTAGAACCTTTGCGCTCGAGATACGATACACAACATTACCGTCTTCTAAAATTCTACTACGAATGCTCAAATCTCCGATATTTGACTAGCCTAATCCAAGTACCCAAGCTACCGCAGGAACCACCTAGTCTCTTCGGCGAAGATGAGGATCGGCCGGCTTTACCACGCCGGCCAGCGAAAGAAGTGGAGAAGAAAGAGGAGCCAGCCCCCCCGAGATCGCCTCCTCCCGGTAATGCTCCGGACCCTGAACCAATCAATGAGTTCTGGAAGAACGAACAGCGAAGGCAGCAAGAGGAATACGATGCTGAGCAACGACGATTACAGGATCAATGGAATCAACAACAATATCAGCAACAATTGGCGCAGCAACAAGCAGAGCGTGACTTTGAAGAGCAGCGACGGTTGCAAGAGGAGCAGCAACGGCTCGCTCAAGAGCAGCTAATGAGAGAACAGTATCAAGCTCAGACGCACGGCCGAATGGCTGAGTTAGAACAGCAAAATCTCAAGGCTCGTGCCCAATACCAACAAGATCAGTTGATGCTAGAACAGTACGATCGTAGGATGAAGGATTTAGAGAACCAGCTGAGTCAGCTAAACAACAACTTTAACCAGCAAAACTCCTCGAAAGACGACCAGATTCGCTCGCTCCAAGAGCAAGTCAACACATGGAGGACAAAGTACGAAGCGCTCGCCAAATTGTACTCCCAGTTACGGCACGAACATCTCGAGCTACTGCAGAAGTTCAAAAGCGTCCAACTCAAAGCGGCGTCAGCGCAAGAAGCGATTGACAAGAGGGAGAAATTAGAGCGCGAGATCAAGACCAAGAATCTTGAGCTAGCAGATATGATTCGAGAGAGGGACAGAGCTCTTCACGAGAAGGATCGGGTTACAGGGGGCAACAGAGAGGAAGTGGAGAAGCTTAAGCGCGAGCTTCGATTTGCCCTCGAGAAGGCAGACAACGCGGAACGTGCCAAAGGTTCCGAGCTGTCTTCGATGCTGGCAAAGTACAACCGGGAAATGGCTGACCTCGAGGAAGCTTTGCGGGTAGACCTCTCCATTGTGCGCCATGCGAGAACTTGCTGACCTCATAATAGAACAAGACTCGATCTTTTGATGATATTCACTCGAAGTATGGAGAGCGGGACGGGGATCTCGAGCGGAGCCTTCGTGAAAAAGAAGAGGAGCTCGAGATCTACAAGTCGGGCATGGACCAGACTCTGCTCGAGCTCAACGAACTGAGGATGGTATGTTCTGGAAGACTAACCACTGAGCCTCACTAACGATATTTAGAATGGCGGAGATACAGACAAAGCTCTTGATGAGCAAATCGACCAGGTCCTTTTGGGCAACATCCAAAAGATCAACGACATAATCGACTCCGTGCTACAAAGTGGAGTTCAGCGTGTCGATGACGCTCTCTATGAGCTCGACTCGTCAATGCAAGCAGGAAACCAAAACGCCTCGGCTCCATATGTCCTCTCTCAAATCGAGAAAGCATCCGCCAGTGCTACTGAATTTTCAACAGCGTTCAACAATTTCATCGCTGATGGGCCCAATAGCCCTCATGCTGACATTATCCGTACTGTGAGCGTATTTGCCGGCTCAATAGCAGACGTGCTCAGCAATACGAAAGGGCTCACCCGTTTTGCCACCGAGGAGAAGAAAGCCGACCAGCTCACAAATGCTGGCCGCCAGTCTGCCCAGTCTACAGTGAAATTTTTCCGTGCGCTCCAGTCATTCCGTTTGGAAGGCTTAGAAGCTACCCAGAGGACCGACGTCGTTATCAACAACAACCACGAAGTACTGATGAACCTTCAAAAGCTCTCTAAGCTTGCAGACGCTTTCGCTCCCAACTCCGGGAAAATCACAAACGCAAAGGGCGACCTTGGAGATCTAGTAGATACAGAAATGACGAATGCCGCGAAGGCTATTGATGCCGCTGCAGAACGTTTGAACAAGCTCATCAACAAGTCTAGAGAAGGCTACAGCACTTACGAGCTCCGAATCCACGATAGCATCCTCCAAGCTGCGATAGCAGTCACCAATGCCATCGCTCAGCTGATCAAAGCCGCCACTGCTTCCCAGCAGGAAATTGTCAAGGAGGGCCGCGGCTCCTCTTCGCGAACAGCTTTCTACAAAAAGCATAATCGGTGGACGGAGGGGCTCATCAGCGCCGCGAAGGCTGTTGCTTCGTCCACCAATACACTCATCGAGACGGCGGATGGTGTTATCAGCAACCGGAACAGCCCAGAGCAACTCATTGTCGCCAGTAATGACGTAGCAGCTTCTACTGCACAACTTGTGGCGGCGAGTAGAGTTAAGGCAAATTTCGGCAGCAGGACGCAGGATCGACTTGAAGAAGCCAGCAAGGCAGTCGGCAGAGCATGTAGAAGTTTAGTCAAACAGGTACAAGACATCATTAGTCAAAGAAACAGGGAAGAGGGAGAGGACGTGGACTACGCGGCTTTGAGTGGACACGAGTTCAAGGTCAGAGAGATGGAACAGCAGGTTAGTGCCCCCAAGTTTTGCTTTGATTGGGCATTGTTGGAGGCAGTGGTTTGGAGTTTTTCAATCACTGACATGATTTGTGGCTTAGGTTGAGATTTTGCAACTGGAGAATAATCTTGCACAGGCTAGGCAGAGACTGGGTGAGATGAGAAAGATTTCTTATCAGGAGGACTAGGTCTGGGAGAGGCGTGGTTGGCGGCAGGCAAAGCCAACACACAGTCATGAATGCATGCATGTACCATTGTATGCTTAGTAGGCCTTTTGTAGGATAGCAAAAGATATGGAATTGTATCTTATCATAGAGTCGATACGGTTCCCGGGTTGCTGGAAGATGTATGTGCTTAGTATGTCCTCGGAGAGTATGAGCGATGCTACATGCGATATGCTACCTGAGTGCAGATCGTGGAGGAGCGCGCAAATCTACCTCACCCTGTCGCTAATGTGGTACTCTAAGTCTAGGACAGGAATTGGGTTACGTCAGGTACGCGGACAGACTCGATAACGCTCTTAGAGTTGCAAGGGCAACATCAGGAAAGGGTCCTGCCGTTAAGAGGAAGAGAACATGCCATCCAACAGCTCCTGTCCGCTCTGTTGTATTTACCAGCGATTGTTCCTTTGGTCTGGTAATTTATAGAACGGAACTATAGGATTAAGAGGAGATATTAGGACATGTTGATCGCTTTGCTCGGATTAAGTTACCACCATTGACGCCAGTTCATTCCCAACATCCTAGCGCAATCCTTCATGTCGAGCCACAAAATTAGAACAATTCATCTTGCGTAGCTCTGGATGTCTGGAACTTCAGTCCCTGCATGGGTTTGCATGAATGATGCCCGGTTTGTAGGTGTTGGCTCATCTGAAGAAGGTCTTGGGAGCAATCTATTCGAAAAGGCGTTCAGCGAGCGACGGTCTTGAGAAGGAGGCCAGACTGGTATCGATGCAGGCATTTTTCGGACGATAGGATTCCGGGCTAAGGAAGCTCTGCGCGTCTCTCTAGGCCAGAAACTGAACGTACTGTCGTCACCTCAGTGTTTTTGGCTTAACTGCAGAAACATTAGCATGCCATGAATCTTTTGGATTAGATAGAAGACTGGCATCGTCTCAGGGCGCAGGATTTCATGGTAGTAGGGGGGAGCAGCAGGAGGATGATTGGGTTCTCTTAAGAGCTGTGACCCTCCACAGCATCTTGCGCAAGCTCTTCAATTTTGGCCATGTAGAGGGCACAGCAGAGACGCTGGGATTGCTAGCAAGGGATAAGTGCAACTTGGGTGGGGCACACATTCTGTGATAGAACACAGAAAAGGTCACGTCTTGCATCTTGTAGATTTCTAGCCGCAATATACGAGAGGCACAACGAAGTTTAGAGGTAGGCGGATCAGTAGGTCAGACGTACTTTCCGTACCACTGCTTGGGCTCGCTGTCCTCAGAAGGCTAGAATCATAGAATCGTAAGTAGAGTACAACAGGTCTGACGAGACGCTGCAAGCGCCCTCTGGGTGGGTCTGTGCCCCGGGCGGCAGGAAGGGGGCGGTACTTTAGGCATTGCCAAGAAAGCATCTTCTCCGAACTCTATCCCTACTACACTCTTATTTTCAGAGAACTTGGATGGTGTCTAAAGACTTTTATTTATGTGATCGGTGTGCTTATCGACCGCTTGGAAAGAGCTTGGAAAGGACACGTGTATGCAACTTGCGTCGCTTGTTGCAATCTCTCAAGCGAGGAGTACATGACTGGGGAATGAAATGATTCTGGGATGAAGGGAAGGTTGCCGGCCGCCATCATCCGACGAAACAAAGGAAAACGAACGATGCATGCCTGCGACCTGTCCTATCGGCGATGGTCATCCAAGTCCATCCTTTTCCGATTGTGCACCCGTCCTCAGTACGAATATATTTATGTAGCGTCCCTGCATACCTTATACAATAGGCATCCAGAAACCCATGCGGCAATGCAAGCATATGTTTGAGCAGCCGGGTCCAGTCTTGAATTGAGTGAGAGCTGCCTAGAGACAAGGTTAGCCTTGGTTGTGTTTGGCTAGGTTCGAACATACCAACAACGCTATCAAGCGCAGGCGTCGAAACCAATGAAGTCATCACAAGGAACATCGCTCATGCAAAGACGTTGGACTGATCGTCCGTGAAAGAACTATAGGTGGCTCCAGAAAAGTCAGTGACGATCGAAATCTGGATCGAAGAAGTATTCCAATTCCTAAGTAAATGCGGACGCCGATGAGGCCGGCACTTCGCGATCACGAAAAGAGATTCTGTTGCGGCTCCGTACCTCCGTCATTGTAGCATCGACTGTCAAGAACGAGCCATAGCTGCGTTTGGTTGAGGCCGAAACTTTGACGTTGCGACCCCAAGGCGGTGACTGCAGAAGTTTCAGGATTCATCCCAGGATTCGCCTTCGTGCGACAGCGAGGATAGCTGTATGTCGTCCGCCAACGGACGCTTTCGGAACGCTTCGAATACCTCTTCGCCTGGATCGAATTGTTTGTTCAGTGCGTAAAATATGACTGACATGATCGCCTAGTATCACATTCCACTAGAGCCTTTCGCGCTGCCGCTTTGCTATCTTGAAGCGGGAAACTCTGGTAACAATCTGGTTTCAAGAGCTTCTCGTAGTGCCATCTGTCACATCTTGTCTTTGAGGTTGCATATGCTGAGATATCCGATATTTTGGATGCAAGTATCACATCAGCAGCAGTGACTGCATCGACTTCCAGCAGAGAGCGCAGTTCAAGATTAGATGGGAAAGTTGTTTGTTGTTCTTAAGGGAGAAGACGTATAGTCCGTCCTATGCTTTCGCTTTGAATTACACTGCGCCAAGTTTTTCTTGAAAAGCCGTGCTCTTGGAACATCTTCTGCAACTTTGGCTCGCATGGACTCAGTCTTGCGCTGCCTAAGACTCATGCGATATGTGAAGCACGAATTGTTTGCGAGTAGAAATGGCTTCGACATGCCTGCATTGACTCATCCGTCCGCCTGCTCAACCTAGTGGCGAGTATACGGCGTCTTAATCTTGAGCCTCCGCTTCACAATGTGCCGCCAACTCTTCTGGCCAAGCAGAGTGTTGATCATAAAAGCCTTCATCACTTCTTGCATCAATCTGTATGTTCGAAGCCGACAATCTTTTAGTAAGACTTCGTTGCAAGGTCAGCAAGAGGTCAATTCGATACTTTAGGTCATGCTTACACCAGGCATCAACTGCTGCGGCGTCAGCGTATCCAACCTGCTCAAGAAGGTCCATCTCAGCGTCGTTGGGATATCCGTGAGCTTTCCAGAATTGCTCAAAGAGTTCTTGCGTAGGTCTTGTGAGGTCGGGATCAGGCGGAAATAATCCAACAAGTTGAGCTGTAGTCTTCAAGCGACTGATGTTTCTTGTTAGCAAGCCTGATGAGTGCTGCTGGAGTGCTGACTCTTACTCTTCCCACAGCTCTTGAACGGCACAACGAAGAGCAACATTCATTTCGCGCGTTGGCTCGCCATCCTCGCTGCCCATTTTGGAGATTAGAATATTCGTTGCTCCAATCGAATCCTCTTTGTATAGCTTGTGAAGTGCAACGAACAGCTTGACCGGCACTGTGATTCGTGGCCGCAGAACAGCGCGCCGACCCAATATAATAGGCGCATGATTGTCCGGGGGATGATCGCGAGAATTCCCTCTTTGTGATGCTGCAATTTTGCCCATCGTTCTCAGCGTGGTTTTGATCCTTTTTCTACGCGCTGTGATTGCTTTGCTGGTCGCAACCTTTGTGGAAACCATCTCGACTAGGTTGCCTGGAAGGTCTCCGAAGTACGAAGATAGGAGTCGCTGAGGTTCAAGGAATAGGCGTAAGTCTAGATTCGCAGTCTAAGACAGTTGCGTCATTTTCCAGTGTTGAGGTGAAGGATAAACAAAGGAAAAGACCAACCTCCTCCCTTTCCGGCTAGCGTAGATTTCCTCGCAAAGCTTCACCTCACAAATATTTTCCTACCTCACAATTCCTTTCAACCACAACTTCTTGACAAGCCTCGTTGCCAACCTCGAAACAGTACTGATCTTACAATCATCATTCAAGAACATCGCTTTCTCGACCACCCTCATCACACTACCTTTCTTTCAGTTGAACTTCTCAAACAAACACCGAATCCTATAGCAAATTTGAGGCCTGCTGCCAGCATGAACACCGCTCCAGCTACGATGGCGCAATCGTCACCTACGACAGTGGCTCAAGTGATCAACCTGTTCTGGCAGGTGCGTGCTCAGAACCTCAACTCCGGTGCCTCGGATCGCATTGAAGTGCCTATCACCCTCAAAGATATCATTGGAGACAAAGGAGTTGCTGTCATCGCTACTCGCCTTCGGTAAGATCCATCCCACTTCCTACCATCTGTTATAAATTTAACCTTTAAAATAGCAACATGATTGATGCGCCAGTGGCAACCGTTGAAGACGTCGATCGTGGTGTGATTCACATCGCGCCTTCGCGCAATCTTCTCGGACACGACTCGATCATTCATGAAGCCAAGAAGCCAAAAGCCAAGGCTCTCAAGGAAGACAAAGTCGCTCGTCCTCCCAACGCTTTCATCCTTTATCGCCAACACCATCATCCACTCGTCAAAGCTAGCCACCCAAAGCTCCACAACAACCAGATCTGTAAGTTTGCTCATCAACGCAGTGATGGCTTGGCTAACAGTAGCTCAGCGGTAATCCTCGGGACTCAGTGGAAGAATGAAACGGAGAGCACGAAGGCTCGTTATATCAGTCTGGCCCAGAAACTGAAAGTCAAGCACTTCCTCGAGCATCCCGACTATCAGTACCAACCTCGCAAGCCCAGTGAAAAGAAGCGTCGTATGACGCGTCGTAAAGCAGCTGCTCTGGCTGAGTCTGAGCAGGCCGAGTCAAGCTCTTCGGCCAATATGGCTTCTGCGTTGGGTGAGACTCAATCCAGCGCAGAACAGAGCACCGCTATGATCCCTGATCTACCCAAGACCCTGGGTGGTAACGTGGTGCTCGAGCTTGGTGATGAGACCATGGACGACGAAGATTTCGCCGCCGTGCTGGAGAAGTACAATCAGTCGATCTCTCCAGCCAATACTCTAACCACCGTCGCCGTTGGAAACAATGGAAAGCCAGCAGTCTTTTACGATGAGCCGAGTGAACCTGCTCAGAGTGATGCCAACTTCTACTCCAGTGTCTTCGACTACAACCCTTTCGCGGGGAACGAAGAGCTTGCAGAGGAGATGCAAGGCATGACGACTGGTGAAGAAGGTTTTCAAGCGATGATGGCTGCCCTCAGCCCCAACGCTCAGCAGACCACCTTCGATGAGCAGAACGAATCTTTTTTCGACGCTGAGCTTGCACGAGACGCTGAGTTGGGAAGTTGGTGCACCGTGTTTGAGAAGAAGGCGTAGGAGTAATTCGACCTCCGCGAACTTCGAACTTCATGCCATTCTCGAACTTCGCGCGCTTGCTCTTCCGGTCAACGTAAGCTCGAGACATCGGAACTTTATACATGTCTCTTCCACTCAGACCTTCGGAGGTTCCGGTCAGTCAATTGCAAAATGAATCGTCGAAGCTCTTGTCACTTACTCGGCTCTTTTGTGTTTACATTCCCACCACGCTCGGGAGCGCGTGAGGAGAGATATTACTGTTCCGGCCAACGCCAATTCGAATCGGAACACGGCTTTCTTTTACACCGGAACTCAGTGTCTCTTCCCCCGTGCCCTGTCATGATACCCCTTCCGTACCGCCGCAAAAACATGACATCGTGTCTTGGTATTTACCTTTGGGTACTTGCCGCTGGATACGTCGTCACAGCGCCTGTTTCAGCACACACAGCACATCATCATCCCTATTACAGCACCTATCTCAGCAACTGCCCGAGCAGCCTATCTTTTGCATGCATCGAGGGACACGTCTTGTACAGTCACTACTAGCATAGCAAATTGATGTCACATTCGTTGAGTCTTGTGAGACGCTAACAGCTGGAATGACACACTGCTGACCCCTTCATTTTTCCCCGCGCGACTACCAACCTCCTCAATTTCCTGTGAAACACGGTTTGCGGCTCACTAGAGACACGTGAATATTAGATCAGTAAATTTTGTAGCTGCTCAAATAAAGTGTCTGCGCCAAAGCGCGCCTCTAATCAGATGCTTGAAGCGTAGAGTACAATGCCTCTCAGAGCGCTTTGCTCTCCTTTCTTAGATGACCCCTTCTATCTCTTCAGTCCTTCCTTCCTTCCTTTACCCGCCGCCTGTCTCTAGCTGTGGGCAAAACAGCACTGTGGAAATCATCGATATTGGTGGAGGCAAACTTTAGCATTCGCTATTTGTTAAACGCCTCATCAACTATTTGTTGCATTAGGGTTCCAGTCGCTGCACCATATAAAAGTCTGACATCGCCATTGCGTGTTCTTCTCTTTCGCTCCTGAGGGCCCTAGCGGACGTGGACACATCCAGAACGACCTTCCCAGATTCATACCAGGTTTCTTCGTAAGCAGAGAGATGCATGGCTCATCGTGTCCCTCACAGCGAGGCGCCGCAGGCTTCGTGAAGAGCTTTGACCATGATTCCTTACTCTGGACGGGATCGTGGACGTTCTCTTGAGGTTGATTGACGGATTTATGAATTCTAATTGGAGAGGCGTTGGCAAATCGTGATTCACCCGGAATGTGCTGGGTACCTACCTTGCGAGGTGTATGAATTGCTGATTCTAGGCTAGCAGCCTTCATGTGCCCATCAGGAGCAGGATAAGTCTCGGCCAAGTCTGCAGGTGCTCGGCCGACCGTATCATCATTCAGGCTCGTTTGCGTAACTTCTCTAACGTGGATGGCACTAGCGACGCTTGAAATAAGAGCGGCACTAGGTTTGAAGAAGCCCTTGAGACTCTGCTGGCCCTTGCCAGTCATTGGCGCCGCGGCAGTGGCAGATACAGATTTCCCACGCTTTGTAGATTTGCTGCCTGTCGTTGCTGGGGCAGATCGCTTCTGGCCTACTGCAGATAGAGGAATTGTTGGCACTCTAACGGAGCTGTCACAGGGCTCTACTGCGGTTTCATCGATCGGACCGAGCATCTCAGCCGTTGAATTTCCTTGATTTGCTGCAGTAACGCCAGAGACTTCCGCAACTTTGTTTGAATTGCCATTACTTTGAGACTGCGGAAGCGAAGGCTTTTGGGCGAACATATCCCGTATGTTTCGTCGGCCGAAGAATTCTGGTATGAGCTTGCCAGAAGAAGGCAGAGGATCGCTTGTCGCAGAATACTCTCTTTGGCGTTTGCCGCCCGAGAACATTCCTGGAGGATTCATTACATCCCGAAAATCACGTTCCACCCCATCCATGAAAATCGCATCTTTCATGACCGCGTACACCGGACAATGATCGGATCCCTATGAGTTGGTGAGCCGAGACACAGCACGCAAGCATGCAAGGCATACCATAAGTCCCTCCTGAATGTTAGAATCCGAAAACCAATCCTTCATTGTCAAGCTACAGAGGACGTAGTCAATCCTCGCCCCGCAGTTACCAGGCCTTGCATTGACTTTCTGTTCCCAGCATGTAAACATGCCCTTTCGGTCGGGATGGAAAGCTCGACATATATCCCACAATACCGAATGTTCTCTTCCCCCGTCCCTTTCCCCAAAGACTTTACCGCCCTCAAGTAGATGATTGAAAAGACGTCGAGCAGGGGTAGATACAAATTCCAGCCCTGTTAAACCTTGCTTCCGCATCGACACCTCCGCATTAGCAGCATCGAGCTCTTCCCTAGATATATTCAAATCGCCTGTCAGGAAGACACGCTTGCCCATGGCAATGAGGTTCCGTATTCGGGCGTCGAGCACATCAAGGAAGCCGAGGCGGAAATCATCTCGAGTCTCATCGCGATTTGCAGGACTGTAAACGCCAAACAGAACGAAGGCGGGAAATTCAAGAACCACGCTTCGACCTTCGGCATCGAGGGTTGTGGCGTCCACTGCCGAGGCTGCCAACTGCGCTGGTGTTGGATATCCCCCAATCTGCTGCTCTTCTGGCAGATTGGAGAAATTGGTGGATGAGTTTGGCGGGCATAGGAGTCCTGTAATACCTTCTTCAGCGCGGATAGGCGCACAGACGGATTGTCTAGTGTAGATGACCACACCCGAGTACCCTGTACTTGGTGAGCAAGAATTCTCTAGGTGACAACGTGGCCAATTACCCTTCTTATGCCTCGGAAGGCTGAAGTAGCAATCCCATCCAGGGACGAGTACCATGTCATCGGAAAGATCCTTCCGCTGGATCTTGGTCTCTTGGAACACGACGATGTCGGCTTCCAGGATGTCGAACATGGCCTGTAGGCGTCAATCTCGATGCCCTTTGCTTGATCCTAAGTGACTAACCGCGAATGAACGCTTGTCTCGCCATGGCTGATATCCAAATGGATTCCTGTTCATTGGAGTTCAGCGCTCCCATCACGAACAGCCTCCAATTGCCCCCAGATTTCCCTCACGTCTTCCTGAAGAGCAGGCACGCAAGAAAATCTCTTACCGGATGCCATTGACTGTAGTACCAATTAGTCATACACAACATTGCAGCTTGGAGTGAGCATGGGGAGCATTTACCATTCCACGTCGTTATGCGTAAGCCCATGATGCAAAGACTCTTTTCCGACGCTTCATGGCTTGGTCAAATAAATCCGAAGATTTGAATGCTCCGTGAGCACTTCACTCTTCTCAGGGGTGCCTATCACTGATGATTTAAAACGTAAGGTTTCCTACTTACCTAGTTAGGTACTCGACAATTGTTGGGTAGATCCGACGTTTAGCCGTCAGCCTTATTAGGAAATCATGATTTGAGACCTCAGCTCAGCAGTCTGTCCAAGTCACATCGCGACAAAATGCTTCCACGGCCTTCGATGCTACCTCCCCTGAAGCTTGCCGGTAGGCAGGGACACGCTTCGATCCTCCGTAGCACCCTCCAGCGCCGCTTCGCCAGTACTGAACCCCCGAAGCTTGTCGGCCCAATGGACAATGCCTTCAATAGAGAGAGACTGGCTGTCAAGCACCATGCCGCACAATCAGCGGGTGAGAGTCTTTTGAGGTCATGAAGAGGTTGAAGCTCATACGCTTATAATTTCAAATCCAGATCTTTGGCGTAAACTCTGTATCTAGTATTACACCCCGAGGACGCCAACTGGGAGAAACCGGCTCACATCGAACAGTATCGTCATACCTGCCCTTATCATAGGGTCCATCAACGCGAAGAATCTGTGGGATGAGCATTGGGAACATTGGGAGCACATGCCGCCCTTGGAGGAAAGAGTCCAGTATCCCTACATGAACATCCGAACAAAAGCCTTCCCGTGGGGCGATGGCGACAAGGTCAGTCTTTTTGACCCTTTCAAATCTGCGATACAAAGCTGACATATACGGTGGAATTTGCAGACTCTATTGTAAGGTCCTTTCCGTGTGCATTGAGCTATTCTCTGGGCCCTAGCCATAAGACGAGAGCTTGTAGGGGAGTTGTCGAGGTCATTTACTTCTCGGACACCTTATAAGCGCAAATATGTGGGGAAGGATGCAAAGTGTGGGAACGCATGGAGACGAACAGATGCTGACGAGACGTTTCTAGCTGGAATCCAAAGGTCAACTACCACCGCAAAGATGAATAGATTGTGTGGGAGCAGGAAAGGCGCTAGCAGACGTTGATCCAGGAACATGCGCTGTGGAGAAGAGACACGGGGTTTCGAGGGTTGTCCTTCAGTACTGTGCATTTCAGACTTTAGGTCTCGTAGCATTCTGCTTATGCCTCCCCAGCTGTCCTTGATATCATGCTCTAGCTAGGAATGCTATTGAAGACCTTAACGTTGACTGCCTGACTGCAATTACGAATAGTATTCTGCTGTACAAGCATCTTTCGATTTGAGGCCTCCGAAATGCTATTCCTCCAAGACTGATACCCGTTATATCTGATCCTTTGCAGCTCGCTTAATATCAAGGTATTTTGCCGCGCAATCATTTGCCAGGACTGGGTCCCCATTCAGATGCATGATGGTTGCCTTCTTTGCCATCATCTCACACTGTCCTTTAACGTCCTCGAGCCTCGAAAATTCGTCAAAAGATCGCCCTATGTTGTCTAGAGCCCTTGTCAGCTGTTCCTTGCGCGGCAGTGTCTCGGCTTTTGCCTGCCCAGCCATCCCCATATGAGCGTCTGCAAGAAGGGAGAACGTCTGTGCGGACAAATTGCAGTCTTCGCACTCGAGAGTGTGCGGCATGATGCTCTCCAATAGTTTTGCAGCTGCGCTGAACTCCTTCAGGCTGATCAGGACACCGCAAACTGCGCCGACGGCTTCCCAGAGTGCCGGAAATAACCTAGCTCCATGTGCAAGGCTTGCGGCACGTAGAGCAACGGAAAAGCCCTTTTGGGGTATCCCTGCCTTGTCATAGATCCGCGCTTTCAGTGTCATTACTTTGATGCGCTGAAAGATGTCTGCTTCTCCATCGGTCAATTTGGAGGCTAGATTTTCCAAGATCTCCATAGCTTTTGAATAGTCGCCACGCCGCACATTGAGGTCAATCTCCAGAGTCAGGATACTGAAATGCAGATCTTGACCTAGACTGGGAGGAGCTTGTAGTTGGGCAAGGACCGCTTCGGCTGCAACCAAGTTGTCTCTGAGAAGATATCAGAGCGAACGTCTTACAATAAAGGCTTACGAACCGATGCAAATGTCTCCGCAATTTAATTAGACCCAAATTCGATGTCCAGTACTGAGAATGTCTAAGGGTCCGCAGAGTCTCTTCGTCGACCTCTTCCATGCGCGCAAGAGCATCTTCGTATCGTCCCCTTTGAGCAAGCTGCCCAAAATTCTTAACAATTGAATGTTGAAGTCATAATGGGCGAGCTTACCAATAGCGCGCTTCTGCAAACACAATGCACAACGTCTTCGACGGGAGACTGATCGGTGTAGCATTGAAGAAAAAGCTCTCCAGATAGCCAGGCTTGGCAGCTCACGCCTGCTCGTAGATTCAGCGTCAGAGGGTGTCTTAAACGAATCCTCAAAAGACAGAGCACACACCAAGTCTCCCAAAGATGGATGATTGCATCGACATCTGGCTGCCGATTGCATTTGCGACATCTTTTGTCACGTTGAGATGTGAGGATCTGACGATGCTCTCAAAAGCTTGTGCTACGCTGTCACCCTATTGAAAGTATAATATTAGAACAACGATCACAGCTGGAGGTGAACCCAGTCCCGGTGCAGTGCTTACATTACTAAGGCCCAACTTGGCCTCGCTGAGCAACGAAGTGCTCAAGAGACCCCACATGCTTGCCTCCTTAGCTTTCGCCTTGAGGAACGCTAAAGTCTCTTTCTCTGTCCCGAGCACCCCTCTCTTCTGAACATCGTCCATTTCTTCCGGATGTGCTTTACCGAAATGATACAGCCAGCTCAGACTATAGTTAAGACATCCCATATCATTATTTTCCCTCGCAGTAGATATAGTCTCTTGCATTGCGGTTAAAGCTTCAGAGTGACACCCAAAGTCTGCATGAAGGATGGCAAGATTAAGCAGAGCATACTGGTAGAAGGTGCGATCCCGATTTTGCATGGTATAATCAAAGTACCGGTGCAGATTATCGAAGGATGATGGGTAATCTCCTGATCTCCACGCGTCAAGGAAACTGACAAGCATTGAGTAATCTGAGCAGTACTCTAGAAACAATACTCACGTTACATAATGAGACAGGTTAGGCACAGTCACGCCGGTGTCAAGCATCGCCCGGAACTTGGCCTTCATTGCTTGGGGAAGCCGATTGCCCATTCCTACTGCCCAGTCAGCATGTACTCTACCATCTCCGGATGAATCCCACAGTACTTTGCATCTGGTCAATCTGATACTCTAGAAGCGTTTCCAAGTCCTCGGCGCTAACACTTGCGTCATGCTGAACTCCATGGGCGAGTTCACCGTAGACAACATCAGTCAATCGATCTCCCAAATCTAAATGTTCGTCTTGTAGGTTTGCATCGAAGCTGTTGTGATTCGCAGACTGGTTTCTTTTCTTCCATTGTGGAAGCGTTGGTGCGCGGTATGCAACGAAATTTCTCCACAACGTTACGCCGTCGTGAAACTGCAGTCTCGTGAATTCAAGTTGGGCTCTTCTGACAAATGATCCCATCGGCGAGGCTCGAGATAGCCGTATATGATTAGGATTGGACTCAATCACATCCTCGGCATCCTGCTGCTGTTGCTCTGGCGGCTTCTGAAGCAGTAACGAAAGGGTGTCAAAGAAGTCATGTAAGGCGTCGAACGAATTGAGCTTCCACAGTTTGTTCAGCAGTAGATCCCAGATAGTCCTCCCAGGAATGCCAGAGACATGGCTGATAGTGGCTTTCTGGAAGTCTTCAACAGCGAGCGTAACATGGCGCGATTGCAGGGATGACTTATCCTGAGAAGCTACCGAGCTAATTGGAAGGACATGAGAGACAAGGAAGGACAAAATAGGAATGGTTGCCGCTGACGGCACGACAGAGTCCGAGTACAGCGATATCAATGCAAGAAGTCCAATTTTGGACGGCGTCAAATAACGCGACATGCTACAATGAGACCAAGACAGGGGAAGGGCATAGCATAGTCATTTCTCAATACATAGCTCCTCCAGTCAGACTCGAAGCGCAAGAAAAGAGGAAGGTCGAATGGTGTTCAAGGGGTGTTGTTGTAAAAGGCTCCAATCAAATCCTAGGATCGATGGGATACCCGTTTCAAACTCTCGGGAAGGCCGCTCTAATTTCAGGACAGAGCCAGCCATGCAGCACGAATTAACCAGCATGTTAAGATTATTGGCTTTAATCACTACAATTGTGCTACATAGAGGAAACTTCGCTCAAAGCTTGGTGAACGCTTGCCGCCAACACAGGCCATGCGTTTAGGCCCAATTCCTTGCGAAGTGTAGGAGAGCGCAGTATTTCAACCTCCGAGGTTCCCATCTACACCGAGGCACTGCTCACTCGAGTTGAACGATCAGAGGTCGAGACGGCGTCGAAATCCGGAGCGAGTCTTAGAATTAAGGAAAGTTATTTCCCCTGGATAAAAGTATTAGAGCGTTTTCCACTTATGCATGTTGGTCTCTGTACCACACTGGATAGGGCGCTAGGTTTTGGCAGGCTTGCCATATCATCCTTTGAAAAGGTCGATCTTGCGATACTAATACTATACTGCTTCCTCCAGCCCTCCTGTATCCACCGATTCGTCGTCCTTCTCGTTAGCGTTTGAGGCCCATACCCTGCTGATAGCCAGATCAAAAGGTCCAGGAACACGGTCCGTAAGACTCACGCCCAGAGTCCGAACCTTCTGCCTCATCATCTCAGTCTGCGGCTCCACCACCTCTCCGTGATTTGTCCTGACAAAGGCGTTGATTTCAATGAACACCGTCTCCCATTCGCCCGGCTTTCGAGCATGCAATCGGTGCTGATGTAAATCGGTGTGTACTATAGATTCCGTTTGCACGTTCACAAAGTATTTCCTTCCATCGGACTTGACTCGCAGTGCGAGGTATGTATATGGGTCAACGTCCCAAAGGCTTTTACCAAATAGTGTAGGCGGGCGGTCTCTGTTGCGCCAACCAGCATAGCCTGTACGCTGTACTTGCGGTCTATTCCGCGGAAGGTCTGTAGATATGGAACCGTGGAAACGAGCATGCGCTGGTTGCGAGGAGGTTCTTGGAATTTGGTCAAGGGAAGCATTAGAGAAACCCCCTATGTCGGCATCTGACATGGTTTTGCAGGCCGGAACAGTGTCGGGATCTGAAAAATCCAGGAGAGAAAATGGGGTGGTTGGGACACGGATGCCTTCTTGAGTCAAGGCTGCACAGAGCGTTAGCTGCCAATGCGTTTTCTAGAAAGGCATTTAATGGAATAGCGTTAAGATCAAAGGAGGGCGTACCGATCTTGGTAAATCTCTTCAATTCGTCCAGGCTTCGTCTTGTGAAGCCTGGGGCAAGCAGACGTGATGAAGCTCGCATAGTTTAATGCAAACTCTTAATTTGTCGCACAGAATCTATGTTGCTATTTTGGATTTGGCTTGATGTATGATTGAAAAGAGGTACCATAGAAGTGAATACCATGATGCTAGTAGAAGTCATTGACATTCGATTGGACCCCAATGGGCGGGAGTTCCAGGATGCAGTCATTGACAGCTCTAGGGTTGATCGTTTATCGCGGCAAGATAAGATTATCACGTCCATATCAATATCACAAAGTGAATCCGATTGATGTCTGGTACTTATCCAACATATTGTACTTAGAGCACTGTGTCTAGTAACTTGAGGGCTCTGACTTTGAATGGTCTTCATTCTGCGGCTATCAGCCTGAACAACGGCGGGAAAATCACCATGTTTCATCGATATGGATGCAGTAAAACACAAAAATCCTCTACAATTTGGGTGACGAGAGAGGACAGTGTAAAACAAGACTGTTTCTTCGTGTCGTGTCCACTTATAGACGTCTCCTATCCAAAGCCAACCCTAAGCTTGTGGCAAGAAAGAGCTCGAGCTCCAAAATTGCGAGCATACAAATACTATGATGAGCTAATCGTCACTCGCTACAGATCTATAGGTACGTTCTCAACCGTTGAGGGAAGAGTGTGGAAGCTTATGTACTGACGCAGGGAGATTGTTGAAAGAGGGAGACTATTGTCATCTCACAGGAGACTCTTAGTCTTTCGATCTATGAGACCATCTAGCACTTACCAGTGTGCCTTAAGAAACGAAAGCTGCAACCGTGTCTGCAGATACTTTTGCTATTGCCAACAGTGAGATCTCAGTCCATGTTAAGCTTTGTAAGAGGTGGTGAGTGGATCCATTGGACCAATTGATACTATGACCGCAATGATGGGCATGGTCATACAATATTAAAAAGACAGGGCGAAACAAGAATTTTCATCCTGGTTCGATGGAAGAGTAGAGTACCTTAGTCGATTAAATGTCTTAGAATCACTTCGGTTCCTCGATCCGCCCTCTTAGAATCATGCTAGCCACTCTAGAGATCTAGCGTCCCTCGGAATTGCTAATACTTCAAAGCCTTACCATCGAAGACACATCCACCTAGCCATTGTTAGTAGAGTCAGCAGAGCTTAAGCTGTTTAAGCTGCTCAACAGACTGTACTTAGCGACAAACAAGAACCCTTTGAAGGCAAAGCGGTTGAAAGTAGCGTTGAACAACTCGTGGTAGATCAGAGTGGACTAGTATATAGGAGTCCTCTTCCCCGCCAAAAGAATCTGTTCTTCTTTCCCCTTCCACACACACTCTTCTATCAACGGTCTTGCAGGCACTGCTGTACTCTCTTTTCACCATCTCGATCATCTTCAAGCAAAGCACGCACTTACCTTGTTAACGGTTTGCAAGACTACACTCACTCGGAACGAACTTCCCCCAGCTTTTACACTCCTTCTCCCCAATTGTATCATAGCCAAAGAGATACCAAAGCAGCATGTCTCACTCACCAGCTACACCAGACAAAGCTGGCATGCATGCCAACGGCTCTGGATCCAAGGCGCCGCTGCCTTCCACGGACAAGCCTACCTCTACCTCCAAGGTCAAGCAGACATCACTTAACGAGCCTTCACCTGCGAGTACCTACGGTGACACCGTTGCTGGCGGTAGTTCTCCCGCTACTCCGCTGGACGTCGGCAGTCATGGTAAGTGCATGTGTTCTGTCCCTGCTCGTCATGTACCTCGCTTTGTTTTCTGCCTAGCATCACGACTTAGAGTCTGGCTCGGGCTCGAGATTACACTTCTCTCCTTGAAGCCAAAGCAAGCACTTTTCGTCCCTTACCCTTCATGCTTACTCCCGTCTTGATGGCTCGGCTAACGGGCCAAGATCACCACATGGCAGGTTTGATACACTCTCTGCAGGCTGCGCAAATCGATCCTGCCATTGAGACCATCTCCGGATCTCCAATGACAGCTCGCGATGGAAAACACCTTTCACAGCTGGAGCGACGTGTAGACCGAAGTATCTTCATCGAAGCTCAGCTGAGTCCATCAAAGACCGGTAACCTCAGTCGCAATGCGTCTGCAGCCTCATCCCCAAGCACCGATCGCGTCAAGGAAATTCGCGAGAGCCCCAGTTGGCGCAACAAGGATGGGAACTTCGTGCGTCGCTCTGGCAATCACGGAGAAGACCCATTCATCTCCAGTGCCAATGCTGGGCAGTCTCATAGTCAAGGCAAGTTATCGCTCTCTCAGATGGATTCAGCGCGCTTACTGCTCAAGGCAACAATACATCCTTCAGCCCCCGTAGGGATCGAACGGGGGTTCCGCTTTCCAATGACAACGCTCAAGCCATGCTGCCACCAAGAGCTTGTGTCTTCGTCGCAAAGTAAGCTCGAATTCCCTTCCGTGAGACACATAGCTGACAATATACAGTCTTGTTCAGACACAGTCTGATGATCAGCTTGAGCATCATGTGCACGTTGCGTTTCTCCAGTACGGCACTTGCTATGTCAAGATTAGACGTGACGCACGGGGTATGCCATTTGCTTTTGTTCAATACGAGGTAAGCCGAAGACTCGCAGGGTACACTTCCCATGCTGACAATATCAGAACGAGAACGAAGCTCAGCGCGCTATCTCTATCGGTCGGGGTATGCTCATCAACGGTCGCCCATGCCGTACAGAGGTTGCCAAGGTGAACCGTAAGCTAGTCCGATTGGCACTTTGCCGTTCCATTCTGCTCTGACACTCTCGTACTACAGGCTCTTTGTATCTATCGAAGGTTTCTGGAGGCCTGATCTCCGAGACAGAAGCTCGCGAGGTCTTGTCTCGTCACGGACCAATTGAGAGCGTTTGGTTGTGCTCACAGACTGACAAGGAGATGTTCCGTCTACCTGAAGGTATCTGGGTAAAATTTGTCTACTTCCAGGACTGTCGTGACGCGCAAGCGGTGCGTTGGTCCAAATTGTTATTTTCTTTCCCTTTCGCTGACTTGTCGAAGATTTTTCGAGATCACCCAGTGTATAGGCTTGAGCAACCACCCTTGCCAGAAGAGGTTCGCCCTCGTCAAGGAGGCCGAAAACACGCGTCAATGTCTCCCATGCAGCGATCGAGTCCTGGCCATATTTTGCCGTCGCCGCAGTATGCATCTAGACGGGCTAATGCAGACCTGTGCTCCATCTTCGTGGGTAACTTGCCACCCAATGCCACGGATCCGCAGCTTCGCGAAATTTTTTCAATCTTCGGTCCTATCACCCACGTGGAGATAGTCAGGAAGCCATCTGTGCACGGTACGTCTATTTCTCCTTTCCCATTTGCGCACGAGTCCACTAATTTCCGATAGCTGGTATCAATGTCTTCGCGTTCATAGAGTACCTCAGTCCTGATATGGCGGTCGCTGCCGTTCAGGCGAGCCCTAGGATGTATGGAGTCGATCGTCTTCGTGTTGAGCGCAAAGAAATAAGCGGTACCTTCGCTCCTCGTGACCGCGTCTTCGCATCTGGTGGAAGCCCAAGCTCCCCATACTTCGCTGATTCTCATGAACAAATGGCGAATCTCTTACAGCGCGTCTATAATTTCGGTATGACTCAAGGAGCACAAACACAAGCTATGCCACCGCCGGTGTATGCTCCATACCCGTACTATCAGCCATACGATCTATCTCAGTACGGACAATTCGCCACGTCAGCCACGCCGATGGACAACAACACTGCAGCAGGCCTGCAAACTCACGGCAATGGGTATCCGGCTCAAGCAATGGGTCACTTTCAGTATCCCCAGGCTCCCACCAGCACCTCATACCTTCAGTACCCACAGCAGCCAGCACCTCGTCCCTACCAGTGGCCACCTGCGAGTGCCAGTGCTGACAATGACAACGCATCACCGTCTAAGGGAGCTTATTAGGTTGGTCGGAAGCTGGCCACTCGATCATTGTCGACTCGCTCGGCCCTGATCATGGCACACATTCCGGCTTGTGAACCCTTGCACTTTCTTTTCGACTTTGCACGTGTCGATTCATCTCGATTATTGTACGATACCTAGTTGTTGCATCCGTCATGGCTCGATGTTCTTTGTGTGTAATGTGTCATTGCGTGCCCTGGATATTCGGGTTCAACTTTGAGCTGGGATACCTGCGGAGCCTCGCGCATAATGGCTGAGGCTCAGACTATCTTTCTATTACTGCTGCAAAACTTCTTTGACGGACCACGGTATGCGGCATACAGCCCAGGTCATGATTGACTTTGATCACGTCGCTAACAATAGTTCAGCACGATCACAACTTCCATTTTCGCCCCATGGCTTGCTCCGGAGGCAGAGTGTTCTACCTTTTCTCTTCTGCGATCTTTGAGCCACGGCAGCCAAAATGGCTTCGCACGCGGAGGACAACATCTGAGGAACCAGAGGACAATGTTTAACTACGGCGATCGTTCTCTCATTTTTTCCCTATCTATGTGTCAATTTCTCTAGCTCTGGCCCCAAAGGCATTCGCAACATTCGCAACTTACATACACAAGCGATCAGCAACAATCACAAGCAATCATGAGCGATCATATAGAGTAGCATAGCACGAGCTTCAAATTCAAACAATTTCATACTCAACCTTTAAGCTTTCGCGTACTTTGACACGGAGATATTTTCATGTGCTGCATTGTCAGGCTTAATCGATGAGCTGCATATCTGACTTACAAGAGTTGTGGCTCTGGACACGAACGTATCAAGGACGATGCCTTGTCGATTCCTGCTACTACACAGCTGAGTCTTTTTCTGAACCTTTTCTTCCCCCCCCCACCCCTCAATTCTTTTTCCCTCGGGTCGTTGGCTAGAGCACCGGCCGTTATCATTTTCTATGACTAATCATAGATACACAGTGGGCAGAAACCAAGGTTGCGCGAGCAGAACTCCAGTTCGCAATCTTTCAAATAAATACCTGCTACAAAGGGGAGAAGCCACCTTCGGATCGAGCGACTAAAATCCATTCGCAATGGGTCAACCATCATTCCAAGCATCAAATGCCATCATCTACCTCACTTATGGCGCATTTTTGTGCGTCAAACCCCACATCCTGCCACATGCCAGACTAGATACGCTGACAGTAAGCGGTCTCGAAATGCAGGGTCTCGGGCCTCTATATCGCGTGGAAATATAGAAATCAGTCGAAATCGGATTTTTTGGCCACGAATCGTACACAAAAGGGTTAGATACAACACACGTTGACTTCCTTTCTTGACTCTGACCATCATGGCCCAACCCCGCGTTTGACATGAGAAAGAAGCGGGCTGACCACTGCTTAGCTATCCCTCTTGCACTTAACTTCATCGCCTCGTGTGAGTGTATTCGCAATCGAAAGCGCTCATTGATTGAAGCGGCAGCAACGCTCCCAGCGCAGTGTTTCAGCTGGCCCGCACCAGCTGGGACACGAAGAATGGCAGACTCGAGTACGGGATCATGATTTGCCATCCTGACCAGGTTCGTATTTGCAGCATCAACGCAGGCCGATGGCCACGGTCCTCCTGCCTATGCTCATTCAATAACAAGAGATGGGAAAGGGGACCATGGGCAAAGGTTCTGCGCGGCTTCACTACGGGTGCTGATTGTAAATCGGACGGGGCTGGATCCAACTCTTCGCTCCAGGTGTTGAGAGATCCCACCAGTTCTATTTGGCATGAAGCTGAGATCAGTACCGTAAATACTCGATCAAGTTAATACTTGCGTGGGGAATGTGCTGCCGCTTCCTCCTTTTACCCCAAACGATTGATCTTGAGCCCGCTGACCAGACGACATATTCCACCCGCTACAGCTCTTGGATCGGGCATTTTGTTCTCTTATCCCGAAATATCTACAATTGCTGGCGTCCAAGGCTTGATCGTCTATACACTCTCTTCGTCTTTGCCACTTTTGGTATTCGGCTTTCTTGGGCCCATTATTCGAAGGAAATGCCCAGAAGGGTTCCTTTTGACAGAGTGGGTACGTACATTCCCGAGGTGATTCTTCCTAATCGGTAGTCAGATCGAGTCACAAGTCGAGTCTCAGGAGCAAAAGAACCTTTCAACTCCCGAGACCTGTCTTGCAACTCCTGTTTCTGCCTCGAATAGGCTTTGCTGACTCCAAAATCTGCGTAGACAAGACAGAGATACGGCACTGTGACGGCCTTATATCTGAGCCTATTAACGTAAATAGTGATCACTGGAGGGCTTGAAGGAGAAGATGCTAATATCATTACTCCAGACTCATTACATTGTTCCTCTATATGGTGGCAGAGCTTTCTGCCCTTCAGCAGATTATCAATGCTTTAACAGGGCTCAAAGGCCTGCCTGCTGTCATTGTCGAGTGTGCCGTTACCACTATCTACACTTGTAAGTTCCCTTGATGAGCCAATTATGAAGATTCCCTCACATTCTACATAGCTCTGGGCGGGTTTCGCATCTCTTTCGTTACCGACAATATTCAAGGTATTATGGTAGTCGGTTTGGTCATTGTAGCTGTCGTCACTGTTGGCGTTGAGACCCACATTGACAAGAGTCTTGTCGAATCTTCGGGGTTGCTCAAATCGAGCTTGCTCGGCTGGCAGCTCATATATATCCTTCCGGTAGCCGTCCTAACTAACGACTTTTTTATTTCTGGGTTTTGGATGCGCACCTTTGCTTCCAAGACAGACAAAGACTTGGTTATTGGAACTTCGATTGCGACTGTCGCTGTAACCTTCATCTTGGGTCTTGTCGGTGCAGCTGGACTCCTGGCGGCATGGACAGGTGCTTGGCCTGGTAATCCACCACAAGATGGTGATATCGCCTTTTTCCTTCTGCTCGAGCAGCTTCCGAGCTGGGTAGTGGGCATTGTCCTCGTGATGGTCGTGTCTCTAAGCACAGCCGCGTTCGACAGCTTCCAGTCGGCTATGGTTTCGACCGGATCCAACGATCTGTTTCGCAACAAACTGAATCTTTGGTTGATCAGATTGGCCGTCGTACTGATTATTTTCCCAGTCGTGGTCGTAGCTCTTAAGAGTCCGGATATCCTGCAAGTCTACCTGATATCTGACCTTGTAAGCGCCAGTTCGATCCCCGTGCTTGTCATTGGCTTAAGCGATGCATGCTACTGGTGGCGCGGATTTGAAGTTGTGATTGGTGGCTTGGGTGGTCTACTTACCGTCTTCATCTTTGGCACCATCTGTATGTATTTTCGGAACCCATACTTCCTCTCTTAGATCAAATCTTGAGTTTTGACATGTCTCGGGAGTTTTTACTCCGAGGCGTGTTCCAAGGCTCAACCTACCTCCTCAAACAGGCAACACTGACTCCGAATTCTTGATCTAGACTTTGGTAACGCGCACGAAGGAGCGTATCTTCTGCTGTTGGAGAATGGGCTATACGCGAATGACTGGAGTGCCTTTGGTAAGTCCTGGCGCCGAGCACACGCCTAGTTGGGTACATCTGTGGCTAACGAGCATGTCTGTAGGGGCCTTCGTCGCGGCACCTGTTGGCGGTCTATTGTGGGGAGGTGGAGCATTTGCACTTCGTGTCGGATTTCAATGGATTCAAGCCAAGAGGAAGGGTCACAGATTTGACGCTTTCGATCGTCCTCCCCCTACACAGCCGTCGACATATACTAGTGGTGCGGGATCATTCGATGAAGAGCACGAAGGGCGCGAAGAGCCAGCAGAGCCCGAAGAGCGTGCTGCTCCAATCAGCATCAGCCCCCAGAAAGGAAAGTTCTTTTGAGCTGCAGATTATGAAAATGTGCGATAGCAAGGGTAGAAGCGGCGAGGAGGGAGATGGGGACGGAGAAAGTGTACATGAAGCCGTTATATCGACTGAGAGGCTTTTCTGCCGAGCTCGTTCAGGTATATGCATACAGATGTCCGTGAGGAAGGACTGGGCTACCAAGAAAGGACATATTCAGTGGATGCGACATTTTCTTCCCCGTCATTGTTTTCCAACAACTGGTGTGGCAACAACTGCGTCGTCCCCCAACACGTCCTCAACCTTGCTTTCCTCAATTGTTCCCCAAATCTTCCATCTCCCCTCTTTTCCCCTCAACATCATTCTTTGCAAGACCACATATTCTACCATCTTCTTCGCTTCGGTCGTATCGCTTGCGACACCATTTGCAGGCGTCCTCTCGAGGCTCTGCATAGACTTAATTTTGACGACCACTTGGTACAGCGCCGACTCCTCAATCCCAAGTGACACAATGTTGGTACTGACAATACGGGAAAAGCCGATATATTTGTGTAGCGTCCATTGCAAGCTTTCTTTGGGTGGGCGGACATTGATTCGCGTGCCGAATGAGGCAAGAAGCCCTTCGTGACAGATGCTCTCCAAAGTTGCCATGTCACCGCTGTTTTCAGAAATTGGGCGGTCAGGCTGCGTTTGTGGCAATGATGGAAGGTATCTTACTCGGCAAACGCGGTGTACATTTTTTCGTAGAGCCTTTTTGCCTCGGGAGCAATCGTTCCGCGGCGGAGTTTAGGCCAAGGCCGGCTCTTTAATAAAAATTTGTATGTGACGCACCTATACAACGGTCAAAAACAGGCCGCTGATCCTAAATTTTCAAGCGGAGTTCAAGAGACTCACCCTTGCAAAGCGCGCAATTTCTTCTTCAATCTGTACCATTCTAATCGCATGCGTAAATTTGGCGTTCGAAGTAGCGACGGCTTTCTGGGTCCAGATGGCATGACAAGTGTTCCTGGCAGCGGCAGAGGTTAGCGTTTGGACACGGTGATGGAGCAGAAGGCTTGGGATAGTTACCTGGAAGAAGCCCCATGTCGTTCCTTATTCTTTGCATGCTCTTTGTATTATAGCTCCTTGGTTGACTCGGCTGGACACTGAGTAGTGGCAGTAGGGGCCAAGGTTGTGTCCGTCGTGAAGGGTAGAGAAAGGAGCAGAGGGTCGGCAATCGAGGGTGGAGAGGAGGCATGTTGCTGTCTCAAGTGATGATATCTTTGTTCGGTTCAGTCATACCAATTATACCACAAATAGCAATCCAGCATCGTGCATGGGCCAAATCTAAAGTGCACAGCAGACACCAGCAATGCTTTTTCTGTTCTCTTGGCGGTCTTTTGGTCCCTGTACTCGTAAGGCTGAAACTGCGGGAGCCCTGCTCGCGTGTTTGCGGCAAAACCTGGGGAAGCTTGGAAGCAAGACATTCATGTTCGCTGATGCTCTCTGACAGCCTTTGAACGAGGTCAAAGTTGGGACAACGGTCTCTTTACACTTTACAATTCGATCCTTTTTTTTTCTACAATTCTGCAGATGCGGCAGCACATGCCGCTGTTTAACTGGCTCACCTGGCGTCCTCTCCAGATCCTCCCAGCTATGCTGCTAGCTTTTCCTCTCCCGGAGTAAAGATCGAAGCTACCACACAGTCGATCGCCTCCCATCCACGCGTTGCAGTCCTCTTGGGCATCAATGCTCGGTGGCATATTCCCCTTTTGATATGCCGGGCCCTCAGCACCGCTCCAGCCGCATGGTGGGGTCTCCGTTGTGCCATTACCTTCTTGGGAGAGCTGCTGCGGAGTGATGGAACAGCGGCGCTGGGAGATACTTGGACAGTGGAGAAACGATTCAGAGTTACTGAAGTGTTCTTGGCTATTCTTTGGGTACGTCGAACACTGTGGGGAGGGTCAATGCCAGCAGCAGAGGATCTTCAGTCCATCCGACAAACAGTGTGTATCCTTGGCTGACACAGCTTGTACGCACAGTGCTCTGCGGCCGCGTACCTGTCATACTTTTTTACGGACTGCCTAATGTCAAGATGGTAGGGGCAAGCAAAGGGCAGCGAGCATCTTCCCGACTCGGCTAACGATCTACAAGGCTCCTGTTTTATACCCCATCCGCCGCCGTTGTTCGACTTTTGACCACGAATGTCTTAATCGCACACATCACATCCTGGGTTTTGTATCTTTCCGGCGCTTCTGAGGATCCACGAATGCTCCTTCCAGCTTGGGTTTCAATCGCTACGGTCAGCAATCCTTCTGGCATAACTATACCCGAAAGCTAACAGCGCCATAGACCCTCACTATGCTGTACCATATCACTCAGCGAAAGATCAACATCAGAAAGGAGACATCGGCGTCTATAGGCGTATTTTCTATTGCTAGCTTTGTCAGTCTGTGTACGTTGCTTTTTCAGCTACATCTGACTCGAGAGAATGACCCGGTTGTCCCATTGTTTTCGATGTTGCGAAGAATTGGGGAACATCTGCTGGCGTTTGCAGAGGCTCCGCGGTGATTGTAAGCCTTTGCTATAATGATACCCTGGCAAAGTCTCGAATTGTATTGATTCACCCAGTGCTCTTAAAGGTAGAGTGCATGTAGCTTCGATGATTCTAAACTTTCGTTATCATGCTCTCAAACCATAGTAAAGAATGGCAGGCCTCGCCGGGCCATCGCATAGCAGCTTCCGTGACTGACACATCCCTTCCGAAGACAAGAAAGCCTCCTAGTCCCCATCACCGATGCACTCAAAGGGTATCTACCAACGCCCCAACGCACGCTTTCGCTTGACACACGCCACACCAGCAGAGGCGGTAAGAAGTAAGAGAGTAAGGCTTGCTGAATGAACTTCTATCAATCCACTGGAGGGAAATGCCATCTGATGCGTTGGTGGTAGGATCTAGAACCCATGGACCTGCACGACGTGTGAGCTTGACTATTAATGCAATGCTGCACATTGGGAAAAGTACCTTGATAGTTTTGGCATCAAGTTCCAGCCCTTCCTTTTTATCAACCAGGAATTCTTGGACATCTTTGCGCTGATCACCCTGAAGCTGGATCACCTCGCCCATCTCAGTGTCATTGACGATTGTGCCATTGCAAGCTAGAAAGACAGACGTCAGCGCCAATCTTCGTTTGAGCCGCATGATGACTCGCCGAATTTCTTCTTGATGACCTTGAGGATCTTCTTCTGATCGAATTTCTTGGGCAGACCTTGGACAGTAGTCAAGGTCTTGCGACCATTGCGCTCTGTTGATGACAAGTTAGCAAATTGTCTGTATTGTGCTATGTTCGCAAATGCGATCTGTAGAGTGTCAGAACGTACGCTGAATCCTAATATGGATGTAGTTTTGAGACTGCTTAGTTTCCCCGGTATCTTCGTCGGCTTCGGCGAAGGGGTCTGTAGAGGTCAGCAAGTCCGAGCAAGTCCGCCTGTATGAAAGGGTTGAGGGCGCAGTCGAAAGAGAGAGAAAAGCAGAAGATTCTTTATGCCATGTCCCCTCTCGCACAAAAACCCATTTGGAAGGTCGCTGGTGAGATTGAAGGTTGCGCCAGAAGGCTGCGGGATGCTACTAACCGAAGGTCTTGAGATTTTCGATGGACATAAACTCGTATGCTCTCGGTGACTCTGGAATAGGTGTTTGTGGAGTGAAAAGGAAGGGTCGATGATAGTGTAGTGGGTGTTGAATCTGATGCGTTTGTTTGAATAGCTGCGTGGAGTTGAGTGTAGTAGAGTGGGAGATATCGGATGTGTGTTGTATGTGTAATGTGTTGTGAAGGGTGTGAATGAAAAGAGGTCGAGAGGGGTTGCCACTTGGCGGGATGATAGAAGACGCTAGCCGCATTCGATTTTGGTTCGACGCTGCCCGAGCATGCCTTGGGTGCACCGTGCGATTACGACTATTGCCACACTTGATGCAGAAATTCTTTTGAGTCACGGATGCAGAAATTCTTTTGAGTCACGGATGCAGAAATGCTTTTGAGTCACGCGAGCAATCGTGCGAATATTCCTTCTATCAGAGTCATCATAACGACAAAACTGAAATTTTGGGGTACTTGATTTATCTTTTATTTCACACATTTTACAAAGTATTCCCATACTGTAGGAAAGCCTCCCCTAATGAAAACATGATAGTACAACGCGCACATAAGCACATGACATATGAAGTCGTTTGTCCCGGAGGAATTCCTCGTAGAATCAGGATGGTGGCGCTGCCCCAGGCGCTTGAGTGCCTGTTGCGCGAGGACCAGCTGGGGGCGGCATGAAAAGTTGTAAATATGTCTAGCCTTTGTCAGCAAAAGGTAGGGCGGATCGTATCACTCTACCAGGGAATGTCTTACTGTTCCTACAGCGAGTACTAAGGAAAGTCATAGATTAGTTCAAGGCGAGACCGAAATTTAATATCATAGTAAGAGTCCTTACAAGCCATTCCGGCGCCCATGTAGCCAGGGGTGCCAGACTTCTTTGCCTGCTCAGGCGTTTGAGCTAGCCATGTTTGTACCGCAAAGACAAACGAAGCCCTGTAGCTCGTCAGAGGATGCCATGCAACGCCAACTCGTCCAGACGTACCAGCCAATCATCCTGGTAATTAAAAAATGGTAGTGAGCAATACTGATACTTGCGCTGGGTCGGCTTTCTTACTTGTTTCTTGTGAACATCTTCTCGTGTCAGCCAGATAAATCAGAAGGGCTAGGGGAGACTTACTGCAACCATTGGCAGGGTGGTGGCCACTGTATTGGCGATATCATCGGGTTTTTCTGCTGAGGGTTCTTTGTAAGGAATGACTGGAGCAGAGTCAGTCAGTCTGCGGAAGAATATGGATAGATAGGCTTCACTGAGATCTTCTCTCCGCATATCCTTCCTTGATGCCATGGCTATAAGCAGTCAATTCGTCGTCAATATAATATTGGTCTTCAACGCCGTGAAGGTAGCCAGCATGTTAAATGTCCTGCTTGAACGGAATAATTACACTAAAGTAAAGTACCCTACTTTACATACACTGCTAGTGTCAGTATATCTATGTACCTTAAAGTACGGAGCACAGCCTCCCGAGTTCCCGCCCGCGGAAACGGAGAGAGCCAATCTGGCAACCCATGTTCGTTCCCTCGGTTCCACACCAATTCGACATGTGCCCCCAACTTCCACTCTTCCTATAGGTAAGGTACTAGAGTATTGACATACTAATTATATAAAACACCTTTCTTTCCTCTTCTTTTCCATCATCATATTCAATAATTGACCTATACTACCTCCTACACATCCTCTGCTCCTCTGTCCGCATTGCGCCCTTCTATCCCTACCCCACCGATTCGATGATGCCCAACTCCCTCAGAAACTCTATTTCCCGAGTCTCGGCCGACATGACTGAACCATGACGAGTAATCTTGCGGGCATTGAGCCACCATTGCTCACCGGCAATCGCTCCTTTCAACTGCCTCCCACTCGCACAGCCTCTCACGACCTTCAGCAGACATCCAGGACGTGGCCGCGTCAGACTTTCAACCCAACGCCCAATGCGCCACCAAGCTCCCAGGATGCCTCCGAGCCTGCTTCCAAGAGACAGAAGACCGGAGATCCTGCTACAGAATCAATCGGAAAGACGAGTGGAATCTTACGAAGCGTTTTGGACATTAGTACTGCGATAAGTGAAAAGGGTAGGCCTCTCATAAAGAGCGCGGATTTCTTACCGGGAAAAGAGAGCGCAGATAAAGAACAGCAACCTTCCCTATTTCCCACTCGCCCTGGTAAAAACCCTCAACGTGGTGGCAACCAGCAGGGTCGCGCGCTGGCTATCGAGAGAGCCACTGCAAGAGACGTCGTCCCAGTCAAACCCTATGTTCCCGAACCTCCCTCCTTCGCGCCACGGTTCCATAAAGCTGGTGAGTGTCCCTCGTCTTGTGCGAAGGCATGTATGCTTACTCACAAACTCTAGGGCCTGCAGACTTCTTCCCGTGGACGGGCTGTCACGCAGAGGATGTCCTTAACGAGCTAACCACCAGACAAGGCTTCTACGACAAATCCCCCGTCTCCCAGAACGAGTCCAACACTGCTAGACCATCGGTCTGGTCTAGCCTGAAGCACAAATCTGGCCTCCAAATCTTGTCGTCTTTGTTCGTCTCAGCGCTCGATCAGAGGCAGATTCACGGCACCATTACCACGAACACTACTTTCAAGCCTCCACCGAGGGTGACTCTGACCGACACGAAGCGGGAGGCTTGGCTCCGAGATCTTGCAAATCCTTCAATCCCTTTACGACGGTTAAGTCGAACAATTCCGCACGGCATTCGAGGGAAGATACTCCTGGACCACTGCCTAAGCAAAGATATCCCTACGTTCAGAGCCATCTGGCTTGTCAAATGCGTGGGGGCCAACGAAATTCGAGCGTTCAAAAGGAAAGGAACAGGCGGTGTCTTTACCGTTGGTGGAGAAGCCAAATGGATCAAAGACTGGACAGCCAATGTCGAGCAATTTCTCGAGTCTATCGTTGGTCTTTGTGGCAGTGCTGACTGGAGATCGAAGATTAATTATGGGTAAAGCACAGTCTTCCATGGGTCCAAGCCTTGTGCTGACCAGAGTAACCAGCTTGCGTCTGATTACACACCTCTACTCGGAGCATCTTCTCGATCGGGACCACTACCTTGACTGGCTGATCGTCTCCTTTCGAGACAGCGATCTAGATGCTCTACCTATGTGGCTCCTGGTCATGCAGATACATCAGCAAGATATTCTCCAGCACAGACAACGTGGACGACGTTTAGCTGAAGCGTTATCGAAGCATTTAGATAAGGTAAGTCATCATCGTGGCTCACACAGAATTGCAGCAGGACTTAAACGAGTCTTAGGCATCTCTAACAACTACCCACGAAGTGTATGACACAGTCTTCAAACAACTCGCCAAGCTTCTCAAGACTGTTATGCTTTCGGCCCCTGCGTGCTTCATCCTTCCAGCTTGCTGGAGCAAGTACGGAGACGCAATCAAGAGGTGTCTGGACAAAAATGAAAGCCGTTTGCAATCCACCTTTGACAGCCTCTCGAAGCGTAATTGGAGACTCCGCAACCGCTCTTTGAACCAAAGTAGTCAGGCGACCAAATCTCACAGACAGACCATCATAGTGTATCTGGACAGCTTGTACGATCACCAAAGCATTGGCAAAATTGCAGGCGCGTGCCTGCGGGTCACCGGCGATTATAACTTGCTTGTTCGAACATGCATCGAGTGGTCGTCCAGCGTCTATAGGCACGGTCGCTTTAGGGCATATGCTGCAGCACGTCTACTCCGTATCTGGAAAAGAAAAGGCGTCGATCTTCAAGGCCCAATATTTAATTTCTTGGCTGCAAGTCCAGATGTTCCGGGCTTGCAGAAGAGAGACGTATACAGATTGCTTGCTGAACTTTTTCGTTCTCAGCACATGTCTGTCAGTAAGTATCTACAATGGCTCATCGCTCGTGGAACGTTGGATGGTTATCATGACCCTAACATGGTGAGTACATATCTCTCCATGACATCATTTCACCAGCTGATCGATCCAGGAGGGTCCATGCGATGTCTACTTGCTATTTGAGCTGCCTTTGCAGGGCCTGCCATCTCACGTTCTCAATTTACGAAGCATGCTTTTGACTACGCTGGGAGTTCCTGCTGAGCGAGAAAGAGACATGATCATTGCAGCAAAGGCGAAAATACTAAGTCAGGTCCCAGGGTTTTTCCTTTGGGATGCTTCATCTGGCTCGGGAGCAGGCTGTGATGAATTTGCTTTGTTGAGTCAAACGGTAAAGTCTGCCGTTGCTCTGTGGATTCGCAAAACCCTGTTTTCACGCCTCCAAGTCTTCGGAAGGACTGATTCGGCATCTGAAGATACTAAACAGCCAAACAGAGATAAAGTCACTTTTTGTCTCGTCACCTTAGAACAATTCCACGCCATCCGACGCATTCTCGAAGACTTCGAAGACTTCGCAATCCTCGCTGATGTCCTAAATATATTGTCCGATGAAGTGCAAGGGCCTATTTTGACGGCTGTCACCGATACAGTCAACCAGTATTATGATGTGTTCAACGCCATAGGTGCTGCCGATGATACATTTCGAAGATTGTATCAACGGGTGGAAGAATCTCATGGCCCCGAGGTCGTTGAAAATGCTTTTCTTGAATCGCTGATTGACCTGGCTAGCCGCTTTCCCAACGCGGCTCAGGAAGTCCAAAGGCTTCGAAACGATACGTTGGCTCTTGTGCCCAGATCATCTGTCGTCGCTTTCTCGCCCATCTCGGACAATATGGTTGAAGCAGCGCAATCAGCCGAACCAACGTTTGCGGACGAGATGGACCAAATACTCGCAGGAGGGACCAGTATGGACAAGCAAACTTTAAGTCGAATGTTCGGCGCTATAATTGGCCATCTAGAAACATCATTCGAGGAGTCAAGTCAATTAGGTATCCGATTTTCGCGGCTGCTCGCTCGGCTGCGCAGATTTGGTCCAAAGACGTTCGACGCACTGCTCAAAGATTGGCTCCAGAAGTGGCTGCGTTCCAGTCTTCAGGCAAAGCTGGGGATAATATTGCCACCAATGATTTGTTCTAAAGTCGTCTCGTTGAAGGTAGTTCTGGATTCTACCGCACAGCTTCTCGTTCTTGAAGACCACCGAAATGATCGGGCTACTCTAGCCTTTGAGATGTTGGATATGGTGATTACGGCCAGCTCTGGACCGATGCCCATCGTGAACTACCGAGGCTACCGGCTTCTTGATCAATTTCGTCGCCTCATTCGCGTGTCTTCGGCCTCGATTACAACCTTACTCAGTGTCGTTGTAGAGACATGCAGAGCAACGGAAGCTCCCTTGCGCACGCGCGCTCGGGCTCGAGTTGGAGACCTTTCGGTCAGGAACCTGATACAGACTCTCGTGCTACAGCAGCCCAGCATGTCAAGAGTAGTCGCATCCGCTTTACCCAATACCGACTTACAAACAGCTTTTGGGGGAGTTTTGGACCAGGATCAGGATCAGCTAGGAGAGTCCTCGAACCTTGATCGACACAATAAGATCTCGGGGCTTCTACACAGCATTAGTGACTTCAACGTGCCCCTCGTCCAGTTGCAGTTGAGGGCAATCTTGTCAGATACCGGATCCTTGGAGAATGCTGAGGATACCTTGTCAGATATCATCGTAGAGCAGAACGGCGCTTCAAGTTTTGGCCGCGTTGAGTTGTGGGCATGCCTCGTCTCCGAACTGCCCGTCCCACAAGCGGCTTCAGTTCGAGAGAAGGCTGAGACCGAAATACTTTGTTTGGTTGTTACAGATGCGACATCGATGTGCCACGGGGACAAGACGCGGCTCGACGGTTTGACTGCAATAGTCGAAGCAGCTGGGTTCAGTGTATCAGATGCCGAGACTTCCCCATTCCTTGACCAAATCGCAGATGGACTCTCATTGATTTGCTCTTCGCACCAGCTGGATAAATATCAGCACGATCATGATGAGATCGACTCAGACCATATGGGCCAGTGTATCGATGTTCTCATTTCCTTGCTCATCATCCACCAGTCGACAATCCAGCACCCAAGATTCTCTCAGTCCGCCCTCTTTCAAGTCCTTATCTCTCTCAGTCGTCTCCTGATACATCCGTTCCTTACCTTCCATCCAACTCTTCCCAGCTACGTATTCGATACACTCGCTCTCCTCTCCGACTCCCTCTCCGACGACACTCGAATGCGCTGCATTCGCACCCTTCGTGACCACCATCACAGTCAGGATGCGCGCTTACGATTCATCTTCGGCTACCCTGAGACTGTCAACAGTGAATGGCTACAACTACTTACAAAGCCCTCGACAATCGCTGAAGCAAAGTCCGAGGGCGTGACGATGCAGCCATACTCCCTTCGGAGATGGGAAATGATGCAAGATGCAACCCCCGTCTCCACGGAAAATGATACCAGTCTTAGCTTAACGCTTTTCGGGGCCAGGAAATCTGTTTTATAGCGTGACCTTTTTTGCCATATGCTTGAATGATGTATGAATAGATGACATGACGCTGATACCACGACATGGTTGGGTTCGCTTCAGCGTTTCGAGTTCTATTGAAAGTGGCGTTTCAGCTCTGCAATGAGCGCATCTGGGTAGCGGTGGCGAGGGCTAAAGCCATTTTGGTGGCAGTCGCTACTGCGACATCTCACAGGCTTTAAAGTCGTCTTTTCATGAATATATGGGATGCTTCGAGGCAGGCTTTTGAAATACATTATTACGTTTTGACATCAATGCAAACGCAACACGGCGGATATGCATCTCTCAAGAGACAATCGTTAACCATAGGCTTTGGCACTCGGTCGAAGAAAAGATCGCTAGGAAGATGGGCAAGCAATTTGGTCTGACATGGACGCCACTGTGTTCTAAATCAATCGTCGTCGAAGATCTGATAGGTATTCTGCAAGATTGTGTCGATGACCCGAACTTGCCATCCAGCATCCGCCACATTCGGGCCTGTGCCCATAAGTGTTGGCCTAGAGAGACTGTCAGTTGATTTTCTCTCGTCCGAGTCTACTAGAGCGTACCCGAATATAATGGCCAGGTTTCCAGCATTCATTCGATTTACGGCAGAGTGCTCCTGTACTCGATTCAAATGCTACTCAAGTCAGCATCTTTAACACCTCGTCGCTCCATCAAAGGGCATGCTCACCAACGTCAAAGCTCGAAGAGTAGCATAATTTGGGTCTGGTAGACTGTTGATGATAGCGTGCATTGAATCGCGGCGGGTTATATCATCATCGATGCCTGTCACCCGATAGCTTGTCAGAACACAGTGCCAAATATGAACCTCGGACTATCGGTTGATACTTACGTGCGGCTTCAATGAACCCTTGGTAATGCTCGCGTGTCAGCAAGGGATCGGGCAGGTCTCGGAAAAATTGCTTTAGTAAGCCAGCGACGCTATTGACGTCGTGGTAGAACGCTTCCGGGTTGCGGAAGTCCAGCTGGTTTGAGTCTGTTGAATGTTAGCTCGGCTTTGCCAGTCAGTCATGATGAAATGCCTACCGTTGTCAAATATTGATCGGAGCTTTGAAACGTGCGCGGAAGAACCAGAAAGTCGGTATATTCCCTCGACTTCTAAGCCATATAGATCAACAGCCTGGATGCACTGGTAGACTACAAATGGTATAGCGGAGCCGTCTCGTTTAAGCAAGTCTTCAAGCGAAAGACCAAAAACCGGCCTCAAAGCAGGAAGGCTGGTACTGGAATTGTTGTTCTGTAATGCTCCCATGCCGATGGGTGTCGGAGGCTGCGAGTATAATGGTGCAGCCGTCTGAGCTGAAGGGAGTTGCGAGGGACCGCCAGCACCCATTGATGGGAAATTTTGATCTTGCGGTGAGCGATTCATGCCATTCTGAGGCACAGTATTCGAAACAGATCCAGATGGAGCTGACGGCGGTGCCGAGGCCTGGGAAAAGCTCTGACCTTGCAGAAACCCCGGCTGACTTGTCTGTCCCGAAGAGCTGAATGTTGAAGTTTGTTGACTTGGCATGGGTTGTGTACGAGTATTGATAGGAGATGGGGTCTGTTGTGGAGACGTGAGTGTCTGCGAGTTTATCAGTACGCTGGTTCCACTCAAGTTTGAGATACGTGGATGCCTACTGGGTGACGCTCGTATTTGATTTCCCCTAAGTTGCCAACCTTGGAAGCGAAGCTAGACACGTAGTTATTTAGATCCCTTGCATTATCGATTTGGAAAACGACATCGCGTAGACTCCGCGAACCCAGATCATTGCTCTGGCCCTTGAGTGGGCTAACGCAGAGTCCGTTACTTAAGAGAAGTCTCTCGTTGAATGAAGCTGGGGGGGAGATTAGCAATCGAATTTCTGAGCATGAATACGGTGCCTGCAACATACCAAACTTCTGCAATTGGAGGGTCAAGCCAGAGTCGCACTCATTTATTAGGTCTCGAAGCGCCCGGACAGCTTGAGGACGAAGGGTGCTGACCAGCTCCTGTCGCTGGTTCTTTGCGCTCTGCACTTTAGACGAATAATCAGAGTCGGCCTGCTGGAGTTTTCTGAGCAGATCCTCTTCGTGCTGGGCTGCAGACTTCGGCCCTTTCAGTCCAAAGACTCGCCCGGATTGCTTGTCGCCTGTTCGAGTGCGGTCATAGTCTTCAGCCAGCGAGTCATATTTGGATTTAGCCTTCTCCATCAATGACTCAGAGTCTTGCACCCTCTTCTCTGCGCTCAAGCCGTTCTGCTTCCAATGCTTACGACCGCGCTCCATATTTGCGGCCAGATCATGGAGATCCTCATGCATTTGGTGGAGGGACAGCGCAAATTGAACACCATTGTCTGCCATGCGGTCATGGATGCCGAGAATCTCATCGTAGTTCTGGGCGTAAGAGCCTTGTCTGTTGTCGGGTCGCTTTACCGACTCGTGGCTACTCCTGCACAGCTTTTTGAGGCCCTGCGCTTGTTCCTCCTCGAGAGTAGATCTCTTCTTCAAGAAACCTGCAAATTCCCTTGCCGATGCAACGCTCTGCTTTAGACGGGCGAGCAGAGTGTTGATGCCAATCTACAACCTTTAGTCCAGGTCACTTATATGAGAACCAACCCAGAAGACCAACATCAGACTGTAGAACGCTATCCACGACGGGGGAGGACTCATTGTTAGGAAGGGTGGGCTGTGGCGCAAGCGTTGTCTGTCCGCTGGTCGGCACCTCAATTCCACCATTGTATCCAGATCCATTCAGCGTAGATTGTAGGGCAAGATTCTCAGAAGAGGAGTGCTCAAGCGAATCCCGCTGCTCCATGGTTAGCTGTGTAAAAGAGTGATTTGAAGAATGGCAGACGTGACGGTGCGGGTCAAGAGGGATGAAAGGGTACTACTGGTGGTTTGAGGCAGAGCTTGCTTGAGCTTAGAGCCAGTTCGTAAATTTTGAAAATACTATTACGGTAATTGTTTTTCTATTATATATTCAAAACCTAAAGCTGTTTAAATAGGCTGACGCTAAATAATACATTAATAGTACACCTAACCCACACACCCCCTTAGATAGCCGGATTGGAAAAGCTTAGATCAATTCGGTTAAATTTAGAAGACCCGAGGCCCAGTACGAGTACCTTATTTTAATATGTGCTGGGGCGCGGGCTTCCCAGTAGTGAAAAGCTTGCCGAGTACTGGTTTTTAACTATTTAATTCTTAGGGAGATCTCCTAAAACCCCTCGAACCCTTCGAAAACTCTTTAAAGGCTCTTCGAGAGCTTCTATCGAAGAGGCTATCAAAGTAAACTTAAAATTTAATTATTTTAATAATATTTAATTAATTTCGAGTTTACTTTAATAGCTTCTTCGATAAAAATCCTCGAAAAGCTTTTAAAGAGCTTTAAAGAATTTAAAAGATTTTAAGAAGTCTAACTCTAAGAATTAAGAGAGATAGTTAATATACTTAAAGGGAGACTCTCTAATAAAACTTCTTTAACTCTTCGAGAGCTCTTTAAGGGCCCGTTTGACTATCATCTAAAATTTATATTTTTAATAATATTTTTAATATTTTCGTCTTCTATAATTTAATACTCGATTTAATAACTATATTTTCGTTCTAAATACTTATAAAGTATAAAATATATATAAAATATATAGAGGTTATTTTATATTTCTAAAAACTTAAGATAGAGTAAGTTTTTATTTAAAATATACGCTATAGATAGATTATATCGCTAAATCTAAGATTATAATTATTATAAATAGTTATATATATTATAGCTATAATCGATAATAATAGTTAGCTAGCTAAGAAAGCTATTATTATTATTATTTTAACTATTATATAATACTATTCGTATTATCTTAATAAGACTTCGTAATATACTTTTATTCTTTCTAGTTATATATATATATAGTCGCTTCTTAAAGAAGAATACTCTATAAATATTTAAAAGACTTTTTATATATCTTTATATACTCTAGATAAGCTTTAAAATTAACTCTTTAATTATACGTATTTAGCTTCGTCTTATATTATTAAAATAGTAGAGAAAGTCGTTATCTTTAATACGATAGTAGACTATAGTCTTAATAATAATAGATTATATAATTATTTTTAATACTTAGATAAGACTATTAATCGATATTATTATAAGATTTTAAAGATTATATATATTCTATATTAGTATTTTATTTAATTATCTAAAGTATCTTATTCTATTTTAATAAAAATCTTATTTAACTTTAAATTTACGTCTTATTTCGATAATTATCTAGATATATTAAATAATATATATATCGCTATTTATATACTTATAGTAAAGTATATACTATAACGAAATAGAAAGAGTATTCTTATTTAGAATATTTTAGTCGTATATAGTTTTAATATACTATTTTATTATATATTATCTAGCTAGAAAGACTTTATATATAACGCTTTAATATTAAGAGATATTACTTCTAATTACGACTTTTCTATCTCAGCGAGTAAGTACTATCTATCTTATTAACGCTAGATATTTTAATTATAATTAATTACTAGTTCTCTATATAAGTATATAATATTATTTAAAGAAATAATAATAGATTAAAATAAAGCTCGAGAATATAAAGAAATTATTTAATCTACGTTACTTTTAGCTATAAAATATTATTAAAAAAATATTTAATATACTTAAACGATGATTTAAATCTATTAAGAATTCTATAGAGTTTAATATTTCTATTTAGATAATAAACTAGTATATCTTAACTATAATATATAACTTTATTACGCTATATCGCTCTCTTAATAATATTAACTCGAATATATAGCTAGCTAACGAGTTTAATAGTAATTTTATTAGTAATTTAGATTTATTAAAGAATAGATACTCTACGACTATTAAAATATAAGATAGAATACTTAGTTATATTAACTAGAGAGTTCTATAAAAGAAAAGAGCGACTAGATATAAATATATTAAGGCGTATTATATAATTATATTATATAATCGCTAAGATATTAAGAGTTATATAATTTAAATTCTAATACTCCCCTTTGTACGTATTCTTTTATACGCGAAATTTAATAGATATAAAGTTTAATACTAATAATATTAAAATTAAATAGATAAGATAAAAATAATTTAGTCGATTTTCGCTAGAGTTTAATATCGAGTAATTAAAGTAAAGTTTAAATCGAGTAGTTAAAGTAAAGTTTAAGTTAAGTAATTAAAGTAAGTTTAATATTAAATAATTAAAGTAAAGTTTAAGTTAAGTAGTTAAAGTAAGTTTAATATTAAATAATTAAAGTAAAGTTCGAGTTAAATAGTTAAAGTAAGTTTAATATTAAATAACTAAAAAATAAAAAGTTAAAATCTAAAAACGACTATATTAAATTCTAAATTTTACTTTTTATTAAAAAACGATTTTTCGAGAATTTTATTTTTAGATTATTTAATATATATTAAAAATCGATTAATTTAAAATCGAAGAATATTTATAAAAATAATTAAATAAAATAATTGAAAGAAATTCTTCGTTTTATATATTACGATCGACTATAAAGCCTCTATAAGAATTATTCTAGATATTTAATTCTTAATAATAATAATTAATATTAGAATTCGAATTACGTAATTCTTAGCGTCTTAACGATTACGTAATATAATTATATAATACATCTTAATATATTTATATCTAATTACTCTTTTCTTTTATAGAACTCTCTAATTAATATAACTAAGTATTTTATCTTATATTTTAATAAATTATAAGCTTAAGCTCTATTTAATAACTATTTTAATTATTTTATTATTTATTTATTATTTATTATAATTATAACTATTTTTAATATATTTATTATATTAATATTTATTAAATAGTAATAATTATAATCGCGGAGAATCTCTTTTATTAATCTTTATAATATAAGTATTTCTTACTTTAAGATAATTATTTAGATTAAATAATATATATTAAATATACTTTTAATTAGAAGAATAGAGATAGCGAGTAAAAGGGGTTATATCGAAATTATTAATATATTAATATATTATATTAATAATTTAGCGTATAAACTCTCTTATCGCTTTTTATATAAGATAATTTAAAATAAGTTAAGATATATTATATTTAATTATATAATATTAAAGTTATTATACGTTAAAATAGAATATTATATACTTATACTTTTTTATTATATAATCGCTATAATTACTAGAATATTATTAATTTCTTTATATTAAATAGAATACGCTAAAGATAAGAGATAATATATTCTTATT